TAAGTTTGCTGGGATAAATAAACTTAGCAGTGGCTTGACTAGGAGTATCGGACGTTTGACATTGAATACGCGCTGGTATGTTGGATACAAACAATGTCCAACCGCAGGGGCTTGTGATCGTGGCAAATCGGTATCATTGACGTGGTCCTTCCTAATATGGACAAGGTGCTTGATTTGCATTGACTGGATGTGACCTGCTGGGATTCACTTGGCAACGGCGGCTTAGAAGGAACATGGATGTTTGATATCTAGTACCAACTTGGAAGGAGATGATGCCATAGTCACCGTGCGCGGAGAACTTCTTTTTTTGTAAGAGGACAGAATGGGAAAGGGGAAAGAAAACGGGTGAGCGGGTTTACCAAGATCTACGGAGTAGTACTTTTGTGGACAACACTGGGGAGCAAAAATTGTATGACTGGAGAACGACATGCGGCTCGCTGAGTGTTCCATCCTAGGTCCGCCATCTACTGGCGACAAAAGACAGGCATACTCTCAATCGGACATTCGATCTCAACATCGCGACCACCCTCATACACAACATCTTTCTTGTCCCAGAGCTTCCACGATGCCCCAGCCGGCAGATAGGCCTTGACCGTGCGTTGACCCGGCTCCAGCACAGGCACAACCAAGTACTTCGACCCATACATATACTGAGTCTCAACCTCCCAAGCCCGCTCATCTGACGGGAACTCATAGAACAAAGTCCTCATCACGGGCGTTCCCTTCTCATGAGCCTCCCGCATCAATTCCCGCGTGTACTCACGAAGCTGCTCACGAATCCCAATATACCGCTTACAGATCTCATAAACCTCATCTCCATATGACCAGATCTCATTGTCTGCCCCGCTAGCCGTAGGCTGTCCTTCCGGCTTCGGTTCACGGTCACCATGCAACCGCATAACCGGACAGAACGCTCCCCACTGGAACCATCTCGTGAAGAGCTCGCGGAACAAGGGATCGTCGGGGTTGCCGCCGTGGAAACCGCCAATATCTGTCGTCCACCACGGGATACCGGCTAGTCCCATGTTCAGGCCTGCTGCGAGTTGATTGCGGAATGAGCTCCACGAAGACGCGATGTCACCGCTCCACACTAGCGCTCCGTACTTTTGACTACCTGCCCATGCGCACCGCAGGAGATTGACGATGTTCGTTTGGCCCTCTGCAGTCATGCCTTCGTAGAATCCCCGTGCGTACTCTTTCGGGTAGGTATTTCCGATCTGTAGATTGCTGCCGGCGTGGTAGCGGTAGATGTCGAAGTCGTAGATGGAGTACTCGGGCTCTGCTTCGTCGAGCCAGAATACTTTGATGCCCATGTCGTAGTAGTTCTGCTTTGCTTTGCTCCAGACGTACTTTCGAGCGGCTGGGTTCGTGGCGTCGAAGTGTGTGATGTCGCCGTCGCATTGCATTGCTACTCGAAGGCCGCGGTCGTGGCGGATGAGGAGGCCTTGTTCGAGCATTTCTGGGAAATTCTCGGATGCGTTTTCAACGGTAGGCCAGATGGAAACCATGAGCTCGACTTTGAGCTCTTTCAGCTCCTTGACCATGGCCTCTGGAATTCGACGTTGTTTGTTAGTGCGTCTTGATATCGAAGCGATTCTAAGAAATATCAAAACTTACCTGGATCAGGCCAGAATTGGGGATCAAAGCTCCATTCTCCTTGATGTTTCCAATGGAAGAAGTCGACGACAATCAAATCCAGAGGAACATTGCGACGCCGGTACTCGCGCGCTACATTGAGTAACTGCTCCTGGTTTGTGTAGCGAAGCTTGCACTGCCAGAAACCAAGACCATACTCTGGCATCATAGGAACATAGCCTGTCACCTTGGCGTAGGCTTCTTCGATTTCCGCAGGGGTGTCACCAGCCACAACCCAGTAGTCCAATGCCTTGGTCGAGTACGCCTCGAAGCTCATGACATTTGTTCCCAGAACTGCCCGTCCTATACCGGGGTTGTTCCACAGGAATCCATAGCCAAGTGATGAAATCGCAAAAGGAACACTGGCCTGGGAGTTACGGTGCGCCAGCTCAAGGTCGGTACCTTTCAGGTTCAGGTATGGTTGCTGATACTGGCCCATGCCAAAGATCTTCTCTTTATGATCAAGAGACTCAAATCGCATGGTGAGATGATAGTCGCCGCCCAGGATTGGACGCAGCTCGCGAGCTTCGACAGTCAACGCGCTGCATTTGGGGTCCATTGGGTCCTGGCGGTGACGGGCATACTCCTCAAGCAGTTTGTTTCCCTTTGCATCGTAGATGATGATCTTGCCCCTGCGTGACACAGTTGCTTTGATCTTACCATTGGTGATAGTCGCTTCTTGGTCAGCGGATATCTCGATGCTTGGGGCTGGGCTGGATGGCTTGGAAGAGAGGGCCCAATCTTCCGTTGGAATTGATGCCTGTCTTGTTGCCCGCACGCGGAAGGCATTTTCGCCCCATGGCTGCACCCAGAGGATGTGGTCGTCGAAACGGAAGACGAGCTTGTCGTCTTCGGCGTAAAGCATTTTGGTACACAAGAGTGTTCGCGGTTGAACCTATTGTTTTTGGAAGCAAACACAATTTGAGGTGATTTGTGCTAGAGAGACGAGCTGTCTAATCCGAAGAATCGGGCATTAAGTATTGAGGGAATGCCATGTACCCCTCACTATGTAGTCGTGATGCTGTGTCATGGCTATTTTCGATGAGAATTACCGCATATCCACTGCAGGAAGTACCAGTAACAACACTCATTTGTGCAAGAGAACTTCTGATAGCTCTGGGAGGTTGAGGTGGAGATGTCTACCTTTAAACGCCTCGAGATCATAGGTAGCATCCGCCATGAGTTTAGCCTAAAGTCGACCTTCCACATAGAGCAAGGATCCAACTCCGTGTCTTCCAAAATAGGAAAGTAGTTTGAACAGGTTCAACATATTGTATAAAAGAGCATCTTGTTTAGTTCATACAATACTCGACGTTGACTCGCAAACAACGGAGTGCAGAGTGTAGAGGTTTGGATATAAATAGATTCCGAGGTACACAAATAGTCCCAACGGCAAATTGGTTTTCATGGACTTATTTAATATGATTGTACTTCTAGATTGTACATAGAATAGTCTTCTACATGGCTTATGCTTTTTTCTACTATTTTTCTGTCTACCTGAAAAACTGACGGTAGGAAAGAACATAGAATTTGAAAGACAACGGGAATATCTGACAAAAATGTCTAGAAAGACCACTATAAATACCATACAAGGTGGTAGAAGCATTATGTCAAGCAGGTAGAGATAATCCAACTTGGTGGGTAGCCCAGGAATGCTCTTCCTTCCAAACGTCCCAAAAACAGAAACCATTTCCAATCAGTCAACACTTTCCAGAATAGTCGAACCGCAAGATTTCTCTTTCTGACTCTTCTACGGCCAAAGTCCCCTCCAATCCCACGGGGATTTTGACCTCTAATATCTTGAAAAAAAATGCGAAGTACAACAATACCTAACCGCGGCATGCATGCTCTGATACCCGAAGGACACTTGCCGGAGGAACAACTGCAGAAATACGAGGGAAAATTTACCAAAGAGAGAACCTCGCCTTTGACTATAAGAGATGTGTGATCGGGAGAAATAGAGATCTACGACCTATGATAGGTCGTGCGGAAGACTGATCATAACACAATCGTCTCAAGCAACTATAAAGCCCTAAATTGCTAAATAATGGCGCGAAACTTGAATCCCTGGCAGCACAAGATGCCTGTACAAATAAGCAGCAAGAAAAGACTGACTACATCACAAACTACCAAGCTGGTAAAGTCTTACGAGCGTTCTATCACAAATATACGCAAGAAAATGCGGTCGTTCAGTGGTTCCAATTCTCGTACTTGGTGCCTGTGTTTTTTCCCCCAACCCTTAAGCAAAAGTAGGCACTAAATTCAAGCAGAAGAGCCTCATTCTGGGGTCTAATCTGATCCAATTCCTCTTCTTACATTCAGTGTCGCCTATTTTCTTCTCGTCGGTAGTCTCCCCCGCCCCACCGACGATCATGCCTTAGCTTCTAGCTTGACGCACTGGGCCTTTCTTAATAGCGATGCCGCTCAATCTAGCATCGAGTTTATGATGCGTCTCATCTAGGTGCAGAGCTACCAAGTTGTTCCAGGCCACAGCGGCATCGTGGATATCTCGTGTCGGTATTCTTGCCTTTGTCCAATGGACCCCCAGCCTCATTCGTATTCATAACATGCCGATATTCGTTCAATGCTGCATGTCCTGTCCACCTCTTCAGAGGGTACATTGCATAGCCCGGGCATCGCAAAATGATTCTCGGTTGCCTGGTCGCGAATAACGTGGGGTCCAGTTGTCGTCAGCGCCGGTCTCGCAGCGTCGGTCTCCCCAATTTCTATAGATCGAGTCGATGATTCTTCAAAAATATAGTCCAATGATATAACTCACTCACTTCTTAAGAACTGCCGAGCTTAGAAGATTTAATCCATATTGCCATGTGATTTGCAAGTACATGATCGATCTCTTGCGCAAAAATGCACCATAAATAGGCAATTACATTACTGATGCTGTGAGACGTCGTTGTTGGTATCCGTCTCCTGTAGTCATCATGCCTAGATCCTCTTGTCAGGAATGAGATGGTAGAGTAAGCGAAAGATACATCAAATTCACGCAACTATCGACTGCAGGGCTTCTTGTAAATTCACAGCGAGACATATAGACCCACCCGGTGACGGAGTGGCCGATGGCCCTATAGCGGATTAGGCATCAATTATATAGAAACCGGGTCATCTGCCAGTGTCTCGCTTTAGTTAAGTATATATACAGGATGCTCTGACTCTGGATTCCACCGATAATTCCACTACAACACCCACGTGTTCTTCATATTCATCGTCAGAGAGCCACCAAAATGATTTGGGCCATTGTATGCTCAATTAGTTTTCTGCTCATCAGCCTCGGGGAAACGGCAATCGTCCGTCTCCCTTCAAGCACCGGACCATGCGATGTCACGCTTCATGCAAGTGAACTAGTTGACATGTCTCGAACCGATCCCTATGACCCAAAAGGAGGTCAACGTTCTATCATGGTCACCACCTTTACACCCATCAATTGCGGAACTGTACCCTCGACATCTTATATCCCGAATGCAACAGCGAGGTACGAAGATGAGACTTACCAGTCTTTTGGAATACCTCCTGGAACGTTCGAATCCTTTCGTATCCAGACTCAGACACAGCAACAGCCACCGCCTTCCAGATCCCACGGAAATTACCCAGTAGTGCTATTCTCACCGGCACTGGCAACCTCAAGATTGATGTACACATTACTGCTTCAAGAAATTGCGAGTAACGGATTTGCTGTTGTCTCCGTCGACCACCCATATGATGCTAACATCGTGGAATATCCCGATGGCCGCACGGTTCTCGGCATACCCCAAGACATCGTTACCGAGTCTGTCAACGTTCGTGTCAAGGATATGTTATTTTTACTTGATCAAATGCACGACGAAAAAGTAATCAAAAACCTATTTCCTTTGTCACGGGGAGATTCGCACCTACTCTCTCTTGATCGAGTAACGATCCTTGGTCATTCCCTTGGTGGAGCAACAGCAGCGCAGGCAATACTCGTTGACAATCGGTTTGCCGGGGGTATCAATCTAGATGGTGGATTATGGGGGCCTGTCGTGGACAAAGGACTATCGAGTCCGTTCCTGCTTTTCGGTCGCTCAAACCACACCCACGCAACAGATTCCAGCTGGGCAACATTTTGGTCACATTCAAGGGGATGGAAACTTGAACTACAGCTCGCACAGTCCGAACACTATACTTTCTCTGACTTCCCAGTGCTTGTTGATGCTCTGAGTGTTTCGGACGAAGCTCGACAAATTATTCAGGCCGAGCGTATTGGGACGATAGGTGGTTTGCGGGCTAGGGATGTGATTACTTCATACATCGTGGCCACACTGCAATATTTCGTTTATGGGCAGACGTCAGAACTGCTGAGCGGCCCTTCCGCAGCATATCCCGAGGTGAAATGTGTGTCTTGCTAATCAGTTTATATGATTGGTAATTATTTGAGATTGACTCAATGTATACGAGAGTAGACGACCTCTTATGGCCTTATAATGCCTTTTCAGCGAGCTTTTCAGTAGGCTTCTCAGTAGGCTTCTCAGTTATCCTTTTCAAATATCTTGTCGAACAACCATGGCCGATAGTCCCTCGCCCTTTCTACCACTAAAGAAGTCTTGCCGTTGCAGGGCCGGTTGAAATACTGCTGTGCTCTGTTGGACTTCAGCATGCAATGGTGAATATATTAGATACACACCCTCATTATTATATAGCTTCTACCTACTAGAGTTGACTTCGAGTACCATACGTCTTGATTTTTTCTTGAGCCTATATCTTTTCTATTGCTATTAGTAGTTACTGCGTCACTCTATCAAATGATGGATTTGATTCCTATTGAAACCCTACTTTTTAAAATTTTAAAAACCTATCATTTGATTAAATGAAGGCTAAATAAATTGAGCTTGTATTAGTGGAGTGATAGGGTAGTTGTTGCAAACCGCCTTAGAGTCATACGATATATGGATTTGTATGGCAGAAAGAAACTCATATTCGCAGGCTAGACGCTCTCTGGGACAGCTATTCAGGCACTTGAGTGCCTCTGTAATCGTTGTTTAAATGTCTTGATCCTTCTGTTATACTCCATAAGCTGAGATACTTTGATGATAAAGGTGTGTGAAAGGCCAGGGTTACCATTGCTGTTCTTTGTATGTTCTTTGTTCAGATATCAACCATTGAAGCAAATAGCCCTTCCCAATTCGTCCTTAGACGTTCTCAACACGAAGCCTCTAAGACGCGGGAGGTTGATATGACTGATGTTCCCCGGAAAAAGGACGCTATTCCTTATCAGGACGGAGAGTCAAGCTACCGCGGGCACGGTTTTCACCTTACATTGCTCAGTCCTATTCCCTCAATTGTCAATTCCATTCAAACTGTTGGCTGATACCTAATTTGGACCTTCGATTCATCCAGAACAGCCCGAATCATGGCATTCAGCGGTGCCACCACAGCTCCTACCGCGGACATGGACATCGACATGGACCTTGACCTCGGACCAGAGCCCGAGCCCGAGCCCGAATCAATTCAGGTGGTGAGTACTTTCTTTTGTCTGTATATTTCTAATTGATTGCTGACTTACATGTGTCGAGTGATAGGAAACAACCACGAATGTAGAAACCACTATCGACCCCCTCACCGATGAAGCGGTTTACGAAAAAGTGCATGTTCGCGGCGTCGATGAAATGACCACAGACAATATCAAGCAATTTGCTCGCGACTGCTCTGGGCAGGAACCAGTGCGTGTTGAATGGATCGACGACACATCCGCCAATATCATCTTCTCTTCCGCCGAAATCGGCCTCCAAGCTCTCACAGCTCTCACTCAAGTCCCCGAGGAAGAGGACGCGTCTACCTTGCCACCTCTGCGTCTCCGATCAGCGAAGATCCTCTCATCTCACCCTGATTCCGTCCTCCAAGTGCGATCGGCTGTCAAGTCAGACCGCAAGCAACCACGCGCCCATGAGAAGAGTCGCTTTTACCTTATGCACCCCGAGCACGATCCCCGAGAACGCCTGCGACAAGAATTTGCAGACCGGAGAAATAGCGATGATGCAGGCGATGGGGATTATAGGCGGCGCAGATTCGACAACCGGGAGCACCGACGCCGCCGAGACCGTGACGAGGACGACCACTTCAATGCCGACATGTATGGCGATAATGTTGGCACTGAACCCGAGCGCGCTCGGCCACAACCTAGAGGTCGTGGTCAGAGGGACCTGTTCCCGGAGGATGAGGGCCGATCAAGTGGACGGCTCCGGAATCGCAGTGCGTCTCCAGGACGAGACACGCTGGAGGAAGAACTTCGAGCCGAGCGAGGTGGTCGTGAGAATACCAGGCGATTCCGTGAGCGGTCGCCCCGACACAGTCGTAGAAATAAGGACAAAGAACTTTTCTCAAGCGCGGGTGCAGGCGAGAGCGCGTCAGGAAACCGCGAGCTTTTCCCAAACAAGCCGACATCCAGCTACATCAAGAAGGAGTTGTTACCCAGCAAGCCTAGTCACCATCGTCGATCAGACGCATTCGACGCTTCTACTGCCCCAGGCACCTCTGAACACAGACGTCACAGCAATATTGAACTCTTCCCTGATTCCACCAACAATGGCGCCCGCATTCGTGGAGCAGCCACAGCCACCGAGGACCAAGGATTTGCCATCCGGGGTGGCGCGTCGAATGGCATGTCGATTAAAGGCAGGGGCGCATCGGTGCGCGAGCTGTTTCCTTCCAAGTACGACAATGTCTCCGACAATCACACCAACGCTGGCGCGAACGCTGGCAAGGAATTGTTTTCTGATACACTAGAAGGACGCGGTGGTCGTAGGCGTCGGGCAGAGGATATGTTCAGCTGAATAGACTTGGTGATATGTCGAGAACTGTGCATTTGCTTGATTGTTAGGGGGTTCATGGGAGCATGATGGATATCCGGCGTTTGCGATTGGGATGGGGAAGTCGATTGTCTGATAAAATTTTCATAATTATATATACTCTGCTCTGCTGGTGGAACACCTGCATTCTTCCGTAAAATCCGAATAATAAATTAACATAAGATGTCAACCAACCCAACATTCGTGTATCAGTTCACGGGTGTCGTGCGCCGCGACTGACCTCTCCCTAACCAAAACCTCTCTGAGGCATCAGATGCAAGCATGCCTCCTTCCAAGACAATAGATGCACTATCAAGTGCTATGGTTGCTCGGTTCCTTCGCAGCAATGACTATTCCGAGACACTCAAGGCTTTTCTCCGCGAGGCTGATCTTGCTCCCGACGTGGGGCAGACCTCGGGCGACGACACCAACAATTGGACCATCCAAAGCTTGCTCGAGGAAAAGCACACCTATGACCAAACGGTGGATTTTGAAAGATATGGGAAGGGTCCTCAACAGTCGGACTTATGGAGCGAGCCAGGTGAGTTCTATTTTGGCATGGCAATCAAAAGTCGTTGGGACTCAGCTTCACATGTCAAACTTCATTTGCGGTTGCTTTTGTTTTGTTATCTGACAGACCTTTAGCACCATCAAAACCTGCTCTCGTCCAGACACCGACATCATCGAATATCCTTTCTGCGTCGGTAGAGCAATGGCAGAAACCCTGCGAAGATGTCGATGAAGCTGCAACAGCGCAGTTTTATATCGTCTCCACAAGTGCAGACAAACAGGTCCATTTACTCGAAACAGAAGAGGGCAATGCATCGATCAAATCATTCTCGGGTCTCTCTGCTACGCCCGTTCTGTCATTTGTCTCAATCCTCCAGGGCCGGTACATCCTCATGAGCAACATGGCCGGCCAGCTGATCCTCCAGCATGGATCTCAAACGCTCGACAGCAGAAAGGATCACGCAAAGTACTCGGTGAAGGTAGTAGCCTACGAAGACAAGACAGATCCTTCCAAATGGTGGGTTGCCACCGCCGGATGGGACCAGTCCGTCAATTTGTATTGCCTCAATATCCCCGACGAAGCAAACGCCCCATCTCTCAAGATCGGTGAACCCGTGGCACTCATTAAACTCGATTCAAACCCGGAATCACTGCTGTTCGTCCCACACGTGGACACCAACGAGCTGCTCCTTCTCGTCTCGCGCAGAGACTCGACTTATATCTACTACTACAAGGTAGAAAAAGTATCGGAAGCTCGCCTCCTTGGACACCAGAACCTGGCTCCCCATTCCAATGCCTGGATTGCATTCTCGCTGTGCGATATGGCGCTCAGCCCGCATGACCCGGGTCTCCTGGCCGTAGCGACGTCGTCATTGCCCCATATGAAAGTGATCATAGTGCGCCTGTTATTCCCCAGGATGGAAGTAACACCCGCTTCAGAGGATCCAGTGACACAGGCGTCTCAAGCAATGGAAACACTGGAATTACAGAACCGTGAGGATGCTGCTATCCTTGTGCAGGCAAACACTTTTGCGCCGCAGACCGATTACTCCACACCCCAGTTAGCATGGCGGCCTAATGGGTCTGGAATTTGGGTTAATGGAGATGATGGTGTAGTTCGTGGTATCGAGACAAAGACAGGGAAGGTCATTGCTACTTTGAAGGGTGGCCATGAAGCGGGCTTTAAGGTGAGGACTGTTTGGTCGGGGTATGTCGATGTACCCCAGAAAGAGGGTGACCCGGTCCGAGAAGAATGGGTTCTTAGTGGTGGATTTGATAAAAAGTTGATTTTGTGGAAGGTATGACCTCTGTAACTATACTCAACAAGAATATATAATTGGCTGCCTATGTTTCAGATGGTCTTTCAAGCAGTCTTGTCGAATAAATATCTCTTCTCTTTGCTAGCGCTATGTATAGTAATAATAGGATGAGTTTACTTAAATCGTAGGATATAAGTATAAGCGTCAGAAACAGCGTTTCCATGTATAGCAGCTGATAGCTGGTGCTTTGACGCTCCTAGATATAATACTTTAACGTGAGACATCATGGATGTGGGTGAAAGAGAAGTAGATGTAAATGGATTGATTCGACCATGGCTAGGTATAAAACTGACTGTTACTGTTTACGGGATGTAGGCCCCCTGACTATGAACCCTGTCACGATCGAGAAGAATCAAGACAGGATATATAGCAATCGGAGACTTGGGGGTTATTCTTGGCACGTTAAGAAAAATCCTTCAGCAATCGCGCATGAGAAGAGCACGCAGCTGTACACACATATGCCGGACGGAACTGGGAAAATGGGGGAAGAGAGACTAAGCTCAAGGGCCACAACACAGACCTAAGTCGAGCCCTTGAGTCTGGAAGGAAAAGAAGAGGAATATAGCAGAAGAGACTCCGCTTGGGAAAATGGCACCGCTGTGCACATCCAATTAAGCCTGTTGATTTCTTGATATCAAGCAACTCGAGACTCGTCGCGCAAGGAATGAGCAGACACCAGGCCTTTTCGACACAGCGGACCGTCCTTGATCGTAGCACACGTTATGTTCTCTGGACCTCTTGCACGCTCGAGTTGCATTTCATGTTTCCCATTTTTTTAGACTGAGTTCATAATCTATGCGACCTCACGCTTGCCCTCCTTGCGCTCCTTCTGTTCAATGGGTCAGTATTCCGTGTCATGGGTGGTGGGTGTTGGGTTCGGGTTGTGGTAAAACGTACAAGGGCCTTCATGGTGCCGTGGAGAGCGTGACGGTGGTTGCGGCGGAACTTGGGGTCAACACCCTTGAGGGAAGGGTAACGGTTGGTCTTGGGCTTCTTGATACTGTTCGGTGAGATATATCAGCGATTCGGTTCTGGTTGAGATGGCGTGACGGATGGTGGTCGAATGCAGTAGTTCGAAGAGATTGTCCGAGCGAATATTTAAGTTGTGACCTCAAATTTATCACACCGGATAAAATCGTTCACACACAAGCGTTCTTCCACCATATTCATTGAATCGATTGAAAATGTCGGACAAGTGCAACGGTAGGGAGTTCGAGAATAATCAAGGGTGGACGTACCCGTTACGGTGAGCCTTCTGGCTGTTGTGGTGCTGAGACGCGTTCTTGGACTCTGTGGGTGAAAATCATGTCAGCGCCATCGCCTTTTTTTTTTCCTTTTTCAGTTGCAAAAGAGCAAAGGTCATGGGGTCGTGGTAAAAACGTACTGGCCATCTTGTCGGATGTTGTCGCTGATTGACGGTATGATGGATGGAGAGGAGTGGGAATAGGGACGTCAGGCCTTGGACGCTCGGCTAGGGCTCGTCCGTTTGTGGGATCTCGCTTATCGGGCGGTGTACATACTAGAGCATCACTAGATGGCTTGTTACTTGTAAGATTGTCCTAGGCAACGTCATAATATTTCGATATGGTGTTGTAATTCTATTGAATTTCAATAGGCTGTTCTAGATAATCCAAAACTTGAGTCTTCATAGTTTGCTTTGGGTAGTCCTTCAGCCCACGACTTTTTTTCCCACTTGGTTCTGCCACTCATATACACGTGATATAGCTTTTTAGCTATACCACGTGACTGATATACTTCCCCATATGCAGTCAAGTATATTTTACTCCGTACTGTCTGCGGATATCGGAGAATGCTTTATTTCAGATGCTACATAAAGCAGTAAATACAGTGCCCATGTTCAATGCATTGTGCCCGATAATCAGCGAGAATTCTCGGATCAACTTCTTCTCGGCAAAACTTCACCTTTGGATTCAGACCTCAGGCATAAAATCAGATTTTAAAAAAACCAATGGTCAAGGACCTAGACCATCAATTGAAATAATATGCTTGCACCATGTATTTTCATAAAATGTGCATATAGTGACCTTAGTAAACACAGGTCATGCTGGCCATAGTTCAGCCGTTGAATTCCCGTGCCACGTGACTAGCCGCTAGGGAACAACCGGCATTCCGACTTCGACCTTTGCAACGCAACTTCAAGAAGGATAATCCAGCCTTTGCACGTCATCCACCACTGCAAAATGAGCTCCTTCCGCTTCGCTCGCTCCGCCCTCCGGGCTCGCCCTTCTTTCCTCGGTGCTCCCGTCCAGCGCCGTGGTTACGCTGAGGCCGTCGCCGACAAGATCAAGCTGTCCCTGACTCTGCCTCACAAGGTGCGTGAACGAAGTCCGGCCGGTATCCCAACATCATAGCCTTAGTACTGACTTGACAATCGCTTGACAGACCATCTACCGCTCGACTGGCGTGTATGTTATGCTTCCACCTGGTCCACGTCGACGGTGCCTGCGCCCTTTCTCAAATACTGACCAACATTCGCGATCACAGTACCCAGGTCAACATTCCCGCCGCCTCCGGTGAGATGGGTGTCCTCGCCAACCACGTTCCCTCCATCGAGCAGCTCAAGCCCGGTCTCGTCGAGATCATTGAGGAGAGCGGCGCCACCAAGCAGTACTTCCGTACGTCCGATTCCGCCCTAAGGCATCCCGCAAATCTGGTCTTGTGTCAATTGGAATCAACCGACTAACGAAACTGTTGCTGTATAGTGTCCGGTGGCTTTGCCGTTGTCCAGCCCGACTCCCAGCTCAGCATCAACGCTGTCGAGGGTTTCGCCCTTGAGGATTTCAGCGCCGATGTAGGTTATAATCTTCGCGACGTCTTGACTTGAGCTAACCGAAATTTCTCTGTTAGTCTATCCGCGCCCAGATCGCCGAGTCCCAGAAGATTGCCAGCGGCAGCGGCAGCGAGCAGGATATCGCCGAGGCCAAGATTGAGCTTGAGGTATGAACCCGCGGTGACAAGGACTACTGGACTGACTGAACACTAACCTTTTTCGACAGGTTCTTGAGACCCTGCAGGCTCACGTCAAATAGATTTGATGTACATAACCATTATCGCCCCAACCATGAACTTGTAGAATTATAGCAATTCTCCGTTTCCCTCTAATTATACTTGCTAATCACATGGTTTCTTCCCCCTACATTCTACAAGAATAGTGGCGCGACTTTGTGATGTCTTCTCAGTGGTCTGTCAATATTCTGTTTAGATGTCTTTCTCAAAATATCCCCTAGAGGCTTTATCCGTGAAGACGACTTTTCCATGTATCAAGTGGGATATGGCCAAGGTGGGAGCGCACCTTCCGAGTTTGGAATTTGAGCAGGTGACTCGCAGCTTTCATCCCCAACAGCCATCAATCATTCAATCTTCGCCTTCAGCTAATCGTGCAGATATGGGACTCGTCAAATCTCTAAAGTCAGACCCTCTCGGTGTCCTGGATACTCGACTGGAGATGACAGACCCTCCTACAGATGGCTTCTTTTCGCCTTTCGTGCCATCGCCATTCACCGGATTTGATCGAACCAACGAAAAACGACCAGGCAGCCAGGCAGAAAATAGCTTCTTTTCATCATTTTTTGCGCCATCGCCATTCATCGCATTTGATCAAACTGAGAGAATACAGCCAGACGGCCAGATGAAGGTAAAAGCAAGCGCAAAGCAAGCTCACCGTGGCTTCGATTCCAGCCACCAATGTCCTCGATCTGAGTTGGATGTTGGAGTGGATAAGTACCACACTCTTGATGGTCTCACCGAGCCTTTGAATCCCCAAAATACACCAGCATCAAATAGTGAACGAGAGAGCATGGAGGTATAGACCGAGTCCCTTTCCTACTATAAAATGGAGAACTTACAGATGTGCTCCTCACTTTAGATGGAGGACTTCGATTTCGATTGCTTCCAAGTTTCGCCAGATGCAAGCTTGGTTCTTCAAGACGATGGAAGCGAATCTCCCAAGTCCTCAAAGTTGCGACACCTTTATGTTGGCCGTCGACAGTGGATCAAGTCTCCTGCTGCTGCTCTGGCAAATCATCACCCAGGCGTAAATGCCAGTAACTTCGAGGAATGTGACATGTCAGGTTCACCGCAGCGAAATGTTCGATTCTCTCATCCTGCGGACTCGCTATCTTCATCTTCTTTGGCGACACATCGCCCATTACCTTCCATTGAAAGAAGGGAAGATTATATTGCTTTGCATCGACAGAAGAAACAATACCGGAAATGGAAGCTCACTCGTCACGTCGACTCTCAAAAATGTTCACCATACAACATCGACACAAAACCAAGACAGTCTCTGGCAGCCCGTATTCCAAAGAACCATGATATGCGTGTATCCTCCCTTTCCAGCTTACCATATTGTGGTGGAACACGTCGAACATCGTTCTTCAGTCATGTTGGCTCAGGTGATGGTGCCCGGGAAGTGAGAGCTGGCAAGGAAGCCAGCAATGTGGGCGACACTCCTGTTGCAGATGCGTCAAAAATTGCGGGTAAAACCAAGCAGCACGCTCCCGCATTTGTTGCTGTTTCAATTTCGCTTTACAGAACCCGATCTGCGCTGAGTTCATCCACTAAGAAATCACGGAGGTACTCTTTCAAATATCAGATCACTCCAACTGATCTCCCTCAACAACCTTCTCCGCATCTCCCTATCGAAGTCGAACGCACCGCTTGCCACCCGGTCATTGATGACTTGCTGCTTCACACATGCTTTATTTGTCCTGCGCCGGCTGTGATGCTACTTTTTCGTGTTGTTTGCGCTGCAACATATCCATTGACCAACACCCGAGCCGGCGCTGTAATGCTCTACCTTGCCAGACTTTCCCTTTATCTACTGATGAAAATTGTCTTTTTTGTGCTGTCCAAATGCGGAATGCCCTGCCGCTGTCAGTGGACTTCGGACACTGGCTATTCGAATTGAATAGCTCCGGGCGCTGAGCAATTGAGGTTGAACAAGATCGAGATGACATGCGGACCAGTGAATTTCCCTCGTATTTTTGCTGAAGACAATTTCTATGCAGTATGTTCTACGAGTATCTTCTTGTGCCGCGCAAACATGTTTAGTCTGGGTCTATTTGATCCATTGTTGTAGCTAAAACCCCAGCCTTGAGTATGCATTCATCAGAGATTGATAGTGAAACAATCTCTACTCTATCCCATGCCTCTTCATGTAGACATCATATCAAGCGTAGAGCGAAGCCTAGAGCTAATGGTCTCCGCTATACTCTATTCCCCCTTGGTTTTACTTCTACTGAAACTGGATATTTCCACAATGAATGTCAGGATATGATAGTGACCTTGGCGTGTGAGCGTGTACTAGCTGAGGTCAACTGAATGACACCCCTCTCATTCGTGCCTAACAACTCTTCAACCTTCGCGGCTCAGCACAAAATGCGTTTCTCACATCGGTTCCGCGAAATAAAAGGCGCGGGAGCGACTAGCTTCAAGAAAATCCTACAATCACGGTCAGCATTAACAGACAATGTCCAAAGTAACGATGAAAACAATGAATATACCCCACAAATCGAAGAGAAGCCCAGTGCCCAGCCTCCGTCAAACAGTCTTCAAGCCACATTAGAGAAGCCAAGCGATCTCTGGGGCCGCGCAGAAAAGGCTCTGCGAGAGAATTCCAATGACGAGACGAGAAAGGTCATGAAGACATATGTGTCGATTCTAGAATCAGAGCTGGCGTTTGCGATGGCGGGGATGGCATCTTCTGATCGCTAGAAGCCGCTGTCTGATTTCACCATCAGTAGAATCCAACAGTAGACGAACACAAGGCATTGCTTTCTGGCTTTGACTATACGTCGAAATTGATCTGCCAATTCAATGTGATTGAGAAGTTGTACACGTCGCGCAAAGATGTTGTTCTTGCTGGCGCGGATAATGCCAGCAAATTTGCGACGGAGTTTGAAGCCAGTATGTTGCATCTCTACTCAGGAGTGCTGGAGTTCCAAGCTCGAACTTTGTGTCATCTTGCTAGACACCCCATCAGGAAGAGATTCAAAGAAACTTTCGAGGGTTTGTGTCCTAGACGCTCTAGATGAGTGCGAGGAGGGTGAACGTTCTCAACTTGCTCAAGCTTTGAACATATTCTATAACCAGGGGGACAATAACTCATGATTGAAATTCCCAGTCACGAGCCGGCCATACACTCATATACAACGCGAATCTCAGTATCTGAAGAACCGTGCTCCAGAAATCACCTAAGCGGCGAAGACGATATTGGGACAGAGAAGATATCCAATGAGACCAACTTAGTTATCCAGGCCCGCGTGAGGAACTGGGAGATCGTCGGCAGCTTGACAGCCACGAACGAGCGTCTCTTCGCAATAAGCTTCAGCTCTTTCCAAATCGGACGTATCTCTGGGTTACTCTCATCTTTGATGTGATTGACAACAGCATCAGCTACACGAATAACTTCTTGGCTATGATCATTCCTATCTGGGCGCTAAACAAATCTCCATGCAAGTATCTTTCCTAATATGGTAGCCGATAAAATTGTATGAATAGCTACTGCAATATCTGCTCTTCTTCTTCTCTTCGAGCTCCACACAATGAGCCGCATCTAAATGAACAATGGGGGCGATGGCAAGCTTCAGGCCCCCAGTTCTGGGAAACCCCTATCGATTATAATCTACCCATCGGCGAACGCTTTGCGCATGCAGCTATAAAGATTTTGACCTCAATGGCCGACCAGGTTGAGCTCAGTGTTTGGACTTCCCCGAAGTTATGATGCTGCATGTTATAGGACATGTGACCGAAAACCCGAACTGGGAGCACGATGTCGTTGACGAAATCGTCACCCAGTAGTATACTGATACTCTGTCTACTTGAAAACGGAACAATCTTCTAAACTGGACTGGGATGTCTACATCGATATGGTCCTTGTGGCTCCCCATATGTGGGAATAATCATGATCCTAATTTGTGGCGCAAGAAGTCTTGGCAATACTGATCAGCTTACCCTTTAAATGGACATTTTTAACAAGAAGCTACCTCGAAAAATTATACATCGGATTGTACATCTCGGATTCAGTATTCTTGCCCTCGTCTCTTTGCTACTTAATGCCATTTCTGGCGTATTATTCTCCATGGCGGTTTGGCCGAGTGGTCTAAGGCGATTGACTAGAAATCAATTCTCTTCGGAGGCGCATGTTCGAATCATGCAGCCGTCGTTCTTTTTTTGTTGTTTTGTTAACATTTGCAATACAAAAGGCGAGATTGAACGACAATGCTTGGTTGGTATCTTAGGGCAGAAGCTGGGCTGTGTCAGTGCTGCTTCCATGGAATCTTTTACTTCCCATCTCATGCTGGTTGAAAAAAAAATTGGTGGATTTTTCAGGATTTTTCATTCTTTTCCCCAGGCTTTGCTGCGGAGCAGCTTGATGCCACACCACTAATATCATTCTGGAGACTGTAAAGAAATATTGTAAGTCTTCCATCATTCTAGTGTTGCAGCAAGGAAAGTAGAAGATGTGCAGCCCGGAAACATAATTTCGATCGAGCAACTTTCTTTATATATAACTAGGGATCTTAGTCCTGTACCATATAAGGGTATTGGCTAGGTAGCTGAAGTAAGACCAAAGCACGCACTCATGTCATGGCTAAGAGTGGGCTGGGATTCATGAACTGGGGAGAAATTGAAGAGATAGTCCCAGCAAAAGTGTGATATTGAGAGGCGTACATTATCACCAGAACATTGCTTTTGCTGCTCCCGTTGTCATGGCAGTCCTCCATACTGTAAAGGCACCATCGACTTTGCCTTCATACGAGACACCATTGGTGTAAGTGTCGAATTGCGTAGACACGCTAAATGATACACGATTATGATAAGACGTGTAACAGGAAGGCGAGAAAATGTAAGAGCATCAGTAAGGTTATAGCGTGTGGTAGAAATCGAATTTATTCTTATGATTGATTACATCCATTCTATACTATATAGGTTCGAAAGGCTAGATCCATCTATCGAGGGAACTTCTTCATTTACAATAGAATTATCAAAGGCCAAAGATACTACTTATCAAAGTCTGACCTTTGGAAAGGCTACCAATAAGAAGTATGCAATTGCCGTGGCTAAACAATATTCAGTGGAGCCCTTGACCTTGAACTAAGCCTAGTCAGCCTGATGAGTAGTTCCGCCTATATAAATCCATTAGCGGTCTTAAACCATGTAGTATCATTCGGCTATTCACGAAGCGCTCGCCAAGATATTACAGCGCTTCAACTTCATTGAGTCCAAGTTTGGTCCAGCGCAAAAGTAAATCTTCAAAGCTCTCTGGTAGGGCAATCGGTATCTTCATCGCAGAGGGGGAATCGGGAGAATCTTCTTTGGCTTCGTGATCAGACTTGTCAGATGTTTTCCGCGATTGTACAAAATCTTGTAATCGAGGATCTAAGAAAAATATGGTTAGAGGTTCTAACAACAGGTCTTGACATCCAACCTATTCTTGATTGAGGGGGTAATTATAGCAAAACTCACCAAACTTTGGTCTGCTCGAGGGTGATGCAGGCGAATAAGATGGCGAAGTAGGAGAGAAAGACGGCGAAGTGGGAGAGAAGGATGGCGATATAGGAGAATAAGCAGGCGAGGCAGGGGAATACGTAGGCGAGGCAGGGGAATACGCAGGCGAGGCAGGGGAGTAAGCTGCAGGTGAATGGAGTGCAGAAGACTGATCAGGCTCCCAGATAGGATCAGGCAACGGTGTGCCAATGGCATTGCTCGCTCGATCTACACTTGCAGGCGCGGCTTCCAGGTGATGCGTTTCGACTGCTAGCCGGGCCCGAGAATAGTCATAGCCATGATGAACTGGTCTTTGATTCGGGGAGGCGGCGTTGGTGAGTGTTTGGGACTCATTCGGCGCAATCGGTGGACTGGGCTTGTGTTCGAGAACCTCTGTGCGCTTATAGCCAGAGTCACCAGAAGCGTTTTTCTCATCAGAGAAATATTGAGCCTTCTGCTTCCGCCTACTTATGAGTAAATCGGGCTCCTTACAGGAGATACAATCCGGGTTTGGAATGTTCTTCTTGCCGGAGTCTCGGATGCTTTCTGTAGGATATGTCTCGACAGAAGCGACTTTAAGCGTCGTTTGTCGGGAGATTGGTGTAAGAGGATCGAGGTTGGGTGAAGGAAGGTTGGAAAAGATCCCTCGCACAAATAGCTTCAATGGAGCGCCAGGGGCTGATTTTATCGAACAATAAGACGTCAGATCGGTATCACTCATGGGTTCTTCGTTTTTGGGTTGACCAGGCTCAGCGAGGAAGATTTGCGCACTAACCCAGTCGGAAATCCCAAGATTCTGACAGATCATTGCACGTAAAGCCTCAACCGAAGGGAGGTCGGATATCTCAACTAGACGGAAATTTAAGCCATCTGTGGTCACAAAAACCCACTTCATTGACTTTGCCGCCGATGATGCGATAGGTGTTGAGATCAGATGCTGTGTTTGATGCTGGGTTGCAGTTTGTGATGAAACTTTCTTTGGCGCCGGTTTATCAACATGATCCGAAGTGTGAGCTGTTGGAATTTTCGATTCATCTTCCTCGCTACTATTAAAATTAGCCTATTCCTCCATCATATAAGTGCCGAGATATAGATAGCAACACATACACTAGCAGTGATTTGTCGAAACGATGGAGAACAGAATGACCATGAGTGAGTTGAAATCGAATGATTTCGTTGTCATGTATGCTCAAAACACCTTTCCTTATCCTTGAACAGCGGCTGTCCTCGAGTTTTGATTTGCAGGATTCAATTTCTTGCAGCATTTTGTAGATCAAGGCATTGTACTCATTTACCTCGGTGAACTCGCCTTCATGGGCATTGTCTGTCATTTTTGAGTCAAGTATCTGCTGAGCCTGTTGATAGGTCGGTAGAGAGCTGTTTCCACGATCTTTTTCAATTTGTTTTTCTTGTAACAGTGTTTCTATCAAAGCACGTTGCTCTTGGTCATTCGGCAGATCGTGGCTATCATTGATTTAGAAATAGCTTGTCTAGGATTCAAGTTTGAACTCACTTGCGAACCTTCCCAGCAAACATAATGACATTGAGCAGGAGGAGCATTGTTGACCTGAGCCTGTCTAAGTCGGCTTTCAAGGGATCCAGGCTCGGTTCTAGCAGAACTAGCTTAAATTTCCCCGTGACTTGTTGTAGCCGGGTTTTGCTAGACTGATCATTCATATCGACAACTTTTCCAATTTGTCGAAGCACACCGCGACACTGCACTAAAACACATTGCAGGGTTTGAAATGCCTCATCCGAGCAAAGCTCAGATGCTTTCTCTCCTTTCAAATTATCACCTAGCTCACGCAAAATGGCACTGACAAGTGCGACTTCGTTTGACAAGAGCTGTATAGTTTCGTTGGCATTTTTTATTCGTCGGTAAAATGAGAATAACTTGACGGATAGAGAAGTGCCCAGGTCTGCGACCTGTATGATACTGGCTGCAATACCGATGATCTCAATGCCAGACATGGTATACCTAGGAGATGAAGAAAATCCCAAGAGAGGCGGTTGATTGGACTTGGCGCATTAGCGCAGTGTTAGCGCGTCAAACCACGTGAGGGCATCTTGATGTAGTGGCAGCCAATGCTTTAGATAAACTATCCTCTGGATGAGGCCCTAGGAATGTACATCTGGCGGAAAGGGTGAGTTGTTTCTTGTCTATAACATCGAACCAGTCTCATCCTGATCAATATGAATTAGGCCATGCCCCCGCTCATTATTCTACATTGTATAACCTCTGTCGTTAGAAATTGGATTCGAGTATCATTTTATCATCTTTACTTATAATTTAATGCAAGGAGGTTTACCGGGACAGAATAATGTTCTGTATTAATCGAATTTTGGAATCTCAGCTTGCATCACTGCTCGACAAAGTCCAAGCCGAAGCAAAAGAATAGGATAGACAACCAATACCAAGAGAAGGTATATTGCCACAAAGATGAAAACAAGAAGACCAGCAAGAAAAGCCAACCAACAACCCAATAAAGATCCGTTAAATCGCTGGCATCATGAAAGAAGACTTGAGAAAGGGAAAGCTAGCTAAAAGATTCATTTCGTCGCCCGAAAAGCACATGCAAGATAGAAAAGAATCACATCAAAAAGACATAGCACCGTGACAAGGGGGATCATTGATATCAACACGGCTCTGAGGCACATAACTCGTTTTGTACATGTCGTAAGCTGGGTCATGGTAGACACAGGAGAAAGGGAAAAGCGGAGGATGCTGGAGGGTACCAAGAGAGCGATCAAGTGAACTCTACGCCATGTTGTTGCTGCTTTTCTTGTTTGCTCCGAGCTCGTTCAGCACGTCTGCGACGACGATTGTTCGCGTACGAACCACTCATCTCAGTACCGGTATATGTAGGCGAGGTGATACTACCTGGCCCGTATGGAATTGTGGAAGGGGCAGGAATGGGAGGTGGTGGCGGCATTTGACTAACTTGGGATGGCGGTGCGGCCCATGAAGATGCAGGCATGCTGCCTGACGGTGCCATAGATGTCTGCGGAGGGGGAAGATGACCAGCCGCAGCAGCAGCAGCCTGTTCACGTCGCATTTGCTCGTCTTGTCGACGCTCAAGCTCTTCGACGCGACGCCAGCGGTCTTGACTAGCGTCTTCGTGTCCGGACAAGGAACCTGCACTACTGTTGCGACGTCGGGAGTTTCTTCGCTCTCTGCGACGGGCCTCACGGCTCGCGGCCGCTTCTTCTTCGGTCAGCCGACGGAGTGTCACATGTCGTCCGTCATTGTGCATTTTAACTTTCACAGATACCGGTGGGGAGGCAACGTCGTCTTCTCTGCGCCGGCTGCTGCTCCGGTTGCGACGAGAGGCAGCATCCAATGCAGCGCCAGCGGCCGCACCTGATGCAAACTCTGCTCCATCATGGGCGAGGGAGTGACGTGAGTGAGGAGCTTCAGACCTCAAGTCGCCAGAAAGCTGTTGGTGGCTCGGGGGCATAGGAGGCATATCTGATATAACGCTCTGGACGGCACCAGACGCACGGGGCTCTGCAGTAAGAAGAGATTCGCCATGTGATGCGTGACGAGGCGGAGGAGGACGGGATAGGTCGGTTTCAGTGAGATCAGTTTCAGTGTAAGAACTAGCCCTTCTTCGTGGGTAGAAACTCTCTCCCGCCTGCGGTCGTCGTCTACTATTTGCTCTCTGCAGCGCCTCATCTTCGTCTTCTCGGCGCCTGATATCCTCCAACCGTCGTTTCTCTTCATCGTCCTTCTTACCACGGCTGAACAGTCGCTTCACGGCAGCAAAAGCACCGGCACCTAGAACAGCGTTTCTAACCCCATGAGAAGCACTTCGCTTGGGCGGCTCGGTGAAATATGTGCTGTTGTAATAGTAAGACGACCCTGGGCTTTGGGACCTGCTTGGTGCACGGCTTGGTGGCCGATTGAGGGGCGTGTGATGAGTCGGCTCCGGTCGACCGTCTTCCATCCTGCTAAGAGATTCATCGGAGTGACTGGCGCTGCGAGAATGAGCAGGCTTATAGCGACCCGACTCCGCGTCATCTTCTCGCTTCTTTCGACGGTCCCAGAACTTCTTAGCCATAAGACCAGCCCCGGCTAGTGCGCCAATCTCAAGGAGCTTCTTGCCGAAACCACCACCTCCACCGCCACCATGATGGCGGGAAGATTCATCCGAGTACTTTTCATCGGAAAAGGATGTGCGAGAGTCTTCATAAGCATGGCTTGGTTGGCGACTGCTTGCGCGTCGTCGAAACATCGAAGCCAAGCCAGCACCTGCAGCACCAGCGGCAAGAGCTTCTCCCACGTGATGGCCATGCGGTTCTGAAATTTCTGAAGGTCCTGTATAATGACTGCGAGCACCACCATGCTCACTTCCCATATGGTATCCCTCGATATCATATCGGTAGGAAAGTATAAAGTAAAGAGCCAGGTAGCCAAAAACCGTCAGCGCAAATAGGATGAACAGGACCTTTGGCGAACCATAAAGAACGAGTCCTAGTGGAATTTGGGCAATTCCAAGAAGTACAAGAGCACGACCCAGCCATCGATGTAACTAAGATATGTTAAAAAGAGCGCATGTACCGCTTCTTGATGGATGACCTACCACTAGTTTCAAAGGAACGTGGATTCGCTGTCTCTTACTCTCCCTTTTGTGCAAGAACCAGCCCCACAGCACCTGGAAAATTACCAAAACATAGATTGCCAGGCCAATTCCATGATGGGGGTTTGTTAGGCTTCTTTTCGGCCCAACGGCGAACCATCCCAGCACAAACACGACCGTGGTCAAGAGCAAGGTAAGTGCCTGACACCACGCATGTAATTTAAATGCCCAGTAAGGATTCCACCGGGAGTAGTATCGGATTATCAGAATTGACGTTGGGACGATGCCCAGGAAAACGATGGCTGCAATGACGCCATGGGCGATGATTATGGAATGGTACCCAGCCATATCCTTGAAACGATTGCCCATACCTATAGCGTGTCAGTCATCACAAGATCATTGGAAGTATATGCATCGCTATCAAAAGTAGATTGGCGGTTCATTAGACTAACCGTTGTATCGCATCGTTTCAAAGTTGACCCCCATCAAATTGGGCAGCAGAAACGTATCCCGCCCAGAGTCCCAGGTGCCATCCCCAACATGAAGGGTATTGGATGAATACGTGCTGCTCCCCGCAGCGGCGAGATCTGAGTTTGACATTTTGCGGATAATTCTCACACGACCATGCGATCTTCAGTTTGGAATGTTGGAGTTACCGGAGATCTATCGAGATCTCCCGATCGGAGGAATGCACCATGCGATAGAGGGTCTGAAATTTCGAGTGGAATGCTCGATGACAGGCGGGCCAATTGATTGTGTACTGACCAGTCAGTGGTGCGGAACTGATTGTATTACAGAATCTAAGTAGGGTTCAAGAGGGCCGTAGAATGGAGATCGAAGCGGAGCGCCAGGAGGGAGAGGAAATCAAGTCGTACAGAATCGGAATATGAAGTTAGGATAGGATTGAAAAAGCGTCCGACAACGCGATTGAGATAAAATAGAAAGCTGCACGTCGCACCGGGACCCCGGGCAGAGAGGAATCACAACAAGAGGCTGACCGACTTCCCCAGTCATCTGTTTTCCGACAACAATCACCAGGCCAACCAGCCGCTGACTCAGGATCGATACTGCGACCGCCTTCCCAATTGAGCTAGACTGTGGACTCTTATCTTATCGGTCTTATCCAACTGCCCGCGGGCGCATTTCTGAGCTGATCATATCACAAGATTGCGTGCTGAATGCGGTTCGAATAAACATCCATTTATTCTCTTCTTCCCCCTCCATCCTTGGAATGACTGCCCTCCATCCAAAATGACAACTCAAATAGAGATATTTATTAGCGCTTTGTCCCGGTTTGTGAACTCCTGTCTTCAACCGAGTGCCACCGGGCATTATGAACATGACTGACCAACTTATCTTAGTCTTTTAGGATGGGCATAGTAAGTCTCCGCGTTTGATTCCGAATTTGTATCTTTATGTCACACGTGTACTGGTGGCTAACTCCAATGCAGCATGCTCTGCTGGTCGGGGTCTTTCTATCCGCAGCCCATCACCAACTGGAAACGCAAGTCCACAGTCGGCTTGTCCATTGATTTATCCACAATCAACCCTCTGGGCTTCGTCTGCTATGCAATATATACCGCCGCATTTCTCTACTCGCCCGTGATTCGATCACAGTACGCAGCCCGACACCCTGCTGCGATCGATCCTACCGTTCGGTTCAACGATTTCGCATTTGCGGCCCACGCGGTCGTAATGTGCATCATAATGTACACTCAATTTTGGCCTTTCATATGGGGATTACATGTACCCCGATTCCAAAGGATCAGCTGGACAATGGCAGTGCTCTTTTGGGGTTCTGTTCTGACTCCTCTGGTGGTTATGGCGGTTGTGTTGGTGCAAAGTCCGGATGGAGGGTATGATCCTTCCACTTGGGCATGGATTGATGTGGTAAGTGAAACAAAAAGCCACATTCTTTCAATGGGCTTTGTAAACCACCAAGAAAACCACCAAGAAAACCACAGAACAAAACTAAAACCTCTCCAGATCTACTCGTTCTCATACATCAAACTCCTGATCACCATTGTCAAATATATGCCTCAAGTGGCACTGAACTACAAGCGCCAATCCACAGTAGGATGGAACATTGGAACCATTCTTCTGGACTTGGCTGGTGGTGTACTTTCAATGCTCCAACTGGTGCTTGACTCCAGCCTTCAAAGCGACTGGAGCGGTATCACTGGAAACCCGGTCAAGCTAATGCTAGGCAACGTTACAATCTTTTTCGATGCGATCTTTTGCATCCAACACTATTTCCTATACCGAGATGACCCTGATTTGAAGAGAACTCCTGGTCCGAGCGAGCAAACCCCCCTCTTGGTTGGACAGGACGATGCTGTGGGAGCTCGGGTATGACCCAAGACACACAGAGAAGCACATGAGATGAATACAGTGGCTCTGGGGCCAAATTTGAGACATTGGGGATATGTCTCTATTTTTATAGAAGCATTGAAGTCCGATCTTGGATTTGAGACATTGTGGGGGCGGTAATTCCAACCGCAAATCTTGGCCCTGGAGACATTTGGGCGATCCCCAGGGCTGACGGTTTGGGGGCTTTGTATAAGCCACGATTTAGACACATGATAAACTGTCCTATTGGGAATTAATCGTTTTTTTTTAGAATCTGAGACACTGCCTTAGCATTCTTAGACCGAAAATCTCCGGTCTCACAACCAGCTTACAACGTACAACGTGCCATTCCAGAAAGAAGCATTCAGGCCATTATTTGTTGTTCCTAGAAGCCTGCTCAATAACTTATCACGCAATAACATAGTCACATTTGAAACTGTGACTGCACAATAAGCCTGAAGCCACAGTGAGGCTCACGCCGATCCATAACTGGAGGGGACACCGCCCCTTTTTTTAAACGATCCCCCGTATTTGGTCCCCGCCGCGCGATGTGAGTGGTCGAAGAAAGGGATAAGCACAGATTTATCGCATTTACCCAATCATGAGAAAGGAGACAGTCAATCCACAGAACACTAACGGTGCTAGCCGTCGGTGTCGGGGTTAGGGGCCTCTGACACGCACTCTCATAGCTGAAGCTAAAGTTCACATTCCCAGATTCTGCGTTATGGGCTTACTTACTTCCCGTCCGCACAGATACCTAATTCCCGCCATGATCGACCATACAGAACAGCCCTTGGAGTGAAAAGACGTCTACAAGATATCAACCCCAGCTCCCTACCAGGTAAGACACAGATGCTACCTTTGGCTTCAACGTTACCTTCAAGCTGACTCAACTTTAAGATGCTAGAAATGACATTACGGCGATAAGGACCAAAGATCAGGCATGGAATCGGGGATACTGTGTATAGCTTGAGGCATCTCTTGTGTAATAGTGATCGTAATAATACCCTCTAGATATGGCCATGAAACCACTGCCACGTGTTTCTAGTGAACATGTACAAAAGACAAAAAAGATCTTACGGAATACCACAGCGTCGGTCCTGGTCATCCCTGGAGTCCTGGGCGTGATGTGGCTTTTATACTGGCCAATGGTACGAGCGCGCAATGCAGACCCTGGGAATCTCATAGTTGGTGCATGAAACCCTAACCTCTGGCAACAATTTGCCGTTGGTCTAGCCAACCTAAGGATGTACTAAGTACCGACCCACATCGTCATCTTTCAGCCCTACTCTGTAAAATAAAAAAGCGTGGTGCCCCATAATTATACAGATGACAAACCAATACCTGCAAGCCATCGGTTGAGGATCATCTCTCAAGGGAAAGCTGGTAGGACCCCCCCGGCCCCAGTAATTCTGAATTACATCGGAGTTAGCCAGAGGAAACGGTATCAGCTGCTTGTTTACCAGGTAATAACTGGTCATGTTTAGTAATTCTATATCGAGCATGGCAGTATCCATTAACGTTTCAATTTCTGCGGAACGCCTATAAGTAGAAATTACAGCACTGCCTCCTAGACTTGAGATGAACATATATAATCCACTGCCGGTTACGTCTTAGTCTGAAAAACATGTTCAGCTCTAAATCTGCCAAAACTTTATAACACTTTGGCTTCTCGGTCATCTCGCAACAATCGTCAAGCGCATGGACACCTGTTCATTCATCTTTTCCAAAGTTATAGGAGCGAAGTTATACTAAACACTTGATATGCAAGAGAAGTTTTCTCCAAACCACGGCTTTCAGTACTCTGGCTGGGAAATCTCCTTTCCAATTACAGCAGAACCATCATTTTACGACCTTTATATTCCCAAAATGTACACTGGTCGCCAAAAGTCCAAGGATATGTACGGCACTGTGCCAGGTAGCTCTCGTTACCCGGAGTTCTCAGAGCCTCAACATATGGGAGGCCTGATTAGTATCCCCAGCAGCTCTTCATCCAACTCCCACATGCCCACTCTTCGGCAGATGGACTCTATGAACGTGCAATCAGACTCTCAATCGTTCCCCTCCCCGGGCCATAATTACACCGGAAGAAGGGGATCGACAGATACCGATACAATTGGCTCTCAATACGCATGGTCTACTACGTCCAACGCAGACGTTCTCTCAAATTCTCCTCATATGCCCTCAATTGACGCTTTCATTGGAACCACAACCACGCCCTTCATGCAAGGCTTTTACTCCCCCGAATCTATGCAGTTCCCTATGAGCAGCCCAGACGTGTCGGGATATACCCCCCAGCAAATCGACAAATGGTGTATCGAGAGCGAACCAGCTGGAGATATCTACCAGTCACAGCCTTCGGCGAACATGGGCTCTATGCGGTTTCCGCCATCAGCGGAAGCGCAACCAGAACCCTACCCAACATTCAACAGCCAACTTCAACCCGCGGACGAGCAGTGGCTCTCTTATCCACCCCATTCCTCTGATCAGATCCCCGAAGCATTTTTTTCAATCCCTCGATCCATTTCAGTTCCTCGCTCAGTCCCAGCTCCAACACCCCATATTTACCAATCTGCTGCTACACCCGCGTCAGTCTCTTCATCCCCAGCACACTCCTTCTATGACCCAGATTCTCCATCAACTGCACCAGGCTCGGCCTCCGGCTCAGGCTCCAACTCCAATGCAAGCGACTTAAGCAATTACGGAATCCCCACGGCCGACGGCGCCTGGCGCTGCGCCCACCCAGGCTGCTCCTCAAAATCTCTTTTCCATCGAGGCTGTGACCTGCGGAAGCACTTCAACCGCCACCGCAAATACCTGTTCTGTCGCTACGAAGGATGTCCTCAATCGGGAAAGAATGGCTTTAGCAGTAAGAAAGACCGTGCCCGTCATGAAGCGAAGCATAACCCTGGTGTCTTTTGCGAGTGGGAGGGCTGTGGGAAGGTGTTCAGTCGAGTCGACAATATGAAGGACCATGTGAAAAGGATTCACCGGAAAGGGGAGGCTGGAAAGGCTTGATTGCCGGTGAGATTACCACGATGACTATGAGTATTATGTTTCACGTTGACCGGGTTTGGGGCCTATTTTGCTGCTTTGCTTGTATTTTGTGGCTTTTGGTTGGTATTTTGTATAACATTGATAGGCAAAACGGAAAAAGGCATGGCGAATTAAGAAACGAGGGGCTTTGTTGTTTAGCGTGGATTTATATTTACTATCAATTGGAATTAAACACACGAAACTAAACAGAAAATCATAGCTGCACTGCTTGAGAGTCTCTGGGCCTATACATGATGTAGTGATACAATCTTAAATTAGTCTCGAGCATTGCCTACGAGCAACTTTTGAAACTACCGATCCATAAATCTCTCATTCGATACTGCCTTACTCCCTATTGAAACATCTTCTTGAAGCATATACACTAATTTCGGTTTTTGTACTAATTTCCACTTCTCTTTTATCTCTACATACACAAGGGTGGACAGCCGCTTATGCGGCCTTATGGTGTTTCTAGGGCTCTTACGTAGTCTTCCCAACGGGCTTTTTAAAGATACTGCAATAATCTCTTTTCTTTGCCCTGTCATTTCATAGGTTTGTGGTAGAAAAAAAAAGTAGGAACAAAGTATGCTCCATCAAATAGACTTTTCTGTAGAAAACCTTCAACTTGATGGTAGTCCGTTTAACTATCGATCTTGAACCCTATAAAGATGAAATTGTCTGTCTTTTTTAAACCGGCAAATCTTCCAATTTTATATATAATACTCTACGTAATAAATAAACTCTTGGTATGACACCTATATAGTAACGAGACGTATCAAAATATAGGGAGTCCAGAGGATGCTAAAACCACTATATATAACTTCAAGCACTAATAGCTACATAATTAGTTCGGAAGGGGGAAGCAGATTTAAATTACCTGGCAATACGAACCAATAAGAGAGTTTTCCTCGGATGGTCACATCAGTCGCCCACAATTGCCGAATGACCTACTACCGTAAGAAGTGACCAAAAATGCTTGATTCTAATATTAACACCAACCAAATAACTAGACCAGACCAAAATAATCCCCAACCTGACAATAGGAAATATTGCAAAAAGGCCTGTGTAATTGGCTCCCCATGAACCTCTCATCCGTCGAAGACGTTTAAGCGGAAATGGACCGGATGAAACGCGAACTTCTCCTAGATCTGGATTCTAATAATAGTCCAAATACTCATAGTCCTCTATTAGTAAGTAGTATTTCACAGTGGCTGATGTTGAACTGATTGTTTATGCTAGTCTACTGCCGAACACATAATGCTAAGTACAATGGCAAAGAGCAGGTATAGCAAATATCAAAAAGGCAGGGGTCACCCGTTTGCCCTTTATATCCAGGGTATCCTGCTTACAACAAGGTCTTTGAGGACTTTTAGTCTGTGTCCCGAATGCAACAATCCAAATTGTAGCCTATTTATGTGACGATCAGACTTGTACCACGGGTGTGCTTGTCGACTCAGAGCCCCATCTACTTGATTAGCAGATTACCAGTCCCAAACCATCACCTTGTTGGATACACAGTGGTACTAACCCTACAACTTGAAGTAGATCCGACCAAGTCAGGGCCTCCGCGGAGAATTTAACCTCAACCACAGCCAGGCCCCGGCAACACATCCACGCCCAGAAGATGTAAACACCACGAAGCGGAGATTATCATCATCATTTCGGGCACCATGAGATAAATCAGAGACCACTGTATTACACCGACGCCCCGGGCGGGTGCCAAAAGGACGGCTACACGAACGATCAGCCAACATACACCAATTAGTGCCCTGAACAGCGGCAAGCTTCCTTGGCGACTAAGAGCTGCTACTCGCCGTTACACTACCTAATTAGAGAACAAAATGATCCTAACGGTGTTTTTAGTCGACAAGTGTAAGGTTAAAGCCCTGGAGAATAAGACTATCGAGTCATCAGATACGGAAAACTTTGCGACCCAAAATTTTAGCTTTGCACGTGCTATAAGGTCTTCGAAGCTTAATCTAACTCTAATTGAGACATGCGCAGTCCCCACTCGTTTAGGAACAAAAGCCATTGTATCATAAACTCTGCAGATGTTGACTCGAGAGAGATATAGACCTTGCAAACAATTGAAAAGCAATCACAGGCACACGAACACATTCCATGTAGACACACACTCAATCGAAGCTAAAGTTCTGCTCTCCATGTGTATAATATCTCCCATTAAGGCAAAAATCCCCTGGCGTCCAAGACCCCAACCAAGCAGGATTTCCAGAAACAGAAGCAGACACATCAATCTTGCTTTCCTCGTCACCACCACGAGACTCGTGGAGCCACCCGGTAATGACCGATCTCACAAGCCCATAACTTCCATCCGAATAGCCACTGAACTTCGTCATGTTGCAATGATCGGCATAAATACCTCGGCTGTCATACTCGCGCAAAACAGCCGAGTATTCCTCAACAATCTTACCCACTAGATCATTCGTCTTCTTCATTTCATAGAAACAGCAGACTTTGAGAGAAAGATCCCCACGAGCAAGCATAGAGAGAAACTCATTCCCAACTCGCTGCACGTTGCTAGGGCCCGGATGCAGAGCCCCAACCATATCCCTATTCGCGGTGTGGACTATGTTCATCCCTTTTGCGAGTTTCTCTCGGTAGGAAGCGAGCGAAGATCCGTAATGGGGTGTACCCATAAAAATTATTCCGATGGCGCTTGAGGATATTGCCCATAGACCGTCTATAGTATTACTGAGGATCAAGGCTTGCTGGCATACCAAGCCGCCTAGGCTGTGTGCGATGAATAGGATGGGTCTGCTTGAGCAGTCGATTCGTTGGCTGACGATTGCATAGGCTAAGGATTGGCTGTGGTCGTAAAGTCGGTGGGAGAAGGTAATGGAGGTGAAGCTGAATATATCGATGTCGTAACCGAAGGTCATAATGCGTGCTTTGGATAAGTCCTTGGCGAGAAGATCTCGGGGCCATAAGGTTCCATTTTCGTGCATCCATGTTTTCTCGCGGTTGCCGGTCAATCCGTGCACAAAGACAATGCTAGTTCGGTGTATCTTAGTTTCGGTATTCTTTTTGAGCTATGGATCCATCCACGTTCAGGCTTGTCAGGGTAGAAGAGGAACTCACTCTAGGTCGGCATCCGAAGGATCAGATAGCACCTTCATTCCAATTGCACCATCTGTGCAGTATCTCGGCATCATTAGCTCGGTAAATCATCTCTTCATCATAAACTCTTACAGACTGTGTTCTGAAACGATGGGTTTCGTCTTGCTCCTGAATAGCCTCATAGTGGCGAACCATATGAACTTGGGTCAAATACCCGAATGAAGGAAATCCCGAAAGACAATAGCAAGATAGATTCGACAACTAGGCAAAGACGAAAGAGCGGGCGAACGGTTAGAAAATTTCAAAACTCTCAATCTTGCCTGTTAAGCGCCCTCTTAAGAATATACGTACCCCCTGTCCGGAGCTGAAGAACCTCCCGGGGGCCGCTTCATAATAATATGTCTTATTTGAACCACATGTCTTAACGCTGTCCTGTCCATGATACGTCCATTTTGAAATCATTATAAGTAACACAAAAAGTTTCCGAATAAGATGGCTGCGGACACGCGTTTCCATGAGAAAATCTAGGGCCGGAACGTTGTGATACACCCACAGGATCAGGCGCAGAACTTCTATCTCGACAATATAAAAAGTTGAATTGGCCATCAATGCATGATTGAGCTTTTCTCGGGTGGGACTGCTAAGACATCGTAGACCGAAATGAGATTCCCGGCTGCAAGGTTCCTAGGGCTGACATGCTCAAGCTTCTCTGCACTTGGCTTCGAGGTAGCAGGCTTAATTGGACTTTCATACTTATGCTTCTTGACAATTCTCCCTCCCTTGATGGAGGGCTGCAACCACTGTGGACGTGAGGCTGAACTCAGTGCGATGTCCTTAGTTTTGTGCTCCCCATTGCACGGGCTAGCAGGGTCAATCAATAGAAGAGTGCCCTATCTTCATTTGCACGAGTGAAAAGCTTTCGAGAAAGCCCTCGAAAGAGAACAAATCTCAGGGTGTAGCTTACCACGCGATATTGACTTGAGACCTGTGGAGACTTAATCAAACTCATTGCAGCCAGCAGGTCACAGACATACATTGTAGTAACCTTCCTGCTATACCTGAGCTCTTAGTATTAGTGCAATGAAAGCGATGGAAGGAGACTGACTTGATTGTGGTACCAGTGGTAGACGGAAGAAAAGCCCTATCGACATGGATGATCGCGACGCCCTAATACGAATGCACAACTTGGCGACGGTGTGTGAAACTTTGATTAACATAGCGAGGCGATGGAAATGGAAAAGTACATGAAATTAAGAGACTTATAGTCCGACATCGGAACATGGTTCAAATTTTCACTAGGTTGGAGGGGGGAAAGTGAATCTCAAGGAAGTCCACGGCTATCAGATCGGGTTGATACGGGCATTAAGTATCAATGTGAAAGGACATCTATCCGAGTGTGGTTTTCAACATGTGAGGTAAAACGAAAGGATTCAATAAAACGAGGTCTCATAATACCCAAAATTGGTTAGACAAGATGGAGAAAGATAAAGATAGAAGATATTAAAGACACACACTGGGATTAAACGAATGGCCCATGTAACATCATGAATTTCTAACAATGGACAGGTGGTATCATTGCAGAAGCACCAACACAAAGTAACAAAATAAAAAACGGTAGAAAGGTATCACAGCTGAGAAATTCGTCATGCGTAAAATTGCGAAGTTGCCTCGAAGAGGGATTAGCATGTCGTACTGAGGCGCTAATCTGGAAATCTGGAACACCCGGGGTACACAGGGGTTGAATGTGAGAGAGGTTGTAGAGGGTACCGGTCAAAACGGGTAGCGCACGAGAAATGGACTGGGAATGCAAGATGCAAAGCGAAAGCAGTAGAATAAATAGAACAAGAGGGCTAAGGTTCATGTATTGTTTATCCTTCGTTTTCTCCCGCGGGCACTACCAAGCGGCCTTTGCGCGAGAACTTGTCGGAGAATTGGATCGTCTTTGTTTTTGTCGACGTGGTGTACACGGACATGTCTGTGTGAGTGTTCAGCTGATGTCAGATTAAATGAGGCTCCAATGTAGCACGAACCGTTGAAGATTGTCGGGTCGAGGATATTTGTGTTGCTGGTCCGGACAGAATGGACAGACGTAGCCTGGGGAGTTATGCACTAGGCCATGGCGCATCATTTCATTCTTGCGCTTAAAACCTTTCCCACCCAGGGCGCGTGGACAGCCTTCCACTGGGCAAAAATGTGGGCGGTCTTGTGAGTGCACGTTTGCGTGAGAGCTGCTATTTGTTAGGTGGGATTTTCACATGAATCGCGTCATTTTGGTCTTACTTGAGGAGATACTGAGTTTGGAAAGGCGCAGCTGTGCATCCAGAATGTGTGCACTTGAAACTACCCACGGGGCCCCCATTGGCCTGGGGGGTGGACACAGCGAGCGAATGTCGATCACCCATACCAGTGCCGACCTGTTCCGTGGGCGTAGGATAATTGGTCGCTGGGCTTTTAGCAGTCAAAGGTGAAGCCTCATACGGAGTCTGGGCGGATAACATCTCAGAATGGGGTGGCCCGCGCCAGAAGGACGAGTGCGAGGCCGGAGAAGGGTTGGTAGATGAGTCTTTTATGCTCACCGGCGAAAAGTGAGAAAAAGGACTTGCAGGGATGGAAAACTTTCCCGGAAAAGCGCGGTCGAATGGAGAATCGTTCCCTGATGTAGTTGAAGTGGGACACGAGGAGAAGGCAAAGGGTGATGGCATTGTATTGACTGTTGGTGGGTCGAAATCTGACAGTTCGCTGATAGCTTTGTGGATAGACGGCAGCGTTTGTTTATTGCTGTTGTCTGGGGATTTTGCTAGGCCCGATCCAGAAGACGAGTTGGAGAACTTTAGTGATGGGAGAGGAATCGGGGGCTCTTTTCCCGGAGAGGTCTTGATACAAGGCAACTCTGGTAGAGATCGCTGGGTCGAGCCACTGATCGATCCAAGTCGCACTGATTGAGACTCACGTTTGACCTCAACATCTGGCTGTGGGATTGGGACTGGGATCTGTTTCCTCTGGGGGGGTCCCTTCTGCGGTCTCCTTATCTGGGGCAAAGTCTGGGAACCCCAGGGATTCTTTTAGTGGAGGCTCATCCCTTGAGAATGGATTTGACTTCCTTGGATCTCTAGGATCGAAGTCAGGTGGTTGTTTATAATTTTTGAGATTTCCAGGTAATGGTTCCAATGGAGAATTCCTTGCCGCCATAGCAATCTCGGGGTGGTTCGGAGCTAGAAACCCCATCAGCACTCGGTCGCCCTCACGGGTTGAGCTCTGAGGTTCCGGCTGGTTAGGCTTACGGGAACCAGTTGCGTCGGCATCTTTTTCGGTCGTAACAAACGGTGGTGGTGATGGCTCCTTCTCTCCATAGTTGGGTTTCATCGCCTCCATTGGAGGCGACCGATTAAAGACATCATCCGAGTCATACATAGTGGACGTCATAGATCAAGTGGCAGGTGCATCGGGCACCTCGCCTTATATTTGTTGGTCTGACAGATTGAATTGATCACACATCAGAAATGATAAGTAGTCTGTAAGATATGGTCAGACTGTAATACCGATGATCAGATGTTGAATGAAAAAGCAGGATCTAAGTGCATAGAATAAGAACAGCAGAAAAACATGCGATTCCGACACAATGCGACTGCCCGTCTGCAAAGCGTCGAGATGGGGAGATGAGGGGTTACGACACGAAAGTGAAATGAAACCTAAACAGGCTCAAGGGTATAGGAAACAAGAAAGATGAAACCAAAAAAAAAAAAAAAAGGAAAAGTAAGGAAGAAAAGAAAAGAGAAAAATAAGAGAGAAGCTCTAAACTAGGTCGAAGGCTGCAGAAAGTGCACTTACCCAAGCGGAAAGGTGGACGGGTAGTGAATGGGTCCCCGGGGTTGAGGCTCAACAGGTCCGATTGTCACTGCGCCATCTGCAGATGAATGATATCACCCAGGAAACTTGGTACAAAGGGAGAGAAAAGAAAGGAAAACTAAGAGAGAGGAAAACAGAAGAGTCTAGAGGGTGAGCCACGTTCTACACGTGTAAGTTTGGGAATCCAGCAATCTCTACCAGTATGTCAGTTAGGAAAAGGAAGAGAAACAAAAGGAGAATAAACGTTCCAAGGGAATATTCGAGGGGGAGGTGGGAAGAGAAGAAGGGTGAGGCTCTCAATACATTACGGTATAAATTACCGTATACTGACGGATTTCGGACTTCTATTATTATTCGGGTTTCATACGGTTTTTTTCAATGTTTTTTGAAATTTCTTTTTTGCAGTTTGGTTTACCTTATACCTCCAAGGCTATACCTTCTCTATACCTCTCTTCCCTATACTTCCTCTGCTGACCATGATCCCCTGACATCCCCTCTACTCCGTATACTCGGAGCATTTGAACGTCGCACATAAGAGAGAAGGGGAAAAAAAAAAAAAAAAAAAGAAAAAGGTCTCCACCGCTACTCTCTGTTATTCAGGCTCCACCATTAAACTCGGAGACTACAACCGGATACACTCTCTCGTCGTTTCCCCTCTCTCCACTCCCCCAGTCTGTTATACCCGGCTAGGGAAGCTGCACGAAGGGGGCCCACACGGTCTGTTCTCGCATTTCCTTTTTCTGTCCCGCCTTTTGGTCTTTCTTTTCTGACCTTTGCAACGTCAGACTCCGTCTGCGTTGGCTAACTGCGAGGCTCGAGTCGTCAGCCCGAAAGGATCTTCAGGCTTTCCCGGTTTGGTTGACAACGCGCTGTCTGCGGCAAGGAGATCGTCCGGCCCACGTTGTTTCAGAGCCTCGTTAAGAAACATCTTATATAGTACGGAGTACGGAGTATAATTATCCTACAGTGTTAGACCTTGATTATAACCATAATACTACGCTATACTACATGCATATATGTGCTGTCCAACCCTGTCGGTCATCGGAAACCCCCTAATTCCCGAATTTTCTTCCCCCCAGCCGCATCCCCTCAATTCCCTCGCACTAGTGAATTGTAGATGAAGGATAAATTACTTTGAAACCAATGCCTATCTCTGAACCAAAATCCTGTTGAAATGGGCGAAACCAAGTGGATTCTTCAACCCCGTCAGCCTCACTTACGCGTAGAGCCGCAGGGCAAAAAAAAAAAAAAGCCTCACCTTTTTTCCCCTCTTTTGTAACCAATCATAATCTTACTGGCGTGTCTGGACTTTGAACGGACATTACACGATGCGGTATTCCAGTCTGCTATGTATTCATTACCACTCCAAACCGGTTTCTAATCGCCTTACTCTTCGATCTATATTTATATATATGCACCTGATATTCTTTACATATATTATATCATTTCTACCCAGCTCACTGCTTTTCAAAAGTCATACATCCCTACTCACTTCGGTGGTGATCGGGTGAAATGGCGTACATCAACGTGATATACTCGCAGGATATTATACCATTCTCTCAAATGTTTGTCCCCATCGGGATAAGTGCTTACACCACACGTCAGGCGCCAAAAGTACTTCAACCTAGTTGCTCTAGGCTACGTCAAGGATATATTTAGTGGGGTTTGTTTCATGGAGACTTGGTTCTGGGCCAACCTTACATATCGTGAAGAGCCCGATTTAGATTTAGATCGAGCTACATTCTATATGCATCTATCGACATACGCTAGAATAGAACAAGGAGGTCCAGGCCTCGATTAGAGTATATACAATTGTCAAACCCGAAACCCTCGAAAGCTCCCGTACTGTCAACAATTCAAAACAAGTAATACTTGCCTCTACTCAGTACAATAAACTACAACTTCCCCTCAGATGCCCTCTTGACAACTCGCACCCTCCCCCAGGCCTCCTCAGCAAATGGTTTCGCCCGCTTCGCATACTCACTAGCTCGAGCACTACTAGCCTGTCTCCCAGCGAACCGGGCCGCGATGCCCTGCATAATCACGGAGCCCCGGAACGCAAAGAACGCATCGCCCCACGCCACGTCGGAGCTCGTTTCGTACCCAGACGTTTCGGCGTACCAACCAATGCATTCCTCGCGCCTTGGTAGCCCTGGAACAACCCCCGGCGCGAACTGCGACAGTTGGCTGTCACCCCCGTCCATTATGTACGGACTTGTCAAGTTACAGAAGTCCGAGAGGGGGTGTCCTACGGTCGCCATTTCCCAATCCAGGATTCCGATCACGCGCGGCTCTGTCTTATGGAAGATCAGATTGTCAATTTTGTAGTCACCGTGCACCAGTGTGCCCCGGTCCAATGGTTGCGTGCTCTTTTGAGCGAAGAATTTCACCATGTCATCAAAGTGAGGGAGTTCACCGACGGGTTCCTTAGTGTCGGCGTCGACAACTGCTGCTTGCGCTTTGGAGATTGTCTTGAATGTGGCGATTTGGCGGTCGAAGAAGCCTGTCGGCTTGCCGAAGTTTTCGAGTCCAACAGTTTTGGGAACTACGCTGTGGAACTTCGCGAGCGTTTGTACTGCGTTCTTCCAGCTGGGCGGTTGTCAGTATATGCGGGGTTCACTGGCTAGGGTATGTTGGTGGCTGCGTTAGAGCCTCAATCGCGTGACCTACAGTGCTGTTCTTTCCTCCCCACTCACTCCTGGCATCGCTGGATCGGTGAAATGCCGTCCGTCCAGGAACTCCATGATGTAGAATGCGGTTCCAATCACGCTGTCATCTTCGCACAGGATGTACGCTTTCGGAACGGGTACATTGGTACTCCCCAATGCCTGGATAATCTTGTACTCTCGCTCGACCTTGTGAGCTGTCTTCGAGAGCAGCTTGCCAGGAGGCTTCTTGCGCAGAACGACCTGTTTGCCATCTGCGGCAGTAAGAAGATACGTAGGGTTCGATTGACCGAAGCCAAACTACAGTGACAGAATATTAGTTCTGTCTGCTATAGCATACTAAACTGCTGATTGACGGGCCAGACTCACCTGCTTCACATCTAGTGGAGTCTTAACCTCAGGCACATTCTGGTCAATATATCTCTCCAACGCGGGGATATCTATGGGCTGGCGCACTTCTCCCGCCATGATATCAATCTGAAATGATGAGAGGATTGTCCAAAAAAGTGTATGTATTCTGCAAAGTGACCACGGGTTCAAAATATTATGTACAGGGAAGCAATAAATGCCTTGTGTCCAGGTGTTACCGGGGGACCTCGGCACCAGAACCTCCTCGGTGTCACCGCTCGAGAGAGCGGGGAGGAAACAAACAGAACAAACACCCGACGCGTCCCAGCGGTGAAACGCGCAGGCGTCGAGCTCACCGCAATTTTTGTGAAGCTAGGGGCTTTCTTGCGTCAATTCACTGTGGGCCCTGTTATTTTTTCCCAATCAATTGCTCTATCCACCCGATTCTCGATCTTCGATCTTCCAACCGTTTGTGTTTACCATGACCAAAGAGATCACCCCGCCACCTCAAGAGAAATCCCTCCCCGCACACAATCCGCCTTCCTTGCCTGCCTCCCCGCTGCCGAAACGATCAAAGCCCGACACTATGACTACCCCAGCCGTCACATCGATCCAGCAGCCGCTGCCCCCCTGCTTGTTAAGAAGCTTGTCGAGTCTGCCCAGGCCCCGACACGCGGCTCTGCTTTTGCTGCTGGATACGATATCTACGCCGCAAAGGAGACTGTTATCCCTGCTAAGGGCAAGGGCGCCGTTGACACTGGTCTTGCTATTGCTGTACCTGAGGGAACTTGTATGTGATAATACCTGTGATTGAGATTCATATCGAGAATCTTCCTGGCTTGTCGAGGCTGAGCCGGGCCAAGAGTGAATTGGTGACTAATGAGGAATACAGACGGCCGCATTGCTCCCCGTAGTGGTCTTGCTGCTAAGCACTTCATTGACACCGGTGCTGGTGTTATTGATGCCGACTACCGCGGTGAGGTCAAGGTGCTTCTGTTCAACCACTCTGACGTCGACTTCCCTGTCAAGGCGGGTGATCGTGTTGCCCAGCTGGTTCTGGAGCGGGTGAGTACAATCCATCAATAAGTGATGTTTTGTGAATGTGTCTGACCTTTTCTAGATCTATACCCCTGAAGTGAGCGTTGTCGAGGAGCTGGAGGAGAGTGTCCGCGGTGCCGGTGGATTCGGTAGCACTGGCATTTAAGGGCCACATCTCTGTACAAACTTGGGACGATAACGGACAAAATTAGATGAGTTCTATTAGAAAGAACCTAGTTACGATTACATGCATTCGAGACATTGTTTGAATGAACAAAAAATACAGAAAAGATTCCATGCTCGATTCAATAATCAAATCTATGTACAGACCGAACCGGCTTTTAATATAGAGATGGCCACCGTCCCAGCTTCATCTAATGCCCGAAATCCTTCTATCATCAATCCATGCCACATGCAATATATATAAGCCCCAACCAAAACTACCGCAGATCCGCAGGGAGATCCTCCTTTTTCCAATCCAACACCTCAAACATAATCTTCGGATCCCGCAAAAACTGCGTATTCCTCACCAGTCTAACCTCAGCAGCCTTAGTCCTACGCAAATAATCTCTCTTTTCCAATTCCTCCGCCGAAGCCTCTTCCTCCAGCGCAGGCACAGCAGCTGCCAGTTCCGCATCACGGCTCTCCAGCGTCCGCTCCAAAATACTGTGCATACTTGACAGAACCTTAACAGTCGCTTTAGCCAGCGGGAGATCCCTAGCTGCAACATCGTCAGGCGACAACCACGACTTGGTCGTGCGGAGACCATCCACCGCGGAAACGGCTTCGCTTAGACGCGCGACGGTCAGAGCCGCGAACATGTCGCCCGTCCCGCTGAAGAAGCAGTCCAGCGCGGGTACGTCGATGCGGAAGAGTCGCGGGGACCCGTCAGAGCGGGTGGTTGAGCCGATCACTGTTAGGAAGTTCTCTGGTGGCGGTGGGGTTGAGCCTGATTGCGAAAGCTTAAACAGTTGCACTGAAGTGATTATCACGTGCGGCACGGAGTATATCTTGTGGATGGCTGTTATCGCTGAAGCGAGGGTGGCTAGTGAGGTAATCTTGATGCCGGAGAGAGTTCTATATCTCATATTAGTGGTCTGTGAGGGAAAATCCCCCGGTCTATCAGCTTTAGCTTACTCGGCTTCGAACTGGTTAGGCAAAATCAGATCCGCAAAGGGAATGATTTTCTTGTAAGCGGGGACTACATCGTTATTGACATATAGCCGGCCTTGATCGCCCATGACTGGGTCCAGGACTAATATGATAATCAGCGTTTGTAATTGATTGAATAGTGAGTGTTGACTTACCCCAGAAAAACGACCCGGGATTCTTCTCTGCCTTCTCTTGCAGGTCAATGCCGATAGTGCCTACTGACTCCACGGCTGCTGCACTCGGGGCGTAGCCCGATAGCATGACATCAAAGTCTGTGAGATTACTTTGACACAGGCCCTGGTAGAGATCTGAAATTTCCTGCGCGGTGGCACGAGTTCCCTTAGATTGGCGGTAGCCTGTGTGATTACCTGTAATTGCATGTGAGTCATGGTTGGGGTTGTTAAGATTAGGCAACGTACTGAAGTGGACGGTGTTCAATGCAGCGACTTCACAGCCCAGGGATTGCATGACGAAAGTAGCCATTGTGTTTCCGACATGGCTGGTGAGAAGGGTGTTAGTGATTGACTCCAATGGTGTCTTCTAGATATGATAACCCGCGTTATCAGACTTGCCACATACCCGTAAACCACCTAGAGGGAGTGTCAGTTTATTCGTCTTCAATAGTGGACAATTTCACTTACGTGGCTGGCAACAGCCAGAACTCTGGTCTCCGGTACTAATGAATCCATGATTAAGGCAATTGAGAAGTCAAGTGAGTCTATCAAGTATGCTACGACTCCAGATATCTGTGTGGGGGCCGGGGGGGATGATTTACCGAAATCCCACTTACCTAATTGGCTCCGAGAACCGAGTTATCAGAGAATGTTCTACGGAGAACGGAGTGATAATTACCATTGATGTGATAGATAATAGAGAACTACAAAGCACGGAGTATGGAGTATATATTATTGGATATATAGGGAGTAATTTGTCAATATTTGGAACTCAAGTACTCCCAAACCCTGAAACCAGCCCGTGGACCTGCCAAATCTCCTTACTTCCACGGTTGACCGGACTTAAATTTCACTTCCATCCTCTTCATATGTTGTACTCATGTTGCTCTTCGGTTTCAGAATGATTTCGGCCCCGAATGACACCGGAACCAGTCAGACGGGGAACCGGTGGGGGTAGAAAGGGAAAGAAGAAAAAGGGCAAAACGATTTGATAAGTCTTTTCTCATATTCCTCTGCCTATATATACGGTACAGGTAATGGGATCTACTCTAATTATCCAATACTCTATGGAGTACTCCGTATACTTCGGCAATATAGCACAGGTATCCGTATCCGAGCACGCACCCCCTGAAGCTGAGATTGACCAGAGTTCCACCGAACGGTCTAGTTCGTGCTAGTGGTACTTTGGATCACTCTAGCGCATTGGCAGACGTTCTCGGCCTTGGCCTTTCTAAATGTGAATGCCTGAGAACTAAAAAAGCCCCATTTAGCCTTTCCTGCAACTTCCAGGGTTAACAGACTCCCTCGTGCCCTCGTGCGCTTTTCAACTTCAACTTCATCGTTCATCTTGATCTCCGAGGGGAATTCCCTCAAGTCACTCCTTTCAATGAACCTGATTGCCATTCTTTAACTTACTTGCACCATGTTGGAATAACTTCTTTGTTTCCCAACTACCGACTTCATCGTCTGACACTCGTTTACATACAAAGACTGCTCTTCCACAGCTATATCGCTTAATTGCTGTCCCTGATAATTCACACATACTTGACAATTGATGTCCTGGCCTCGATTTCAAATCGACACTAATACGCCACAATGTCCCGTCTTTACCATATCTACAACCTCCTAATCCTAATTACTATTCTCTGCCTGTCATCAACATGGGCCCAATCAATGGAACACATGGACTTATCCACACCATCAGCCTGGAACCCAAGTGGAGAGACCACAAGTCGTCAATCATTACAAGCACCAGAGGAACCCACAGTGCACCGACGGGCAATCGTCACAGCATCAGACACTTCAACAGAGATGCCCGAACCCTTCGACACACTCTCCTACAACTTCGCCAGCGCAAGCACCTGTATTGACTTCTTCACAAAATGGCGCGCAAACACAACAATCTTATCCTGCACCCCCATCTCCCTCCTCATCCAGAACTCCAACGCATTCTTCCACACCCTCAACTCAGCACCCGCCACATCTCATATCCTGGATGTATCCTGCTCAGCAAATGTCACCGAATGCGCCTCAATAATGACAAATCTCGCAATCGACCTTCTCAAACCTGAGAACTGCGGCGACGACTTTCAAAACAATAACTCCGTCGTCAAGGGCACGTATCGTGATCTAGTCGCGTACGAACCAATGTACCGCGCAACATGTCTCACGAACCCATCAACACAGGATTACTGTTTTGTCGATGCGGTCTCAAATTCCACCGCACCCGATGACTACGGTGTCTACTTGATGCCACTGGGGACCCCACTTACCGTCGGGGATACGCCGAGTTGTACCAAGTGTTTGAAGGCGACTATGGAGACGTTTTCTAGGTGGGCGATACGGGATGGTCAGTCGCTTGACGATACTTATCTTCCCTCGGCGAAGATTGTTAATGATCATTGTGGTGATGAGTTTGCGACTACTAATATCACTGTTGGTTCGGCGGATGTTACGGCTGGGGCGGGTGCTGTTGCTTTGCCTAATATTGGAATCATGAGTGTCATGGCTTTGGTTCTTGGTGCCATGATAGTCATGTTTTGATTTGAATAATTTTGTTGGATACCGTCTTTTCTTTGTTTCCGTCTGCCCGGCTGGGTATGGCCATGGTTGATGTCAGCGAGCGCGTTTTTGGCTTTCTGATCTGACATGTAAGTAATTTCTAGTCATATTGTCCATATTTCTCTGTAGCAGTTTATTCACTCTGTTATCCTCTTCTTTTTTTTTCTCTCGCGTTGGGGACTGAGTAGACTCGTTAGTGTTGTCTTAAAATTCCGAGATTCGCGAATAAAGTGACCGGGTCAATATTTTATTCCTCAGACGCCAGGCAGTGTATAAGTATTGAGCATATCCACAAGATAAAAACAAATAAAACATCTGAAATCATGGTTCCAATGTGCATAGTTCGTGACGCCGGAAGAATCTGGCAAAGCAAAAAAAAAAAAAAAAAAACACAGCAAAAACGCTCACTGACAAGAAAATGGTATGTAGAAAAAGGATTAACGCAAAATATCATCAGCTCCTTCTCTTCATCCCACCCCCCATAGCAACGCCAACAAGACTCTGTGGCTCACCACCAAAGCTCGCTCCAGGACTTGTAGGAACCGGTGACCCGCCACCAGAAATGGGGCTCTGTGTAGCGGCATCTCGCTCACGTTTGACACGGATATACCCCAGCTTCGCGAAGCGGCTGAGATGCGTCCAGAAATGGCGACCAGCTGGATGTGTGGCGATGCGGTCGAGAAGATCCGCTGTCGCTTCGCGGACGACCTGATCCGGATGGAACAGGCCCATGCTGATATAGAAGAGACCAGCCTGGTTCTCCGGCGCGACGGTCAGGAGTTGGCAGATGCCGGCGTAGTCCCTGACGGAGTGGGAGAGGGCGAGGTAGATGGAGGCGGCTTCGGAGTGGGAGAGCTTTAGGGCGCGGAGACGGTCGTGGTGGTGGTGGATGTCGGGGCGTTGGATTGGGCGCGCAGGGAAGTACATTGCTGCGATATCTTGGATGTAGGAGTAGTAGGAGCGGGTGTTGCGCCATCCCTCGATTCGAGATACGGATGCTGAGAGCTCGCGTTGTTTGGCGGTTTCATCTGTCCATACGTATCCGTGCCCGCGGAGAGTTGTTGGGTCTGATATATCGCTCTGGTGGCCTGTTGGGCTATCTGGGGAGAGTTCTTCGCCTGGGCCAATGATATAGAGGTTTGAGGCCCCGTAGACTGCTTCTTCGAAGGCTGCAGCGACGCGGACGAATTTTGTTATGTAGGCTCGCCATTTTGCTCGGACGGCATTCTCACCGTGGCGTTGACTGATGCTGCGGAGGATGTCTTCCATGAATAGTGTGTCGCCTGTTGGATCTTGGGTCGTATTGGATGTATTGTTGGGCAGGAGGGAATTCTGCTGTTGGAAGAATAGAAGCCCTTCTGTTACTGGTGCAGGTTCGACATGACTTGAGATCTTGATGCGACCCGTGGGGAGGTCGCACAGCACGTCCCACCATTCAGGATGGTTGGCAAATGTAGGATTTGTGACTCCTGCAATGAACCCAGGGACCTTGAGGAGATCGTCGATCTTGGACAGATCAGTATAAGGGAATGCGTGTCGAGTAAATCCCCGTAGAATGCCACCGGATGCAAGAGCGCAAGCCGCCAGTACCGCCTCTGCAACTTCTCCCGATGGCCGGTTGTGTCCCAAAAATACCACTCGTTTCTGAGTGAGGATGGCGTTGACAAGGACAATAACGGGGTGGGTGAATGATCCGCTAGTTGTCAGATGGGGATGCGCTGGGAAAGGATGCGGGGATGTGGCATGCGGCACGGCGAACGTCTGAATGAGCTTGATGAGAGAGAAGTCTCCAACGGTCTCTGGCCAGATAACTGTCGGGATTTTGACCGGGATGGGAATATCATTGTAGACCACTTTCGACTCGTACTCATGTGTATCTCGCGGTAGGACGTATCGGCTTATTCTCTTCGGTGACGGCGGACATTCCCCATCTTCGTGTTCTTCTTCTTCCCGCTGGCGGATCATTTGCTCGAATTTCTCCAGGAACATATCCTTGGTGTTGCTAGATTGCAATATATGGCGCTCAAGTATCGACATTTTCGGCATTAACGAAAGGTCCATGGCGTTGACGGCATCATAGAGGGATGCTAGAGTTTCGGGAAATGGAGATTTGAAGTAGTCCTCCAAGGCCAGGAGGAGTAAAGGCTATATGATAGTTAGAACTGCCTGGGTACTAGGGCTAGGAGTGGCATTATAGCTTACTTTGTAAATGTGGAGGAATGAATGTCGCGTACAAATTGCCATTGCCTTGACTACTGCGCCTCTGTGCGCTGTTAGCACTTTACATTCAAGCAAAACAGTACAACTTACCTTCGGACAGTGTTATCCTGTTTCGTGTTGACAAGATTCAGCACATACATCAAGGGTGGCCCTTCCCCACCCTCGTCATCGCTACTATCGGGGTCATCGGAGAGTTCGTCCTGGCTCTCGTCCTGAATATCGGCTCCTTCCTGGTTTCCATGGTATTGTGACTTCCGCTTTCTCTTCTTCTTTCCACCCGTGGAATCCGTTTCCTCGTCGCCACTCGTGTCTTTGTGTAAGAAGAACATCGTCCAGTCCTGACTCCGCACATGCGTCTGATCTGGCAGCATCAGCTCTGCAAGCATGCTCTCGTCTCCACTAATTGCAGCGGGATATTGGTGCTCCATGATCGGGCCCCGATCGATATGGAAGGAGGCAACGAGAATGTATTCCACATGGCGCTCCGGCGAGTCGAGCGGGTACTGCGCTTTGCAGCGCCGTGGCCTGAAGTTTGAACTCGCATTCTCTGTGGATGCCCTTCGATAAGAGCCGTGTGAGCTACTGGGCGAGCGTCCGATAAAGGAGGCCGCAGGTGAGAGCCGAGGGAGACCGCTTGTTTGGCGGTTATTCGAGGCGGAGAGGGAGTCGTTCGACGGTCGATATGGTAGTGTTGTTGCCATCTTCTGGGGGGTTTGAGTAGAAAGGATTGCTCCAGGCAACACTATCAATCAAATTGCATACCGGGGGGGGCATCAAAAGCACGAGGTCCAATAACAAAAACAAGTTGAATTAATTGACCATTAACTGTTCAGGGGTTAAGAGGGGTTAAGAAAAAGGACGATTTCTCCACAGTGGAGAGACGATAAGGACGATAAGGGGGATCCATAACATTCCAAGGTTGAACTTGGAGGATCTATCAGAATGCAATCTGCCTATATTCTTCCCTCCTTACATTGTAGATCTTTCTATTTATATATAACACAATTGCCATATTGACATAGCAATTGCTTGGTATAGAATATTGTCAGGAATCCCGCCGAACTTCATGATACCTTTTAGGAGTCTTTTGGTAGTGTTGCTAGTAGATCAGTCATGTATTCTTTAGATTTCATTTTGTAGGCATTTTCTTCTATTTGTGCAAGAAGAGGAAGCATAAGCTGTGCATACTTTTCTATGTGCAATCAAAGGTATCAGTGAGGTGAAGACTTCGGGAGTATGCTTTCCCATAGGTCTATACATACTTCAAAGTCATGCAACCCCCAGTAAGCCACTTCTAGCTAGGTACAATCTATGGACGTTGCACACCTACTTTGCAAGGTTAAGCTTCAGAATCTTAAAATAAAGTAGACAATACACAGACAAAAAGGTGTTCGTATATAGATTGCATGGGGCGGTGGAAAGGGCGGTGGCAGAATCATGTTGTTGTGCCAGCCCGAGGCTTGTTTACATCTGCGCATCGATAAGCAAACCTTCGTCATAGCTGTTTACAATTCATAATTCAGCTCACACACGATTTTTACTATGGTAAGTGAGGTCTTCTGAGAGATGATATATCTATTTGAGACTAATCAACAATGATATAGGCCAACAACCCCACATTCAAACCATCGCCGTTATCCTTTGGGTCACCGAGGGCATCTCCGTTCCGGCGCCCGTCTACCCCAAACTCCCCGCCCTCGGCCACTCGCACAGCAGGAACACCGGGGAGCTCTCCCAGTCGGGCATATACACCTATGGTTTCTCCCAGCAAGCTCAATCAATCATATACAGTAGAAGACGGCGAATCGCGATCTTCGAAGAGCGAGCGGCCAATTCCCCAGCCGAACTTTGGCAGAGAGCTCTCTCCTTCCCCAACGAAGGGAGCACGGTCGCCAGGCAGCTCATCTTCAATTCTTGGGACAAGGAGGAGTGGCTTTACAGGCCCATCTAGCGATGCGGCTGGCAAGCTATCTGCGCAACAAGTGAGGGAGATCAGAGAAGCTTTCCAGGTTCTCGACCGGGATAATGACGGCCTTGTGGACAAAGACGATGTGATTGATGTGCTGACAACTTTGGGTAGGAAGAAATCTATCTATCTATTTTTTTTTACTTAGCATGAGGAACTAACCTAAGTATTCCAACAGGCCAAGACTCGTCTTCCTCCACGCTCTCGCGCTTCTTCCCACCAGGATCAAGCCAAACTATGAACTTTCCAACTTTCTTGAATACACTTTCCGAGCTGATGGCAGCAATGTCGCCTTCCCAGGAGCTTCTCAATGCTCTTGCGGCATTTGATGACGAGGACAACGGGCAAATCGACGTCGCTGAATTACGTGATGCTCTACTACATACCTCCCCAGAAGATGGAGAAGAACGATTGACTGAAAGACAGATTGATGAGGTCTTCAATGGGTTTATAGGACGCCCAGCATTTATAGGTCGGGGAACAAAGTCAGGCGGGATGGGTAAAAAGGGCGAGGTTTTCCAGTATCATGACTTTGTGCGCAGTGTGATGGGTGGAGAGAATGGAAATAATGCGAAACATGAAGGAGATGCAGCACATGTATGAATTGTATTATGAATATGGGTTTCAATTGAGTCGGCGTTACGGGGTTGCGTCTAACGTTTTGGCAGTTGACAGATTCCAAGGCTGTAGAAGCAAAGGTCAGACTATTTCACTTTTGTCATGAATGATCATGTACCATTAATTATTCAATCACAAATGGATATTGTTGCTAAAGCAGTACACTGTGTCCGACAAAATTTTAACAGAGATTAATGGAAACCGTCAGCTCTAGGCTTGTGGCTTATAGAACTGTGACGTGAAGTATTGGACTAAAACATTCCTATCGGGACAGCCTCGCAGTTACCACACTCATTTTCGAGAATCGAAGCATGGATTCGTCCCTGTGAATACGAAAATTTGATATGTTAGAATAAATGACAAGCTTTCAATAGTCTCCGGTAAGAACTGATATCAGAAGTTATACATAATAAAGTCGCTTGCCTAGAGTATGCTTTTCCCGCGTTTTTCTGCTGTCTAGAATAGACTGGAAAAGGAAAAACTAGTAACTTAAGGACATCTGGAAAAAAAACCGGGAAGCCCGCCGAGAAAGCTATTGAAAAGACTGGTAAAAAGACATCATAGGGCCGCACAAGCGGCCGCCTATACTTGTGATCGATATGTTATACTACATAGCCCTCCCGTAATCCAGATCCTCTCTTCGTAGCATGGATTTCAACGTCAGTGTCTACTTACACTATTTATGTAGCCCACAGGATACAAGAAGGGACAGAGTAGTCGTAGCCATCCATTTTTTTTTTTTTTTTTTGCTTCCAAAATACGTGGGAAAGACTACCAAATACCTAGGCATGGCAAGAACGCGAGAGCTACTCTATGTAAATGGTAAAGGTGGAAGTATACCGAGACAACGCCTTCCGCATTCCATCGGCAGAAAAGCTCCAGCCACCGCGATCTGATACACCCCGTCTACTGCACTCATTATACTTCGTTTCCCAAAGATGTTTGTCCGTGGCCCTCCAATGCAGACTTGATTGCAGAAATATGGCCAAACCTCAGCCCTTCTGGGCTCTCGGTGGGCCGGGCCCCGATGCGCCCGCATCGCCGCGAACCATGCGAACCCTCCGAAAGATACAATCCCACCAAGTGCTGTCAACCTCTAGCGCGCTCATTGCCCAGACCCAGGCCTCTGACAAAGCTGACTCTCGCGAAGCTGGCCTTGGATCTGCAACTCCTGGCGCCACAACTCGAGCACGCGCACATCGCCGAGCTCGATCAAATAGCGACGCGGCTTCTCGTGAAGCTGCAGCAACACCACCTACGTCTCATAGACGACCCGCGCGGAAAACAGGGTCTGGAATTGGGGTCAAGCGCTCGCTTCTGGAGAGCTTTTTGCGCGACGGACCGCAAACTTCAAATCCTCAGGAGGGACTGAAAGAGCTTAAATACCTCGTTCTATCCAGCAGAGTGGACGCTGATGGCGATGGCATGGTGAGGAGTACGCAGTCTGTTTTGCAAGAGTAATGTCTAACACTTTTCGATGATAGTCGCCATACCGAATCTATCTCTGGTTGGTCCTCCTCGACGTTCCTCCTATGCCCACCGATGACTACCTTGCTCTTATCCACCGCGGTCGTTCTCCCGCCTACGCCAAAATTCGCAATGATACCTTCCGCACATTAGCCACAGACCCTCTATTTAAACGCCGAGTCACAGAAGCAAGCTTGATTCGACTCCTCAATGCCGTGGCATGGAAACTCCACGATTCCAGACCAAAACCCCGGTCTCGACCCTCGTCATCCCGGCGCCGTGAGATGGAGTTTAATGCGCCACCCAGCATTGCAGAGGAGTCCCCCTTTGGTGGGGAGCTTGAGAAGGTTCCCAATAGCGATACAAGTGATTCGGCTATGTACGTCCAAGGCATGAATGTCTTGTGTGCGCCATTCCTCTATGCTGCCCGTAGCGAGGTGGAAGCCTTCGCTCTGTTTCATTACTTTGTCACACGTGAGTGTCCAGGGTATATCCGTGGTGCTATGGATGGAGTCCACAAGGGTCTTCGTTTGGTTGATCGATGCCTTGAGATCGTGGAGCCCAAGCTTGCCACGTATCTATTCTCTAAGGGCATGCATGCCGAGCTGTACGCATTCCCATCAGTGTTAACTTTGTGCGCTTGTACACCTCCATTGCCAGAAGTGTTGCATCTGTGGGATTTCTTATTTGCATATGGGGCACATTTGAACATTTTGTGTATTGTCGCCCAGCTAATTCGTATGCGTGATTTGATTTTTGAGAGCCCAAGGTAAGTTCAGCCTGTTAAATTACTTCAACAAAAGCTAACCCTACTATAGCCCAAACAAAATTCTCCGCTCATTCCCTCCCCTTGACGCAAAGGAGATCATTGCTTTGACTGTTCTCCTTGTCCGTAAGATCCCAGAGGACCTTTACGCAGAGATGATTAGCCATGCAAAATAGACATGGCTTGAGCTCACTGAGACGCTCTCACGGGAAAAGAAATAAATGACATATTACCTGGGTTCCATAGCGGCGTTTTGATATTGATCGTAATGATTCGGTAATGGTGACTTTGGATGGGATATGAGACTTACATTGACGAACACCCAAGATAACACGCTTGTTTGAATGAATTGATGATTGTACACAAATATTAGTTTCTGAGAACGCACTTCAGTTGAGAGATGATCCCTTTTGGAATTATAGTGCTTTTCCCTGAAACTTGCTGCTTGTTCGTCTGTTAAAGGGACAAACCCATACTTTTCTTCAGTTCCTGAAACAACAAACATTGTTTGCTACTGACTTTTCATTCCTATCATCACATAGGCGGAACGTAGCATTGGTTTGTACACTTCCAACATTGTTTCCCACAAACCAAAAGACAAAAGACGATCAACACAAGAGCAAAAAAGGCCATCTTCTTTATTGACGATACATGATTCAGAATCTTTATCATCTGCATAATAAGTATGACCTTGCAATCGGTCACCAATCTCTCAATATATCCTCATAGGAATAATGTCGGCCCTAGCACCGTCCGTTGCTCTCGGCATATCCATTTTCCTAGTAGCCCTATGGATCAAGTCTCACCAACCCCATTCTACGTCAAATGACCCAGCAATATGCCGCCAAATCATTGCCCGTGCGTTGAGATCCAAAGAAAATCAGTCCAATATTCTGTCAGCACATGAAGCGAAAGTGATAGCCAACCTACATCTCCCAATCGCCTTCGGAATCGCCTTCACTGGCGCAGACAGTATCTACGCCAGCATGTTCGTCGAGAAATTGAACCCACTGATCAACCTATCAACGGAGCAGTGGTACAATGTATCCGAGTTCGCAAGAGTAACGATCAACCACTGGACCGAGCATGGTTTTCCAGGTGTGGATGTCAGTTCCAGCAACAGTAGTCTCAAAGAACGGAAGAAAGCCCACGGCACTAAGATCGGCCTCGACTGCAATCGGATAAACGTCGCCAGCCTAGCACAAATACTTTCACTGAAGCTCGTGCTATGGCAAATATTCGATGAAAAGTCTCAAGACTGGGCATGCGATGAGAATCTACTAAACCTAGCCCAGTCTATCAATCGAGCCTGGATATCATACAAGTTGATACCTGCCGAAAACAATATCTCCAGATTCGAAGGAGATGTATTGCGCCAGACTTCATTGGCTATCATCTTCGGGAAACACGATCGTCCAGAGAATAACCCGCTGAACCTCATCCTGCCTTCATTTAAAACCATGTGGTGACTTGTTCTGAGAGCGTTCTTGGAGATTAGATTCGCGAGTGGGAAAGACATACCTGCGTGGCGGAAGACTATGATTGCTTTTGCTTCTCGACCCACCAAATCCTAATTCGACGCGGGCTTGGAATCATCCTCCAGTCAATCAAGTCCCCAATCTAGCGCTGATCCTGGTATAGGTACTAAGCACGGGTCTCTCAGAGTTCACCCAGTGCAAACTCCATAGTCCGTCAGGCATGTACATCGAGCGTATCAGTGGGACCAGGACGCGGGCACATCTTGTGAAATCAAGTCTGCTGATATCGAGGGATGCCATCTGAGATCTGATATCTGGGGGTCTGATGCAGGGCGATTCAACCCGAGTCGTTGGTCTGCTCTTAGGCCAGCGCAGGGATCTGCCTTTATGCCGTTCGGATGTCCTCCTTTTGAATGTCCCGCTAAGCCGACTTTCGGGCCGAGAATGATTGGAGTCTTGGTTGGGTCTTTGTTAGCGGCGTTGGAAGACGAAGATGAACTGAGGACTTGGTTTTTGGATTGCGAGGATGGGAATGTACTAGATCATATTACGTTTGGGAAGAGATTGTGTCCGCATAGGAATGCCCACACAGATTTGTATCTAGTGCGGTCTTTGGGATAAGAAAAAGTGAACAGAGATGCATATGGGAATTTCTTTCAAACACAACTGTATTTTACATCAACAAATATCGTTTATCCAAGGCTTTATAGTCAAAAGCTTCTATATGCCTAGGTACAGAATGATTTACATCGCAGCAATCAAGGAAACCACCGACATAGGCATAAAATGCAAAGCACGAGTATAACATATGTATGATTGAATGCCGACCCATCTCGAATAATACATGATAACTCTATCATGTAGGCGCAGAGATCGATAACATTTCAACAGACCTATTCAACCCAGACCCATCTATCACCAGAGGCTTACAAGCATTAGCAGCATTGGCCTCCGCAGTCATCTCATCAGCCCATGACTGACACATATCAACAGTACCTGGCACTGAGCCCGCAGTGTCCGACCCAGCACCACCCAACGCCCTATCACAGCTTACAGCCCGTGTAAGATGCGGCTCACGATCAACCTTCACCCTAATCCGCGACCCCATGAAATTCAGATTGTTGAACATCGTCACCGCGCACTGGGCCTCGTCTGCTGTTTGCATGTTGATCAAGCCGTAGAGCTGGGCATCACCGTCAATCGGGTCGGCGGTGACAATGCTACATTTCTGGACAGTGCCAGCTGTCTGCAGAAGGGTTTTAAGGTCGGCGCATGTCGTAGCCGGATTCAAGTTCTCGATGGTGATGGCTCGACGGTTTGGGTAGAAAGACGGGGAGTTGGGGTTTGTGCCTTTGCGAGATTCACGGTGGTAATGGTAGGTTTGAGGTGGGCTATCGTCGTTTGGGTGGTACATGTGTTGTGGAGGTGACATCTGATACCCTGGCATCATGTTCCAATGCGGCTCGTACATTGCGCCGTTCATTACTGGTGATGGGGGGTAATACTGCATCGGTGGTGCGTGTGGATCTGGCATCATCGGCATGAATGATTGCGGTGGCATTGGTATAGGTACCATCATGACGCCGTACTCTGGGTATGGATATGGTGGAGTGGGCGGATGGGAAGATCTGAGAGGGTTAGTTTGTTTTCTTATCTGATACTTGATAATGGGGTGGGCTCACTCTGGCGAGACGGGTGATGGGGGTATTGCCATGTTTCCATGTACTAATGGAGGCGTGGAGTGACCAGAGATGTAGCCTGTGGGCATCATTGGTGGACTTCTGGTAGGTCCGGCAATTGGCTTGGTGGGCGTACTGGTCCGTGAGAGTGTGACGACCAGACTCTGGCCGTCCCATCCGCTGGTTGAGAGTCGATCTATAACTGTGTTAGGGTGGGGTATTGGGAATTGCGGGATATAGATACATACGGTAGGTTCGCCAGGCCTCATCTTCATTTTTTACGATAATTTGGCCGAGGCCGGTGGGGAGTCCATGGCTATCGTCGTATACTACTGCCTGACGAATATGCAGTGCAGTCTGACGGACGAGATCCTTGAGTTCCTGCCAGCGGCAATGAGGTGGAATCTGGAATTCTTGTTAGTCTTTGAACGCATTTGACGTATACACTACATATCAAACTCACGCCTTGGATGAATACGACAAACTCATCATCCGACCTGCGTGATCTGGGACGACCTTTATCACGACCGGAAGGAGGCATGACTGAAGATATCTCAAAATAATATACCCCGGTATCTCAATGCCGAACGTGCGCTAGCCTAGACGTATGGATTTCACTGGAGAATCAATTTCGATGCTTGCAAAGATCCTAGTCCGTCGGCGTTGCGAAACAATCGGGCCCCGACTTGTCCGACCCGGTATTCAGTCGAGTCCAGAACTTGAGCAATTGTACTCTCTGTTAGAGGCTCATGTTAGCTCAGAATATATAAATATGGTGATATCTTTTGACTCCCACTCTGCTTGGACTGGAACGACCACAGGCGCGACATCACCAAGCATTAAGGTGCAATCTATGGAGAATCAAATCCCCCAAGCCTACCTTTTTTTTGCCTTGTCGGATAAATGCAAGGCAACGAATCAGTCTGACCGATAAACTGCAAAGAGAGATAAACCCCTCCACGAGCTAAATGACAGTCGAGCAGATTATAAAGCCCTGGAACCAAAAATCAAAGAGGAAGCGTCGAGGTTTCACAGAAATAGCTATGATGATATATGATATAGTCAATTTATTTTCTTAGGGCTAGTAATAATCTACGATAGTCCTATTCATGGCTTGCAAGTAGAAACCTGGGGACCCAGAATACTGCACCAAGTGGACGAATAGCGACGGCAGACGATCAGCAGTAGCCAGTCATATCAGAGAACAAGCAGCTTTCTTTCTCCTTCTGGCTGAGATATGTCATTTTTGCCATGAGTTCAGCTCTGCCAAATGCAATATAGGGTGGTTCTGCCGTCCCACCGGATATAGTTCCACTAAAGGGCATTGGGTGGCCCATACTAATGTATACACTCCCCCCCTTTATTAGGAATATTAAAACAAAACCCCTCCATTCAAGTACCGGGCATAGCCGTGCACAGGAGGCAAATCACCTCGAAAGCGCTTACCTTTTAATAAGGAGATGTAGTGTTACACCGCTAGATCCGAATCGGACATGCAGAATGGACATGCAGAATGGACATGCAGAATGGACATGCAAAGTGGACATGCAGAGTGGACATGTATCCATCACATTGGTTCTATTGTCAGATCGGGAGAGAAAAAGAGAGAAAAAGCAAAAGAATGGAGAAAGAAGATATTGAAAATCAAAAATTTAAGAACAGGGATCTCCGATCAGAGCGGGTCTCTAACATGAGCAGTCATACTTTGCAGTTATTGGTTTTTTTTTCTTTCCTCTTTTTTGGATCAATTACATCGACTATTGATTTAAGTACCTGCAGATAGTCGAAAGATAGGATTTTTCAAAAGCAAGAAGAGGCAAGTCCTTGGAATTCATTGCTCTACGGAGTAAATTCTTCATTCATCATGTGCACAATATAGCGTTTACCTCCCTAGATAGTCCTGCTCCCCCTAGCTACCTAGTCACACTGCAGGTCCCAGAAAGTCCACAGTCGGCGTTGCCGTCTCCAAAAAGGGATATGTGGAATACGCATGTACTCAAAGCCTATATATTGTACAGACGAGACCCGGAGAGGGGCAAGAACCATAATAAACATGGCACAGGGCATGTGCGACTGTGGAAGTATATCAAAAAGACAAATGACCATCCGCATAGGGTGTTCCATACATTTTGAGGAATGTATGATGAACTTGGTGTGAGACGAAGCTGTGCTATGACGATGCAAGACCAAAGCGCAGGTCTCCCGGGGAGGTCATATGGCCAATCTGGTCTTTGCGCATATCTATGGCCTCTTTGACTGGCGTGTGGGATGGAATGTTCTTAATTTATCTCACGGGCGGGGTTCAATTCCCCGGATGCCAAATGCAATTAGGATTACTAGCATTGTCTGGACTAAATATACTCTGCAGATATGTAGGCAATTCGAGTTTGTTATATTTCAGGTTCGTAATAGACATCGAGTGCTCGAGATAATATCAGGCCATTGAAAGAGAAGTTGCAATATGAGACATAAAAAGCATTGCTTATTAACTTGCAAGACTTCGAACCAGATTCTTCTAGGCCGACCGGGTAGAATGGGCCTCCCAAGCGAACGGAGTACTTCGGTCCGTGGTTCTTGCACCATCCCCGATATGTTTTCCTTCGGTGACCGACACCTCCATCCCATGGGAAATCGCCGAGATCAGTATCGGCGCAGCTCCCAAAGCTCATAGGGACTCTCGATCTCAGGTCCGGAGCGAAGCCGAATAGGAAAGTATCGAAGGGATGGGAGTTTGTATTCGGAAAGTCGCATCGTCGCGACCGGGGGGGGATTGATTTTTTGTTGGTTTGAAAGACGGTTTTTGATGTTGATCCAGTCAACCATTCGCTAGACTCCACCGATCCTCCGGTGTATTTGGGGTTGTGTTTGGTTTTGGTGATCGTTTCATAGCCGTAGACTGTTCATTCTCCGAAACCGACTTTGGCTGCGCAGCGGCCACAGTAGTAAGAGTTCATGCCGAATTGGACGATGCTGCTGCCTGATTGGCCTAGGCTGAGGGATTGTTGGCAACGGGAACATCGGACAATGTCGAGGGTTGGAGGAGAGGCCCCCGATGGACGGGCAACACCACCAGTCTGAGGTTGAGGAGTAATTTGTACTGGAGAGCTCATGTTGGAGAAACTGGAGAAATGTGAAGAGAGAAAGGGGGGCGATTGCATGTTTTTGAGTCCCTGTGATTTACCCCGGTTTATATGATGATACGACTTGATAAATAAGGAAAGGGATATGAAACAGGGAAAATCTATCGAAATTGTCTACCCAATACTTTTGTACCCTACTTATCCCTTCTCTGCCGATCATATGGGCTTACATCTGGGCTTACATCTGGGCTGTTTTGGGGCGCTCATTCCGAATTAACGTTGCTACCTAAACCCGGACATGCCGAGTAATTTGGCTCTTGGGATCGGGAATTTGGCGTTCTCTACTCCGTACTCCGTAGATCGTAGTTCGTAGTATATCTCTGATTGAATGGTCAGATAGTCTAGTATATGGGCTGAGAACCTTCGGAGGCCGGAAGGTCCCCCAAACCAGAATAGGAAACCCTCTCATGTACGTGTACGTAGGTGGACGCCTTGGGCTTAACGCTAATATCCCGAGATTTATATTTCCAAGACATATAATATCACCATAACATCACTATCTGTTAAAGAAGCTAGTAACTTGTCGGTAGATCCATACGTTTATATATGTTTAAATTCTGTGGATAAATTAGTTGAATTCCTGTTTCCGCTGTTTAATGATGAAAGAGGTCATTGTTTTTGAAGGACAGTACCCTGCTAGCTCCATTTAGGTCGAAAGTCGACGATAAGGTGTGGCAAACGGGTAAAACGGTTGGAAACACGAAATCTCCCTTACGATTTGCCCAGCCGACGTCATATTCCCTCTATCCGGGTTCTTTTTTCTTCGGGACTGTGTTGGTTATCGAGTCTAGACCTCTAGACAAAATCCCAGCGTTTAGATCTCCCGCCCAAAAAAATATCTCCTGCCCCTCATTTCTATCCCACCCACATATTCCACAATGGCCGGACATCCCAACCTCTACAGTTTCCCCACCTCCGACGCACTAGCTGCACAATTGCGAGGTTACGTCCTCCGTTGCCAGAACTCCGCTCTTTCCCGACACGGCACCTTCCGTCTCGCTGTCTCCGGTGGCTCTCTGCCAACCGTTCTCGCCAAAGCCCTCCTCGCCCCCAGCAATGGCTCTCCCGAAGACACCCCTCAATTCTCCAAGTGGCACATCTTCTTCGCCGATGAGCGCGCCGTACCGCTCGATCACGAAGACAGCAATTACCGCTTGCTGAATGACGAACTCGTCAGCAAGATCCCCGCCGATCTCGGCTCGCCTGTCGTCCACCCAATCGATGAGAAACACGTCGGGGATGACGACCCCCAGGAACTCGCAGATCTCTACCGAGAGGATCTGATGCGCGAGTTCGCAGCCAAGGATAGCGTCAAATTACCCATCTTCGATCTTATCCTCCTGGGCTGTGGTCCCGATGGTCACACCTGCTCCCTCTTCCCCGGTCATGCTTTGCTTCGTGAGAAGGATGCTTGGGTTGCGGCTGAGACAAACTCCCCCAAACCCCCGCCGAAGCGCATTACCCTTACCCTGCCGGTTGTTACCCACGCTGTCAGCATCGCCTTTGTTGCGACCGGTGCGGGCAAGAAGGAAATTATGAAGCAGATCTTTGATCTTGAGGAGGGCTCTAGTCTTCCTTCGGCTCTCGTTAACCAGGGTGCTGGTGAGAAGGTTAGCTGGTTCACAGATCACCCGGCAGTGGATGGTGTTGCATTCCCTCGTCGTGGGAGTCTCTGAGGGCTGCTACTTGCTAGATGGATAGATGGCTCTACTTTCTATTTCGCAAGCTTTGCCTTGTGTGGCATTGATTGCACTGGTTGTGATGAAAAGTGACGTTCTGCTTTGACCTGTTACTAGGACCGGTAGACCAAACTTAGTATAGAATTCTTATCCTTCCATCATGTTTGCCCATGAATGAGTACAAATTAGGCAATCTATTTCGTAGATATCTTCCACTCTCAAGAGAGTGTCACACTCGTTGTTCTTGACGTTATTTTTGAGTTTTCTAGCTGGAACAGTGCAAGTAGTCATCTAAACAAATCTGGAAACAATATGCATAAGCAACCGATAGTTCTCTGGGATATTGTAGGTGTTCCGGAGCCATGAAGTCTACTTACAATTTCTCCCTTTCTCCCCCGGGAGCAGGTAGCTTGCCATGATCAGATATCTAGAGAGACATCTAGAAAGACATAAGAGGGACATGTAGAAAGCTATCTAGAAGATATGACAACTTCCTGTCGATGACACCTATATTAGCAACATAATCATTTCGATCACTTCTCTTCCTCTTTTGCGTCACAGCTATCAAATACCCGATAAACGTCTGGTATAATTCTTATATGTATTTGATGGGAATGTCTGCTTCTCTCTCGCAGGCGTCCCCGAGCGTCCTCTCTCCTACCCCGACTTAACGATACCAAGAAGTCTAATAGCCTCCGAGTCGTATGCCACAGTGATACTTCATCAACGAGATTCAAATCACCGTCTGGTCTACTCCTTCTACATTAGAGCAAACTAGAGCAGCCAGATAACCAGTCTGCCAACATTTTTGATATCCAGTCCTCGATTACTGATTTCCCACCACTATCCGTTATGACATCGAAAAATCATTGACATTGATTCAATTGAGACTGTAATGACTGAGTATCACATATGTAATCCAATCCGTAGTTCGAATCCGGCTGATTCACCATCACCAGCTCGTACGGCCTTTCTTCTATAAAATATGATCAGTTTGGCCCCTTTGATACCAATACAGCTCAGTAGCTTACCTTCACCTAGGACTTGAAGCAATCCTTTCCACACTGGCATTGCTTGGTATCGGTATTGCAGAATCCATATTTATCGGGACAGCACTTTTGGGGGTCTGCAGCAGCACATTTCTTCGTAATGCACGCCCTCTTGTCTAGCTCAGCAGGCGATGCAGCCGTAAGCAGAGCGAGAGAGAGGACAAGAGCGATTGAGGCGGAGATGAACTTCATTTTGAGGAGGTCTTGGGTCTTGGTATGAAAGACTGACTTGAGATGAGAAATAATTTCTAGCAGGGAGACAGAAGGCTGTATTTATATAATTTTAACTGCTCACAAGTCTTTGATGAGGGGTATATATCACACTGTTGCTATACATAACCCTAACACTTTTATGTAATAAGAAGGCAACTGTACAATATACAAAAGATGGGATGTATGATCAGCATAAAGGTCCAATAGATTACTCTTGCGCTATTTAGCCAAGAACTAGCATCAAATCATTTACTCTATACTCCGTAGTGGGTGTGGAATTCCTTTTTCTTTCCCCAGGTTTGAAGGATTCTTCGTTAATGACTGATGCAGGGTTCATGTAGATCCTCCACATTTGGACTGATGGAGCGATTACGATGAGGCTATGTGGAGAGGAGGTCTGCTATAGGTTGCAACGATGTCGATCCTGTGTAGTGAGCCCCTTACATTATGCCAACTGTCCATTCATGAAAATATCCCTAAATTCTTTGATGTTTGCCAAGTTCAGCCTCCTGTGACACTCCAAAACTTAAGCACGGGGATTTTTAGACCCGGGCAGCTCAGAATGAAGTTGATATTCAAGGGTTACATCGCATACGTCTTGATTCGTTTCAATTCAATCGCATCTACATAGAGCAATACAATATTATCAGGCTTTAAATGTTGACGATAACTGCTAAAGGTACTAGCCGTGAATTGTAAGATTTCAGCCACTGGGAATTAGAATCCTTACCCATAGGTCGGGGATCTGTCCGTGATTATATGTACCCAAGACTTTGGACTTTACATAAAGCATTTCCAAGGTTGCTTGGCGGCTGAGATGTGTGGCCTAATAAGGGTCCTATCTAGGATGGGGCCAAGAATGTCCACGAATTCGAGTCAGAAGGTCGAAGATCCATGGATGGTGATCACATATTTGATATCGTATTACCTTGTACGGGTATCATTAAACGTCAAATAGAAGGAGACATTGGAAACTTCACTGCCATACAGGACCCGAAGCCTTATCGAACTATTTTAAGGTTCATTCACCGGAGTCGTGGATAGATAAGTACCAATGCAAAGTGTACATGTACATATGCCAAGGACTCAGTTTTGGGTGTGAGCTGTCGTTGCCCTAACTATTTCAGTTGGGGCGTTCAGCCGCGTAGGAAAGGCGTGTCGATCTCCCGTTTCTATCCGGCCCGCACAAACCCATGCGTAACCTCATCTTTTCTTTAAAGAATAGTGTAGCTTGATGGCCTCCTTGATAGGTTCGCAAGTAGGAATGTGAAGCAAGCTGGTTTCTAAAGGATGAAAGGAGATATCTGTATTGAATGCAGAGAATTTGAAATAATCTAGACAAGAAGCGTGAACGCCCATCATTTAACCGCCAAGTACAAACAACTTGATCCCGGTCAAATACACAAGGATGACACCAATTATAGTCTGGCCCCATACTCCCCATAGAGTAGAGTTGATTGGCCAAGCCACAATCAGAATGACACCCGTCTGGCCGTGAACGTTGTACTGTCCCCTTTCTCTATGACATTTTGCGGCTCCTATTGGTTGGCGCATTTTTGTAGACAATAGTCGCTGCTCTGTAATTGATATGATTAGCCGGAACTTGAAGTTGTAGAAGCCAATTACTCACTCCGCCATCGATCTTGCAGAGTGTATAGCAGTTGTTGGTCTGAACAGAAGCTGGTGAGTCTTTTTCAGCTTCCATAGGTGAGGCAAAGGCTAGCCCAATGAAGGTTGCAAGGGCCAAAACAGAAAAACGCATTTTGAAAAGGCTTTTGGGACGGATAGTTGGTATTTCTGGTGGAGAAGCGAAGATTGGTTGAATTATATCGGGGGCGAAATATCTGCTTCTTATATTTGGTTGTACCTTGTTGATATCAGTTGGTCAATCCATCTCCATTCGCTAGGTGCTTTAAGTTTAGCCCCACGACCTCACACATGCAGGCTTATGTACATATTTTCTTCATGTAGGGATGATCCTCACAGGCGCTCACTCGTATTCCAAAATTTCAGGGATCAGCACAAACATTCTACCGTTCAAAAAGACCTGCACATTTCTATAAGCCGTTCTTTCTTGGCTCGCACAAATCTGGCTCCTGCAATGTAACCTCGGATTGCGAACCAATAAGACATAGGTCTGACACACGAGGCCAGGTGTTTCGTTCTAATGATCTGCAATCTGCTTCTCATAGTAGGAAAATAGTCAAGAGGGTACTCAATACTTACGCATACACCGACCTTCTAAGCGGGGTTAGGGCTACTTGGCAAGGATCTGTCAGTTCTATATAAAGACACTCATAGAATGACACTTCCTCAATACTGCATCTTAAAATCTCTCAACCAAACTCTGCACAACCTTCAGAACTCAGATCTAAAACCATGAAACTTTTCATTGTTCTATTTGCCCTAGCTGCCTTCGCAATGGCCGAGGCTGGTGGGACTCTGGAAGCGAGAGCTGGGTGTTCCCAGAAGGGACAATTCTGCAACGATGGCACATTCCTGTGCTGTCGGGGACAAGGAAAATGTAGTGGAAATGTGGTAAGTCTACATCCGCTCTTTTTCTGGAAACAGATTTGGCCAAACATGATAGCAGATGGCTAAAAGTAAACATAGTGCAAATAAACCACCATCTACCGAGAGAGTACAGAGGTCGTCCCAGCTTATAGGATTCAATGTATTGGGCGCCAGGACTGATATGATTGGTCACTCTGGGATCCTCCGCGCAATGTGGTGTCGCTTCTAAACCACCATTGATGAAAATTTCCATCCGCAAGGAAAGCTCTCAGTTCAATGAGGATTTATCATGTCTTGCTAGCCTAGATTTCCACTCAATGTTGCCAGCTGGAGTTGGAAGTTTACTCATCGAACTGGGAATCTTATCATCTCAAACTCGATATCAATGAAACTTATATCTTATTTGGAGTAGACAGAGACAGTCGGATGACCTCTATCTGTAATAAATATACCACTTGTCTCGATCTAGAGAAGAGGGAAGATCCATCGTAACAACAAAGCGCAAGAATAACTTTTGAATGCATAATTTTGTATCATAACCTTGAATTGCAAGTAAGACAGAGCAGATATAATATTTTCCTGACCTTATATGCATATAAACCATGTTCCTGGTCTGATATATCGTTGGGACTTAAGAACACATCTCTCACGGACAGGGCTAATGTATTTAAGTCACCCATTCGCCAAAATCACCAGCAGCTGTGTCTATCTTGCCTAAGCTAGTTGACATCAAGTCGATTTTCAAATGAACACTTATAATAAGAATTTATTTGCAGATAACGTACCCCTCATCGTGAAATCTCTCTCAGACAAAGACCTCGAGCATCATTACAAGCGCATTCTCACAAAATCTACAGCAGTTTTAACGTATACATGAGCAACAAACAGTAAATGATCAAGTATGATGATCATGGCTGACAGACGAGCGCAGTCATTCCATAGATTTCTGAACAGTCTCCTGGCCCCGAAGCTCAATACAGAGATTCAATCCAACTCATATATGGCGATATGTTAGCAAATTCCCATTTTTAATTGCTCTACAGCCAGATCTGTACAGCCTTGTTAGATCTATAGGACTTCATATACTCGATATAGGTATAGCATGTCCAATGAGTAGATCTTCTGGCCAAAAGGAATTCTGTGCATCGAGCTCACCACCGCTATGTAAATAACCAAAGCAAACACCTAGCCATTCAATGACACCAGCTGTTAAAGCTTGGACGAAAGGGAACAAACCTTTCACAGCTAGACTCGCCTCCCACCATTTCAATTAGACATCGGTCTATTATTCGAACTTCACCTTCAACCTCAACTCTGGACAGCAACCATCCACAAATCTTCATTTTACTATTCCAAGAGATTCATCGAGTAAGTATAGCAACCAAATAAGCAAAATCTAGTATTAATAAGGTACGGCAGGATGGCGGAACACTTTGCGCGCAACTTTAGCCTCATGACTATGAAGCCGGATGGCGAGTTCGCAAGATCGTCCAACCCCAACTACAATAACTTCAACTCGAACCTTCGTACCAATGCTCTGCTGGTATCCATTGACTTTATGGACATAAAGCTCGATACTGGCATCATTGATTCAGCCCCCAACATCAATTTGATCGACTTGGATGCTCAGATCAAGGCCCCATGTGGTTTCTTTATCGACCCTGAAGACCGATGGGATGCCCCTCGTCCTGTACTTCCATCATATGTCGACCTCATCGACCTCTGGCCGGAAAATGCAGTTTTCAATTCGAACCACAACTCCTCTGCTCAGGCTGAGAGCGCCAATGCCACCGGCATGAGCCCAACCGACCTTATCGATTTGTGGTCGGACGCCGAGTCCAGTGCCCTCCGTCAGAAACAAGCTATCATTGGTATGAGACCAACGATTGATCTTGTTGATCTGTGGTCCGATACCCAGATTATTCCAGTGAACATGGAGCTTGTCGACTTCACTTTGCGCACTGAAGTCATGCGCCATACCGATTCTGACTCGTCTGGATGGCATACTACCACAGAAATTAACGACACATTTGACATGGACCCTGAGGATGTGGAGTACCTGGATTGGTTTGGATATGTTTGCCCACGCTATTCTTTCTCCGATCTTACTGAGACGAGCGATCTTACTGAGACGAGCTTGGATGAAGTCCTGGCTGTTGACTCTTGCTTCCTGCATACCTTGCATGCCACCAAGTGGACCTCCCAGTCGGGAGCCACAACTGCGATTTCCCTCGTCTCCGGGACTGAGTAAGTAATATGCCCCTAGATTTCACTAAATTGATGAGAACTAACACCTGCTGCGCTGTATTAGGAGCTCTTGGTCCCCTTCCTTTGCCACCGAGCTGATTGCCAGACTCGAGGCTCTCATCGAGGATGCCCACAGCGAGCTGTTTTGAAAACAGCTTGAGCAAAGACTCAGCTTTACAATAGAAACATTTCACACCACGATATCGATGGCAAGGGGGATCTGATGGGGAAGTGACGGAACAATGACGGGAAAGTGAGGATTGAGTCAACGTCAAGGAAGACTGCCTACAGGAGGTATGCGTGTCAACCTGCAAGTACAGATTCAATTCAATTTCATTTTCCGGCATACCCAAGCGATATGAGATTCGGTTCGTAGTTGTATTCTGTTTCGAATCACCCTAGACAGGAACGTAAAAGGGTCTAGAATGTTGTCGGATATATAATCTCAGCCTTCAGCAACTGATTTTCAGCGACTCTTTTAATTAGTTAGTATCTTCGAATTTTATTGATTTTTTTAGAAAATTGCCTTCAACACAATATATATTTCTACAGACTTGCGCTTCATGTGCTTCAAGAATCCCCCTGATGCACTGGCTCTAGTGTGTAGCATCATTAGAAAACTACCACAAACTTTCGCCCGGCAGGGTCTTTATGTATTTGGTTCTTTGTATCATTTCATTTTCTGGTGTTTTTTTTATAGCGATATGATTAATTGAAGATGCATTTTCACTGTCTATAGACTAGCCTGGAAGATCAGGATCGAAAATGGTACATAAATGGGGTGGGTAACTTTGGGGAAGATCGCACACCTCTCAGACTCTCCATCAACAACATTTGAACATTGAACCCATTTCATAAACCCAATGCATAATGCCACTCCTCTGATGACCTTGTACGATCATGCCCATCCCAACGCGTTCGGCTTCGCTGCGCGATCCCCGTAAACAAGTCAGTCCCCCGTTTGTTTACCCGTCAAACTCCCCACAGCTGTCGCATACCTGTGCCACCATTGCCGTGCCAACAATTACTCACAAAAGCCATGCTAATTATCAAAGACATCAAATATAGCACGGCCTACAACAAAATCATCGGCTCCACTACCTCCCACGACCAGCCCGAGCAATGACTCTACGCACGAGACGAATAAAAAGCAGCGCTCGCCATCCAATCCCTCGCCGGTCGAGGGTGTGCCACCGAAAGACAATGGAGTCAGTGCCCGAGGAAGAACCCTACTGCCCCAACGCAGGAATACTGTCCAAGACAACGGTCGGGGAACTGGCTATGGACGTATCCAGCCTCCTAGCAGCAAGCCGAAACCACGCGGAGACCTGTCACCAACTAGACAGCGAGAGATATCACCGCCTAAAAAGCAATCACCGACGGATTCTACAGCAATGAAGACAGGGGCTCCACTGAGCCGTCGCCAAAGCATTATGCGACCTGGTGCGTTGAAGATGCCGTCAGCGAAGACTACGGTCCCTTCATCAAAGGGCTCCGCGCCATCGTTCGCGCCGCCCTCACCCCGGAAAGCGACAGGAAGGCGGTCCCCAGTTCAACCTCCTACAATCAGAAGACCCCCTTCACCCAAGAAAACAGAAATGCTTCCCCCACCACGCCCCACACGGTCCGCCTCTTTGAGGCAACCTATCAGCACCGGCAAGAGACCGCCGGTGGAGGCCAAAAGCCATGTGCAACATAGGAGTCAGTTCACACAGAGTACAAAACAAGCTGAAACAACCCCAGTGACCGCCCAACGTGCACGGGCACTATCAAACTACCAACGACCGCCGTCCCCTAAGAAATTCTCCAAACCTCCAACACCTACCCCTGGAGTCGAACCTCAGTCTGGGAATCTGTTGATCCCTTCGTCATGGCCAGATATTGCAGCACTACAGACGGAGCTTCTCCAGCTCAGCCTTTTCCATTCCAACTCATTACAGAGGCATGCGGAATGGAAATCCGATTCTGAGTCATGTCTGCGCAAAAAGTACGACGGTGTCGCTAGCCAATATCGCTTGGTACTGGCAGATGAAAGGCAGCGGCAGTGTCACTTGAATGTGCAGGCCCTGGGGCTATGGCTTTCCAATTGCCGCCAACATCGCGGTCCGCATGATTTCTCCGAGCAGATTCAGATTTTATCACGGGTTCTACAAGACGTTTCGGATATGACTGCTGACAGCAGGGGTGCACAGTACTCCCAGGCTGTCAAATCATTTGAAGACTGGCTTTACCACGCAGAGCTTATTCGCCATGATCGTGGACCGACATCTCTTGATGTTTGCGCCTTCATTGACCCCCTGGGGCGGAGCTGGAAAGAATCATTGCATAAATTAAATGTGAGGCTGGAACTCTGTGCACGCGAATTACAAGTCCTTGATATTCTCGGCTTCGGACAAGTGGAGCGTCTAGAACAGTCTGCTCTTGCTAGAGTGGCCAAAAACCTGGCTGAATTGATACAGCTAATGATGCAAGAGATTCGTGCCATGCAGAAATTGGAGGCAGAAGTAGTGCGCTCAGAAAGAGATGCTGTCAGCCTTCTCGCGATGCAGTTCGCAGGCTCTGTAACGGAAACGAAAGCACCCCGAGTTGGGGCATGGAGAAGCTAATTCGCGAACATATGTTTTATTTGAATACATGAATACTTATGGCGGAATCTCAAGCAACTGTAGATAGAGACACATATTATGTTGAACTAAAAACGATATGAAGTGCGTGAATAGATTTGGGGGAAATGAGTGGTGATAGTACTTCGCCCCAAGTACTTGGCCGCCAGCATAAGCTGATGTGGTACCTGATCCGAGGTAGCTAGATGAGTCAGCCAGTATCATCTCAATCTGACTTCAGGAGGGGATGGTCCAGATCCTGGAGTATTGCAAATGCGCTCCTTTCTTGTACATTGATCTTTCTCTCTTTCACTTCACTCCTACTTGTCTCTTTGTACATTATACGGTGTACAAATATCTCATGAGTTGCTTTATCCGGGGTGATGAAAAAGCCATCTCTCTTCTCTCTTCTTGACGTCATCCACGGCAGCTTCCGTTTTGACAGATAAAAGTCATCCGCAAAGGGACAGTATCCACTTGCCCAGTGCCTTTCGAGATGACCGCCGACCGTACCTAGCGAAGGATCTTAACTTTGTCGCCCATTTGATCCAGTGATCATGAGAGACTCGATCTACGACCGCCTTTGGCGTCGGGAATGCGGGGACTCGTTGCGGCATGCTGGAATTCGGGGAATTTATGGATCCAAGGAATGGATCAATGATCTTGACATTGTGAATGAACTCGGTGGGCATACTGGATGTGTCAATGCTCTCAGGTACGTTTATAGCTGCATATATTGAATTATCTGGGTTTCTTGAGTGGCAAACACTTCCGCCATCTCTGATGCTTATCATGCTAACGGTCTCGCAGTTGGTCAAGTTCAGGGCGTCTTTTAGCGTCCGGCTCCGATGATAAGCACCTCAATATCTATTCATACCAACCCGACTCCTCCAATGCCCCATTCGCGCTCAACACAACCGTTTTCACCGGCCACAGAGCCAACATCTTCTCCGTGAAGTTTATGCCGCACTCGAATGATGGGACTCTGGTTACATGCGCAGGCGACTCGCAGGTTCGCGTCTTCGATATCGAATACTCAGCTGGGAGCAGAAATGATGCCGCCACCTCTGCATTTGCGGCTTCCACTCGGAGGCGCCGTTTCAATGAGTTCTTCAGTAGCACGCGGTATCTCAGTGACGGTAATACCAACGCCAGAGTGTATCGGAGTCATTCCGATCGCGTGAAACGCATTGTCACCGAATCCTCCCCGTTCCTCTTTCTCACTTGTTCTGAGGATGGTGAGGTCCGCCAGTGGGATCTGCGACTACCTTCTAGTGCATACCCTCCACCACGAGGTGGTCAGGGCTTCATGGCACAGGTTTCGGAACATGATGACTCTAATGTTCCGCCACCTTTGATCTCCTACAAACAATACAGCCTGGACCTCAATACAATTTCTTGCTCGCCAAGTCAGCCACACTATATTGCCTTGGGTGGTGCACATGTCCACTGCTTCTTGCATGATAGGCGGATGCTTGGCCAGGACACTTCCACTGCAAGGGGCAGCAGGTCTACCCCAAGCGTTGGTAGCTCTGCTGATGAAGAAATGGGCAAAGCGACGCGATGCGTGCGAAGATTCGCACCGGGCGGCAAACACCACATGAAGTATATTGATGACGGACACATTACTGCTTGTAAAATCAGTGATGCAAACCCCAATGAGATTGTGGTTAGCTGGTCTGGGGATTACATCTACAGTTTCGACTTAATCCGCAGCCCCGATGCCCGAGAGACCCAGACGGGCGCTAAATCGACCATCAAAAGCAAGAATAGGCGGGCTCGTCGCAGTTCAAGGAGCCGAAAGCGCAAGAAGCCCGAGACTCCTTCATCGCAGGGAAGCGGTGGTCGACACCAGTCTCGTCTTCGCTCAGCAGAGCCGGATACTGTTCGGATTCAATATGAGAATGGCGAGGCAGAGGATATTCCATTCCCCACAGTCTCAGACAGTGATATAGGCACCAGTCCCGAGTATTTGCTCGAGCAGGCTCGGTACTCTGTGCTAAATGATGCCCAGCGATTGAGCATGCAGATCGCAAAAGGGTTGGTTAAACTTCGAAAGACCCTGTTTTCACTAGAAACGACAGTTCGGGAGGTCGCAGGATCCGAAGACGCAGGACCCGAATTGTACTCCAGATCTTTTGCATCAGCCATAGAGATTGCGTCTACGCTTCTACCACAAATGGGCGATGTCATGCGCGAATGGAGTTATCCTATGAACCCATCACAGGAGACTGTTAATTTCCAGCAATCACTTCGTCGCAATCGCCAAGCGTCGTGGAGATTTGTCCAAGCCGCTGGCACACTTGCTCATGCGTTGGCAGATCAACGGCAAGGTCCGGAAGATTCAAACTTCGAGATGATTAAGCCTGCGCCGGGCGAAGATGACCCCATTGACCCAGCATCGCAGTTTGGCTATGAATTCCTCCGAGCAATTCTTCTCTGGCTGCAGGGCGGCAGGCAGCGTCTTCTAGAGGGATTCCAACGCCACAATGCTCCTCGACGATTACATAGCCGTTTCCCAATCCCAGATGAATCCGATGAGGACGCCATTGAAACAATCTTAGTGCCCTACATCATGGAAATGGCTCGCGACACTCCGATTGTGAATGTGGATGCCAACCGATTTGAGCATGACAGTACGCGTATCCTGTTTCAAACCCAACGGGCTGCCGTGACAGCATTTGGGAACGCTGTTAAACTGCCCTTGGAAGATCTCGGGGGCTCAGCTGCTAGGTTCGACAGGGGTCGTGTTTCTAATACTTCCTCACAGATTCGCTCTCTCGACCGTGCCTCTGCGAAGAGGTTCTGGGTTTTGCGAGTAGGTAGGGGAATTTTGATGGATGCCGGTAGGGACGTGAATTACAAATTTGTCAACGATGCTTTCGGCGGACTTCACGCCATAATGGACGAATCTGAGAGTGACTCGGATGAAGAGAGAAACCAAACTGATATCGATCCCAACGAGGAAGAAGAAAGAATCCGCCGCATTGAAATCATCAGGGGTGGTGGTTCTGTTCCCAGACAGGATACCCCCCGGCCTGAAAGTTCTCGAGAGTCTGCAACATCTTTGAATAATGGCAACGTTGACGCAGATGAGGATGAGGGCGATGGTAGTCAAGCAGAAGAGCCAACCGATGATGAAGATCTTGATGGCTGGCCCATGGATTCATCTGACGACGAAGATGACGAGGGGTCTGATTCCGATGACATTATCTCCCGGAGATATGCCATTCGCAAGGCACAGCATAAAAATCTCGAGCGCAATGTTCCATGCGTACCTCACATGCGAAGCTATCGCGGCCACTGCAACGTCAAGACCGTCAAGGATGTCAACTATTTCGGACTGAATGATGAGTATGTTGTCAGCGGTTGTGACTCTGGTAATCTATTTATCTGGGACCGCAAAACATCGAATCTGGTCAACATCCTAGAAGGTGATAGTGAGGTTGTCAATGTTGTTCAAGGTAATTACCGTTATTTGTTAGAAAGACAAAAGCTAACATTGTGGTTTAGGCCACCCCTATGAACCCATGATCGCCGCATCGGGAATTGACAAGACCATCAAAATCTTTTCGCCAGACCAGAATGCTCAAGAAGATGCCCGTAATGGTGTGAACATCCTAGACCCCGACAATCCATCCAACCAGCTTGGTCGAACCCTCTCCAGAATCGGTGGTCTCGAGAGCCGGAAGCGAATCCATGAAAGCTACCGCATCATGAGCCAAAACGATGTTGAGCGTCGTGGCGGTATGAACGAGGCACACATCACTGTACATATGCCCCTGGATCGTTGTTTAGCTCTTTTTGCTGACTAGTATATAAAGCGGAGTATGCTCGAGCGCCTGGCTACCAACCTGAGGGGTGGACATGGTGGCCTTGGGGTTGGAATCGATGATATTGGTTCTCCTGGCGAACACCGAACTATTGTTATCGATGATAATTGTTCAGTATGTCTGGACTTCTCGTTTATCTTTGGAAATGATACTAATTTTTCGATAGGTGATGTAAAGGATGAACAGGCGGAGGTTCGGATATCTCCAGAGCTGCACAGTATCGAAGATCAGTGTTCCATAGCTACACACATTTATCCTTATCGCAACGCACACTTTTTTATTCAGGAAGGTGCTCTTTTCCCATTAAGTGGCACCTTCCCTGTATATATCTATATTTATATAATTACCTTCTTTATAGAAGTCAAACACTTCCACCTCCAGCCCCCCAACCACAACCTATCACATCATCTCTTGACGCAACACCGATTCTTATATTTTCCAATATATCTTGCAAAAAGAGTTCCCCCATCTGCGACACCTAAGAGACTCTAGTTCTCATTCAAACGGCAATGGGGCTAAAGGAGAGCCAGCCCTTCCTGGCCATACCAGATCTACAGTGGGGTAGGAGGTCGCGATATCAGAGACAGAAGCGAAGTTGCATCGACATGTGGACTCATAGCCTGGCACCCAAGGGTACATTTGAAGTGCTATAACAGTGAAATCGAGTTGAACATGACCGACAATCACTGTGAATGAATGGAATCGATTTTTGAAAATGATACCCTCATCTTGCGCCTCGTCTCCCGGTATCACGGTCCAGCGCTCCGTTAGTACAAAAGACCAACCCATCTTTCGTTGCCTCAGAAGGGATTTAGTGGAGCTTGAATCTAAGGCGGGAAAGAGGCTGCAGTCAAAGCGCAAACCATCCCCTTGGATATCACGATCTCCACCACAATGTGGAGCCACTTGTTGTACTCAAGCAGCAAAGAGAACTGCTAGAGCTTGGATTCAAAGTGACGTGTCGAAAACTTAGGCACATACCAAACATACGAAGATGTGCTTGAAGCTTCTATACAGGGGCAGAGGGAACCTCACCCCAATCCCCAGACGTGATTGGTTTGGACATGAAAAGATCCAAGAATGGAGTTCGAGTTACACGGCCGAGGAGAGCACAATGAGAGCGCAAAGGCCTCAGATTTGATATCTAGGATAAACCATGGCCTAGTTCATTAAATCCCAGCAATTCTATATACAGTCTGACAACCCGCCGTCTCAACAAAACACGCATCCCCCATTCGCTTCAATTGACGACACCGGAATGATATTGGAGGCCGACATGATTTCGCTTTTAGAACTCTGTTCCCAGTCGCCTTTGGTTTGTTCGATGACACAAAGCGATTGGTGGCGGGGATATTTCTCTCTGTCAACCTTGGATGAGTATGAATGGGTGCAAAACTGCACTTTTCTTGGTTTGGCTTAAGTGTCTTACGGGAGAAGATCTTGTCATAAGGTGTCCTCTCCGTGTTTGGTGGAATCATCGATTCCCTTCGAGCTTAGCTACGACATGTGATGGCCTCAATTCCTACATTCACTGTAGATCGTACTCTTGGTCATAGCTCATCGAGTGAGACAGGTAGTCGCTGGACCATAAAGGAACTTTTGTTTTCACACGATACAACGTCATTTAATTTGACCCATCAAACGATACTAAATGTCCTTGGGGCGTTGGCATTCTCGAATTATCAGCTTTAGAGCAAAAGCAGATTTCCGATGTGATGCCTCAATTCATGGGGCTGAGACTTGGAGGTCATAGAAATCTCTGATATTCTGACCAGGACCCATCCCAGATGGCCTGGTGCTCTTGTACTTGTTGTAAAAATCGATCCCATCGGAAGGAATCATCGCCAAAAAATCTTCTCAAGTTCGATTGATGAGAATTTCCGCAAACTCATATGAGTCTGTCAGGCCATGCAAACGTAAGAGAGTCCCTTCCACTTTATACAAACTGGATATATCCTGAATTTCTATATGACGATAATCGTGGCAAGCCCACCAACACAGGAAATCATCATGGCCTTCGTAGCTGGGAAATGGAGGGTTTTGGTGGGGAGCTGTAGTATCATTTCCCTTCATTCTCAGTTTATTATCATACGTCTCGCTCCAAGATGTTGAATTGCAAGTGTGGTTCAGCAAGAATCGAAATGAGAATATACTGGCTGTTGGTGACCGGAAAGGGGGGCACATGTCTATCTTTGGGCGTGATCTTGCTAATGAACCGATCTTGGGACAAGGTGTTTTTGTGGAGCGGCAGTTGATACCTGTACAGGACTAAATGAGAACAATACATTCAGTGAGCCTGCACCATAGCCATTTGATATGCCTGGCTATACACACATAATACCCATGGGAGATATCCAATACGGCCTGACTGAACAGCTTTGACAATGCAGCCATGGAGGTGGCTGACGGAGGTACTGTCAAGATGGCTGACCTCGTGTGGATCACCGTTGTCGTTGCGAAAACCACCCAGGTTATAGCAGCGGTGGTAGTCGACGGGCCCAAGGCTCCTACGTACTCTTTGCTGCTGGGAAAGCATTGGATGAAGAACGTAGCCCTGATCGGGTACTCTGAAAAGGATGAATACACCATTCGAACGGATGCCTCGCTCCGGGTTCCGGTTCCGAAAACTGGGGATCCATCGAGACCTCACCTTCCTCGACCATTGAAGGTTCCTACCCAGGCCCAGCCTAGATGGGTAGAAGCTGAGCAATCATGTATGGTCAAACGAGCTTTCTTGTCATCCACCTCTGAGGATGAATCTGACTCTTCGACATCTGATTATCACGTTGGATCTCTGGACCAACTTCGGCGGCACACCACCGACTCGGATGCTGAAACCGAGTCGGAAATCTAGCCCGGCCTGTGTTGGGGACCCTGACCCCCATAGGCATCGATATCGAGCAATAAGGGTTCTTGCTCGACTTGGCGGTGCCTACCATTATCAAAGGCAACATAAGCCAGATAGAGTGCCAGTCGAGTGAATCATTATTATCAGCAGTCTAGGAGAGTGACACAGAACATGAAGAGAGCGAGGAAACGGGAAAACAGGAAACTCAAGGAAGGCCTGGGGTTTGGATATTGTGAACCTGGATTGAGGAAATATTGATTAATATGGTGGAGCATCTTGTATACTATTTGCCGTATATCATAGCTTCGATTTCGGCACTCACTCCATATCGTCCTCCGCGGTGGACCCCGCCGATTCATATGAACCATTTGATGAGACTGAAAAAGCAGCTTTGTAGATATTGAGCGAGAGGCGAACGTCAACTCAGGAGTTCTGAGTCCCTCAGCAGAAGCTTGCTCGTGCTAGAATTTTTGGAGCCACTGCTATCGCTATTTGGACTCATTATGCCTCTATTCGGTCTAAATAACAGAGGATCCTCTTGGCTTGTAGAGGACTATTCTTATCTCCGAGTCCCATTTTGTCCAAGATTCCCCTGTGTTCGCTAATAATTTGGTCAGTCTATAACAATATCTATATTCCAGCTCCTGCTAGCACCAGATTTAACAAATTTTCCAATTTCAATCAAGGTAACTACCCAAGTAGCCTCATGGACAACCTCCATTGGCAAGAACTATATATGCACGTGACCGTCCTTATCGTAGAAATTTTTGCGATAAAAAAGAACTTCCAAGCCCGCACGAATATCGTCGATCCACAGAGGGGCAGATCACAGACTTCGGTTATAAAAGTCAAAGATTTGTTGATATTGTGTCAATGCTCTAGAATCAGCTCCAAAATTCTACAGTCTGCTCTCTCTCTAATCCCGCACATACCACCCCGATATCACAGCTTGATATCAACTATATACTGCGTTTTTGGCTACCGAAAGCCAAAAAGTATAAAGTGTATAAAAGGTCACAACGTCTTGGGAGAGAAGAAGAGAAAACACATCATAGATCATGTCGCAATCACAAGTGCTCCAAGCCCGCAACGAGACAACCACCAGGCTCTATGCAGACCCTCACAACCCCCACCTCCACCTTGAAAGAGGCCTTCAGTATGAAAAACTGGGCTTCCCCGATCTCGCTTCTGCAGATGCATACCGTGCTCTAGCATTGCTCGAGTCAGTAGTTGACCCAGATGAGTGCGAGTTCCATGCCAGACGGAAGGTAGACCCTTCCCAACAGGCTCCCGAAAAAACAGCGGAGGAATCAGACGATGAAGACGAAGACGATAGCACAGTACCAACCACCCAAGAGGAATACGATGCCATCATTGACCAGGTCTATGTCCTTCTAGTACGCAGTCTCGTCCGCTGCGGCTGCTACCGTGATGCTTTCGAATTTGGCGTGCGCGGGTTAGCTCTTCTCGAAAAGAGATCCGCAACAGCCGCAGTATCTGCGTTGAACGAGCAAATGGGTCGCGTGAATCAAATTTACAAATCTCACACTGGCTCTGAAACCGACATCGACCTGGACTCTATAGACCCTAGTGTTCTTCCCGCACAAGGCTTCGCCCGCCGTATCCTCTATCCCTGGAACGAGCACGAGCCTGACCGCCGCTCACCAGAGACCCTCAACATGCTCAACGAGCGACTAGCAGTCATCGCGCCGAAGTGTGAAGTCCGCGCAGTGGCTTTGCCCGTACTGCACGCCTCAGCAGAAGACGACTCCTCCAAGATGGAAGTCTCCGTTCAGCTCGGCCTCTTCGCGAAAGAAGATATCGCCCCAGACGAGATCATCCTCCGCGAGTCATCACTACTCACAGCAACCAACCGCCTCCACGATGATCTCTGCGACGCATGCAATGCACCACTCCCAGACCTCTCTGCCGCCGAGCCCCCCGTCGCATGCGAGGGCGGCTGCGTAGACATCATTTTCTGCAGCCAGCAATGTCACGATACCGCGCAGGAGGTGTACCACGGCGCGATCTGCGGTCTCGAGGACGGCCTTGACTCTATCGGGAAGGATGTCCCCGATCCCAAGGATAAGGCGGATTACCTGTACCTGCTTCTGCTGGGCAGAGCGCTTGCCATGTCTGCTACACAGGACAAACATGCGCTCGACCTGCCAGAGGTGAAATATATCTGGGGCGATTTCCACGATTTCGATATTGAGTCTGTGTCCGCGGAAGCAGAGACAATGCCCACTACAGACGATACCGCGACTCTCCCGTTCTCGTTCCAGCTCAATGTCCTGCAGCCCGAGCGTTTCCTTGATGAAATGGGTCTGGATCCTTACGTCGAGCTCTACCGTTTCGATACATGGGTTCTGAATACGCTGTTTGCCAAGTTCCGCGGTACGGCGTCAGGCCGGTTGTCGACTTGGGATGGAGGTCCGGAGTTGTGTGCTGTTCATCCGCTTTGGTGTCTTGCGAATCATTCGTGTGATCCTAATGTGACCTGGGAATGGAGTAGTGAGATCAATTTCCGTGCGCGGAGAGATGATGAGACGGCTGTGTGGTCGCGCGGGGGTGAGATGAAGGAGCTCAGACGTGGGGGCATTGCGAAGGATTCGGAGATTCTGAGTCATTATTGTGATATTGGGTTGCCGGTTCAGAAGAGGAGGGAGTGGGCTGCTGGAGCTTTGGGTGGGACTTGTTTATGTGATAGATGTGTTTGGGAGGCTGGGGAGGTCGAGTAGGTGTGTATTCATGGGTTGGTGTATAGAACGACTTGATAGGTCATGATGAGATACCCTTTTTACTAAATTAAATAAAAAGATTGCCGATGGCTTCTGGAGACCAAACAGTTGTTATGGACGGTATACGGTGATCTATTTGAACGTCTTTATTTTTTGACTTGGATAAAATGGAATCCCGAAAAGCGTGGGTACACCATAGATGATCGATTTGCTCCTAATGAATCCCGATAAGTTTCAAATTCCTGGCACCAGACCTAATAAAAGAAGTACAAAGTTGTATTTTCGCTTCAAATACACACTATTTCATTATCAACAGTAACATGCAGGCCGTGCGGCCAATCCCCAAGACGACAGGGCCAAAGCATCAAAGGCTCCCGTTTCATCTACGGCGAGGTGGTGTCCGCGAATAGCTCCGACCCCGAGATTCTGCCCGGCGCTTAGGAGTAGGCGAGCGGGAGCGAGAGACAGAGTCGACAGCCCCACGTCGTCGGCGGAGAGGGGGGGACACAGATTCAGACGAATATCGCCTAGCACTTCTAGACGCGGGATCACGACGAGGTGCAGGTGAGATAGACCGGGAAATTGACCGGGAGTAGCTGCGGTTTCTCCGGCTGGGAGGGCTGTGACCTCGGCGCAGTGGTGTGACAGACCGAGTAACTGAGCGACGAGACCGATAGGGACTGCGACTTGGGCTTCGCGAGTCGTAGGAACGGGAGCGTGCTCGACTGCGCTTGGCCGGTGTGCGGGAGATTGATCGGGATCGAGATCGAGATCGTCCTGCGGGGGTCAAGGACCGACTGGCTGATGTGTCGCGACGGCGACGGACTGGGGACCGAGAGCGTGAGGGTGTGTAGCTTCGGCTCCGGGAGGAGGGAGTGATGGAGCGAGAATAAGAGCGGCCGCGGTCCCTAGAACGAGATCGGGAGTACGATGGTGACCGGGAACGACGGGAGTGAGGAGATCCAGTACATGTTGAGCACATTGAACGGGATCGATCGGATGGGGTGCGCGAGAGAGATCGAGAGGCCCGGGCAGGTAAGGCGGGCACTGTGGGACGGGGAAGATTTTTGAGGTTCTCACGCATGTCCTCTGTCAATACGCCCATACCGATACTGGTGAAGTAGTTGACAGAGAACCTAGTGTGGCGTGGGTTCTCCGTCGGGAAGAGACCCTCAAAGCTTGGTCGCAGAATATCATCCCTGAAGCGGGCCTGCAGTCCAGGCAGACCGAGATTCTCGGCGAGATTCTGGAACAAGATCTTTATGAAGATACGGCTGCTGGATGTGGTCTCCTCTTCGTTGAGATGAATCACAGACAAGACATGCCAGCCAATCGCATCGTTGCTGAGGAGGTGGCCGAAGAACTGGGCAATGTTGCGCAATTTGTTCGTTTCGTAACGATGGATGGTATCGTAATATTTGGCAAAGGCAGCCTCAAACAGGTCTGACCAGAGTCGATTGATCTTGGCAAATCGCTCTCCGATCAGACCGTAGAATTTGGAGTATGTCCGTTCCTGGGAGCAACACTCAATGATCATGGATGGAAGTTCATGCTCCAACCCGACCGGCAGGTTGATCTTCATGAGCTTGTGGCAACATTCTTCGAAATCAATGCTGGACATGATTGTGAGGTAAATTGTTCGTCGAAGGTTGACCAGATCAGTATTACTCTGATCCTTGATATCCATCTGTACTTCTTCCGTGTCAGATTCTTCTTCTTCGCTTTCATCTGACTCGTCCTCATTATCCCCGTCACTCTCCTCGCCCAAGATCTCGGCTTTCAATTTCCTATAAGCCTCTTCATGCTCCTCCCACTCCGGGTCATACTTGAAGATGTTGAGAGTGTCTTGGGTTTCCAGCTCGTCATCTAAGCCGACACGGTGGGTGATTTGATCTTCCTCTTCCACTAGGTCCAACTCCTCCTTGATTGCTGGGTTGTCCTTGTATCGGTCCTTGCGCACCTGGAAGAGCACTTCGATCATATATTGCACACGCTTATCGATATCGGCCTCGTGTAGGATGTTTCGGAACTGGTCGAATACGGCGAGTGCGATAGGAGCGTTCATCTCCTCCAGATGTTGACCAACTTCTCGAGTGAGACCCACTGCAATCTCCACGCTGTCGTCCGTTGGCTTGTGTAAGAGAAGCAACAGGATCTGAGCTGCCAACATCTCGTGGGCGACTTGCTGATTGCAAAGATGCGCAATGAAAGTTGTAGAGGAAATGCAGACTGCCTTGTCATTTCGCTTGAAGGCCTTGCGGAATTGAACAACCAACCGGGTAAGCAACAGATCGCCAACCTGCGGGAGCTTGGTGTTGACGATAGAGGCCATAGCTGCGTAGATTGGAGTGAATGGCAAACTGGCCGCCTGCGCTTTCATAATTGAACGACAGAATAATCCTCGGCCCCTCACCAAGTTCTCCGCAAAGAGTTCTGGAACAATGAATTTGATATTTGAAACATTGATTTTGTTGATGAGACCATTGATTGATTTCTTCAAAGCTTCCCATGCCATTCGCTGGTATTCCTTGCTCGTCTTATCCGTGATTTGCGCCTGTAGCGCACGGAGTCGGGCCGGAGGAATGTAAGTGCCACCGGATCGCATGTTGAGCAATTTTTCGTATTCTGCCTTTGCGGATGCCTGTTTTTCTTCCTCGGTCATTGGTTTGCGCGCCGCTTCGCGCTTCTCGTGTTCGCGAAGACGTTCGGCGAGTTGCCGTTCTCTCTCGTCGACACGTTCTGTGTCGACTTTGGGAGCATCGGGGCCATCTCGAAGGGAATCACCGGGAGGCGATCGGCGACGATTCGGAGAGGGCGAACGAGACGGAGGTGAGCGTTTGCGAGAGGCTGCGGCTGGTGAGTACGACGCGCCCGGGGGAGGCGTGGGCACGCGCACCGCAGATTGTAGAACATCCGAATCGGACATTTTAAATAGGTAGAGAGTCCTCCGGAGTAAAGAGAAGTTTTGATGTACACCGGAGGGACGGTGGTTGCGAATCTCAGCTGGACTGAGGTTGCAAGATGATTCAAGGACCCAGCAGGAGAAAGCTCTAGCGTAGTGCACGTGACCAGGGGTGACCAGAGGCCAACTAGGAACAACGGGAGCTCCTGAGATTCTTGGTAGTTCTGTCTAGCCCAGGATTCATCGACATTCCTTCATATTTCTTTCTTTCTTACATTACCGCTCTTTATCAGAATGGTAAATTATTTAGTCCCATCCAATGGACACACCCCACTGACTGTGCTTTAGCTGGGCCAACTCGTCGGATCCGTCATGCTTTTGGTCGCAACCGCGATCTTTCTTTATTACACCGCGTGGACCTTGTTGATGGTATGCTAATTGAAAATGTTTGTTATTCTTTGTACTGATGTTTGTCTCATAGCCCTTCGTCGACCCTGGCCACCCCCTCCACGACATCTTCCCACCCCGTGTTTGGGCTATTCGCATCCCCGTCATCCTCACACTTTTGGGTTCTGCTGTGGTAGGCACCTTCATTGGAATTGTTATGATCAACAGCAACAAGAAGAAGGCAGCCAAGGCCAAGGCCGCGGCCAAGAAGAAGACCTAAGTGACTGGACATCATATTGGGAGAGAGGGCAAACCTCCGTGACAGCACTTTGTACCATCAACCATTCGGAAATCCAGTGGCTATCAAAACACATCTCGAGTTAATTAATTTTGTTATGTTGAGCGCCTTCCACTTTCACATCGGATATACCCTGGACATGGCCTGGACGAATAGGGGCGAATAATGCGGCCATGTGTATCAGAAGTTACACATAGAAAAGTCGCTTGGAGAAAGTATGCATGTTGCGCCTTTTTCTACAGTCTATCTATACGACTAGAAAGGGGATCTTGAAGATATCTAAGAAGACTATCTGAGAACCCCGCTAAAAAAAAGTCCGCTGAAACGACCTGTAAGACATCATAAGGCCGCATAAGCGGCCGGCTACCCTTGTGTGAATATATGGGCAAAATGACGGCGTAGTCCAAACAAAAGAGCCTGAATCTCCCGGCCCAAATGTCCAAGCCCACAGACAAGTCGTCATCTTTGCCCATGCCGCAAATGTCCCATGACCTCGGCTGGAACGATGACGCCAGCCACCTCCTTCAACCAACTTTATTGACAAAATAAACCAGGAATGACTAGGAGGGAGACGGCTGAACTCGGCTGTTGAGTACATATTCACCATGTCCAAGCATGTAAGGAGGTCATCGCAGGAAGTACGAAGTGATGACGATATGCCTGGCGACAAGATATGACTAATAAGGTCTTATCGGTGTTTGCATCGTTTGACACCTTTCCCCTCATATGCGCATGGGTGTCGACTGTGAGAGACGTGGGATTGGAGAAGAGTAGAATCAAAGATAGGCAAGTAAAGATCGAGAGAATCCGATCATGCTTTCAATAAGAATGACACTGTCAGAGGATTATTCCGTACTCTGACTCAGGCCCCTATTACATCCTATTACAATCCTATTACATCCCCTAAATAGCCCCCGTACCTGACTGGTGACCTGGGGTCAGCTCCCCCTCCCCCTCTTCTCTTATCGCGTTCACATCATCCTTCTTCCTTGACTCATCGAACCTCAACAGAACTTGTGTATACAAGTTATTTTGGATTGTCTTTGCAGCTTGAACTATCTCAAGCTGTTGCTCTGTTGCGCTTATCTATCGAAGCTTCCGCGTGTCTAGGGTGATCTCCGCTCTAGATACGCTTCTCCGTGTGTACCTTCACTCCATTATCTTTAAAGAAACTGTGAAATCTAGGTATGCTTTTCAGAGTCAAGTGGTGATGTTTGATCACTAATTCTAATTCCATGAAAGCCATCCTCTCTAGTGATACCTAGGGTCCCGGCACCCCCGTTAGGATCTCGAACACGATCCTGCATATCCGTTCTCAGACCATCAATACGGTCCTGAGAGCGGCTTCTTTCTACTGCTTCTCTATTGCCTCTCACTGAGGCACCATCTATTTGAATGCTCCCGGCCGCATCTGACGATCTTATCCGCCAGCCCAGCCGTTTGCCCGAGGACGACAGTTCCTTAACCCCGGATTTGAACCGGACCATACCAGAGCATGAACCCAGTGCGAAAAGCAAAAAGAAGAAAGGCAAGAAGAGCAAGGTGACTCGGGCTGCAGCTGAAATCCCACCGGATGATATGTATGTATCCACCGGTGATTGTCTGGTGTCTAAGGAGTGCGTGCCATTAACGTCAGATCATGTGGATAGCATCCAACCATCTGCCCCGGCAGAGGAGTCTCTCTCCTCCCCAGATCCTCCACCTCTTATTGAACATGTAAGCCCATCTATCACGTCACCTGTTCTGGATGCCCTCGATTCCTTCGAGCCAGCGGGTGACGACCTCACTAGCCGCACCGATACCTGGGCGCAATCGGTGCCTTATGGAAAGAGCCCTCCCACCGATCTTATCGATGGGGATATACCAAGTACATCAATACCTAGTGCATCTCCCTTGAACTTTCCAACAATCCAAGAAAGGACTGGTTTCAGTCATCCCTCCTCGGCATCTCCTCAGACTCGCACTTTACCATCTAGCTATGGTAATGGCTTTCGAAGCAATCTGGGCTCGAGGCAACAGTCTGTGGACAGAAGAAAGAGTCACTCGTACGGGAGCCCAATGAGCAATCATGCGCCTCCCCCTCATCTTCCTCAAGCACATTTCTTCGGAGCACCAGATATCGACATCCTTCCAAGTCAGACCCGATCGCCCACCGACGGAAATTATTCATTCTGTAGCTTTGATACGTTGCCTAGCTTATCACCTAAAGGTCCACGGACAGGAATGAACGTCTTGCTAGTTGGGACAGACGGCGCCGTGGAGATCCTCGCGATCGAAGGTCGTCGAACTCGGCTTGTGGGACAGATCACTGGGTTAAATGGTCGTGTAATCGAAGCTAAACTATTAACTGGCCACCCATCGAGCGACCCGTTTGTATCCTCCCGGCCGCATGTTGCTGTCGTGGTTCATGGCCCGTTGCCGCCGCACGAGGAGGAAGGTCGAATCTCGTCTGCAACATCGGACGCAAATGAAATCCCTCCATCTACTATTCGCGGTCACTCCAACGACAAACGACGGGATGACATCCAGTTCTATCAAACCCGAGTTGAAGTTTACTCTTTCCGGACCGGTGAACATGTTTCCACCCTGTTTGCAAGCAAGCCAGTGCAATGCCTGGAAAGTCTTCCTGGCCTCCCGTCTTTTGCCTCCTCACCTGTGGGCAAATTGAAGCTCTTCACAACCGGTGCTTACATTATTTTGGCATCTGGGGTCAGCGGGGAAGTTTATGTTTATAGACATGTTCTATCCCTGGAAACAACTGCATATGAGTGTCTGGGTAAGACATGGACTGGAGTTCAGTCTAAAGAAACTCGGCGTTACTCAACCTCTTCAAGTTCTACAACTGATCCAGAAGGGACTAGCGCGGACTCTCCTCATGGCTCTTCTGCCTTAGAAAGACCCATCCTAGCTGTACAAGGAAGGTGGCTTGCATTCGCTCCCCCGTCCTCGTCATACAGGGGATCAATTCAGGGCACAGTTCCTTCGAATCTGATCCTTGGCAAGGTTCCGGGAATTGAAACTCGCAGTCCTCCTGCTATTCCCTCAGTGTCATGTGCGACAGATGTTGGAGAGGGGGAAAGTTTCTTTGACAAAATGGCAAGAGGCGTTACCCAAGAACTTGTCCGAGGTGCCCGCTGGATGGGTGATCAAGGAATGCAGGCCTGGAACAATTATTGGAACACTCAGCAGACAGCCGGCACCTCTCCACGTCGGCCACTTCAGGGACTCGACCCTCAGGCGCAGGGATATGGATTATTCCCTCCAACCCATGCCCAGGATACACAAAAATCAGCCACAGAACCTGACACTGTATCCATCATCGACCTGAGGCGATTTGAAGACGGCACAGATATACGAAATGTGTTTATCCACCCAGTCTCAACGTTCCATGTCCCTAATGGTTGCAGTTTCTTGTCTCTTTCTCCAAACGGCCTGATGCTTTTCACAGCGAGCAAGAAGGGCGATGTGCAATACGTGTGGGATCTTATGCAACTCAAGCACTGTCGGTCCGTGGCTTTTATGGCTGATGATCAGACGGGACAGAATCCCAATGTGCGCCAGGTTGCTAGATACGCACGGTTGACTACATCTAGTATCGTTGATGTAATTTGGACGGCACCGGTGGGTGATAGATTGGCTGTCATTACACGTAAAGGCACCGTCCATGTTTTCGATTTACCTCGAAGCGCGTTCCAATGGCCTCCATTCCGCCGTGCAAAGCCCACTACAAATAAACCACCGACGGCGGATCCCATGGCGGATGAGATAACCGGCCAAGCCGCTGGTGGCAATCCATTGTCAGCCGCCATGAAGTTGGTTGGCGGTAAAACGCAACCATTCTTCTCTGCTGTTCGGGGCCGTGTCCCATCCACCGCCGCTGCATTTCCTAATATGAGTGGATTTGCGTTACCTTCTGCTGCTAGTGTAAAGAGTGGAAAGGTTGTCGCTGCGGGCCTGAGCAAGTCAATGGGCGCCGCAACTGGCACTGTCAATACTCTGCGTCATGTCGGGGAGAACCGTCTACACTTGCCAGGACTAGCTCGAGACCCTGCACCTTCTCGGGTGACGTGGATTTCCAGCAAGGGCCTCATATTCCTGGGTGTGGTAGATGGCGGGTACTTTAAGATGTACCGGCTCAAGCGCGCTACTGGATCCGGCCACAAGAGCCGACAGCCTCACTCTGTTATTGGCGGTAAGGAGTCCCAGGTCAAGCTACCTGCCAATCTCCAAGGCCCTTGTGGACCAGCTCCTTTGTCTACTTTTGATCCAGAATTAGTAGTTCGTGCCTCACTTGTTCTGCCTTCAGTCAGCTCTCAGCCATCTACTGCTGCAAGATCGCTTTGCCAGCCTCTCTCGCAGGCCGAGATCGAGACAAATACCCCATACCAGCCCTTCCATACCGACCAGCGGGTTGGGTTGAGTGTCTTCTCTTCTGGCAGCGATGCAAGCGAGCCAAGTGGACAATGGGTTTTCGGCAATGATATCCCGCTGACAAAAGTGCACTTGAGGTCCTTCAATAGCCCCAGCGATGACCATGGCGATGACGAAGATGAGAACGCTGTCATACATGGACATTCGCTTGGTGCTGGTGGAGATATAGAAAATCTTATCACTCTTGGAAATAGCACCGGCAATGTGGAGGAAGTAGTTATCACCACACGCCGTAAGAAGAGACACTCCACTCCACTAAAAACCGATGACGGTTTCTTTGAGGATGATTGCGAGGTGCTTGATTTTGCTCGGGACCGTGTCTGATCAACTCAATACTCCTTTTTTCTTCTCGTTCGTTTTGCTCTACACTCACTCTTTGCATTGATTTAGAACTTATGCTCGCGTGGCGTCGCTGGTCGCAAATGGAGTCTGGTGCTTTTCCTTCTCTTCTCCTCCCGAGATCCCTTCCTTTCGATTCTATTTCACTATGACTTCCCACATACTACACATTCACAAACTCATACTATCAATCTTTCTCTAGAGGTGGGTTTGTTTTCGGCTTGATTTTCTTTGCTCTCGAATTGACGTTACACGTTTGATATCGTTCACACAAACACAAATACCCAAATACCCAGATCCAGCCCTGAATGTTTTTGGATGTTTTATGTCCTGATAGATGGAAAGCTCGGCAATGATCTACAGCCAGGCTGGTCTCTTTTTTACGGCAGCGGGGGTGGTATGCACCCTTTCAACAAGCCCTAAGCTAGAATGGAATACAATCACCTCGAAACAGATAGCTACAAAGCACCAAAAAAAATACAATTCATTTCAAGTAGATATCCGTGGATATCATGTAAAAGCGATGGTAGGAAAGGGATAGGGTTGTATGTATAGAAAGAAGACTGGAAAGCAAAAGGTGCAGAGATGTAAGCTATAGCAACTTGACCTCGGGACATATTAGGGGGGTGGTGTGAGTGTTTTGTCAATCAAATAACGGTAATCGGCCACTTGGGGCTCCGCAGGAGGCGAGATCAGCTCGTCTACCAGTTCATACCCATTGCGAACTGCTCAATCGAGAGCCGTGCAGCTATCCCTATCCTTGAGGTTGACTACCAAAGAATGAAGATTTAGGAACGGAGCAACAGTATTCACCTGTCCATGAATAGCAGCAACGTGAAGGGGAGTCGGGTCATCATAATCATGTATGCTCGGTGATGTTTTCTCACGCCGGACAAAGAACCTTACGATGTAGGTATTGCCAATCCTAGCGGCGTGGTTTAAAGAGGTGGTTACATAGGCATCTTGGAATGAGGCCAGGATGCCACTTTCCAAAAGCAGTTCAGCAGCTTCATTGCTCGATGAAGAATGACATGATGTTTGTTCTTAAAGGTTTTTGATATCAATGTAGGTTCCACTGAAAATGGTTGATGTGCGGTTCGCTTCAGAAGTGATGTTCAGCCGCGTTCAGCCTGAACGACTATGTGCGATAATGAGGGCTTGAATGACAGAAGAAACTTTGCCACAGCATCATGTCCCGCCGTAATGGGGCGATGCAAGGCCTTGCCCTCGTAATTGGCTAATTTATCCCCTATGAACGGGGTCTGAAGCACGATTGGATGTTGAACCAAGATTCTTACCATCTCCCCATTACCGCTTTCAGCTGCGCAGTGTAATGGCATGTCATGGTCATTGTTCATGGCGAATGGATCTGCCCCTTCTTCGAGGAGTGCTCTCGTGGCTCTCTTGTATCCATGAAGAACTGTTAAGTGCAACATTGTTCGTCCTCTGATGTCTTTAGCTTTGATCAATGCCTTCCATTCCGCAAGCAGTTGTGTTTTGGCAGAGTCGTCATCTTCCATAGCGACGTGGAACTTATGTGAGTCCTCATAGGTGGGATCAAAGCCAAGAAGGAACTTCACGACATCGATGTGCTTTCTTTCTATGCTCTATCCAGGGAAAGCTGTCCACTCGTAGATAGACTGACAATCAGTCCAGTGTCTGAGCTTGGGTCAACCATCAGCTTGGCAGCATCGATTTGACCAGCACTGGTAGTCAAATGCAAAGGTGCATTCCCATCAATGTCTTCCCACCCCAGATAAGCTTTTGTGTTGAGGGCGAGAGATACCAAGATGTCATAATGCCCATATTGAGCAGCCAAATGCAAGGCCGTGTTTCCATGAGGATCTCTCGCGCGGAAGTCGACTTTGGGTTCATGAATCAGGACTTCCACCACATCCCTTTGGCCAAACTGAGTAGCTAAGAGCAGGGGTGTCAGCCCATACGGACCTACGCTGTTGAGATCCAGATGTGGTACAGCGATCGCAAGTCTCACTACCTGCGTCCAGCCGAGCTGAGCCGCTAAATGCAGAAGCATGGCGTCGTTCGGACCGACCATCGTCCCGGGCTTCCATGAACCATTTGATTGTGAGCTTCCATGACCATAGACTGCTTGAAGGTCGAGCATATGGAATCGGAGCAGAAATTTCGTGATCTCTGGATGGTCTATTTGCACATATTCATAGGAGAGTTTTCTTCCATATTCAAGATAGGGGTCCGAGGCAAAGCCAAGAAGAAGATTAACCATTTCAGGGCGTACTTCGAGGACTGCTCTTTCAATGGTATTCCACATAGTGACCGAATGATTCTTTGTTCTATTCTGGCTATTTTGAATCAGGTCAGTCATGATGATTATGTTCCCATATTTTGCAGCCAGGTAGAGCAGTGGGAACCCCGTTGATGCAGCAAGCGTCATGGGGGTCTCATTTTCATGATCAGATGCTAACACGTCAATATCCTCTGAATTCAGAAGCACCTCGGTAAGCTCGCTGAAATTATTCATGACAGAAAGATGCAATGCTGTTCTCTCCTCAAAATCGAGCTCCCAGTTGACGTTCGCGTTACATACGTCAATGAGGTATGTCACGACCTCCACAGACCCAGTTGCCACAGCCTTTGTAAAAAGCTGCTTGACACCATCACGAGATTCGATAGGGGGCAGGGTATTTTTTTTCACACAGTCTTTGAAATAGTTGAGTTACTTGAGACGAGAGAGGAAAAGACGCGGCAAGATGGGAAACCCAGAATGTCTTTGCATAGTTATCCAGGAATTTTTCGCATGCAAAGGTATTTCGGGCTTTCCACGCATCTGCAAGGGCCTTTGAAATGTTGAGATTCAACGGAGTCTTCTTTCTGAGCAACTTCAAGGCCAAAGTCCTCGAATCGTCAAGAGCGTGGCCAGTCGACCCAATGATCTTATTCATGGCGAGACTTGCGTCTACTTCGGGAATGACTTGCTTTGAGATTTGGTTCGCAAGTTCTGCGCAATAAAGATAGGTTAGGATGATGCTTAACATTCTGCTGTGGGCTTCCACAAGATCAAGCATATTTTCAGCTCGACCATTGAATCCAGTGGTGAGGTGTTGTTTTACACTATGATGCACGAAATGAAGAGTCAACTCCTCCTCATCTAGAACAACAAGGGCTCCACAGCACGCAAGTGCACTATAGATATTGTTCAAAAGTTGAGATGGATTCCAAGTAGTATCGCCAGGAGTGATACTCAACGCTTCGCGTAACTCCCCGGTTGTCAATTGGCGCTCAGCAACAGTGATCAGCTCCAATATCAGTTTCTGATATGGACTGCCTGATTGATTCGCTCGCTGTAGGGCCCGCGAGAATGTTTCAGAAAGGTCTTCCGGGAGGTTGTTCAAGGCATGACGAATCTCTGCATCAGTGTGCATGGTACACAAAGACTCAATTTGCAAAGCTACCCATAGGAACATTCCCTGTGAGCCTTTTACCAGAGCATCTCGAATCTCCAGCGGCAAGAGGGGGTCGCCTATCTCGAGCTTCCGTGATTCAACACGTCTCTCAAGTTCCTCTGTGATAAATGTTTCAATCTCGGCGGTGTTTGAGGGAATGGAGACTATTTTCGCATCGAACAGGGACCTTGGGCCAATATTGAGTGGCGTATTTGGTTCTTGGCGAAATGATAGACAAACAGACAGTTGAAATGAAGATTTCAGTTTGTAGAGATCTCCCAAAAATTCGATCCTCTCGTCCCTGCTCAGCTCGTCCAATCCATCAACAACAATAAAGGCCTTGGATTCAGGTTTTAGGACCGATTGAAGTAAATCCAACATGATTTCAAACGGCGCCTTGTGAGATGTAGCTTCCAATACTTCGCAAGCTTGCCTCAAATCCATGACCTGACTCAGGAGTTGTCTGACAAGCAAGCCAATTGCATTTCGGGCTTTCAGTGTCTCAGCAACATCATGGCGGGCGAAGAAAAATGCCACCGTCATATTTCTGCTGCCAGCATGAAGATGTAAGTCATCGACCATACTGGCAAGCATGACAGACTTCCCGGCTCCAAGCCTTCCAGTATAGACAAGAGGCTTGCTTTCTGTGCCGTCTCTCCAAGCTTCGTAGTGTGGACATTTGAGAAACAGATTCGTGCTCCCTGCTTTGCGAGCCTGCTTCCATGGGACCATATAATCATACCCACAACAAAAGTCAAGGACCCGCTGTCGTGCCCGTAATACCTGTTGATGATTTCGCTGACTGGAGGCCGACCTGAAAAATCTTGTCGAGACATCTCTGAATCTAGAGTTGGCCTCGGCCTCTTCTTCATTTCTTTTGTGCATCAGAGCATTTGCTTCACGTCCAATCAGCTCAGCACAAGAGGTAAGTTCACAGCTGAATTTCTGCAGACTCGAGTCAGACAAGGCAGCCCCAAACTTCCTGAAGCTTGACATCTTAGTAAATTTCAGAATGTCGTGGCATAGTCGAACTACCAGTGTGAAGTATTCACAGACAGCTGACTGTAAATCTCGAGATCGAGTATATACTAGAGCAAGCTTTTCAAAGATATGTGTCGAGCGTCCGGCATTCATGAAGAGAACCGAGAGCTTCTCCAAGTGCGATGACGAGCTTGTGATCAGCTAGCGAGGGGATGTTACGCTTATCATCAAAGCAAGGCGAGTCAGATCTTTACCGGGTCTCAAGACTTACCAACAATGACAGTCGAACCATCGACCAAACACCACACGCGATGATATTCTGTGATCCTCCGATCAGGATATCCCCAAGTGCAGCGAATCTTTGCACAGCTTCAATAAGGTTGATAAATCTTGTGCCCAAGAATCGGCCGTTAGGCAAACGACCGATCTCCGCGGTAATGATTCTGACATCCTGAATGGTCGGCGGCGATGCAAGTGCTTGAGTCCTCGTTGCATTGAATCTCGCTTTTTGTTCCGTGGATAGGTCTGCAACAAACTCCGAAATTGCTTGACCCAGCTTGACCTCGGGCTTCAAGCCCGAGCCTGGAGGGATTCGAACCAAGGCCATGGCAAGTACCTTTTGAGTGGACGTGCATATAACAATAGCATTCGTTGGTCAAGCGAAATTTAGAGTATAACTCCCGTTGTTATACGTTTGGGAAAGCTGTCAGGCGCAATGCGCTGCCTTTCAAGTTTTGGGTTATGCTCTGGGTCGAGTACGATGTGCGAAATGAAACTAGACATCTGAAGTGGGGGAGGCCGGTCATCATTCGCAGGGCGAATGGAAGTTAATGCAGTGGCTGTGAAAACGACTGTACAAATCAAATCTCGTGCGCTGCACAAGCCGCAGGTCCATAGCGACGAAGCGCCACTGTTGGTTGCATTGGGGCGCAGTCGGCGAGAGACAGTGAGAGGTCTCTTGTCAAAAGTTCCCGGCAGTGCACAGAAAGCGGCTGGTATCTAATGACCTACCAGTACTCCGTAGGGTTAGGAGCCTCGAGCCCCGACAGATGATATATTTCATTTTCCCAGCCCTGGAGACACTATATAATGAAGCTGATACGTGGTTTTTTTATGTCTAAGAAAATCAACAGGGGTATCCAATGGCAATGGCATTGCTATATTCGAACGTGGTAATAAGTCCCCCATAACCAAATAGCATCCAACGCCTGTCTCTATTGCATCACTCATCACTATCTTCAATAATCGGTCTGTTGGGGTTCCGACCCTTATGTTTAGACCCACTACTAAACAAAAGGCTAGCATCCATTAGTTCAAAATCCGAGCCATCGTCACCGAAGTCATCATCGATGAAGGCAGAGTGATCGTCCTTCTTCTTTGGTTCACGCTCTGGAGACACCAAAGAAACAACCTCCCCCGCCAGCGGGTTTTGCGGTGGCCTTGGTAGGGGCCCATCGGGCACTATTCTTAGACGGCGTTTTCGGGGGCCGTTCGCTGCGGTGATGTTTCTTGGTTGAATTTCTCCGGGACGCTTGACTGGACTCGTCTGACGAAGGGGGTTCACGGGCCAAGATCTCTTTGAAGCGATGGGCACAGTCAGGACCGGCCTCGTGCATCTTTTGTAAGGCTTTTACCATGCGCCGCGTGAGAGACCCGTGCTTAACATCCTTTGTAGGTCTTTCAATGAGCTGCAGACGTGGAAAGGCATCATTGCGAGGAAATCGGATGAACTGAGGAGAAGTAGCACCGATGTTCTGGTAATGATTTTCAAGATCATTTTGCTCACTCTTGCTAAGAACAACGTCCTCCAATGACGGAACATCCACGGGCTCGGGTGTTGGGGTCCGGGGTCTCTTTTTGGGAGTGGCAGCCTTTTTGGGCGCCGTGGCTTTCTTCTGGGGTTTGTCGCCAGCCAAAGTCGAGGCTCGAGTAAACCCTGTCTCCACATCATCGGGCATGTGGAACACCTTGGCAGGTCGCTTTGGTGCTCGCCCTCTGCGTTTCGGCTCCAGCAGTTCTTGTTGTGAATTCTCCGGGGGTATGTCGATATGTCGTTTATTGGGCACTGGACGGACGCCTGCAGGCAAGATGCGTGCAGAACGATCGTCATGGAAGGTAAATCGGGAGCCACAGGCAATCATTTGTTGCATCTTTTCGTAGTTGTCTTTGGCCTTGATGTAGGAGTCTTCTTCTTTCCCTTTCATCAATAGCAGAGTGATATTACCGGCCCGCTTACGGCCTGTTCGACCCATGCGCTGCAACATGCGAATGGGTGATGCGGAAGAGTCGTAGCACACGATAAGATCCACCTCTCCAATATCCAATCCTTCCTCGCCAATCGAAGTAGCAACGATTGTGTTGTATGTGCCCTTCTTAAAATCCTCAATTATTCTGAGCTGTGTCTTCTGGTCCATGCCCTCAGAGCCTTTAGCGCTTGATTGACCCACAAAGACATGAGGCCGAATCATGGGCTCGTATCTCTTGAGCACTCTCGTGACCTCTTCGGCACTATCACGGAAATGCACAAAGATCATGACACGAGTCGCAGGTTGACTAGTGCCATCAGGCAACTCTTTTCCTTCGCCCCTATCCATAAAGTGATTCAAAATGACTGACTTAAGATATTCCAATTTGGGGTGGCCAATGAACTCTGGATTCTTACTCCATGGTTCGAGATGGTTGAGTAATTTCTTGAAACTCTCATCCTGCACAACTTGCTTTTGGTATTTGCCGCCACCGCCTTTCTGTCCCTCGGAGCTTGATTTGAAATGGATGACATGGCGGTAGAATGGCACGATTCCATGGAATTTGAGAAGATCGATAGCGTGGGCCAAACTAGCAAGAACAGTGAAAATGGAGTTGACTTTGCCTTTCAAGCCGAAATTGGCATTCCGACCAGCGTCGGACTGCATCCATTGTTGCCTCGCCACTGTGAGACCGTACGCAGTCAGCCCCATAGGGTCACGCCCCCAATAGGCGTTGAGAGTCCGGAGCTGGTCGAGCAAGGGCTGCAAGGCCGCAGACATCAGGTCCATGCAGAAGACCATTTCATCTGAATTTTCAAAAGTTTCGATTTCGATATTGCGAGCATGAACGTACTCGCGAATGTCAATTGAGTTCTCCGTACGGATTTCGACACGTGCTATGTCCAGGCCATCAATGACCGCCTGCACCGATTCAACCGTTGAGCCCGGAGTTGCCGTAAGTGCAAGCACGCGAAAACTGTTGTTGAACCGCCGAAGGAATTTGACCACCTCGACATATGCATACGCACCCGTCGCGCGATGAGCTTCATCAACGACCAACAACACCACTCGCTTGGGATCGGCGATTCCAGTCTTAAGATCATTGATCAGTGTTTGCGGTGTCATAAAAAACACGCGCTTTGATTTCCACTCTTCGGCGCGAATACCCGGTGACGCTCCTCCCGTAAGCATGGTCGACTCTGAGCGTGGGATTCCAGCAATATCCAAACAGGCCGATACCTGCTGCGAAACCAAGGGTTTCGTTGGTGCTACAAAAATAATTTGCGAATCTTTCGTCCAGCGAAACCAGTTGAGCATAATTGTAGCTGCTATGAATGTCTTTCCCAAACCCGTTGGCAAGGCCACGAGTAGATTATGAAACAGGCCCGCCTGAGTGATGTTGAACTGGTAATCTCTGGTCTTGCCCAGATTCGTGGGATAGAGCCATGTATCCAAAGTATCTTTGACAAGTTTGTGTTGCGTCGGTGGCTCAATCTTCTCTGACTGGCCCCAGTCTTGTTGGCGTGGTACCGAAACTTCGGGGTTGGGAGCAACCATGCCAAATAATGTGCTTTGTCTGAGATTTTGTTGCCGAATTGGGCCTCTCGTTTGACTGAAGTGCGGAGTTGCAGGGTGGACTGGTCGTGCTACTGGTGATAATGATGGTGAAGAATCAAATGCATCTTCAGGTATGTCCTCCAGCTCAAACGGAACATCTGCTAAGACAGGCGTGTTTGTTTTTGCCGGCGGGACACACTTCCCCGGAGCAGTATTGGTTGATACACTCAACGGCTGAATTACCGCTCTGGTTGTTTTCTCCTCCTCAAATGAATCCAAGGAAGCTGCGATAGCGGCCATCAACTCCTCATCATCATCATGGGAATAACGATTCTCTTGTCCACCACCACCATCTTGTTTTCTATTTTCAAAGTTTTGCGGAGGGAGATTTGGGACAGGCTTCTGCCATCGCGCGCCGCGTATTCGTTCTGGACTGGAGGAGGGTTGTGTAAGTTGTGTGACGAACATGTCATTTTGGACACTGGCTTGCTTCAGTACACAGCTCTTAATTTTGGGGCGTTCCTGATATTGTTCGAAACCAAGAGGCGATTCTCGGCGCCGGGAGGGTAACTCGTCGTCCTCCGTATCAGAGAAGGAGTCGATCGAAGAACCATCATCTTGAGCTTCACGCTCTTTCCCGCGATCCCGAGTACGGCGGCGTTTTACGGGACGTGGGGGCTCATCGGGGGTTCCGGGCACTACGAAATCGTCATCATCAAAGTAATCCGACCCGGAATCTGTCGACATCGCGCAAATAATTGACAGGCATCGCTATTGTACAACTATGTACGATCGTCTCGCGTCGCGTCACGTAGTCAGGTGATGGGGTTATGTTTGTGTGGTTTGCACTGCGCGCATCTTTGAACGATCCCGAGGTCAACATATTTCTTCTCAAATGGCCAAGCCTAGACGAAACGGAGTACTCTGTATATGGTTTTGACCTACGTGCCCCGGAAATCCAAATTCTATGCTTCTCTATCACATTGAACCTGTGCCTGTTCACTTTACCCCTTGTAAAACCTCAATTCTATTGTGATAATCCGCCTGAAAAACAGTAGCCCTGTGATGGCGTCCAGTACTCCGTACTACCGACAGCTCGAGGATCGTCTTTGGTGTTTTTCTTGTGACTTCCCAGGTCCCCTGCCGAGCCCTGAGGGCGAATGGGAACGGCAATATATCTCAGCAAAGAAATGAATTGGTCCCTTACTCGCACGCTAATGCCCGGAGTCAATCAATATTATCCAATTTGACGTGTCTACGGAGTACGATACTCAGTCTCAATTTGCGACAATGCAGAACCCCCTTTCTAAGGGGGAGATTACCCTGCACAATATCCTTGTCCGGGGAAGTAGCATGATCGCCGTGTATCATGTAGATGGACTAGGTCTGTGGGAACTAAGCGCTAATATCAATGACCATTTAATTTCAGACCTCGCGAATGGGGATCTGCATTGTGCCTTGGCTTTTCCTAAGGTTTGTGCTGAGGCAAACTCCTGCCAGGGCGAAGCGCGCTCGTTTGCTTTACAGGCATTTTATCAATTATATTTAATACTTCGTTGTCTGTCCATCTTCCAACTTAACTTTGTCACTCTTTACTACAATACACTATCGCTGGTTACCAGAACCTTTTCATTCATTCGATAATCTCGCGACAACCTTTTTTATCAACATGAAGTTCAGCATCCTTGCTCTCTCGGCCTTGATGGCTTTCGCCGCTGCCGCAGACACCACCACCGCAAATCCTTCAACTATTACCACTACTCCCGAAGCTGAGTGCGCAAAAAGCTGTAAGCTGCCCACTCTCGCAGACTCTCGTCCTTGCCCTGATACTAATTCAACTTAACCTCTAGGCGATGCCACAGATATCTGCTGCACAGCGAAGTGCTACAAGGTGCCATGCCCCAGCGATGATCAGGCAAATGACACCAACGCCTGTGTCTCTTCCTGCCCTCAAGGCACTGGCTCGCCGGCTGACGCCCAGAAGTACGCCGACTGTGAGCAGTCCTGCTACAGCTCGCACTTCTGGGGTGGCAACGGCAGTGGTACAACTGCAACCCACTCTTCCGCCACCTCCACTGGTACTGGCAACACTGCTACACAGACCAGCTCCGACTCGTCAAACTCTGATTCCAAGTGTATGTCCACATTCATTCTTGTCAATACGGAACTCTGCTAACATTAGCACTCAGCCTCCGGTAACAATGACAGCAATGATAACAACGGCAACGATGACTCTTCCTCCTCGGGAACTGCTACTAGTTCTTCGGGCTTCTCCCAGCAGACCACCAACGCCGCCCCCAATTTTAAGCTTGGTGCCTCTGCTGCTGGCCTCTTTGGTCTCATTATTGCTGCCTTTGCTCTGTGAGAAGATTGGATTCGGTCTTTTGTCTACCAGTCTGTGATTTGACATGGTCTTATGTGACTATCCCGGGTCCAGATCTACAGGGTAGCTCTTTTTACCTTGTAACATAATGTTCTTTTCTTCCATGTGATAGTGTACTGGATAAAAATTTGGAGCCTTCTTCTACTTTTAAATCCCGCAAAATCGAACTTACCTCCACAGCTCACCACTGAGTAAAAATCCCATATCCCATTAGACATCGCTGAGATTGATGATGCTGTAGGACTATAAACTCAGCCAGAGTCAACAAATAGGCCAACAAATAATTGGCCAAAGAAGCCACATTGTCAGTTGGAACTGGGGCGGGGGAAGAAGCAGAGCCTGAAAAAGGAGAGTGAGAAGGGCGAATTGAGGGTCGGAGAGGGAGAGATGGAGGGCGCACTCCACGGCAGTCATTACATATTTCTTATTTACGGGTTTATGGGTTGATGGGTCTTTGATAGCTGTTTCCACGATTTCACCAAAACCCGAGTTTCGTACAAGGTAGAATTGCAATACGCATTCCAGGCCTTGCTCATGTAGCCTTGAGTTGACACGAGAAAATGCGTCGAATGCTATTCACCGCCAAATCTTGTTTACTGCGGGGGAAAACCCGGCGTTATCTTCAAAGCATACATACTGCTGATCCCCAGGGACACAAAAACAGCAAGAACACGGTATAAAAGCCCGACAGTTTAGTCCATTTCACCAACAACAAGAAAAAGAAAAATCAATACCGCAACAACCGGACCAAAAGCCCCACAATGGATGATACCAGCGAGGAATTTCAATCCCTCTTCAACAAGATGTCTGCTTTCGTGACAAACTGCATGTCAGGCCACGACCCATCGCATAACCCAGCGCACGTTCACAGAGTGGGAGCGCTGGCCACCAAGATTTTGGAAGCAGAGCGAGCACTGCACCCGACGACACAATACAACGGGGCAGTTGTGAAGCTCGCAGCACTGCTGCATGACATTGGCGACAGAAAGTACTTGTCCAAGATGGATGCAGGCGAGGAACTCGACCCAACGACGATGGTGCAGCATGCGCTCCTAGCGCGGGGTGCGACCCCAGAACTCGCATCTCGGGTGCAGACGATCGTGTCACATGTTTCTTATACGACTGAGTGCAAGGATCCGGAGTTGATCCGGAGGATGGTCAATGAGGATGGGTTTGTCGAGCTTGGGATTGTACAGGATGCTGATCGACTTGATGCCATCGGGGCTATTGGAATTGGCAGGTGTTTTACCTTCCTTGGAGCTGTAGGAAAGAAGTATTGCGTTGATGGGAAATGGGAGATGGATAACTCCATTGAGCATTTTGGGGATAAGTTGGTTAAGCTGGAGGGTATGATGAAGACTGCTACGGGGAGGGAAATGGCTAGGGTACGGACGGAGAGGTTGAATGTCTTCGCGGGGTGGTGGCAGGAGGAGATGAGTCTTGCTTCTGATTCCCCTTAAGAGAGACGGGCCTTCATATACAGCGTTTACTTCATGTTGATCTCCTTTTACCTTTCTAGGGACGGTTGTGATAAGTGCATTCAAAACACTCCTGTAGAGATAGACAGTGGGCATATATCATATGTCAATCAAGAATCAACGATAATCCAAGAAAGAAAGTTTGAAAACAAATGTTTTCAGCTATATATTGTTATAGTCTTTTCTCGTCTTCTTATGAAAGCTGTCGGACTCGATACATCGTGATTGATATAGATAGCGTGTACTGCCACGCAAGCAGCCCGAAATATGCACGCACCTCATCCGCTCAAGATCAACACCGCCATTCGTTAAGCAACAGATATACAACCCACCTTCGCAACCATGGCTGATGCACAATTTGACAGCGCACTGTGAGTAACCTGCCTCGCAACTTATATAACACTACAGACTCCTTCACCCCCAACCATTACACCTGTCATGACACTCCAAGAACCCGACGCAACCCCGCGTCATGCACTCGGATACAAGTGAGCTGACCACCCCATCTACAGCGACCTGCTTCGGCGCCTGAACCCCCGGGACACCAAGGCCAACTTACAAGCAATCACCTCAATCGTCCCCGACCTCACCGAAGACCTCCTCTCCTCCGTTGACCAGCCCCTGGAGATTCGTCGGTGCCCGCAGACCAACCGGGATTATCTGCTCTGCGACTACAACCGCGACGGCGATAGCTACCGGTCACCATGGAGTAATGAGTTTGATCCGCCGCTCGAGGATGGTACTGTACCCAGTGAGCGAGTGCGCAAGCTCGAGGTTGCCGCCAACGAGTCGTTCGATGTTTACCGCGAGCTGTACTATGAGGGAGGCGTGGGGAGTGTCTATTTCTGGGATTTGGATGATGGATTCGCCGGCGTTATTCTACTAAAGAAGGGTGTGTTACGGACTAACGACGGAACACTTTCCATCTTTTAGACTCCGACTGACTGTTTTCTTGGATTAGGTGTCACCCCGGGTTCCCAGAGCTCCGGCGAATGGGACAGCATTCACGTTTTTGAGGCCACCGATCGCGCCCGGATGTCTCACTACAAACTCACTAGTACCGTTATCCTCCACCTGGCCAACAAAACCGAGGCTCTTGGTGATATGGACCTCAGCGGGAACATGACTCGCCAGGTGGAAGTTGATTTGCCTGTGGAGTCGGATGCTAGCCATGTCGCCAATGTTGGCAGGCTGGTAGAGGATATGGAGTTGAAGATGCGAAATCTGCTGCGTATGTTTATCTCTCTTGTCGCCATCTAATGGCTTGGGGATTTTATGCTAACCTAGGCTCTCACATCACAGAGGAGGTTTACTTCGGCAAGGCGAAGGATGTCGTTGGCGAGCTCCGAAGTAAGTGCATGCACATAATATCTAGGCTGCTGCAATATACTAACATGAACCTAGGCTTGGGCCCACTATCCGATGCGAACAGAGACCGGGAAACCCAGCGGGAAATGATCATGTCCATGCAGAAGTAGTCATTTACAGTTCCGACAAATATCCTGCTCGGCTAGGCCGATAAAATATACCTGTCGTTGCATTCTCGTTTTATATAGCTTAGTTCTGTGAACATGCTGGAAGACTGGTCCATACACATTTTGCGCCTGGTACTTTGTAGGTACGTGTTAGGTATATATGTATCATCTTCCAATGCGGCTGATTGTATTCGCAATTGCAATGCCAATGGCAGCATATAGTCCGGGGTATCATAAACGCATGGAGCAAACTCAGCCACTCTCGCCGGATAAAATAATATCCTATAGTTCAATCCACCTGCATGTCCTCAGGTTCATTTGCTGGCCTAGAACCCTTGCTGGTCTCGGAAAGCTTCTGCGTCTGTTCAACGAATTTCCGGGCAGCCGCCCACAATTCAGCTTCCTTGTCTTTCCCAACTGTATCCTTCCGGGTGTTGAGCCGACTGATATCCAGTGAATTTGGAGCTCGCGACTTAGCTCCTGCGACTCCTTCGTTCCTGACTCCAGTTTTTGTGTCCCCTGCGCGCGAGCCTTTCTCGGGTCCGACGAGAGAGGATTCCTCTAGAGAATATATTTGGCGGCGCAGAGTAACATCAGCTGAGGATAAAAGCGCGAAGTATTTCGCACTTGCTTCTTTGAAACGTGTTTTGTGCGAGTCAAGTGACCCATCTGGTGGAACTGAAGAGGAGTCCGGTTTGGCGTTGGTCAAAGCTTGAATCGCGAGACCTGCAGATTGAAGAAGCTTGGTGACATTCTAACGGAAAACAATTAGCCAATATTTCCCCCATGAATTGATTCACCGTAGTACTTTGTCCAGGTCATTCAGCTGTCGAATGCGATCAGCTGAAGTAAAGGTAGGTGGCTCCTGTGAGAGCACGTTTTCACCCATGTTGATCAGTTAGAGGCTGTATGAGCAAGCGAGATGGATGCGTTCGTAAGGATTGATCTCACCAGATCTTTTAGTGAAGAACAAAAGACAGAGATCATAATGGAGATTAGGAAGCTTGCTGCTTAACGTCACGTGCCGGAAATTGGGGAGGATCTTAATAAGCGGTGAGGTAGCGGGCCCGCAGCTCGTCGGGATATCAAATTCGAGATATCAAATCCATTATCCTATCGCTGAGCGGTCAAAGTCCCATAGAACTTTGGGCAATATATACATTAGACGAACCACTGGTAGCTGACCGCACAAGCCCATCGTATAATCCGCCGGCAATTATACATTGCAACTTTGCTTCGTTGCCCTTCGTTGCCCTCCGTCCTTCGCCGCAATTTGAGGATTTGGCTAGAATTTGTCGTCGGTATCATCGATTATGTCGGCACCAGGCGGGGCACCAAGCCCTGGACCGCGCAGTGGCAGCATGGGACCAGGTGTAAACGGGAATGGGATGATGCCTTCCCAGCAACCGTTACCTGGAACCCCCGTCCATTCTACACCAACTCCAGGACCCAGTGCACCACCAAGTGGTGCTATGTCACAGCAGAACTTGAACCAAATAGTAGGTACCCTTGTGATTATCTTTTGTGTTATTCGCGAACTCTTGTTTCCCTCATCCTCTTTGTGTCTGCGTGTGATGGTTGCTCCCTGCGTGTTGTGTCCACCCTGTATGTTCCGGGTCGGCCGAGTTTCATAGGCCTGATATGTGGCAATCTTTCGACTGGATGCTCCCCGGAAATTATGATAGAGATTCATCACAGAGGTGTCTTGAGACGTTTCGCTTCAACGCCAACGGTATTGATGATATTGAAACTGGCACAAGCCCTTGAGCTCCTTGTTCATTACCCATTGCAGCCCTTGTGCGGTGATCCAAGTTCGGGATAGGATCTCAAAGTCACCGCACCACGCTGTGGGTGAGTTGGTTGATGCAACAAGCCATGGATTTCCCCGTTCATTGGTCCTTGCAGCGTGTGGATGGCGACGGAAGTCTTATCTGCAATGTCGACAATGTGCTCCATCTCACAGACCTAAAAGAAGATTGTTCGCCAGCTGTTCATTGCCCATTGCAATTTACGACTGCTATCGAGGTTGATCAATGGGTTCCTAAGGCACCAGAACCCGGATCAATATCACTCTCATTCACCATTTCTGTCACCCAACTCTCACCCAAGAACAATTCTTCACATTTCCAACTTGTCATTCATCTGGTTTATCCATCTTTATCACTTCATCATTCCATACTTTTGTTTCATCGTCGCATCAATTGGGATAAAACGGACTACCATCGCGAAACATCACCAGAACTGCTGTGAAAATGCCAACTCGGGATGAGGATTGGCAGCCTGCTCGCCAGCGGCAGCATCGCCGGCGCCCCCGCCAGTCCTCGCCCATCCAGAAGAACCGGAAGAAACATAAGCCTGTGGCGGCTGATGTGACTCCGGCGCAATCTGCGTCCCATCAACCCATCGCGAAGCCTCCTGTCATTAAGCCCTCCACCGTGAAGCCTTTGAAACCCCTCACAGTTGAGGAAACACGCGCACGTGAACAGGCTGTCTGTTTACCCACTCAGGCTCCTCTCACCACGCTCTGCTTGCGTTGCCATCTTCCTGCCATCTTCTTGCTTTGCTCAAATACGTTTAATTAAACTTTCCACTAACTTCTCATGTCTTCTAGGTCATTGATTATCTGGCCAAGAAGGGTTATAGTCGTACAGAGGCAATGTTGCGCATGGAGTCTGCCAACCAGGAGATTGATGGCCGTCCGCTCCCCCAGCTGGGGGAGGATTCCCGTCCCAAGACTCGACAAGGCTTTGGTGAGCTAAATATTCAATCAGTGTGACTCAACATATCAACTAAAGTGTGATCTAGATTTACTGAAGAATTGGGTCGAGGAAAATCTTGATCTGTATAAGGTATGCCAAATAAGGAGTGACTTGAGAACTCCATGCTAATTGTCTGGCAGCCTGAACTCCGGCGTGTCCTATGGCCACTGTTTGTCTATTCCTTTTTCAACATGGTCACTTCCTTTTATCCTCAGGATGCGAAGTCATTCTTTGACACCAACAAGAACATGTTCCTTCCTGAGCATACCGATGACATCCGCCATTTCGAGCCTATCAGCTTGCCGGAGCACTTGCAGGATAATTCCGTTGCCAAGCTCTACCGAAATAACAAATACCGCATTGTGTTAAGTAATCCCGCTTACACTAATCTTCTCCAATTCCTGGAGAGCAAGGATAAAGAGGGAGGTTCTGTCATGAACGCAATCCTCAGCAGCTTTTGCTCGGTGAAGACTTTGGACCGAGCAGCAGATGATCGATTTAGTTTCGCTGCCATGTTGAACCAGATGAGTGCGGATCAGACCTTCCCGGCTGAGGATGAAGGCATTCCGGGACACCACCCCGGCTCAGCTTACACCGGTGACAACCCAGCCATGGCCGGCACACTTCCCCGTCTGAAACTTGGAAAACTTCCTATGGAGCAAGTTCTAGAAGAGGATGTGCGGGCTGAACTGGCTGAGGAAGATGCGAAACAACCTCCTGCCGCTGGCCGTAACACGCTCATTCAAGAGTTCGACCAAATGATTAAAAATGAAGAGGATGATGAAGCACCTACTCGCGCAGATATTCCATTCCCTCAGTCCACTGCTCGTGACGTTCAAATTGAGGTGAAGAAGGTTATGGAACATCGCGATCGGTTCGAGATCAAGGCTCGCACAGGTGGTGTCGGTCCTGGGCTTAGTGTGTGCATGTTCACATTCCATAACACTTATGACGGGTATGTTTATTTGGACAGCCTTTTTGATGCACAGATGTGCTAACAAGTACACAGCATCACTTGCATGGACTTTTCAGACGACAGCCAGGTTGTGGCTGTGGGATTCCAGCAGTCATACATTCGAATCTGGAGCCTTGATGGCACAAACATTCAAGCTGCTGACCCTGACCTTGATAACTCACCACCTGCCAGCTCGCGCCGCCTCATCGGCCATGCGGGTCCTGTGACTGCTGTCGCATTCCAGCCCTGCGCCTCTGCTCGCGAGGGCCTTTCGGGGGATGACAAGGTTGCCACCAATGCACGCTGGTTGCTTTCATCATCCATGGATAAGACAATTCGCCTTTGGTCCCTTGATAGCTGGCAATGTATGGTCGTCTATAAAGGCCACGATCGCCCTGTCTGGGATCTAAGCTGGGGACCCTTTAGCCACTACTTTGTCTCCGGTGGATCCGACCGGACTGCCCGTCTGTGGGTGAGCGACCAAATCCGCCAGCAGCGTATCTTCGTTGGACATGACCATGATGTCGATGTCGTCTGCTTTCATCCCAACTCAGCATATGTTTTCACCGCCAGCTCCGATCACACTGTCCGCATGTGGGCTGTTTCGACTGGTAATGCTGTCCGCATGTTCACTGGCCACACTGGCAGCATCACCGCGATGGAGTGCAGCCGCGATGGAAAGCTTCTAGCATCCGCGGATGACCAAGGCTGCATCATCTTGTGGGATCTGGCTCCCGGCAGACTGCTGAAGCGCATGCGTGGGCATGGCAAGGGTGGAATCTGGTCTGTCAGCTGGAGCGTGGAGTCCACAGTGCTGGTCTCTGGTGGAGCGGATGGTACCGTACGAGTTTGGGATGTTGCTGGTTCTCAGGAAACCACTCAGGGTGGCCGTGTCATCGGTGAGACAGGCACTGGAACCAGACTGGATGCAGGCGCAAACCCCTCGACGGGCCAGACCAAGAAAAAGAAGGGCAAGGACGTCGTTGTCACGGCCGATCAAATCAGCGCTTTCCCAACCAAGAAGTCTCCTGTTTACAAGGTCAAATTCACCAACATGAATTTGGTGGTTGCTGGTGGTGCCTATCTGCCTTGAATGGCATCTAGCTTCGTTCTTGCTCGCGTCATGTGCTCTTTCTTTTTCTCTTTCGGAATACCCTTACTCCTTGTATTATCACATCCCTTTTCACTATCCGCGCATGATGGTTCCGTGTGATGGAATCCCGGTGGCGTTCGGAATCTTGAAAACCTGATTCACGGTGTTTATCAATGGAGAGGCACGAGCCTTTTGCCGTGCCTGGCAGCTTTTTGCTTTTCCTGTCTTTTTCTTCACTATCATGTTTGTCGCAGTGGGGTGGTATGGACCTTCGGACTGAAGGCTGAACTGCTGGCGGCCCTTTGTGGCTGGGTTGGCCTGGGCCCGAGAAAGAATGTTCTCACCCCGTTCGAGAATGAAACCGTTTTTTCGTAATATTCTATTTCCTTACATGCTAGTGCTTCAATCCCAATAATTTGAGATGTAACGGCATTAGAGAAAGAGCTTACGAGTCGTAGATCACGCTTTTTGCTTGACAAGCACACATGTTTGTTTACACGTGTGAATGGTTGTTTATTAGACATATGTCATTTCAAGGACCGAGACAAATCATAAGATGCTATCTCAGGTGCCCTGTGGAACCACCAGGAGCACCTGTTCCCTTCTTCATTGCCGCTGACGCCTGCATATCCGCCACCTTAGGCGGAAGCACTAATGCGCTTCGGTCATTTCGTCGGTAAAAGTCCACCAAAATCTGCGCAGTCTTCGCAGGCTGGTCCTCATGGACGAAGTGACCTGCTTCAGGGAAGACCTGCAGTTGATATTTGCCTGATGCTGAAGTGAGCATGATGCCGAATGACCTCATTATAGATGGTTGACAAAGATTATTTTGATAGACATACCTTGCATCTGCCCGATCATCAGCTCTTTATCTAATCTGTCGGTCCCAGCAAGTAGTAGTAGCTTGCCACCTCGTGCGTCGAGAAACTTTCTACTCAAGCCCACAAACCAGTTCTCCCAGAAAGGCTTCGTTGCAGACAGGTTGGTGCGCCACACCCAAGGACGGGAGGGGTCGCTAGGCTCGCTTTCTTCATATAATAACGACGGAACCGAGGCGCGAGCAGAAGTTGTGTTCCGGATTGTGCGGGAGCGAGTACTTGTAGTATCTGTTAGTTATAATGGAAAGAGAGGGCAGTCGAGATGGACACATACTGCCATTCGATTCCAGATAATAGTGATGGGAATCGAGTCGGACGAGTTGAAAGATATTTTTCCATGCTTTGCAGAGCATCCATCGCAGACCCTGTCAAAACGAGATATTAGTATTTGATAGACATAAACAAGAAGGCGACCATACCTTCGACTACATCAAACACAGCATACGCCAACAGCTTCTGACCCAGTTCCCCTTTCTTTGCGACATCTGTAATCACTGCACCACCCAGGCTGTGTCCAACAAGGATAATATCAGGCAACTTCTCCCAGCTCATCCTAGTTTGTGTCTGGTAGATCACATGGACTAGGTCCCGGCTCAGAGTCTCCAGACTAAGGTCGAGCTCAACCTGTCCCGAAGAATCGACCTGAGATGCCTCTCCTGTAGAAGGAGCTTCATCGTCCGTTTTACTGTCCAATTTGGTTACGACCGTGCGGCCATGACTCCGAGCGTCTAAGGACAAAATACCCGCCTTTGGGAGGATCTTCCGGATCTCTTCTGCGCAGGTCGCAAAGGAAAGTCCGGATGAGCCGGCCCCATGATGCATGACAAACAGCGGGCCTGATTCAGTAGGCGGTGTTAGATAGACATGATGTACAATATGGAGATTATCCACTTCCTCGGGAAGAAAGAGCTCCTGGCCAAAGAAGTCTGTCCATGACAGAGAAGTTTGAGATGATTGTCTGTAGCCACGTATTAGTGTAGTCCCGGAATTCGGCTGTTTGTAGCAAATTGGTCCCAAGACTGAGCTCCTAGAAATTGGAGAAGTAAACGAACCGTCGGCCCGTTCGGGCGAATAGCTGTCGCGTGGGTGACGGGACCATCGTCCCAGTCGACGACACCGAGGAAGCCGAAGAGCTATCTTCTCCTGCATCCTCTGAATAGCTCATTAACTCAGGCATTGGTGCTTCGGGTGGAAATTTGGCCAGTTTTGACTTGGCAAATGATTTCTGGAGCTCGCTCATCTCAAGTGGATACTACGGCTGTGTCGATCAGAATGAGGGGTGTTTGAATGCGGGCTATCATAAGTTGATTTTTTTCCTTTCCCACGCACTGCCAAAAAATCCTCCGAGCGAGATGGGTTTTTAGTACTCCGTAGAGATAATCGAGTCCATTCGCATCCGGTGCTGTGTCGTCAGCCACTGCTGACTAAGATCATTGGCTAGCGCCTCACTGAGATGCCATGCCAAAGCTGTAGAAGTTGGTTAAGGTCATTTCATGAAGGTTAGCAAAAGTCATGCTACAAAGTCCTTGAATAGTCTGTTGCTGGTACATTGGAGTAGTCTTCTTATTCTTTTGTTTTGAAATTGCTGACGAAGGAGATTTCGCTATGAGCGATTATCTTCGCTCGCTACGAGCACAATATACGTAGTCGAATAGGTAGATAGTTTGAACGAAGAAAAAGGGACCACTAAGCACAAGATAAGTATGCCTTTCGCGTCCAGTCAAGTCCACTCCTGATCGGGACATCAAATTTCCTCTCATCGTCAACAAATCCACCACGCAGCATTCGAATATAGTCAACCCCCAGCTTTAAGTCCGTGGACCTTTCATCGCGTTCGGGGTCCCATACCCTCCATCCATTTTCATTCGGGATTTTCCAACGCATCACTACAGGCAAAGCCGGAGATGCAGCAGGTGTATGAGTTTGCCCCTCTGGCGTATTCAAGTTCGACCGATGTGGTGACTTTCGTGCCAACGAGAGGAATAATTCATGCTCTTTTGAAGATCTGTGCCGGTACAACAGAGCCGGATTTGAGGATAGCACCGAGGAGGGGAAATATATTGGATCTTGTAGTGTTTTCACTACTTGGGAATTCGGCGCATGCAAGTCGAACTTGACTAGTTTCGGCTCACATGTTAATGGTGGCAGAGCAATGACCACCTCATTCTCGTTCCAGTGGACGAGAACCGGAAGATGAGGTGGGAGACTCTGGATTCGTTCTCCAAATCTATATGTGAGTTCGGGTTTGGGGGTCGGGCTTTCTTCAAACTTGGAAATCTCATGGTCCGGTGCAAACGAATATGTAGACAGACACAAATGACACTCCGAGTAGTCATCGCCATCGGTGAACGAGGCGCTTAGGCAGTGAAGAAACTTTCCGCACGAAGAAAAGTGAAGGTCTGTGAATTGAAATGTTAGTCAGCCTCAAAATCAACATTCGCTCCTGAAGGAAACGAAGCCAACCTTGATAAGAAAGGAGCTCTTCATCTGTAGAGGTATTTGGATAGTCTATAGGATTCCATTCTTCTCTGTCAAATCTGGCAATTATGGCCTGTCCCTTAATGGAATCTATAACGACCAGCGGCAGAGATGGATGTGCCGCAAATGAAATTCCAGCAGTATTGTGGTCCAATGAAGGAATCCAGAGGGGTGGATAGGACTGATGATATAAGATCAGCCATTTTCCTGCTTGCTTTTCGAGTGACTCGGTCTCTCTGTGTCGTCCCTCATCATAGCCAGAGTGGTAGGCGGAGTCTGAGTCGGAGTCGGAGCTTGAGCCTGATCCAGATTCTGATTCTGAGTCTGAGTCTGAGGAGTCAGAGTCTGATTCAGAACTTGGTTGATCGCATTGCCATATTGATCCTTGTTTCAAAGTTTCTTTTGAGATGTGAAAGAGGGTCACTATTCCCCATCCTGTAGCTTTGCTGTCTTTCTCGATCACTTGCCAATTCTCGTTTGGGCGAGTTTCCGCCAAGGGGCTTGGTGCTGAGAATGTTTTGCAGACAGCGTTTTGAGTAGATCTGAGCTGCCTAGACACTGTATCAAATTCCAGAATATTGACCATCGCAGACGACCCTTGGACTTGAAATGCAGTTCGTTCCCAATTCAAGTTCGTGGTTCGGGTGCTGAGATGGAAAGTGCCGTCAGTTGCCTTGCTCTTCGAAAATATTGAGACAGGATGATAATGAAAGAGGTCTGAAGGATCATTGCGGTTATGATAAATCAAGTCGGCGAGCAATTTCCCCTTTGAAAGATATATGGAAGTCAGCCGAAGGTCTGAGATATCACTTAAATTGAGCTTTTCGTCGGATTTCCAGACTTTGATTCTTTCTGATTGAGGAAATTCACCTCCAAGCTTGGATTGCATAGTGCCCAGCGGAACACATTGATCTAGTACATCCGGCCGGGAGGCAAGAACCTCATGCCAATCGTTTATGAAAGCACAGAAGTCAAGATCCAATGCGGGTCCATGAGGTGGATATTTCTCCAGCCATGTAGGCAATGGAACACCGAAAGAATCCTCGTCGCACCAGCCCGTTTGTCGCAAGCTCATCTGGTACGTGCCGGCTTCTCTTCGAGCGTAGTGGCCGAAAAGATAAGGAACGATGCGACTCTGTACAGCAACGCAGGTCCAAAGATTTGTACTTTCTAGAAAGCGCCTTATCTCTTCAAAATCCTCTTCGCAGTGGTTGTCGGCGTCTATAAAGTGGATGAACCAGAAGGCTGCAGCGTATTTCAAAAACGAGTGTTCTCTGTTATTCTCGTCCGCCAGCACTGCTTTGGCAGTAGCGAAAGACTCATACCGCTTGTAGGTCAAGAATGTCAAGCAGTCGCGTCCACCTTGTCGAAAAGCTTCGTTCGAGTTGACAAAGAATTTCTGGATTCGGGCGAGATTGTCCTGTTCCATCTGCCGAATGGATGGGTTGATGAGAAGATCTTGGGCGTCTTGTGTGAGAAAGTCTTGGATGGTTTTATGACCGAGTCTGATCTTCTGATTGTTCTTGCTGTCATTAGAAGAGGTATCTAAGAGTAACCAGGATCCACAGAGCGAATGAATCTGTTGTTCTCGAGGCTCATTTCCTTTCAGATGATCTTTCGCGCCGGTCCGGATAGCAAGTGCGTTGCAGAGTTCGTTCCATGTAATAGGCTGCACTGCAGTGATCAGTATCCTAAAAACTCTCCTAAAACTATCATTAACATTCTGTAGCAGTATTGGCTTCTTGGCTTAGATGGAACTCACTTCACGAGTTCTTGTTCTCGTTCGTGCCTTTCGCAGAGCTTGAGTAGCGTACGAATATAGTATCCAGTCAGACTTTTGGGAAACTCTTGCAATGCCTTTCTGATATCGTTGTCACAGGTGATTCCTTCCCCCTGTAGTGTGTCAACTAAGAATTTCGAATAAAGGAAGCTTCCTTCAATATGTTTCTCAACGAAATAATCGATATGATTTGCGGCACCCTCGATTGACTGTAGCCCGTCTGACAAGAACAGCTTGATATCGGCAGATAGGGTGGATGGATTTGGAGTGAATGTCACAGCATTCAGCTGCTTCATCATGTTTCGAATATTCTCATCATTTCGGCTGGTGAAAAACCATTTGGTGATGCCATAAGCTGGAGCAGATACAATTTTTGTGAACATATCCCGCATTATTTGGTCATCAACACATTCATCCAGGCCGTCCACAATCACGTAGACAAGGCTGCAGCCCTTTAAGATGCAGTTCACTGTTTCCACTGCGACAGACGGGATATGTATGTATCTTGCATGTTGTGCCATCTCACTCTGGTAAAGTGCAACCACTGAATCCGGAATTCCAGTCTTCATAATGTTAAGCAGCTGAAGAGCAAGGGCACGAGGACCGGTAATAGCCTTCCTCAAAGTGAAGTCGCTGAAAGAATAGAAGTAGTATGCCGTCGGAAGGTTCTTCTTCGTCAAATGGTTGATGACGGCCGATGAAAGAACCGTCTTCCCCGAACCCAGTGGTGCATTGTACCAGAACACACTGGTGCTCAAATCATCACGCCAGCGTTGGAATTCCGGTTCATCAAATAACCACTCGCATGTTTCTGCATGCCTTCGTTCAAAATACATTTGCAAGTAACCGCGGAGGTCGAGGTCATCACCGGCTTCGATCCAGTCGAAAATCCCATCTTTTATCTTCTCTGTTATGATTTGGTGAGCGAGTGACTTCATTTTGTGTTTCGCTGAAGCAAAAGCACTTGGGGCATACTTTCTTGTTCTATAATGCCACGTTTCCTATCATCGTGAACAAGAATTGCTTCTTCGGCCGCAGTGATTGCCAGGACTCGAGCACAATCTTTGCTGAGACGCTCGACAGTCGCATTTATCTCATCGGTCATGGAATTCACAATATTCTTGATTGCACTCACAAAAACTATACTAAATCAGTGACATGTGTAATTTATTACTGCGGCAGTGACGTACCATGCTCAGAAAGGAGTTTTGAAGCCGTTGCCCAGAAGTTAACGATGTTCTTGTATGAGGCAACAAGACACTCCCGTACCTCATCAGAGGATTTATAGGCAACGGCAAACTTGCCGTAACATTGAAGATACATTCCAATTTTGCCCATAGTGTCGGAGACGAGTTCAAACATTGAATTGGTGTTGTAGGCGAGCTGGAGTAGAATCAGGATCGATGTACCGTCCCATTCCAATCTTAGAGTACTCACCTTGAGCACGAAACGGGCGCCCGATAGAGCCACACCAACTGCAAAAGGACTTGCCTGTACCAGGGCGGAGCAAGCGTCCATCAAAGTGACAATGCCATTGATAAAAGGTCCAAGGGCCCCAAGTCCCTTCAACGACTTCGACGAGCTTTTCTGCTTTTCAAGCTCTTTAATATACCCCCTGAGCTCTTCTGTACATGATTCAACACCCCGTGGATCTGTATTGAGGGCCAAAACCGAGCGTGATGTCAAGACTTCTTTATAGAATGGGCTTTTGCGGTCGCGAGCCTTCATATCATCGAGGAATTCGTCTATAGCCTGAGCCAAAGGGCTCGCTGCTTTGACAGCCGCCATAGAGACTCACCTGCGAATTGAAGAGTCACAATGTCTGAGTAAAGTTGAGATCGGTGACTTTTTTACGCGCCTATCGGTTCCCACAATTAAACAAGTACGCCATTCAAATCGCCTGTTTTAGTCAAGGCTTCGGGGCACGCTTTTGTTCCCACTGAGGAATGATATTCCACCGGGGTTTAAATTGACTGTGACGCGTCTAGCTTTGGGATTTCACCTGAATGGAGTAAGAAGCAGACTTCGGCGGGACGCCGGACATATGGCTTTTCTCGATTGGCCTGCTCGTAGAAACCGTCAGCACTAACGCGCGCTAGAAGCTCAGGGGAGTATAAATCGCGCATCATGACAGGTTCGATACGGGGATATTCCATGTGGCTGCAGTCACACCACAGGCCCGTGCCGTGTTGGCTCGCTGGTGTCTCCATGAGCTGCTATTTAGTCTGTCTCCAGCCTCAAGTTACCCGATGTGAGAAGCTTACGTATTGCGCTTGGATTAGATTCCCTAATAAGATGATTTAGCTGACATGAGCGGCATAAATAGCCGTCCGCATCTCCTTCGCGCATAGCTCACAGTAAAACAAACAAACCCGATTCAGTCCAGTAACATGGATCCCACCGAAGACCTGACTGGAGAAAAGTGCGAGTTCAAAGTCTATCGCCACACCCCGAAGAAAGACGGAACTGTATCCATTGAGACAATCTCGAATCCCTTTTCTCGGCTTGCTCTCGGAGACAAGGACAGTCCTTATGCATTAGTCGTGAATCGCTTCCTAGGCGAAAAGAACCAACTCAAAGAAACTACCCTGCAAATCAATTCTAAGCGACTGACGAATGTCTTCCGAGAAGTAATCGGCTTCTACCCAACCGTTCCGGCAGATTTCACCTCTCCCTTTGAACTCCAGGCACCATTTCAGATCCTTCTGCATTATTGGGAAGAATTGGATGAACGCCGACAAACGACCAAGGATGCTGACGAGCGCATGCATCTCAATCTGCTGTTCGACTTCATGAATCATGAAATTGGACCCGAGCGAGAGCGCCTTGTGGGTATGGTACGGAACAAGCAAATTACATTCTGGAACGCTTGGTGCATCTTCCGTCCGGGAGACTTAGTTTACACCAAGTTCATGGGCCATCCTTGGTTGCTGCGATGTCAAAAGACTGCCTATGAGGAAAGTACCTCAGACGGGCCTTATCTGGAGGTCCACTGTCTCTATACAGATCACGATGGGACTATCACCGGCGAAGATTCCAAAATTTTTCGGATATACCAAAAACGAAGCTTTGCCGCCGAAAATCCGGCTGTCATTACCGAGCTCCCGTGTTTTCCTCGTAGATTTGTCGATGAACAGGGGGATCTCGAAGAGCGACTGATAGCTCGCGGTCAAAGGTTTCTCGCACTACAGGGGGTAGCTACTATGTCTTACGATGGACATGCCCAGTATCTTAAGGAACCTGACTACAGTTATTATCATCCCAGAATGGCTGACTTTGAAGGAGTTTGGATACCTTATACCGAGCTTGGAAGGGTCATACTGGACCGCAAGACCTTTCAGGAGGACCAGTATTCAAATGCAGGCAGTGTTCAGGCCAAGACCCCCGAGCCACTATGCTGTCCACCATATGAGTATGGATTTTCTCTAAGTCGCAAAGAATGGTGCCGGTTTTTCATTGACTCCATTGAAGATGTTAAATGGAAAGAAAATGCCTGGGATTCCCTGATCATTGGTGATCACGAAAAACTCGTGCTTCAGTCTTTAGTCACGTCTCACTCATACCCGGAAGACGCACGCGACCAAAGCCTCCAGAAAGGAAAGGGCCTGGTTGTTTTACTGCATGGATCACCGGGGTCTGGTAAAACATTGACCGCTGAGACCGCCGCCGAGGGATCAAAAAGGGCGATTATGATGACCTCTCTAGGAGAGCTTAATCAATCGGAAAAGTACAGTTGCCCAGTCATGTGAAATTGGAGATAGCTGACGTGAAAAAGTCCTGCGGCGTTTGAATTCCGTCTCAAACTTCTTCTGCAATATGCAACAACCTGGAAGGCGATTGTCCTAATGGACGAAGCAGATGTTTTCCTTGAGGCTCGAGAGGACCACGGCGACACTTCATATCGAAACGCTCTCGTAGCTGGTAGGAAGCCCACTGCAATTGCTGAAAGCAAAGCTAATACGCAAGGATTTAGTTTTTTTGAAGGAATTAGAGTACTTTAGCGGCATTGTTTTTCTGACCACTAATCGTATTAAGTCTTTTGACAAAGCGATGAAGTCTCGCATCCATCTTGCACTTGAATATACTTCGCCAGGCCTTAAGACTAGAGAACTACTCTGGTTGCAAACTTTGAAATCTATACCAAGCGAAGAAAACTCTGTGGATCTTGATGAGGCCATGGGGGCTTTCCTGCTGGTCAAGATGAATGGCAGAGAGATTGCAAATGCAGTCCATACCGCCCGGACAATCGCACGCTTTCAGAAGAAGCCGGTTCAGGTCGAGCATATTGAGATGGTCCTGGGTGTCTGGAAACGATTTGATGAGAGCTTGGAAAAGATCAGGGAGAAATCGCAACATCCCATGGACAACAGAGCGCACATGATAATGCGACGAACGAATTCGATTCTTGAAGACGACAAAGGCAATTTTCATTCGTGAGATGTGATATCTGACTAGGTTTCATGATGCAAATAGCATTGTTTGAGTTTTTATACGAAACAAAATTGCCTCGTGAGACTGGCTATCAGTATCTTGCCCCCTTCCGCTACCCTCCATCCTCCACCATCAGCAAACAATCAAAATAGAAAAAAAGATAAAATTCATACAACAGCATGTCTGAGGTGAAGGTCATCTAGCGCCCACGGTTCCGGCGTGGGCGGCTCGCCGCGACATTGAGGGCACCCAGGGCAGATATTCAGCCACCTGAATATCCCTCATCCAAATATTCTGCCCGTAGAGCAAAAGGCACATTTTCCCATCATGACAAAAAAGAGCTATGAGGAGCCTTCTTTCCTTCTCCGTTTCTACCTCTCCAGCCTCAAATCCTCACTTCAACCAAAACTCGCTTTATCACGAGCAAAGTGCGTGCTAAGCATGACCTGACATTAGAAAAGAGCGACTACTTTGACCCCTCGGCGTCTCTTTTCATTTTCAGCCGATTTGTTGTATAAGACAACGAAGATCCGTCCGAAAGAGAAGAAAAATTCGAGACAGGAGATATGGGAGAGACTGGTGACTCCCCAACAAGCTCCATGGCTTCGTATCTTCTTTTCTCGCTCAAAGACTTTGCACTCTCCATGAGCCTTTCCTTGATCCTTGTTGGTGCGGCCATGCAGTAACGCTTGAGAGCGACAATAACAACCTTGAAGCCCGGAGAGTCGACATTCTCAAATTTGCAAATGCCCCGGTGATCTGCGGCAATACCACATCTGTCCGTTCCATCTAATATTGGTGCGGCGCTCTCGCGATCCACGATATAGTCCATCGTATATTTCAAATCGGTGCGAAACTGCTCCCACAAAAACATTATATGATACCGTGACATCAATGGGGAAAAGTCCTCGGCGATGTTTTGAATTGTTTCGGAATCATCCTCGATTCCAGTGACTAGATTTGTTTCGAAGCGAGCGACCCGTTTAGGGACAATGAAGGACGCTAGCTTGTGGATGGTGTCAAGCTGGCGTGCTTTGCTGGAACCACTATGGGGAGTGCCAAAAAACAAAATGCCGTATGTGCAAGTATAAATCCTGTGAAGTCGAGCGCTCTTTGCTGACGTGCGACCTTGGGATAAAGTGAGGGCTCTTTTGACTATGATACCTCCTAGAGAATGACATACGAAAATGATGGGTCTCTCGGTGGCATCCTCGAACTAGTCACGGTTAGCTAGAAAATCCGTTGTCTCTTAGATTCACAGCACATGAAGTCAAAACCAAGGTGGACCATTGACAAGAACACATTGTTTTAGAAATGTCCCATTATTTGTAAATTGTGACTTGAGGGCACACTCTCTCCCAGTCCAAGGCAGCCATGGGAGCACGGTTTGGAAAATCAAAACCAGCAACGAATATTTTTCACAGTGTACACCGCTACTGACCTCTCTGTCATTTTGGAGCTCCTCGATAAGCGTCCCAGCATGCTGTAGGATCCGGTCTGAGCTTGTTGCCTTACCGCCCAAAGAATTTGTGTTGGCGTTATACCCCCACGACAGGACCCGGGCATTCTTGATGTAGTTGGGAAGAAGGTCGCTAAGCCAGCACACTTTTGAAGCTTCATGGGTCCATGTTCGCCGGGCGTCACCTTGCAGACCATGAACAGCGACGATACTATTCGAACCAAATGGTCAGCTAGTATTACGATTTGTCTCAAGGCGAGCACATACTCAATATCTATAGGCTGTTCGCTAGGTCTGAATAGTTCAATAATGCCATTATGAAAGGAACCCGTTCGAGGCATGTTCAAAGGTATGGAAAGTCAATGCTTCATATGATGATACGATATGACAATAAGCCTTGGCAGAAAGAATGGTTGGGGCTTGGTTATAAGATCTCCCCTCGAGGCAATCTCCTCTGTACTTTTCTCGATCCAGGGGACTTTACGGACTAGAACAAGTAAAGATCGCCACGAAAGCTAGATCAGTCAACGCATTTGTTTCAATTCTTTTCATAGATCTGTTATCTATCTATAGATAGTTCCGTCCTGCATCTAATCAAACCACAGCGCCTATTTTGGTATACAATTATTGAAACATACGTAGTCTCACCAAGCTGCATGGCGTGCTTGAAAAATCACGGAAGCTCAGTCGTGTTCGAGGCACCGAGTTTAGGCACCCTACATACTGATAGGGTCTGCAAGGGATTTCCGTGATGAGGGTGAAGGCTTGATCCATTTTATATATCGTATGTATTTAAATTGACGAGCCATCTGTTTAGCTTCGATCCTCAATCATAGTTTAAGATCTATCTGGTCTGACTTTTCGAACCGAGTTTGTTTCAACGACTCTTCTCAATTTCATAAGCAAAGTCCAACAAACCTTGTACAAGGCATGAGCTTGAATGCTTTGATACACAAGGCACGATATGATGTCCCCGAAGGATGTTGGACCGAATAAGTGGTGCCATCTCCAATGCGTCCCCGTCGAAATGTCGGTAACTTTTATGAAACAAAGATCGCGTGATAAATTGTGAAACTATTTCGAATGACTGGGTTAAGGGGCTGAATCAAGTGCACGCGGTTTACTCCGTACTCTGTAGAGTATTTTTAGGCATCTCCGGGGCAATACAAGGGTATTATGCGCTTTCAGCGTGATGCATTGGCGCCGTGTGATGTGGCCTGCATTAACCGGCATGCGAGCACATCTGCGTATTAGGAAGCAGATTGGCTAGTCCAGTCCAGCCTATAAATCGGCTTCAGTCCGTCAAAGTAGCCATCCTTGGCTTGATTTGGTAGTTTGTGTACTAACTAGGTGATAAAATGTGTATTAGTAAGTAGCAATAGCTGCAGGTGGGCAATTTGAAACAGCGTCAATCTAGGCGCTTCATTCAACCCGGTTTCTTGTTGGCGAAGACACCCCCTCTTCTCGATCGGCGATAAATTTTTCAGATATACATGTTTTCCTAAATAGTTGTCATAATCTTTAAGTTTCAGTAGGTTTGTGAGATCCTACCATCAATTTCCAACGGTCTCAATGGCCATAGAAACAATTTTCCCAGTATCCACTGACGGGAAGTGGGACGATCTATGTGTCGAGTAAGCTTTCAAACGCAGGCTAACCGCGAATGGACCTTGCTAAATGAGCAGTATTGTTGCAGTTCATGGGCTAGATGAAGATGGAAGGACGGCTTGGATCCATCCCAGCAATGGGTGTTTTTGGTTGCGCGACCTGCTCCCTAACGAAGGGTTCAAAGCTCGTATCTTCACTATAAATTACAAAGCCGATGCTACCTCGTTCTTCAGTAGCAGTTCGGCCGATCGGATATCGCACCATGCTCAAACTTTGGTGGAAGAGCTTAATGCCGAGAGAGAGCATGATGATTCCATACAGCGACCGATAATTTTTCTGTGCCATGGTCTTGGTGGCTTGATTGTCAAGAAAGCCCTTATTTACGCCTCTACTTGCACTTCTGCGAAGATGACGCACCTGTATTCTGTGTTTACTTCTACTTTCGGCTTGATATTCTTTGGCACTCCTCATGAAGGGATAGAGAAGGCCAGATGGTCCCTCCTAGCAAAAGGGTTGAAGGGTGTTCTCAAGGATCGAAGCCATCTCATCGCATCTATGGAGAAGAGATCGGAGACTCTCCAGACCATCTCCGAGCAATTCTCTCCTCTTCTGAAGAACTTCTATGTTCACAACTTTTGGGAAACACTTGAGACATCGAGGTCCATTGGCTCAGGACACATTGTCAGTTACTCTTCAGCGGCCCCGCCATGGGATGATACCGGGCGCTCCGGACTTCCTGCAACCCATTCACAGATGTGCAAATTTGGTGACCGCGAGCAACCTGGCTACAAGTTGACATGTGGGATCATCCACAGGTTTATCAAACTAGCTGGCCCATTGATAGCTTCGCGACACCGGGAATCCCATTCCTTTCTTGCTGCGCGAAGGGGACATGAAGCCACGGAGATTCTGGCGTTCGACATACATCACGACAACAAACCTGTCAAGTTCACACTTCAGCCCGCCTCAGACTCTCAGAATCAACATTTTATCGTCCCACTCGCCGTAAGCGACAATTACACAGGAAGAGAGGGGCTTGCCCAATCACTCCAAGAAAAGCTACTGGCGCCAACTATACGTCAAAAGCGCTTTGTGTTGTACGGTATGGGGGGATCTGGAAAGACTCAGTTCTGCTTGAAATTCGCTTCAGATAATCGAGACAAGTAAGATCGACTACCTCCTCCCAAGTAGATCACTTGGAATAAATATCTTAAAAATGCTAATATATTCATCCTTAGTTTCTGGGGGGTATTTTGGATTGATGCAAGTAGCCCAAAAGCTGCTGAGCAGGCTTTTTCGGGTCTTGCCCGTATTGGCAAAGTGGAGGAAAAGTTGGAGTCCGGCCTTTACTGGTTGTCAACGCAGGATAGGCCTTGGCTACTGGTCATTGACAATGCAGATGATGCAGAGTTTGACTACTCCAGATACTTTCCTTTGGGTGCTAAGGGGCATATTTTAGTAACTTCTCGAAACCCTGACTGCAGAGTTCATGCAACAGTTGGGTTTGAGGAGTTTACAAACCTTGAGGAGGAAGATTCGATAACTCTACTTCTCAGGTCCGCCATCGTCAGTGACCTTCATGATGTGAACACAAGAGCCACCGCTCGTCCCATTGTGCAAGCCTTGGGTTGTCTACCACTCGCTTTGATACAGGCTGGTGCATCCATTCGCCAGAACATATGTTCCTTGGAGGACTACCTAGATGTTTTCAATTCCTATAAGAAGAAGCTCTTCCTCAATGGGATCCAGCAAGGTCAAGGCTCATATGCACATACGGTTTTCACAACATTCGAAGTCTCCTACAACAAGATACGAAGCCTCACAACAGATGAGGCGAAGGATGCCATCGAGATGCTTCACGTCATGGCATTCCTCCACTTTGATCAAATACCAGGCACGCTTTTCGAGAAGGCCTGGGAAAATCTTTTAGCCATGGAGAGCTCGATACTGTCAGCGGCCTCGCTGACAGGATCTCAAAAATTCCGGGAGATTTAGTTACGCTTTCAAGTGGATATGGAGGTTGGTTTACGATGTTTGCCGAGGGACGGCTGCCTCGTATTTTCTCCCAGACTGCAAATTCCTGGGACAAACTCCGCTTTCGCAAGGCAATTCACCTACTTTGGTCGTATTCCTTGATTCTACAGAATGTCAACCTCGGAAGCTATTCAATGCATCCAATGGTTCAATTCTGGGCGCGAGAACGACTGCAAGGAAAAGCCCAAAAGATTTGGGGCAGTATCGCATCTCGGATATTGGCTGAGTCTATCACCACAATATCAGAAGACTCAGAACTTGTATACCGACGGTGTCTAGTGCCACATATAGATTCTTGTTTGAGGGTTGACTATTCCGATTCCCGCAAAGGTCTAGAATTCAATAATTCGAATATGGGTCAATTCAAGCGATTTTCCACTGTCTACGCGGAAGGAGGTCGATGGGTCGATGCCGCCGCCATACAAGAAAAAATTCTCCGCGCCCAGGGCGATTTACTTGGAAAAGACAGCTTTGAGGCTTTAGATGCCATGGCGGTGCTTTCCCGGAGCTACTGGAATTCAAGTCAAGCAGCAAAAGCTTTAAGGCTTCAATCTTCAATTTGGGATCTCAGCAAGGGGAAATTGGGCCCCTTTGACCCAAGGACCCTTCAAGCTATGGACAGTTTGAGTCGTACACTTTGGCTGTGCGGTTCTATCTCGAAAGCCGACAAACTGGCGCAACAAGCATATGAGGGGTTGGCCCAGATAATGGGGCCGGATCATCCCTACACGCTCAGTGCTATGCATAGCTTTGGTCGGACACGTTTGCATTTGGTGGACCTGAAGAAAGCACAGGAACTACTTTTGCGGGCATGGGAAGGGAGAGCGAAACTGTTTGGCTCCACTCATCTGGACACCCTCGAGACAATGCAAGACCTTGGGATGACTTGCTTGGCACTCAAAGAGATTGAGGAGGCCGAAAAGCTAGTATCATTTGTTCTTGATTGTAGGAAACGACTCCTCGGTAATGAACATGCTCATACGCTATGGTCAATCAACGATCTAGCCAAGGTATATTGCGCCCAAGGCTACGCGGAGGATGCAATAGTGCTATTGATTCCGACGCGAGAAATCGCCACGCGAACCTTGGGGGTAACTCACATTGGTACAACAATGACAATTTTCAACTTGTCACGAGCCTATCTACTTTCAAACCAGTTTCAAAAAGCGGAAATGATTCTGACTGACCTCATTGAAACGGAGTCCAGAGCTTTAGGTCCAAAGCATCCAGACGTCTTCTCGGCAAAGATTGAACTCGCAGAGGTTTTGATGAAAATGGGAAAGGTACACAAATCAGAAGAGCAGTCTCAAGAGGCCATTGAAGGGTTTTCTGTACTATTTGGGACTGAAAGTCCTCGCACAATTCAGGCAAAGGCACGACAGGCTGCAATATGCAAATTGGGCGAGAAATCTCATTCTTCTATAATTTCCTGATTCAAAACAGCCGAATTCTAGCTCGGAGCAATTTGAATATGTTGCCGTAACCCTTTTCTTTCCATGATCGAGGTATGATCAAGGCTGTCAGCGTTTTCCTCTACGCACCTGTAATCAAAGACCGCTAAGGTAGTCGCCCGCATCTCCTCATCTGCTTCTTATTCAACATTATCTGCTTTATCTACCTCTCTGCCTACCTTAGTGTATCTGACCTGTCCGGTGAAGAGGACCCCTCACCTATTGCGTGGATCGCTATTGTAGCCATCTGTTTCTTTGCAGTCGGCTTCAGATCTATAAAGGCGCCTATTTTCTCTTAAGGGCCTCGGAGATGTGCCCTACCCCGATTCGGGGAACAATTATAGTCATTGCTTATGTCTATCAAAAGTCGCTGAGCTTCGGCATCACTAAGGATTTCCAAATACGACTAATAGCATCCATGCCTTTGGTCCTTTCGCACTCTTTGCGGCATTTTCGTTTGTTAGCACTATATGTAAAAGTCTCAGCACAGCGGATACTGAAATATTGTCTTCGAAGCCCTGGTATTAGATATGGATACCTAAGGTGTCGTGATACTGCAAGGAGAACTCTGCGGCTAAGAATCATGATCTTAAAAAGGCAGCGTCTAGCTAGCATGAAGAATGTATCTCTCCAGTAAAACATAAGTATGCCAAACCGAACAACGAGGAATCTTGACCACTTTCATCGTAAGTACTTACCGCGCCATAAAACATTGGGTATATTCACTATATAAATTTCCCTAGCTTTGGCAATTTAATTCGTACTTTTTCTGGGCTACTAGGAAAGGTTATGTTAAGCTTCTCGATTTTACGGGTGTCAGCATATCCTTATTTTAATACCTAGGTAGGTACTATAGACTTTGATTAGTAGTATTATCGAAGTATTGTGTACTTTCAATAAACTAATCGCATCGCCCTTTCTAAAATGCTTTTAGGCACGGATCTGAAAACAATCAGTTTTATGTGACAAATAAGACGAACAATTCAACACCGGTAATCTGAGGGAGTTGAATCTCGTAAATCGCTTCAAAAATCAAATTTATTGTTTTCGCCTTTAAATCCCTGCGGGGCACAGCACCTTCCGCTTTCCTGCCTTTCTCCTTTCTTTCATCCTTCTATTACCAGCCTCACGCACCTGCGCTATCTATCATCATGGCTACCCAGGTTGCAGGGGAAAGCTCTGTCATTTCCCCCAAGAGCCTATCAGTCCGCACGAGCAGACAATCCGCTGAATACGACCTCGATCAGTGCATCGCGGCAATAAAAGGGGAAAAGGTCCCATCCGATGTGACCTCTCTTTGGCATCGTAGAGCAGTGATTCGCGGGATTCGTGATTCACTCCAATTTGCGGCAAGCCCAGAAATCATTGAGCTATGCTCCGGCAACGATAGCCAGGCTCATCAATTTTCTCGCGCCCGCAATGCTCGCCTGATAATGAGTAACATTATCCCCAACATGCAAAATCCTGCCACTGAGCCATACTGCATTTGGTACCCAGAGCCTGCATCGGAAGAAACCTACCGCGAGCTTGTCCGTCGATATTCATCGATGCGCTATCAAGTCGGCCGCGCATGTGCTGTTGCTTGCTATACGGATCTTTACAAGGAATTGGATCTTCTGCCAGACGTGTCTATTGCCGAAGAAGCCCGCAATGTTTCCGAAGACGCCGATATCTATAAAATTATCATGTCGGCCCCTCAAAGATGGGCTGTTATGGATGATTTCACTCGATCGGTTAATCTTGAAAGCCCACAAGCACCCGCTTTTCTTAATGGCAATATGAAGCCCCGAAGGGCTTTAAGCCAGCGTGTTCTTCCTCCCCAAAATTTGCCCGAAACAACTGCAGATGATATTGACATTGAGGAAGATGGGTTTATTGGGCTAAAAGAAATAGTCAGTAAAGTAGATCGCGATACGATACTTGACCTAGGTGCGAAACTCGGTCCAGGAGACTCTGAGTATTTATGGATGCCTCTTCCGCCTAATCTTCCACTTCTTGACAAACGCCTTCCCACACAAATGGCTGCATGGGAGGGAAATGTGGATAGATACGCTCGATTGATGCACCCACGGAGACTCAGAACGGAGACTGAATACAATTGTATTCTTCGCGGTATTTATCACCATACAAGTTTTGCCCGATGGTGGGCCTGTCAGCTGGAAACCAACCCTGGGCGAATCATACTCCCAGGTAAGTTACTCAGCGAGGGTAATGAGCGCGAGTGTCGCGAGATTCGCACTGCGATAAATGCTCGCAAAATCATGAATAATGATATCTCTGACCTTGACGACGACTCTGACTGCCTCCCTTGGCTAATCTGGTGGCCGGTGAGGCCTAATGAGAATACGTTGCGGGAGCTGGCTAGCAAGTGTCCGTCCATGAGACACCAAATTGCAATTACCGCCATACTTTGTGACTACAAATCGCTTTTCAGGTCGTTGAAGCCCCCTCCACGGGAGTCCTTCTTCGAGGCTGCCAAACAGAGCAGAAACCCGTTCTACCTCAAATACCTCGAGGAATTTGTCAAGGAGCATTCTATTGGAAGCAAAGAAATTTCAGAGTTTGGCCCTTACGATACCACCGTGAAAGCAAGTTTACAGCCTGATTTGGAGCCCAGAGATGCTTTTGCTTATTCTTCTGTCCAATTTTCTGATATGGCGATTCCTTGGGGACAGCATCCCAGAGATGAATGGGGTTCTCCCGGTATCTATGGCGGTCAGCCGGTTGATCCAGGAGCTGTGGAGAGATACATGTGGCTCTCATTTGAAACTGCCCAGAAGATCAAAGACGAATGCAGTGGAATATACAACGATAGCGCAGATACTGGCTACTTGTATATTGAAGGTGATGATCCGGATAACGAACTTTGGGTGAAGCTCTCACGTCCTCTAAAGAATATGACGTCCTTCGAAATGAAAGATTGGGAGAACGAAAGCTAGTTATATTGAACGAGTTGATTCTCCCAAACGTCTGTCTACTAAATATTGCTGGCCTATCACAACTCTTTGATACACTTCTTCATGGCAAAATATTACTTGGAAAAGTCTTTGACCACATCGACACCTGGCCGCTCCATCTTTCTTGTATAATAAGTCTCCTTCAAATGAGGCTGTTAAATTTTTAAAGCGCGTAATAACTCGGGCCGTGCTCTATAGCACATCAAGAGCTGAATGGGATGACTGTCATCGCCAAGAAATCCAAGGAATAAAAACTCCGGATCTCGCCTGCACTAGAGCAGCAGCGTTAAGGGAGTGAGATGAATCGACAATTTCTATCCAAGTCTTGTGGGTACCAGCAATATGATATTCCTCGATCAAACTTCGTACCCATACATTGAAGCTATTTATATGGCTCACAAAAAGAAGAGAACTCTAGCCCTTGACCTGTAGCACTTACCACATCGACTTTGTAGAGAGTGATGTGCAGTTCGCCAGGGTTTCCTGGGTAGCTTCCAAACAAAAGACCAGGTACAATCGTAGAAATTGGTTGGAAGTCCCACTCGAGGAATCCAGGAGCAACGGTATATCATGAATTCAAATTTCAAAACTCTATAGGATTTATAGAAGGGTCAGAAAATAGCGATTATGGAATGCTAATTTGACACCCTAAATGGGCTATATAATAGGGGCCTTATAGGCCCCAACGAATGGGCCGTGATTTGGGTTTGGGGCCCAAAGTCCAGGCCCAGCTATGGACTTCCCGGAGGTCTACACTTAACTTCAATGGCTTGGCTGAACAGATGGGAAGCCCTGTTTTCCAAACCTCATGATCTTATGTAGTAGAATATGTCTTGGAAAGGAACATAAATGTTGTAGTTATTCAAATTTTTTGTTCTAAGCTAATGTAGTATACGCGGGAGATGAGAGATTGAAAACTTTCGAATTCTCTAGATACGCCCGTAGACACGATGACTCTGTCGGTAACTTTACGCTCCAAATCATCCAAAGTCGTGATGTATGGCGATGGTAATGCTACGACTTCCACATTGTCTTCCAGTTGGGATTCTGGAAAGGCCACCCGCCAAGTACAATACTAAGATCACTGCTCTCCTTGATCTCCTCAGCCTTAGCCTTGAGCTCGTCAACGTCCCAGTTCGCCCATAGATACTTGCCGTTCAAAAATTTAGCTTCGGGGCTCGCAAGCCAAACACAAAAGCTCGCCGGCAGAGAAACTAGATCAAAGTTAGCTTCCATCACGCTTATCAGAATCTCGACATGCACTTACCATGATCTTCGATGCCTGTCGCTTTGACCCCTCCAGCTTCTTTGTTCATCGCGGTATCCACGACACCAGGCTGGATATGGAAGACGCGTAAGTCCGGGTTTGCAAAGGCCAAGGAATCCCAAATTCGGAATACTGCTAGCTTGGCGACACTGTAGGCAGCAAAACCAGGACCAAAATTCACATGCGCAGCGGACGAGTTGATTTCAATAACGACTGCATCTGATGATGCATGCCGGAGAAAGGCCTGGGCAACAGCGAGTGCACCTTTGAGGTTTTCTTGAATGGCTCCAATGAATCTGTCGCTGTCCACATTTCTGATGCCTTCCTGTGGCCCAATAATAGCCGCATTGCTAACCAAAATGTCGATTGAACCCTTGATGGCAAATTTGGCAAAAGCTGCATCGACTTGGTCCTTGTCCGTTATATCGGTAGGGGCCACGAACACCTCGATCTGTGGAAATTTGTTTTCGATGGAGGCTTTTGTTTCCAGAAGAGGTTGCTCTCTGCGACCTAGGAGGGCGATTCGTGACACGCCTGCTTCAGCAAAGTGGTGAGCAGTCTCTGAACCGATGCCGGTACCCCCTCCGGTAACTACCAATGTCTTGCCTTTAGCTGAAAGTTCCGGCCTGCTAGGTGATATAGACTGGTAGGCTTTGGTGTGCCACTTTGTGGTTGGGGAAGGGAATGGTGCTTCCATAGTTCTTCCAAGTGTTTTAAGATGTGCAAGTTTTGGTTTTGCTTGTTGATAGGAAACAATGTTTATGGAGAAGAAGACCCATACTTATATGTCTAAGTATTGGTCGACTCGGTCATGGAATCCTGCAATTTGACATTTTGAAGAAACCGGGAGAACCAAGTGTACTCAAATCTCTCAGAAACAAGATGACCATTGTTCACTACTGTGGTTAGAGATAGGTTCGAGTTGTGGCTCGACGTCTCGGCTTTTACATTTTGTAGATCCCCGAGCTGACAAATACCCCTTCCTGACGTTGGAACCCCAATGGACATTATTCTATACAACAATCTAGGTACTCCCGATTTCCAAAATTTATGTACGACAGTCAAAACTGAAATGTCCGAGAACACCAACACCGTTTTGCGGTGTACCGAGTGTAACAAACCATTCGATAAGGGTAAGTCCCATTTTGACTAGATGCTACCTACAGAGTCAACAACCTACTAAGTTGAATGAATTATAGACTCTACTCTGAAAAGACACGGGTACTATTGTCGGTCCCGAGGGGCGGGCTACACTGGTCGGCCTAGAGCCTGTGATTTCTGTTCAAGAACCAAGACACGTTGCGATAAGAAAAGGCCCAAGTGCTCCCGGTGCATGGCGAGCGGCATTGAATGTCATTATACTTCTAAGTCACTGAAATCTCGAAGACGCGGTGTCCAAAATGGCAATGCAGTGGACTTTCCTAGTAATCAACAAAAGGATGTCAATAGCGATAACATTCGCCGTGATGAGCTTGCTGTCCTCAATCAAGGGGTCGCAAACCCCGAAAACGAATATTACAACTGGGATGCACCAGGTATCGAAATACAAAACAACGAGTTTTTCGACCCTTGGGTCATTCAAACAAACATGACGGGCGATTTTCCCTCTGCGAGGGATTCTCTGACATTCGAGTTATCGCCTCTGAGGGACCAAGGGCTTCAAATTAACCCTCCAATTGTCAAAAATTGGTCAATACCCGCATCCCCAATTCCAAACCCTCACTTACTCACTAAGAGATCAACACCCAACGCTGGAATGGAACGAACCGCCAAGCTCGTGTTTCATAATCTGAAATCCTATGTCCTGAGTATGCTGCGCCACGACTCCCTTCCACCTTTTATTCATCCGTTTTTGGTATCGGCCGAAGTTCTCATAGAGCCAATGACAAATTGCATCAACTTATTGCATATGATTGGCGGCGAAATGAAAGGAAGTCGAAAACTGTTTTGGAGAAACGTGCGCATGGAGTGTGAACGAATATGCGATGAGGTACGATGCGTTGTGTATTGTTCAGAAGATGCTGTAGAAGCTTACCACCGTTCTTAGCGTCTGTCTTGGTCTAAATGGGAATTGCTTGCAGCTATGCAAGCGTTAGTCATTTATATCATTACCCGGGTCGACGAAGGAGAAACGGAGTACAATGGCCTTGATCCACTTTTAATCACGAGCGTGACAGTGAGTATAGGCGGGACTTGGATCTAGATTGGCTTAAATTCAATAATTTAATATAGGTCATAGCTCAAAAGCTCACCGAAAGTGACATTGCGGAAAACTATAGCCTTGACGGAACTTGGAAAGATTGGCTTTTTGAAGAATCAAGACGAAGGTCTGTCCTCCCTCTATCGTATTTTACACTGAAATCAAGCAAAAACAAGCTGATTGAGATCTAGGTTGTCTGTGATTTACAAAGTTTTCAACATGCTATTCTACTTTGATCCCGCGTTAAAGTGCAATTTGGCAAACGATTTAGTTCTAGCGCCCTTACCAGCGAAAAAGCAGCTTTGGGAAGCAGGAAATGAGGCAGTTTGGAGGTCAGAAAGACAAAGGGAAGGAGGAGTCCAGGTTGAATTCGGATTGGCAGGAAGCGGAGAGTTGGTTAAACTTGGTGAGCATTACAGTGGAGCTGTGATGGTTCATACATCTATGACCGCTAATAACCCAGCGAGGGCTAGCGCAAGATGGGAGGAGTGGTGCGAGGGAATGGATGGGCTTGGTGGGCTTGTTATGCTTGCTGCTTCTATGGTAGGGTAGTTGGTGATTTTGAGTCTGATAGACGGGGAACACGCATTACGGTGCGCATGGGCTTGGAGCATAAGCCACTTATTCATGCCATAGGTAATCCCCAACACACTTTCAAAGATTCTTCTATTCGAGAGAATGGTGGAAGCTGAATTACAAATAGGCATAGCCGTCTCGATACGAACTATTGTAGGGGAGTCGGAGGATCAATTCTCTCATGGAAGACTAGCGTAGATTACAATGAACAATGCTTGCAAAGATCTACAAAATGTGAATATCTCAGAGAAGGATGCCGTTTTGCGATCAAACCTATTCTTGGGAAGAACCCCTCATCTCTGGAAAATATAGACAGACACGACTATCGGTGAAATAAATTGCGTACGCTGATAATTATGTGCAAAAAAAGCAGCATAGAAAAGATGAAAGATCACTCATTGATGCTCCCCCTGAGGCCAGCTGGCCTAACATTATAGGATAACTTTGTAATTTTAATCGTAGTAACCTTACGAAATTAGCGAAACAGGCAAGGCTACTCTCCAACCATTGAGGCGTTCACCAGAATTCGGCTAGCAGACCAGAGTCCCACTTCGTAGCGAATACCCACTCCTGGTTCCTACCCAATTTAGCAAAAATAGCAAAAAGGATATATGTAACGACGGCTGCATGATTCGAACATGCGCCTCCGAAGAGAATTGATTTCTAGTCAATCGCCTTAGACCACTCGGCCAAACCGCCATTTAATAGTTGTTGTAGACACAATAGCTATAAGTACGGCTCACGGAAGTCAGTAGCCGCCCCGAGTGCGCCAGTAGTTCGCCTACAGTAAATTTCGACCGCCTAGCCCACCGCCGGATTGTAATAACTCACCGCTGGCTTTTCATTACCCTCTAATACATAGCCTTTTAATGATATAGCTCTTAGATCTAATTTTTACACCAATTTTATCAAGTAATTACTCTATTTCTACATAGAATTTGATATCAAAGGGATAAGTGGTAGTATAGAGTAGGTAGAAAGCTAATATCAAAAAGCAGAACAGTAAAATGAATAATATATATCTATGTATAGTAGAAATTAGTACGAAGTAGAAGTATATATAACACACAGTAAATAAAAGTCAAGCAGTAAATCCAAGTAGTCTACACATATTTGGATCGAGCTTTAAATATCAAACTACATAAGTATCAAAGTAATATAACTTTTATAGAGCATTGGGGCGATATTGGTATATTAAATTGTACCAAATACGTAGATACGTAATAGTACTGCTGGCAAAAAGGGTAGGCTACTGGCGGCTATGATTGCCGCAATACCAGTCTAGGATCTGGGGTAGCCGTGGAAAGTAAAAACCGATGGCAAAAAAATAGGAGCGACGGCTGCATGATTCGAACATGCGCCTCCGAAGAGAATTGATTTCTAGTCAATCGCCTTAGACCACTCGGCCAAACCGCCAATTTGATGTTAGGCTTGGCAAAAAAGTGCACTATTCAGATTATCAAAAATATCTCTTTTGGTTCACTGATTGCCCATGATATTGCTTGTCACCAGTGTTTATGATAGACTCATCTCTATGTGTATTGCCTAGATTGTATTGTTTGGCTTGTCCTGGTTATATAGCTGTGCTCTCTTCTACTCTCAGGAGGCCATATAACATCAGATTGAGGTCTGATCGTATGTCAGGTCCCTCGAAGGCTTTATTCGATTTCTGGGCGTCCTCTTGTTCTTGGACTTTGTTTAGGCGCAGATAGAAAGTGGTTAATATAAGTTGATTATTTCAGGATAATGAGAGTTGATCTCGCTGGTCTTCTCAGGAACTATCGAGCGTTTATCGGGAGATCATATTACTTATTGGGATAGCGTAAGTCTGTAGTTCTCAGTGTATCGTGGCGGGGCATGGTTGTCGGACCAAGCTCCTACAACACAAATTAGAGCGAGGGATATATTTTGCGCTCTCGATCATAGATACGTGTCCTGGGTTAGTGAGGGCTAGGCTATCTCTCTCAGATATCGCTTCAGGGTATAATTTTATGCCATTATATACGTATATTTGAGAGAAGCTACGTATATTCAACCTGATTAATTGGCTATCAGCCTTCGAGCAAAGGACATATATTGAGTATTCTGCTCTGCAAGGATTCACTGAGTTCTGTATTCATCTAGCTACTTAACATCTTGGGATTTTCAATGATACACCTAGATGCTATTCAAAGAGGGCATCCAAGGTTTTCTTTGTCTCTTTTTTCTTGACGCGGTTCTTCGTTTTTCTATCACAACCTACTTATTGTCGATGTTACTTGCTTCGACTCTAGCTTTTTCCATATGGTATGGTTGGGATGACGTGTTGCATCTTATGAGGTGGAGAAGGCCCGACATGTAACTCGGATTCAACAAATTAAAAGAAGTACTTCCTAGGCAGTATCTACTCAAAATAGCACTGCTAGGAAAGTCCTTGTTTATCAAACAAAGCCTATGCATATATACAACTCTGACTACATATCACTATCAATAGACCAATTGGTCGCTTTCCTCCCTTGCTTCTTTCAACACATAGTTGTCTGGCGTTTGGCTTGAGCGAAAAGGAAAAGAAAAGAAAAGAAAAAGAAAAAAAATTGAAACAGAAAGCAGACGACAAAGAAAAGCTTCCCAGTGTCTCAAGACCAGCCACTTTCTCTATTTCCTTGAATATGTATTGATCGTGGTACATGCTTTAAAGTTATAACGTTCTTGGCCATGAAGGAGGTGGTGGATAGGATAGGAAATTAGGATAAAACATCCAAGTCGAAATATATTTCTACGTTTATTTTGTTGATCCCTATAGACAATCCTTCCTCCACGGGTAGCTTTTCAACCGACCCCAAGATAGATGGGGAATACATTTTGGTTTGGAACATGAGGCTTTTTACGGCTCGTTTTAATATCGAATGGCGGTTTGGCCGAGTGGTCTAAGGCGATTGACTAGAAATCAATTCTCTTCGGAGGCGCATGTTCGAATCATGCAGCCGTCGCTCCTATTTTTTTGCTATCCGTTTTATCTTTATCCGCTACCCCAGGCGTCAATTCGGGTAGCGATGCTCGCTATCCAAGGAAAGCACTCAAAAATCATCGAGATTTTATGCATCAGGTACTTCTGCTTCTACTGGGGAGTTAGTGCTAACACATAGGCATCAATCAACATCGGAGTAGTTATGACATGATCAGATGGACAGCTGACGATAGTGGGAAGAGATTATTTCGGTCAAAATGTGTACCTATGAAAGATTTAGTTTTTTTCTAGATAAGCATTTGCGCATAGCTTAAGAAGACCTCCTTGATTTTAAAGCCATGGATTTGTTGGGACGTCAAACGAGCCGATGCTGTTGGAACGGTGGAATATAGATACATCCTGGTCTGTGTTCTAAGCGTCATATATATATACATCGACAGCTACGCGCTAAGCAACAACGCTGGCTGAAGTGTCATAAAATATATCGTGGCAATTTAAAACTGCATCTTCCTCAGTTTTATTGTACTAACACAATTAGAAGAGAGTATTCGCTGATACCAACTGGTCAAAAGAACAAACATGAATATGGGGCTAATATCCAGGGGCACTACATACTGAGCTGAGAGCAGCTTTGGATACGAGCGTGCCATTCAGAAGTCAACATACATACAAGGCTTTCCGATGGTGCATCGTGTGGTCTGCCATTTTCGTGTATCACTCAAAAAGACCGGTTGACCCACTCTGGCCTTCAAATAATGCATCAACATAATTGCAATCTCTGAGATATCTTGCTATCAAATGGCGGTTTGGCCGAGTGGTCTAAGGCGATTGACTCGAAATCAATTCTCTTCGGAGGCGCATGTTCGAATCATGCAGCCGTCGTTCATATTTTTTTTATGCTGTGTATAAACACAACTTTACATCATAACCTTTTTTTCTCAAAGTCAGAACACTAAAGGATTGAATTTCAATATCTACGTTGTTCGATTGAAACGAACGGCAGTGATTGATCAAATAGGACACCTAAGGTGTGGAAGCCGATTGGATTAGCTGGAGGAACCTTCATATTGCTCAATTAAGTGTGAACCTTACGGCTTCGCTTCGATTGAGAAACGGTCTCAGATCAAATGGAATTTAGGACAAATGGGATAATTAAAACAACTCGGTGCAGATTCGGAAAGGGTAAATATAGACGTACGTTCAAAACCTCTTGGCGTCGGTTACTTCCATGATAGCTGGAGATTTAATTAGTATCTTGTTATCGCTGTGTTGTGACCCTTCTATTTATTATATCGAGCTTAGTTTTTTTTTTTTTTCTATAAAAAAAAAAACACAACCGCACTAGGTATACTATGTGTGTACATTTTAATTTTCAATGAAATGTGACTGGTGGTCGAGAAAGGGTAATATATATTTTGATACTCCGTACTGGATATATACACAACTAGGTCTCACGCGGGAGTACCACTACTTTTCGGGAACCTCTATGACTGAAACTTTATCTCAACAATGCGTCTCTTCGCGTGTTTAGTCACGGGTAATATGTAGCGCCGACCAATCAACAATATATTATCAGTTAGAATCATAGAATATTACCCCAAAGGAAAGGCCAAAGATAGGATCTAACATAAGTTAACAAATAAAAGTCACGTTTCTCGGAATATTCGTATTGTTCGGTGTTTATTGGACCCTGTTGGGCCCTCATTCGAAGCCCAGTGGGCGTTCACCCCTGGCCTATTGTCCACCGATTGGCTTAGGGACCGGACCTAATACACAGCCTCTTGGTGGGTTGGGCTTTGGGCTTTGAGGAGCTCTAGGAGAGGGGCTGTATTCAAAGTCACTTGAGAGATAACTAAGAGGCAAACACAACAAACACGGGCAGATGTTTCACAACATGGTATACCCCATATTGCAGGAATTATGTGGACTGGACCAGTTCAGATATGATATCCCAAAGTCCTTACCACCGGGGAGGAGGCGCAGTACTGAACCTCGTGTCTGCCATGTACACGGCAATCAGTGCAGCCTGAACAGAGCAGTTAGTGTTTGTTTACCAAACAACACAAGATGCACTCACCAGAGACAAGTCAAACCCCTCAGCGACGAGAATCTCCAGCACCTGCCGCGGCATCAAGGACACATCACCTTGAGAGGTAGCTTTGGGAAGGGTTTTGTTCATCGTCATGCTCTCACGAATATCAACCACTTTCTGGCCCCCAACACTAGCGGAGAATCCTTGCCATGCGAAAGAGCCCGTGTCTCGCACTTCGACTGTCACCATCCTGTCACGCTCACTTTTGGAGTCCGGCTCCATTGAATTGCGAAAAGTAAGTTTGTAGACATTTTTCAAGTCGACCCTGAAATCCACAAGCTCTTCGTCTTCCTTGCCGGGTAATCGCACCCGCAGGGGTCTTTTCCACGCGAGGACGGCCGCACGAGACTGGAACATTGGGAGTCCCGACGAGTCACGAAATTCCCGAGCTGGGGTATCGCCATATTTGTGGCCAGTGACCGTGAAAATGGTTGAATCGTCCCAGTATCTCTTGATGGTATATTCATTCGGCGATCGGTGGTCATATTTAGGTTTCAAGTAGAGGAGAGTTTCTTCGTCGGCAATGTGCTCTGTTCTAATTCCGACGGGCTGAGAGAGTGTCTTGACAGCCTTATATACGGGCGTATCATTGCCATACTGAGACATGGCTGGAGGTCTGAAGTTGAAAACAGTGCAGATCTCAACATTTCAAAATTTGGAGAAGGGATCCACATGGGCCACTACCCGACACATACCGGCCCAGCGATTGTGAATGAAATGCGAATATGATAACTGAAACCATTGAGGGTGAAAGTGCTTTGGAAACAGGAGGATCCCGAGATCGGATCGAATATCGTTGACCCCTCATCTGGGCAGCCCCCCCCAGTAGATAAGCCAGATAAGCGCAATTTATAAAGACATCGATCCCCCTGAATTCAGGGATGACTCTTCATGTACCTGAATATTTTCTCTCAATATGGAATATCGTTTGTGGCTGGCCGGTAAAGAGCAAGATGGGAATGCAGACCGGTGGGTAAAGGCCTTGTTGACACTCCCGAACCAGCATTGACAAGTATATACAGCATTCCCATTGAAGACCCAGCAACCGGGGAGATATTCGCGCAGTAAGCTACTTTGCAGAGGCCTGTTGATCCTAGCTTAACCATTGATAGATGTCACGCTGCCTCGCCAGAAGATGTCGAAACTGCCATCTCCGCTGCTCACGCAGCATACAAGTCCGGCATATGGTCGCGTGCGAGTCGTCATCACCGCGCCGATGTGCTAGAAAAATGCGCAGCACTTCTCTCCGAGGCCCTCCCGCAACTCATCTCAACCGAATCAAAGCAGACGGGGCGAGTCATTCGGGAAATGAAAGCCCAGGTCCCATCTTTGACAAGATGGTTCAAATACTATGCCTCACTGCTAAGGGTCGAGGAGCGGTCTGTTCTACCGACGATGGGTAAATTGCACAATTTTGTTGACAGAGTGCCTCTCGGAGTGGTCGTTCAGATCACCCCGTTTAACCACCCCTTGTTGATCGCGGTGAAGAAGCTTGCTCCGGCACTTGCTGCCGGAAACAGTGTCATTGTTAAGCCCAGCGAGCTGACTCCATTGACAACTCTTATGCTGGGCAAAATTCTTCGCGAAGCAGGAATTCCAGATGGCGTGTTTAGCGTCTTACCTGGTTATGGAGCTATCACCGGTAAAGCACTGGTTGAGCATCCCTTGGTAAAGAAGGTGGATGTGACTGGTGGTACCGAGGCCGGCAGGGCAATTGGAAAGATCGTCGGTGGTAATCTGGCAAAATACACCGCTGAGTTGGGTGGAAAGGCACCCTTGATCGTGTTTGAGAAGGCCAACATCGATACAGCGGTCAACGGAATCGTCTTTGGAAGCTTCATTGCAAGCGGGCAGACCTGTGTGGCTAGCACCCGGATTATAGCCCAGAATTCGATCATGGACGAGCTATTGCACAAGCTCAAGGCTAAGATCGAGAGCATTACACGCCGAATTGGGGCCCCCAGCAACCCAGAATCAACCATGGGACCACTCATCTCCAAGAAGCAGTTGCTGAATGTGGAACGCCTTGTCAATAGTGCTCTAGAGGGAGGAAATGCGGTTTCTCTTATCGGTGCAAAGCGGATGGTCTCTCGAAGCCCACTTGACGAATTCAACCTTGAGAAGGGATATTTCTACGAACCAACCCTACTTGCATCTAGCAAAGAAGACAACAGTATCATGAAGACATCTATTTGGCGCGAGGAGGCGTTCGGCCCTGTTATTGTCGTTGCTGGTTTCGACACCGAAGACCAAGCAATCGCATTGGCAAATGACACCGAGTTTGGATTGGGAGCCGGTGTATGGACACTCGATCTTCCTCAGGCTTTCCGAGTGTGCGAGCAGATTGAGGCAGGAATAACTTGGGTGAATACCCATCACCGAAATGACCCTAGCAGTCCGTGGGGAGGTTCAAAGTCCGCGAGTGGAGTTGGAAGCGAAAACGGAGTCGAGGCTTACAATGCCTACACAACATCAAAAAGTACAATCATAAACTATGCTTCTCCTGATGAGTCCTTGGCTGCGGATGACTGGTTTGGAGATGTCTCCGGCAATGTTAGATATGGTTGAATACTCGAGGCAATCATATATCAGTCAGAGGAATTTATATCCTTTCTACCACTACTGCCGTATCTCACTTTAGTCTATTTTCTTCTATTTCTTTTTAGAGAACGTGTGTATTATGTATCTTCTGGCAAAAAGATACAAAAGCTGGAAAAGCAGGAAATGACGGTGCGACTTGAATATCCAAGCTATAGATCTGCAGCAAAAAAATGCATGATGTCATACCAAGCCCGGGGGCGTTCTATCTCCTCAAACATAAAACAACGTAGACTCCTCTCTTTTAATTTATATGAAACCTATTAAATCAAAAGATCGACATTAATCTTCAGCATGTCACTCCGGGGTCGCAAAACTGACCCTAGGCCCACGGGGCCACCCCACACCCAAGATCAGCACGAACCTACCGAGCGCTCAAGACTGCTTCCTACAGAGGATAATCAAGGGTTCCTCACCCCAGATGATCCTGCCGTGAGTCCAATAAACAGAACACATCAAAAAGCAAAAAGACAAGTCGTAGCTAACCCAAGAGCAAGGTATCACCCTACAATCTATGGAGCGTGCGCGCGCTGCGTGGCTTGTCAGTCACTGCCTTAGCAATTAGCTTCATATGGTGGACTTTCCTGCTGGTCTCCATATTTGTCAATCCACCGATGATCCACCCTCGGGGGTCGGGCTTCTTTGCCTTTTCATACACGACCCTGGCGACAGGATACCTCGTCGTTGGACTGTTATTCTTCGCAGTACCATCCAAGCCCATGACCATATGGGCAATTACACTTGCCGTTCTGCTTGTATTGGACATGATTATCATCCTCGCTGCGCCGCGGATTCGTCTTGAAGAAGGCTGGGTGGGGATCGCTTCTGTCGTCTGGATAGCTTTGATCTCAATCCACCATGCCATCCAGAACCAAACGGTTGCCTGGGGTAAGCGGGAGGAAGAAGAGCGTCTCACTGGTCGAGAAGAGACTCGACGCTCTCTACGCGAGTGGGTTGCTGTTCTCGCGGAAAGTATTTTGCTAGCTATCATGGGTATCGCTACCATCTTGTTCACAGCGACTCTGATATTGCGTGCTTTCGACGCCGGGCTCGAAGCTCCAGGTAAGCGGTACTCAGTGCATGGGAATACCTATCAAGTCCATCTCGCTTGTGTCGGGAACAAAACAGCAGATGATAAAACACCAACCATTCTTCTGGAGGGTGGAAACGGACCGGTTGAACATTCACTGCAACCTTTTATCGACGATGTATATGGCCGTGGCAGTATCGACAGATACTGTTACTGGGATCGACCAGGATTCGGATGGTCAGACAACGCACCATCGCCCCATTCCGCAGGCATGTCGGCGGATGCGCTAGGAGAGGCCTTAGCTCTTGCAGGCGAGACTGGTCCATGGATAGTTGTTTCTGCTGGAGTTGGGAGTCTTTATTCGAGGCTATTTGCCAGTCGCAATCTCTTCGAAATTCGAGGCATCTTTATGATTGATCCCCTCCACGAGGCATACTTGGGAGATATTGGACGACCCGGTCGTGGGTTTTTGCTCTGGCTTCGTGGTATCATCTCTCCGCTGGGATTGGACAGACTTGCCGGCGCTATTCTACGAGGTCGTTCTCGCGAGGACCGCGTGATTGGTCGCGCGGCTTACCAGTCTGGAAAATATATCAAAGCGAAGCTGCAGGAAAACCTTGTTGCTGTCACCATCACAGCCGCGGAGATAAAGTCTGCTCGCCATGTCCAGATGGGTCATACTCCGGTGGTTGTTGTGAGCTCTGGACAAGAAGTGAGAAAGAATTCTCAGTGGGAAAAGCGACAGGAGGATCTTTCTCACATCACAGATAACCTTTTGTCTTGGGACATTGCTGACGATGCCCCCCATGAAGTATGGACCACCGGACAGGGACGGGAGTTATTAGAAAGACGCTTGAAGGAGCTTGTCCAAGAAAGTCAGATGCATGAGCAATCAGGTTGATCACCGCCGGTTTGTTTTGTTAATATTTGGGAATTTGGCATTTTCATTCGGGCGTTTATGGGCAGTGCAATATTGGAGGCAGGGAATTTGTCGTAATTGTGCAAAATGAAATGAATACCTGTGAAGCTAATGAGGGAAGATGATGCTTTTTCGCCTAACGTCACATCACTACACATAAAATTTACTTCTATGTAGGCTTATTAGTTCATAGCATCTACCTAGGCAACTAATCTTTCCTACCTCATATCTACGTGATCCAAAAAAGCAGATTAAGCCTCCGAGATGCGAGCATCAATGAATTGTCTATCTACAGCAGACCTCAGGGCTGTAAGGCGCGTAAGACGTAGGCTGGATTTCGAGTATATTCGTCGAAAATGCAGGATATCGGGCAGAGCTTTAGTCTGCTATAACTAGTCTCCGAACCCAACGGCGTTCTAACTTCCATTCCCGCACCATAAAATCTCTCTTCATTTCGGATCCGGGAATGGACGATGTCTCGGACAAAAGGGCGATGAACAGTCACTAGTGCCTCCCTCGTAACTTCTGGGGCAACGCGGTGGGGGAACTGAACCGGAGGGTCTGGGGGAGTCCGATGAAACACGAACGAACGGCGCAAAGACGAAACCCGTCACTCTAAACTAGCTCCCTTAAACCTCTTAGCAAGCTGGTCACTCTCGGGACTGGGAGATATGGACCGGGGTAGGGTGGAGGATGGGGGGTTGCGGCGTTTCCGGGTTTGGGAATCCGGGCGAGAAGGCTCGGCCGGTGTGGGCCAGGGGCGCTTAGGGGGGCGCTCACCACTCTCTTGAAGAATTGTCATCAATGTGGCCCATCCTGGGGTATTCACAAGCTGCATGCCCTCGGCGGGGGACTTCGTTCTGGCGACGCGGCAGAGGAGTGATTCCTCATCCTGTTCGGTGATCTGATTTAGCGTTACGTATGATAAAATATGCACATTAGAACACTGACCTTGCTAAATGTGCCGAGTCCATGCAAGAAGCACAGAATGTGGAAATCAGAAACGCCTTGGATAGCTTTATCGGGGTCACCATGGGACATGAGTTTCTGGGCAACGTGTCGAAGCTCTTGGCTCTCGCCGATAACTTCACGGTTTTCGATAGGGAATCGACTGTTGGTGAATAATGGGGACGATTCTGTTGGGAATCCGTGGGTGAGAGTGACTAGTAGGAAATCGACGGGGAAACTCGGCTCGGCGCTCTCCTGTACACTTGCACCGTACTCATTAATTCGTCGATAGAAGACTTCGGGAATGTATCGTGTCCTGCTCCCGGCATCTTCGTCATACTCCGATTGTACCAGCATCACGCTCGGGTCCGCTGAGGGTTCGATGATATCTCCTCGAACCATCTCAACTGCAGAGACAGATGCTTGATAAGAGCTAACAGAAATGGCACCTGTCTCATCTCCGCTGAGCACACACGTTACGAAATCTGAACCGAACTGTCCTGTCCGGCTCCATTTTGTTGACTTGGGGTTTTGTGCTTGGAGTCGTGCAGCGAAGACAATTTCGAGTGAAGACAAGAAGTAAGAGTCGATGTGCCGCTTGCAAACCACTGAACCATCTCCACGGCCGCCATCAATCAAGTCAGTAAAAATGACACCAACCTTCTGCAATCCGCACAGATGGGCTACCTCGTCCACTTCCTTTTCGTTATGCCAGTCATGGAGTGTAACGCCATCAACTTCACCCGTTTGCGGAGGCTCGTAGATTGCTTCCACAACGGCCTTGATACCTAGTGGTACTTCAGTGTATTCCTCATATCTTCCATACAAGAAACCCAGTCGTTGAGAACCAGACTTTCGCCAGAAGTCGAGGAGGGAATTGATTAAATCAGGTGACGAGAACTCCACATGGTCTACCATACGAAATTCCTGGGGTTGTAGACTGATTGCACTTGGCTGACATTTGGTGCAAATGCCCTCCGGCCAAGGTGCGTGCCCCGATGGGCAGTCATTTCGCACTCGGTAATATGGCTCGTTGAGCGGAGGCATAAAAGAGGTTCCCATTTCGGGCTTGTTGGTCGCGGCATTGATTTTGCGTAGGTATGAGTGGAAAGAGAGATGCTTAATCTTCTTCTCTGCCATATTGCTCGCATCGTAAGGCTCAAGTGGCATGCAGTAATCGCACATGCCTCGAGGGCCGTGCCTGCACATCTTGTAGTCCATGCCACGCTTGATTTTCCCGTCTTTCTTGTCCAGTAAATCGTCCAGCGGTGATTGCTGCACTAAGTCCCACGGGTTCTTCATCGGAGCGGCAACACCTGGCAGCGCACGGATCGGGACTGTCTGTTGTTTGGAGATTGGTGTTCCATTGAGTCGGTGTTCTGAAGTGGTAGATACATCGCCATTCGAAGTTCCATTCTGTTGTGCCTGTTCATGATACCCAATAAAGAGCTTATCGCCATGCCTTCAAATGAGCGTTGCGTGAGTAACTTATTCCGTAGAGGCCAGCACAATGTTCGCCACTTACTTCAGGCCAACCTTTTGGATCGAAACCCCTTGTAGGCCTTCTAGCGGTCTCTCCTCACCACCTGTGCCGATCGGTTTATTTGAGAGGGTGATGGACGAAGGTTCGACATTTGAGGGAAGGTGTTCTAAAATCTAATGGTGAGTTGCGGGTTAGCTATTGGCTCATCTTTCTGTCGTTCTCTTCTGGCCAAGGGCCAACAAGTACCTTTTTCTGAAGTGAAGGGAAGAGTTCCTGCGGGCTGACCGTCAGTCGGAATTGGCCGTTTCGACTCTCGAATCGTAAAAGAATGGAGGCCATGTTGGCCCTGAGGAGATTCCAAAGCGATGCTGAAGAGAAAGATTGAGACTTAGTAGCTCTACTCTCAAAGGACCAGTGGAAGAAGAAGACAGAAGTGAGAATGAGAAGCTTGACCCGAAGCTTCCCTGGTCACGTCACAGCTGGCGGGCGGTATGGTACCTGGCTGACAAAACACCCTGTGGTCGATTGCGGAGTTTTCGGCGGAGCATCGGTAAAGTGGTAAAGTCATTACCATTGATACAAAGCCTCAGATGCGTGTACGACATAATATATATCCAACTACAAGCGCTCGAGTCTGCAGGTTCGCAGCAATAGGCTGAAATTACCCGCAAAGCCATTTCTTAGATAAGTGAGAATTTAGGTGAGCAAGTATCGGGAGACGTAATTGGCCAGTTAGTCGTAGTACTGGGCTACCTTTTGCTCTGCTTTTTTTTATATATTCGACTAGAGAGTTGAGTTCACTTGTTCATTGACTCCTAGGTCTTCTACCTCTTCCAAGTTACCACGTACCCACACTCACTTGGTGACTAAAAATATGTGAGGTCGCTGTCTACTCGATATCGATACTTGCCGGCCTCGTGAGCTTGCATATGCACACAAAGTGACTATAGAAAAGCACACCGAGGTCCGAAGCTATATGACGACATTAGAGAACGCGAGGATATTGCCTAGGATCTTGAGTAGAGGAACAAAAAGAAACGCAAACCGCTTGCCAGACTTGAGCAACTCCAGAAAATAACAATGAACACACAATGTGGGTTGCTTGATGATCCTCCCGAAGCGACAAAATTCACGACCAATAGATAGGCTTGAAAATGCCAGTGACTGTACGAGCCCTTGAGCCAGTTCCTCGCGTCTGCGCAGAGAGTCTGCTGTCATACCAAGCGAAGTCCCGATGTCTCTGCGGAGTATGTATACCCAACTTGTATATCATGTTGTATCCGATTCTGTTTGAGTCAGAAGCAATCAGCAAGATCAACAAAAAGTCCAAATCCATTGTACTATTTACTAAGTAGGTTAAGACTGAATTTCCTATATTCTAGAAAGTTGTACTTGCTAGTAAAGATGGTAGAGATCCTCGTAAAATATATCTATGAATAGCCTCAGACAAGGGACGATATGGTGTTCTCTGGAATATCATATAGATAGTTGAATTCTTCTAGTCTTACTATGTACACAGAACGAGAGGACTTTGGGAGACAAGTAGCAACTTATATGAGAAGCGAACCAACAAAAGTAGGTTCGCAGCCATACTTACATAGACTACGCAAGTCTGTCCATTCTAGTTCCCTGACCAATGTGCCCCTATGATGTCTCCTTGTCAGGAAGGTTAATGGGTTTCCCCATACTTACGCCCGGCCAAAAGCCCGTAAAAGCCCTGACAACATATCCCTTGATCGATCAAAACAAACTAGATAGGGGGACCCCACTCAGGAAGAAAGAGATCGTCGCAGGTCTGGCCTAATGAAGAACGTGAATATGTATAATAATCGTGCCAAGCGCCCAACGCACTGGTGTATTTCGGTGTGTTGGGCACTTGGCACGATTATATAGCAAGATTTGCGACGCATATGTCTATTTAGGCATCCGGACAGTAAAAAGGAGAGAAAAAGCTCGTAAATTCTAGCTATTATCCGGTGCACATTTCAGGTGATATATAGAAAAGTCATTTTCACGAATTAACCCAAACCGAAGATATGAGAAAACACTGCAAATATCAGCAAAGAGATATCACAAGCCCTTAGAAGCGGAAATTATCTCTGGGAAGAGATAGGTCTCAGAATGTGCCCAGAAGCATAATCAAAGAATGTAAAGGACCTATTGGACATGGAGATCTACATGTTACTAGGGGTCTTACGAAAGCAATTGAGAAATCTTCCACAAATTTCTTGCATTAAGCAAAGATGATTGTTGATTGGAAAATGAAAATGGTATCTCCGTATCATCATAATAATCCGAAACGCCTAAGAGAACGCCCAGGAGAACAGCCAGAGACTAGAAAGAGCAAGGAGACATGAAACCAATCAAAGAATGGTACATTTCTTGGGCAAGCCACATGGCCCCTCATTGCTCTTCTCCTTGGCTGGCTGCTGAGTACCCTGCTGCTGCTTTTTGGCAGGCTGCTCAGTCTTCTGAGCAGCCTCCCCGGCAGCAGGGGTCGAGCTCTCCGGCTTCGACTCGGTACTACCATGCAGTCACTGGACCCTGGAGACAGTCTCGTAGAAAGCCTTACCCTGGGCAGTGGCAACCTCGAGCTCAAGGGCAGAAGGCTGACGGGAACCATCGGCACCCTGGAGATGGGACGGTCAGCAAGAAACGCATCAAGGGCGCGTCGTGTTAACTTACAGCGAAGGTACCAGCACCCCAGGCGCTACCACCGTGAACCTCGTCCAAGTTGGCCAGCTGGGCGAAGACGGTCTTGTAACCAAGGGGAACGTAGATGAAACCGTGGTGAGTGAGAGTGCTCATGGAGGCAAGAGCAGTAGACTCCTGACCACCACCCTGGGTACCGGTCGATACAAAAAGACCGGCGTACTTGCCCCAGAAACCACCGGTGGACCAAATGCCACCAGTCTTGTCCCAGAAGGTCTTCCACTGAGCAGGGAAGTTACCGTAACGGGTAGGGATACCGAAGAGAACGGCGTCGTAGGCCAGGAGGTCAGCGGGCTCGGCAATGGGGTAGTCGGCCTTGGAAGGAGCGCCCATCTTGGCCAAGACTTCCGCGTTGAGGGTCTCGGCAATCCTAGAGACACAAAATGTTAATACAATGACGTGAGGAGGAAGAAGAAGAATGGTGTGACTGACTGGAAGATGTCGGCTTGACCACCAGCGGACTCAATGCCCTTCTTCTCGGCCTCGGCCAAGGCCTTGATGTGGCCGTACATGGAGTACTGGTTGGACGGTTAGTGAGATAAAAAGAGAAGTACAATGCCATTGGAGTACATACGTAGACAATTGCAATCTTGGGAGCCATGGTGACTGTTTGGAAGGATTCTGGAGGGAATGATGGGAAAATGAGAAAGAATGGCGGGGAGGGGAGCTAATTATAAGAGATCCATGACACCCCGCCGGGAGGAATGTCCTCAGTACCTCCCTCCCCATATTAATTAATACGTGTCTCAAGTACCTCTATGATTAGCGACCGTAATAGAGCTTCATAGTGGCTATCAGTCATCGATGACAGAGCATATTTGCAAGATGATTGGTCGATCAGGCTCCACTCGGATATAGCTCTGGCCTTAGTGATTCTTACTGAGAACTGACAAATGAAAATTTAAGCGCTAAGGGTCTTCAGGGCCAACGAGTTACGAAACCATTAGTAAAAGAATAATAATCGTCCAGATACCGCATCTTCCTTTCAATGGCGGCATTAGAAGGATATACATCATCTGTTTGCGTGCCCATCATGATGTCATGGCATCACTGATAGTTTGGGAGGCTTCGAATGCGTCCGTAGAAGATAAGCTGACATCGGCCTACTTAGCTCCGGTGGCTGAATACTAATTCGGAAAAGACACTAGTTTCACAACATTATAAGTCTAGTATTATTGCTAGGCGAAGCGAGTAAGACGGCTACATGATATGTTGTACAATAAGGGTGAAACAGGTATGTCTCCCTTGTAGCACCAAGTGTGCCATTGAGCTCAAGTGAAAAGTAAATATTGGAGAAGATTTTTGCGTCAAATTCAATGGGGGTATCGCGGGATTAGCGCAAGAACCATAAAACGAAAAGAAACCAAGGAGCCCGTGAACCCCTTGCTAAAGCTACACCTCACACCATGCCATGCAATGTCGCCGAAAAAAAACCCTTGCGATAAGAATCCATCTACCCCCTTCCACGTCCGCGGAAGCGGCCACGCCCAAATCCACCACCGCGGCCACGTTCATTTCGCCATTCTCGTTCCCGTTCTTTCTCCCGTTCTTGTTCTTCGCGGATGAGAACTCGTTCGTGCTCGAGTTCTTCCTCCGTCTTCTCTGTGCGCATTGTAGGCCGTGGTAGGTTTTCCGCCCAGCGAGGGTGAGCATCTGCACAGGCCTTGCCATCAGGGCAGAATCCTGCCAGATAGAAGACACATAGACGCCGGCGTACGTGTCTCTTTGCACATAGTGGTCCTAATTCGCAATATCCGCGGTCGTAGTGCTCGCAAGGTGGCAGACGTGCCTCCTCACGGACATGCTGGTAAAGGCAATCGTCACCATTGGTGCAGTATCCGGATCGCGAAAATGACTGGCATTCTGGCATTCGTCGAAGGTTGTATTCGTGGAGGTATTCGCATTTTAATCCTTTCTTGCATAGTCCCTTGAGGAAATGTTTGCAAACTAGCGATCCGTGTGTTGTAGAGGGCGCCATTCCGGATGCTGTGGTAGTGGAGGTCGTCACTCGGGACGGAGTGGGATGACGATCTGGACAGGCAGGTCCTAATGGACAGTGCCCTTCACTATATGCTTTGCAGACAGGTACATCGCTGGCGAGTCCGAAGCCGAAGCTCTTGCGCAGAAAGGGTGTGAAAGAAAATTCATTATAGCTGGGATCGCGTGTTGGTTCGGCGGATAAGATATGCGCAGCTACAGTTTGAGTGTCGGCAGCCATAATTCGATGAAGCTCGGGAGAAGTGCTAAGGGTAAAGAGATGATCGGTGGTCTCGTCGAGTCAGATGGGTGCGTTTGGCTGACTAGGCACACCACTTTGTGAATAGAAGTGCAGAGTTTGCAATAGGAGTAGCGATCTCAAATTCTCAGATCTCAGCTCAAATTGACATAGAGAAGTAGATTTGAGAAGGAGTCTTAGTTGTCGAAGATTGGCGAGCTGTCCAGGTTGTTCTCCATTTGTCGCCTTAGAAATCAGGTGGCAAATAAATGTTTGGCTCGTTTGCATTGGACATTCGAGAATCGAGAATTAACCCATGGACATGAATCTTCACAACTTACATCGGAATTAAGATTTTCTTCCTACATTAATAGCCTCAAGTCCCGTGCTATTCTTCTCTTGGGAAATATACGGTCACATGTCAAATGGAGGCAAGGGAGATGGGAACGAGTGAAGTAGAAAACTAGATGCTTTCAGGACAATGGAACTCCAATCATTGTCTATTTGACGCTGAGGCCACAGCTGACATCTCAAAACATTCTTATCGATCTATAGACATATAATTTGGCAGACATAGGTTTACATGAATCCGAGCTGCTGGTCCATCAGGTCCCGCACCATCGCCTCGAATGAGCGCCATTGAATCCCAAGCTCTCTCTCCGCCTTAGTTGTATCAACTGGTGATGAGAGACACTGAATATCCTCCGTGACCAATGCTCCACAGTTTGGGTAGAGTCTTCGCACGATTCGTGCAATCTCTGGGCCTGTTGTCGTCGGCCTCGCTAGTAGATACTTCGAGCCATCCACGATCTTGGGATCTAACGCTTTGATGTGCGCTTCGGCCACATCCTGAAGATGCACTGCCACAGTGTCTCTAGTGCCATCGCCCTTCATGATGAGATTCCACAAACCACTGTTAGACCCCCACTTGATTCCTTCAGCGGAAGTCTGAAGAAGGTTGTGCCCATATACATAGGCAGGATGCAGTGTCACTAATGCATAGTGTGGCTTCGCTGTTGCTCGAAAATCCCAAGTTGCCTTGTCTGCAAGAAGTTTAGAGGCCAAATACAGTCGCATTGGGGTCACAGCGGGGTTTTGAGGGTCCTCGAATTCGCCATTCTCATCAACCGAAAAGTCCCAATCGTTGTCCTCTAGGTGGTGTGTCAGTGCAACTCGTGGGGATCGGAAAGCGGGACATAAATTACCTTTTATCACACCACCAGCAGGAACTCCAGACAAAGGAATCATACTCGCAATAGACGAAGTAATCACGACTTTCTTGATGGTCGGTACCTTTGCGGCTGCTTTTAGCAAGGCAGTGGTTCCTTTCACAGCCGGAGGAAAGTATGCTTCCTTGTCGGTTCCACGGGGAAGAGGGGATGCAAGATGAAGGACATAGTCCACGCCATTCAACTTGTCATCGAATGCCGTCTCATCAGTGAGGTCTGGAACGATAACAAATTCCAGTCGGTCGCTATACTCTGACAGCAGGGTTTTCAACTGCTCGGATGGCTTCCGAAGACAGACTCGCAATCGATACCCGGCTTTGAGAGCTTCCACTGCAGTGGCGCTCCCAATGAAACCTGTGGCTCCGGTGATAAAGATCAGTTCGTTGGACATATTGTTGGTTGTTTCAGAGCTGGCAGGGAGATGTTAATACTGCGTCTCGCTGTCTTTTATACCATTTACATGAATTTGTAATCTGCCAGGAAATTTGATTGCCTTAAGTTCCCACCTACATATGTACAAAGCTATAAATGATAGAATCAACCGACGTCATGGCCGGGGTTCAAGCTAGCCCGAATTCCCCGAGACAACCACATGTCATGATTTTATTGTTCCCCCGAGTGATCTACCATATGTGTACAACACAGATGGCAGTCAGTGTCACTATTGGGAGACTTCTAGGGTTGAAACGTTGCACGATATGGTAATCAAAATTGAAGCCTCGGCTGATGAAATGATCAAGATTCTTATACTGCACAAGCGGCCCACTGTTCTATTTAAGGATTTTCAATTACACTATCTCCCCGAGAAATTAAAGACTATTTAACACGGTCATAGATACAGGTGATGCACAGAGCGATGGTACCATAATATTTGATATCACTAACCTCCGAGGTGTGTTCGGGGTTGTATTATCATCAACGTAATATAAGAATGAACAGAATCCAAAATATATACAATCGATCAACAGTTTATTTGAGATTGACATTGAAATTACTTCCCATAATATTATCATCAAAGTAAAAAATTGTTCAAAATGCCTGCCTGGAACATCAAACATAGTCCAAACACAATTACGACCCTTGAGAAAGAACAACTGGCCAAGTCAATCACCAGGTTGTACGTCTCCTACGGCCTACCTGCATTCTATGTCCAAGTCCACTTTACCGAGGAAACTCCCGGTACTGCATTCGTTGGTGGCGAACCTCACCCTAGTTTTGCAGCCGTGACAATTTCTCACGTTGCCCGTGCTTTTAAGAACGACGAAACCAAGCGGCAATTCTTGGCTGATGTTGATGGGATCCTCAATCCAGTATTTGAGCCGAAGAAAATGGAATGGGAGTATTGGGTAACGGAAGTGTCGAGAGACTTGTGGAAGATCAATGGTCTGGTGCCGCCGCAGCCTGGGTCTGAGGGAGAGAAGAAATGGGTCAAACTGAACAAGGCTGTTAAGCTCTAGTGTTATGTGATGAGACCGAGAATACATACAAATCGATAGTAGGCATTCGATAAGATCTACTTATTTCATGATTGTCTGTCACATCTGTTGTATTTTGGAGATTGTTGACCATCCATTTCCGATCTGCAGGTCTACTGACCTTTTCTTTTTCTTCCTTACTTGTCATCGCAGGCAATACCTTCATCAAGATGCAGCACCTGAATTAACAAGGATCCAAGAAAATATTAAGACAAGAATATCTGCGCTCATCAACCTCTAGATTCGCGACACAGTCCGCAATTATACCCCGTGTGTCGGAAAAGTAGCCGAAGTAATGACTGAGATCCCTAAGGGATCTCAAGCAGTTTATCTGGGTAGATGGATGGGATTTAGTAGACCTCACAATTTAAAGATTTGTGTAATTGGTTATCGTGGGAATGTAGGTAATTTGCAATAGGCGCAGTAGGCCAATGAAACTACTCGTTTGTTTTTTTTTTTTGTTTTTTTCGTATTCGTCCTATCCATGCTTCAAGGTGATCTAAGGAGGCGTTCCTCGATGTGGCCAAATGGTATATCCGCTGGATATAGCGGAATTCATGTACTCGATCAGTTCGACAAAGCAGCAAGCTGGGGTCACCTGAACCACTGCCCTATAGTTCTCCAGCCTCAGCATATAAGCTCCTCCAGCGAATCACATACCCCTGTAAGCGATCCGGTCATCCAACCGAAAAAGTAACAAGATCGGCAAAATGTCAAACCAGCATAGCCCCTCTCCTTGTTAGACCTTTTAACTTGGAGAATATATCACTCATCAGGGGCAACACGAGCTTCATGCGAGGGTTTTGTCGCAATTCGCGATCGACACTAATGGTTTACGGTGATCTCCGTTCTGCGTTTCGCATGACTTTCTTCCAAACATGGGGTGCATCGCTCATGCAGGACGATCCACACTCGTACCTTAGCTGGAAAATCTCCCTGACAGGATTTTCGGCGGCTCGATCGGGCCATAGGTCATACGGAGATACACCGAGAAGATCCATTCATTCGATCTAGAACAGTTCGTGTGCGCAGGCAGGCAACCGAGCAACCCCCGCATCTAGCCATGCAACCATCAGCCATTGCGCGCAACGTACATCGTACTTCTGTACCATGAAAAATCTGGTGTGCATACGTTTCGCCCGCGTTCCCCGCATTCGTATGACCCGTCCACCCCCAAGGAGCTTAGTGACGTGACCTGAGATCTTCTGCAAATCTGATCATACACACTACCAAATTGGTGCAAGTGCAAGGTAAGAGGCGAGGTTCCACGTGACGGATTCCAAAAAAGGAAACACTCCAGCATTGCTTTGGGCACTTTTCATCTTTCAATTCATTCTTTCTCTTCTTTCTTTTTTGTTGAACACCCTTTTTGGACCTCCCTTCAGCTTCATTCTTTTCCCTCCTTCAATGCGCGAGCTTTAACACTCTTGAACGTGACGTCTTGACAATGTTCTCAGCCTCCAGGCTCTTCCGCCGACGGGGCGCAGATCGTGACCCCGCTGCTGAGTCCCACGCCTCTTACGAAGTGCCTTTGTACACAAATGCTGCCTACTATCCAAATTGGAGAATCTATCGAAAGGAGCCTCCCTCATCTTTACGCTTGGGATTTATCTCTCACGTGTTTTACGCATTTGCCTGGTAAACACAGCCAATCACCGCCGTTCAAAGGCCCGAGTTTTTGTAGATGGCTGATGCGCTAATCTCAAATCGGTTTATCACAGGGTGAAAGATGACGGTACTGTCTATGTATGTTTGAAGGAAAAGTTACACGTCTTACAATATAGAAATATTTACTGACGCTGCGTCATAGCTGAGTGATGAGTGGGCTGATACCCAAATGCCTGTTGACGGTGCAGAAGGTTGTCTTCGAGCCTTTGTTCAATTGAAGCAACAATACTCTAAGATGAGGGTCATTCTTTCTGTTGGTGGCGGCGGAAAAGGCAGCGAGAACTTCGCCGCTGTGGCCAACAGCCGCTCTCGAGTGGACACTTTCGTTCGCACCGCGCGGGAACTGGTGGATCAATTCGGAATTGATGGAATTGACAGTAAGCCCGTGTTTTCTTGTTGAATTTCCATGATACGACCTGGAAGCAAATAACTTACTGTATCTCCATCTGCATGTAGTTGACTGGGAACATCCCTCTGATTCCAAGCAAGGGAAGGATTACGTTCGTCTCCTCGCACGCCTTCGGGAAGTGCTACCCGCTCCGCGATACGTCCTCACTACTGCCTTGCCTGCTGGTCAGTGGGCATTGCGCAACATCGACCTTGCTGCGGCACAAAAGTATCTTGACATGATTAACCTCATGACCTACGATTTCGCTGGACCATGGGAACCCGAGACTGGCCATCAGGCAAAGCTTTATGGCTCAGGTGTATCTGGTGATTCGGCGGTTTCATACGTTGTAGGGCAAGGAGTGTCCCCTAGAAAGATCATTTTGGGTGTCCCAGTCTACGGACGATCCTTCCTGGGTAGCAACGGCCCTGGTCAGCGGTATACTGGACACGGTGGTGAGGACGGTGTTTTTGATTATCGCGATCTGCCCCGACCGGGTACACAGGAGTACTATGACCAGAACATCGGTGCATCATTCTGTACTGGAGCTGATGGCGGTTTTGTCACATACGATACCCCAGAAACAGTTAAACAGAAGGCGGAATTCGTGACCTCGTCAAAACTGGGTGGCCTGTTTTACTGGCATGTCTGCTCTGATGCCCGAGGACCACGCAGCTTGGTTGAGACGGGATACAATACGCTGCACGATATGTGAGGGGTTTCAGCTGTTTGAAAAAGCGACGTCCAATAAAAAATCAGATTTTGTTTCCGCTCGCTGGATATTATCATAACAGATTGTAGTGGCTGGAGTTGTCTCACGAATGATATTTGAGCAATTATCTTTCTAGTATCGGATTCCGGCCATCAGGATCTAACCACGGTATCTATTAGGGACGTGCAAATATGGATGCTATGTTGCAAGGCCAATAAGGTGGTATGATTAGGGCGCTGGCGCTGTTACGGACGGCATATGAGACTAAAAGACTTCCACGAGACAACCGACGGCCGAGGTCCATCTCCCCCGCATTTTCAACAGCTTTTATCAATCTCAATTTGAGTGTTCTGTTTGTTATTTTTCCATCGCATTCGCATCATAAATTCACACTATGTCCTCCTCACAGCCTGCGACAGCAGATGTCGGCTACATCACCGACCCGGGCCCGTTAGAGAATACTTATACTTCGGATCTCAGCCTTCAACGGACACTAGCATGTGAGCTTCCCATTAATAAATAGGTCTACCGATTCTAAGGATTTATACAGGGTATCTACCATCCGCTACATTGGAATCTGTACAACCGCATCTCACACAGCTCGGTGCCGAGGCTATTTCCGAGCAGGTTCGTGAATGGAGCGCCGATGCTGAGCGCAATGTCCCATACGTGAAGAGCCATAACGTTTGGGGTAAACGATATGATTATGATCGATTAGTGACTACGGAAGGCTGGAAGCAACTGGGAAAATGGGGTGCTCGGAACAGGTATCCTCTTCGGATCGGGTTTCATATGACATGCATAATCTGACTTTACCCAATTAGGATCGTTTCAGCGGGCTATGACCAGCGCTTAGGGGTCGATAGAAGAATGGTTCAGTATGCGCTGTGAGTACTTACTTGACGTCGACATTTCTACGCTATCACTCATGCTATGAAACCAGGACCTATCTATACTCTCCTTCTTCCGGACTCTACTCCTGTCCGATTAGCATGACCGATGGTGCTGCTTTTATTCTCTCATCAAAAATCAAGAAGCTGCCACCTACACATCCTTTCCATGCTGCATTCCAGGGGCTTATCTCCGAAAAGGATGATCACTGGACTTCGGGTCAGTGGATGACTGAGAGAGCCGGTGGCAGCGATGTCCAGAACACCGAAACATGGGCTACATACTCGCCGCTAGCCACCCCTGGCTCCGACCCCCTGGGTGATGGCGACTACCTCGTCAGCGGATTCAAATTCTTCTCCTCGGCAACAGATGCAAATGTTGCTCTTTTGCTCGCGAAAATGCCATCCGGAAAGCTGAGCACGTTCCTCGCGCCATTGCGACGGACCGTGCTGGGCGCTGACGGCGTCTCCAGAGTTGTGTCTAATGGCGTCCGGATCCACCGATTGAAGAATAAACTCGGTACCAAAGAATTACCGACAGCTGAGTTGGAACTCAAGGACATGCGTGCGCATCTCCTTGGCGAATTAGATCAAGGCATCGTCACTATCGCGCCTCTTCTCAATGTGACTCGACTTCACACCTTCATTGGCTCGCTTGCTGGCTGGCGTCGAGCTATCAGCATCACGAAGAGCTTTGCGAAAGCAAGAACTACAGTTGGCGAGCCGCTCTGGTTGATTCCAATGCATTTACGACTCCTCGCGGACTTGGAAGTAAGGCATCGAGGTGGAATGAATCTTGCATGGTTCACAGTTGCCCTATTTGGAATGGTTGAAGACCAAACATTGCCATCTGATAAGCTCGCACATTTACCTAAACCTGGTAAGGAAGCCGAGGTGGTTTTCCGTACCTTGACTGCCGCAGCCAAAGCTGTCATTAGCAAAATGACCACTGCAGGAATTCAAGAATGTCAGGAATCTATGGGTGGAGTTGGGTATATGGATGAGGCTGATGAACCAGAGTTTAACATCTCTCGAATTATGCGTAATAACGCAGTTAATTCTATCTGGGAGGGTACGACCAACGTGCTTGCCAGCGAGTTTATCCGCTTCCTCATCAGGAAGGACAATCTGGAGATATTTGGAGCATGGGTTGACCGAATCTTCAGTCTGATTCAGAGCGCAGATCTCCGGAATGCCCTGACGGCTGCATGGTCGGCTTTGCGTGCTCGTTTTACAGCTCAGGATCCTGCTTCAACTGTTGCCGATGGCCGTCGCTTCATGTTTACTTTAGCGTGGATTTTATCTGGTGCTCTTCTGGCCCTTGATGCTGAACGTGATAATGACCCTGTGACAACAGAGATTGCTCGACGCTGGGTTCTGTATGCAGAAGGTGGTGTAGGTGACCATGTGTTCCATGATATTGTTACAATTAGGAGCGCTGCTGGTGCTGCATCTGGTGGCGAAGAACATCTACAATGGGACTGCCGCATTGCTTGGGGAGTTGACCTGCCGGCAAACCGTGCATCTGGCCACCGGTCATTGCAAAAGGCAACTTCAAAGCTTTGAGCAAGGCGAGCATGAACATTGCTGGTATATATACTATGCAACATCAGGTGATATTTGGGATGGTTGGGTACATTATTCGTTGTACATAGCCAATTACTCTGTATACTTCAAACCTTTTGTAAAATTCTCTGTCGTCAATGTGATCATGAATCTGCGAAAAGAGAGATGATAAAAAGCGCTTAAAACCCATTCAGAAAGACGTAAAAGATTCAACGAAAAAGTCTTTCGGCCTGTATCAATGAGATCAGATCTAACTTATATAAAATACTTGCCTATCTGAGAACTCAGCCATCTTGCCTCCCTTTGCCCTCTTTCTTTCCCACCACTTCCTGGTGTTTCCACAGTGTGTGATGGCTTCGACAGGCCCTGTCGTCCAAGCTGTCGAAAATATGACAAACATCATCATTCACCACAAAGTCCAGGATGTTCGACCGTGACATCCTCATCCTTTGATACAAAAGGCGAGGAAGGTCATCGTAGAATCTTTCGACATCTCTACCAACCTGATTAAGTTTACCCACCTCCAGACAAACCCACGAGAAACTGGTATTTCAAGTCTTACGATTATTGACGAGTAAGTTATTCTATACGAAGTTCTAGCCATATCTTGTAGTCCAAAGATTGTGCATATACGAGCTATTAACCAGCGAGAAACATACTTGGCCTTTGGACCCTTCCTGGACAAGGCTGAGCACCCTGCTTTGTCCCCAGCGACTGTCCATTGAAAATAACCATGTAGGATTCATGAAACCGTTTAGTCTCACAACGTCTGGGAAACTCCGCTAAGAAGACGAGGACTTCGTTCTCAAGGTCGTGAAGCTTGATCCGAGAGATCGGCTATCCGCGTAAGGATTGTCACGGGCTTGCTCGTTGGACTTCTAGCCGAGTTAAGTGAACCATGATTCTCACGCTGGAATTTCAAGTCTGCGCATGCCATCCTAGAATACCTGTTTCCCAGGCCTGTTCTGGCAAAGGCCAGAACACGTATTGTGGCTTTGGCTCTCTCTTTTTATTGGCTTTGTTCATTAGTATCATGAGAGTACCTGTATCACTGGAATCCAGAAAGCCATATTTGGCTTTGGTATTTGAAGACGTGTAGTTGCTTGCACTGAAAAAATCGGTACGGTAGAATTAGTATCTATCACCCAAACATTCTTCTCATATTCAGCGCGCATGACGAGCCTTCAGTCATAAACGAAATTGAAAGACTGCGTCCCAATTGCCTCCTATCTCACTAATCTTGAACGAGATATACCGGTGTAGAATAAATCACAGGTTAGCACAGAGCCCCACGCAGCATAGAGCAGAAGTTTGCACATTAAACTTTGGCCTCCCGATTCCCTCCGTATCCCTACTCGAGGCCAGCTATAGGACCAAGGGATATGCATACACTGAGTCAGGCATATTCTACCGAGAGAGAAAAAAAATTATACAATCCTATAGGAAAAAGTTGCATTGGTGCCCTTAGAAATCAATCGAGTATGCACAGGGCGAAGACACCCGGTGAAAATTGCTGTTAGCACCTTCTTGAATTGATTCCACACCCCCAGATGTCTGATCAAAATAAGTACATGTCATCCTATCGTGTTTTGCTATATGTAAAAACCAGGAAACTGTAATCGAGAGCGAAATGTTGCTGGTTCAGCGTTTCATACTGTCTCGGGTGATACCCACTCTCGATTTCTCCAACCTACCATCACTCGGATCTACGTGGTCGTGGCATAGCGCCATGTCTTCGGCTTGCATAATCTGCCATAAAAGAAAGGTATCGCATTGATCCTTTGCGTATTTTGGAGTAATTACTGATGATGATAGGTGAGGTGTGATTTTGCCACCCAAGACCCTTGCACCAATTGCAAAAAGTCAGAGGTGGAGTGCAGGTAAGTGAAGCTGAAGACAACTCGAGAAATCGATGATTGACTCCCTTTAGACCATATACGAGGAAGCGCAAGAGGTTTACCAACAGCCTGTCGCCAGGGCGGAATGTGTCAGCCTCTGCTCCCTTGAGTCAGACACCGCGGGGCTCACAGGTTCCTCCCGAGTTGCCAGAGGCCCAAGTGGCCTCACAGCGGAATTCTTTGAGCGTACCTCATGAAGTGATTCCAATTGAAGCCACTTCAGCCGTGGTGCCTAATAATGGCGACCCATTCATCAAAGAAGAGAGCTATCGTGGCCGCAGTGAATATCTCGGCGGTAGCGTCCCGTTTGATGAAAATATGGTCAAACCCGGTCGCGAAACTACGTACACTAACCCCAAAGCATCCGCAACCGACTTGCAAATGCTTCGCGACCAAGGCGCCTTTGAGCTACCTCCATTATCAGTTCAAAAAGAGTTAATGTCCAGTTTTAACTTACACTGTGCACCCTGGACACCGGTTGTGGACCCGAAATGGCTGGACGAGAGCGCGCCGCGATCGATGCTACTGCTCCAGTCTGTTTTTCTCGCCGGGAGCAGAGTTTCTAAAGCTCATTTGGACTATGGGTCTAGCGAAGTGTTTTATCGACGAGCAAAGCTACTCTTTTTTTTCGGTGGTTGTGACGATCCCTTGATTTCTATTGTGGCCGCCTGCCTACTGCATTGGTACAATCCGGTTGGGCCTGAGGATGTCTCTACCGATACCAGTGGTTTTTGGATTCGAACAGCTGGAGCGATGGCCTTTCAAATTGGGCTACATAAGGAACCCGCGCCGAATGCTCGAGATCGGGGGCTTCGGAGAAGACTGTGGTGGTCTCTCGTAGTAGGTATCTCCTTGAAATGAGAACCCACAAAGTATCGTGCGCTAACATGTTTAGGTGCGCGACAATATAATTTCTGTTGGCGTCGGCAGACCGCGAACTATCAATCTACGCGACAGCGATGTGCTTCCGCCATCAATCAAAGACTTCCCCGTGAATAACTTCAAATCTCAACTATTTCTAGCCTACTGCACAATATGCAGGCTTCTCGGAGACGCCGTCGAGTCCCATCTACGGCAGGAAATATCTCGGCAAAAGCAAGGCGATCTCGAGAACGCTGTCTACCGATGGGCAAAACAAGTTGTTCCAAGATTACGATCGTATGTCACAGAACAGGACGATCCAGCCATCTGCAATTTCGAAGTTCAACAGCTGTTAGTTAAGTATTTCGTGGTCCTCACTATTCTCCATCGCTCGCCTACGCCAGGTAGCGTACCACCTGCAGCATCGCTGGTCGCATCTTCGTTCATCGCTGGGATTTACGAGGAATTCTTGCTTCGCGATGAGCTTCGATACCTGGGTCCTGTATTTGCGTTTTATCCGCTATGCGCTGGACTGTCGCTTCTTTCTAGCTGTCGCTATCCCCACCTGCAGAGTACAGCGGAGCATGAATTAACAGTCATGAAGCTCTCCCTTCAAAAGCTATCCGAAAGGTGGCTCTCCGCGGTTGGACCGTTGCGCGCACTGAATAAATTGACCGATAAAGTCCGAGAGCTCGGTTTTTTCGAGGGTTCATCGCCTACCCTCGACTCAGACACGGCTTCTTTCTTTGAGGGGTTCGACACAAAACTTTGCAAACAATGGCAAATCATTGGACACACCCCGGAGCCCACAATTGGGAACGCGGGCATTTCCCCTACTTGCAAAATGGCGGACATCCACACCCCCAATGATACCCTTAGGGCTCTTGAAGCCCCACCAGAACAGGAGGTGGACACTTACGACTATGCCTCTCTCGATGTTAATATGGATCCGTTCAGCAATAATTGGGAAGGTGCCGGATTTGACTGGAGCGGCTCTTGGCTGCTGAATATATGAACCCAACAAAGCTTCGCACTTGCCTTACAGAAAGGTGATCTGTTTTGGTTGATCTTTGGTTGTTCTTATGTATACAAAATGTTCTTTTTCGTTTCTGTTCCAAATATATCCGAGATTTGCGATGTCGACTAAACTAAATGTATTCTATAGCTTACTCTTATTATCCCTTTGCACCTCAAGATTATAAAACTGCCTAAAGTGATCCAGGCACCCAGGATTTGCAACGGTGCTGCTGATAGTCTTGGGAAGCTGACCAGTCGAGATGACCTGCTTGATCAATGTCTCAATCTTTTTACCGTTTACCGTCATAGGGAATTCCTTGACCTCGACCACAAAACGAGGAACGTGCTTACTGCTCAAGCCTTTGCGAATTGCGTCCTTGAGTTCCACGGCAAGTTGATCTGTGAACGGCTTTCCAGACTGCATGACGATGAACAAAAATACAACTTCATCAGAATCATGCGGACGTCGACGCCCGACACACAGAGTGGCTGAGAGATCCGAGTTGAATGGAGCTGATTCGGTGATGGAGTATATGTCTGACGACCCGAAACGAATGCCCTGTGGATTCAGGACACCATCGCTATCGAACTCAAATCAGTATACATTTCCCCCAGATATACCGACATGGAAACTTAACGTACCTTCTTCCATGAATTTGCCAACCTTTAGTATGTGGGTTATAACTCGCCCAGTCGTGCTGAGCCCAGCAATCTTCAAATTTCTCGAAATATGCGCTCTTGTATTTCGATCCATCCTCATCACCCCAGAAAAAGACCGGCATTGAAGGGAATGGCTTGCGACAGACGAATTCGCCATTTCTTCCAGTAGTCTTAATAGAATTTCCCGTGACAGGATCCGCAATATCCACGTCGTGTCCAAGCATAGGAAGCTGGATCTCTCCGGGGTACAGCGGACCTGCAGGGTCAGTACCAATCCAAGAAGTAGCCAAGTCCGTTGCCCCTGTCACACTGGTGAGATGAACATTGGAGGGGAATGTGCGGTAGAACCAGTGATATTGGTCTTCACCTAAGTGAGAGCCGCCCGTCTGCACCATTCTGAGAGAGGACAAGTCGAACTCGTTCTTTGGGATGCAGCCGGTCATCTCAAGCTCCTGCAGATAGCGAGGAGAACAGCCCCAGTACGAGACTTTGTGGTAATCTGCGATTTTCGCCAGTCCTTTGGCACTGGGCCACAACGGAGATCCGTCGTATAGAATCAGAGTGGGGCCAACGGAGAAGTGACCGACCATGACATTCCACAAGACCCAGGAGGTACTGCTGTACTGGAAAACGATATCGTCGGATGTCAAAGAATTGTGTAGCATAGATGTCTTTTTGTGCTGCAAAATAACGCTATGGCTGTGAACTAGGCACTTTGGCTGACCGGTGGTGCCGCTGGTGTATAGGATGTAGAGTGGATGAGAGAAGGACACTCTCTTGAACTCCAGTTTGTCCTCTTCTCTCGACATCGCCAAGAAGTCATCCAGATTGGGAAATGCCGGTTCATGGGCGCCGGTGATAGAGATCAAAAACACGAGTGGTTTCGTGCGCAGTGCCTTCACGATACTCTGGATTTTAGCAACGTTGGATCGCATTTTCCCCTTGTATGTGGATTCGCCATCTGCAAAGAGGATTCGTGGAGTAACTTGTTGCAACCGCGATACACAGCCCTAGGATTTCTCATCAGACGCCATTATGAACAACGATCCCCATCCCCCCGGAACATACCTCCTCACCCAAATCCGGTGCAATACTGGTCCAAATGGCGCCGATACTCGCAGTTGCCAGGAACATACCGACCGACCAGACGCTGTTCGAGATGATAGCAGCAACCCGATCTCCTTGTTTGATACCGAGCTGGAGCAAAGCACTCCTTGACTTTCTCACGTTCTCCCTCAATAGCCCCCATGTCCACACTTCCCCATCGAGATCCTGGCCCTCTCGGATTCCAATAAGGGCCGTCTTGTTCGAGTTCCGACCAGTCACTACATTCTCTGCATAGTTGACCGTTGCTTCGGGAAAGAATTTGGGAATTTTGTCCATTGGCGTAGTAGGATCAAATGCAGATGTTACAGTCGAAGGCAATGGTGGGATAATTTCCGTATAGCCATGGAGATCTGTCCAAAAGTCTTGCAGATTCTCAACGGACCATTGATGTAGATCGTGGGATGAGCGAAGCTGCTGATTAAACTTCTTGTTGATATGCTCGCGATAGATGTTCATTGGTATTTGCTCCTGGGGGATGGTGGGCTTCCATATGGGACGAAGCCTAAGAGCCTTGTTATTCGTGCGGTCTGCCATCTCTAGGTTGTTTCTCCTATTTCTATTGTTGGATATGATTGGGATTGATTGAGTATGGAATAATTTGCAAGGGACACATGAAGCCGCGTTCAATAAGCACATTAATAGTCATCCGGTACTCGGCACCCGGCCTTTGGGTCCCGGCACGGAAATTCTCATTCTGGTACGCATTCATAGATACCCCATGAGCCATGACGCTGTACGGTCTTTCGGTGGTCGTCGGTGATCGTCGGCTCAAATTGGTGAGATACAATTCCTCTCATAAGGTTGGTTTCGAACAAACAGAAGGAAGGGAAAAGCTCTCCTCGATGTGTTTACTTCTAACAGGTAGGATACATGAACATCGTTCCAGCTAGCGCTCCACAAAGCCCGCGAAGCCCACAAAGCCCACAAAGCCCAACCCCCGAATGGGCTGGGCTTTGTGCCCTGTCTTCGGGCCCACTGGTAGGCCATGGGACTAGAGTGAAAGCCCACTGAACACTTGATGGGGGCCTGTTTGGGCCCCAAAAGTACCAAACAAGACGAATATCCGAAAGAAGTGACTCTTTTTTACTATACGTACAGACCCCGTTTCTTGCCCTTATCTACGGGTACTATTTCACTTAACTGATCAAAATGTAGTACCTTAATACTAAGATCTATCTATGCCTGCCAATTGGTTCAATGCGAACGGAGAACATATAGTTGCCATTCCTTCCAGGGCTACGTAGACGTATCCCCTACCCAGCCTCGGGGGAGACACTGATCAACCGTAAATGTGTGGTAATATCCTAAAAAGCTAAGCAAGTCATACTCAAGTACGGAATCCCCTCAGAAATTGTCAATTGTTGTCATACTAATGTTCCACCAAATCATGCCTCAGCCAGACCATACACTCAAGCTTTCGACCTTTTCCAACCCATCACCGTCCAAGATAGACTTTGCTTCTACCAATATTAAGTCGTGATAATCAAGTACCAACATAATTTGTCTCGTATCCTGGCCAAAGACTTTGTCGGAACAGTTCATTGTTGAACAGTCTTGTCAGGGTCAGAGCCGCTACAAATGGGGAATCGGACTATTAGATGGGCGGATTAGCTAGATGTCATATACACGAAATTCTTTGAAGCTTTTTCCTAATTAATAACCGGCCGGTCACAAACTCATAATTCCGCACACAACGTCCCAGTCTCCTTCACTTTCTTCCTTGCTTCATTTTCGTTGACTTGAAATCTCACCACTTAAGGACATTGATCATGATAAAATCTCTAACTGCTCGTGCTAAATCCTACCTCACACGCCCGCACAAGGCGGCCAGTCCTTGTGATTTCCCCTGTTTGATCACACTCGCCGGACTTCCCCCGGAGCTAATCTTGTCAATATCCGACTTTCTTCCAATCGTTGATCTTATTTGCTTCTCCCTTTGCAATCATCGATTTTTCGAGCTATCTCAGAGGCAAATAAAGCGGCTGCCCCCTCGCACAAAAAGTGATACACTCTCAATCCTAAACCGACTGGAAAGAGATATTCCAGAATACTTTGCTTGCGATGTTTGCAACATTCTCCATCAGTATGATGGGTCTGAAAGCTTTGGACTCAGTGGATTGAAACACGACAGAACTTGCCGACTCCCGTGTGTTCAGAGCGGCAGGTGGTTTGATTCTTGGCACCATATGAAGACACATTATAAAGGGAATTATTCAGCCAGCCCTCTTTCTTTCCTGCAGCTTAAGCTTGCTATGAAGAGGTTTCATTATGGGCCAAGGTCTGGGATTAGTACTGAATCTCTATCCTATACTCAAGTCCGCCACTACCCTATGCAGTCAACCCACCCAGAACTACTCTCGCTATTTTCAAGGGAAGCACAGATATGTCCTGAGCCGCTCGGTCTCTATATAAGGATGCAGGATATAGTGCTCGTCGAGAATTTAGACGATTTGATTTTTTATCTGGGTGGATGGGATTCAGCTCCTCTATACAATTACATGTTAAGTATAAGCAAAGTTCTTCTCGAGCACATCACACCCGTTGTGAGGTCCTTGTACAACGGAGGGAAGGTCTCTTTCACTCATACCTGTCAACACTGCAATACGGAGTCACATATTGAAATCGGTCGATTCGAGTCCAAAATAGCTGTTATCATGACAAGGTGGGTCAATTTGGGCCTCGGTCTTACTCAAAAGGACATATTGAGGACAACTAATGTCGATTTGATTTGTATTTCGGCCGGGGGATGCATTGGCCTAGATGACCCTAAACACTTGCTTACGAACCCTCGCTTATGTTTTGAAGAGATGGCACCTCGATCATTCCAACGCCTACGGTCTAGGAACCTCTCTCATCTCAGAAACCAGAAGTTCGAAAATGGCATGCCTTTCACTTCAGCAGGGCCGAACCTTTGGTACATTCCGTACAAAGAGCCTTCAAAAAGAAAGAATACTCAATTACTACGATCTATGCTAGGCCGCTTAGCCATGTCTCGAGAAAACGGAACTGTGGCAGACAGAACTAGACCAACGTGAACGCCATCTGCGACTAGCCTTCACCCAGTAACATACTAGGCTGGGATTGCATCGACGCCATGACACACCCAGTCCCATGAATAAAAGTTTGCCCCGGAATAGGGTGAAGTTAGCAGTGGAATTTACATCTCCAGCCTTGAGCTTATTTATCCCACGACTGTCATCAAGAAAAGGGCCATCTCGAGCCCTGAATCTCCCACCAAAGCTTACAGAATAATCACCATACGCCCATTTATATCAGACGGTCTCAGGGGTTGGGATTGCTGGGTTAAGTGCAGCTCTTAGCAGCAGACGGCCTTGGGCAGGGGCTATGAAATTGCCGAGCTAAAGACCCAAGTTGCCACAAAGGTCGAGGTCGTGGAGCTCCGTGGTCAAGTGGCAAGACTTGGGATCAGAGGAAAGAAGGTGGAAGGGGGACAGACAACAGGGCTGGCCAGAGGGCCGTGTAGGGAGTTGCACGACCAAATGGGTCACCTTCTCTAAGAATCACGCAATTCTCCGGACATTGGAAGGCAAGGCAGTTCCGTATACCTCTACTCGTAGATTTACTCTGGATGGAATATGGGTATAGCTATGACCTCAACCTAGTTCTCCTTTTCTGCAACACCGATACATAAATCTCTCATTGAACCTGCGTTAGCGCCTATTTCATGACCACCTTCGTGCAGCATATATACTAAATTCCATAACTCTCTTATGCTTATAAGGTTAGGCCGCTTAGGCGGCCTTATTTTGTACGGTGTCCCACGGGGTTATTGGGTGGTTTTTTCAGGAGTCTTTCGGTGGTCTTTTCAACAACAACTCGGGGACCATGAGCATGTCAACAATGTAGCTGTTTGAGGCTATGGGGATCGAGTTTCTAGAATATTGTCACAGCGCCCACGCCTGCTCAAATATGCATAACCCTACGATTTCCTTCTACCTCTTAGACCATTAGACTAGTTAGGGGTTACAAATAGAGATCCCCGTAACAATGTAGACAATTAGGAAAACAGAGTGCAGGCAATTACTCACTCCGAAAGACAAGCCGTGAAAAGCAAGAGTCTCTCCCATCTAAGGATGTCACATTAACAAATTAATTTTTAGATATTTAAAACAAATTATAGCTGGTGATGGCAGTCATGTAGAGCCTTGTGCTAATGATACAAGCCAGACACCCAGCTTTGAAAATATGCGGTATTGTGTGAGTATAGACGAAGTCCATGAAAATATCCCTAGTTAGTCTTCTTTTCGGTATCCTTCAAGTCCTCAGATGTGAATTTGACACGCTTGCCGTAAACCAATGGGGTACGAGAAAGCAAAGAGCCAACGGCGTATCCGATGTATGCTCCAACGAGGATTGTGATTGGGAATGCCTGCCAAGGTCGGTCCCTTCATGTCGAGTTAGCCATGTGTTTGGTATTTGAGCTACAGTAAGAACGTATAACTCACCAGTCAAGAGGAATAGGAACAGCACCTAGCCACGCCCCCAAGCATGTGCCGAGCGCACTGCCCCAGACCGCATCAGCGGGACGAGCAATGCCCCAAACCTCATTCCACACGTTGCGATCTAGTCCGTGGGCGTAGACCAGGGCTGTCGCGGATAGAACGGCCATGTGGGCCGCACACAGGACGGTCTCGGAGTTGTGCGTTGTGAGGGGTGCGCCGAAGAGGACCAGGAGGATTGTCAGAACCGGTGTGGCCAAGGCGAAGGTCAGAGAGAGGGAGAGGAGGGCCGGCTAGAGAATCGTATCAGTATCAATGACTGGCAGTTTCCCCTCGATTGAAAAAAAAATATCTCATACCAGTAACCGGGACCAAATGCACGCCCAATTGTTGGCATGCTGCTTCCGCTTGCCATGCTTGCCATGGCGCGCGGTACCGCTAGGCCCGGATGACCGAGGACTTGACTTAACATCAGCCGGGGCGGGCGCGCTCGCCTCTAGTGACGGTGTCGACCCGGTGGGCGGAAGGCAAACGATCACATAGAAAATTTGTAGAAGGGTGAGCCACGGCAAGGTGGAAATAAGCTCTTTGGTGGGATTAGCCACTAATGCTTCGAAGCGAGTGGCGCCTAATGCCAAAAGGAGTGCTGGGTGCGCAATTGAGTAGATTCGGGCTATCAGCGAGGGCAGGATGTTGACGGGAGGGGCGGAAGGCTTCTCATCGGGGGCCTGGGGTGTTGAGGAGGAAGCCCCTGGAGCAGAAGAGGTATCTGGGGCCATTTCAGAATTCAAATGGCAGTTTTCTGTGGAAAACAAACCTTGAGCAGCTCCGGGCTGATTTGGATGGAAATTGGGGGGTCTTCAATGGGGATGACAGCTCGACGGTGATTGGCTATGATCTTAATGCCTTGTCGCCCGATATTTCAGGCACAATACGTTGCTTGCCTTGTCTTTCGGGCTACAATCTGACTTTCGACATCACAAATAGATTTCAACTGGTTAGTACTCACATCAATAGCCACACTCCATATTGTCATGAAGTCTCTTAGTTTAGTTTTCGGATTTGTTTCGGAGCGTTTGGGCTTTTTTTTGCCCTTAAGTTTTCCGCATCTTGTAACTGCAAAATCATAGCGACATATTATTGCTGTTTATCGTTGAGGAAATAGCTGTTTATAATCGTTCCACAATCTTGCCATTAGCTGTCCGCGTCAGGGTTAATATCAATGGATATCCTGTATCTAGCTGCCTATATGGGTTAGCCTACCTCAGAGTCGGGATATATACAGGACCGTTCTCCCTTTTAGCCCCTCCCCTTCAGCTCCTATAACCTCCCATCTTGTTTATGCCGCCACATCGAAGAACCCGGGCATCTATTGCTTGTGAGCGTTGCAAGCGTCGCAAGACAAAGGCAATTACATGATGATATGTGAAAGCAATGATTGCTGACGAAAATATAGTGCAATGGCGAGCTCCCCGTATGTTCGGCCTGTGAGCGGTCAGGATCCAGTATGTCTTGAATTCATCTCTCAAAATAAGTAAACCTGGAGATTCTAAGAAGTGCAGATTGCACATGGCCAACATTGCCTCGGATTGATGCCCTCCATACCACAGAGCACTCGCAACTGGCACAGCATGCTAGCAGACTGGAAAGAAAAGTCGCCGAGCTACAGGATCGCCTCCAGTCCCAACAAAGGAATAGAAGCTGCACAAATGAAATCACTCCACATTCTATCTCGCCGGTTGAATACCATGGTGAGTTATCGACAGATGTTGTGCTTCTAAGTATGAACGCCGCTGCAGAACCATCGTTTGTCGGTGCAACATCGGGCTTCTCGCTCTCTAGGCTCGTGGAGGGAATCCTATCGCAGTCTACAGAAAGGGTAAGAGGTAATGACAATAATGTGTCTGACCAGACATCAATGCCAGATCATTCCGTGGCCACAGATCAAGAGGATGTATTGGTTGATACATTTTTCCAACGAGTGCATCCTCGATATCCACTTCTTGATGAAGTTTCCTTTCAGAATATATTTCGTGAGACAACCCGGGATGAAGATCACAATGCGCCCAGTCTATTCTTACTGTATATGGTCTATGCTATTGCTGCGAGGACCATCCAGCTACACCCTGAGATGCGCCGATGCACAACCCCAGAGGTATGTTGTGTCCCATGAGCTCAAGAAAATATATTGAAGTCTGAAATGTGCCCAGGCATACTTCACACGTGCACTCCGCCACATTGACTCTGCTCTAGCGAGCCAGAGCCTGAAACGAATTCAAGCCCTTCTGTTAATTGCCATTTACCTTCTCCGCACCCCGAGCAATGTGTCAAACCTTGGAAGCTGGCACATTATTGGGCTTGCCATAAGACACGCGGTTGAGATGGGTCTCCACCGCAATCTTCGTGATTCTCGGGCAAGACAAATGAATCCAGAAGACCTCAACCTGCGCAACCGTGTCTTTTGGAGCGCGTACATTTTGGATCGAGCGGTCTCATTGACCCTTGGCAGGCCATTCGCCTTGGCAGAACATGAGGTTGACGTTCCGGTAATTTCAATTCTATTTCGAGTTACTATACTACTGCTGAACACTTATTAACAACTAGGTACACGACTCGAGAAAATATCAATCATTCGTCCATATGTGCCACCTGCGACGGCTAGAAAGCCGCATTCACCGTGAAATATTTGGTGCTGACGTGCATGTGGCCTCTGACGAGAAGATTGACTATTTCCGGTATGAGTTGGAAGCCTGGCGACTCGCTGTCCCGGTCCCAATAGATCCTTCCTCTAATCTTCCTGGCTACTCAATATACGATACAAGGGAATTCTTCGATATTCAATACAGCAAAGCACTACGTATGCTTCTCCAACGACGCATCACTATGGCAAAGACAGATCCAGAGGGAGACGCTTCGAAAACGGCAGAATATCTCACACTGAGTGCTCGGGCCGCTGGGGACATCTGCCAACATTACAAAGTGCTGCACCAGCGAAGCCCTTTGGGGTGGAACCTCCTGGCGCTACACTCTATCTTCACAGCCGGCTTGACACTCCTATATTCCACTTGGACTAGGAAGGAGAGGCCGGACCTCGTCGCATTGGAAGACATCCGAGCCTGTTCAAGTGTCCTGTTTGCTATCTCAGAGCAATGGCCGTCGACAAAACGGTTCAGGGACATTTTCGAAACCCTGACGCGGGAGATGATGGATATTTTGAAACGCAGCCAATCCCAGAATTGGAACGGGTTGTTTCCTGTCGATGCGAATTCGTTTGGGGGTGAGAGCTTTTGGTCGATTTTTGATGATTTAGTGGAGGACGATTACATTCGCGATCAGTTTGGATTTGAGGAAATGATGGATTAAATTGTTCCAAATCAAATATATTCTCTCATCGCAACTCAAATTCTTGGAATTTTCCCTCGCAAGGACAGCCTTTACAAACTCGCACCGTGCGTTTAGACAAATTATAAACAACACAGCAGACAGTCGACGTGGGCCCAGAATACGGCCCAGAGTTCTCCTGTTTCGAAGTTTGTTCAACAGCATGCTCACATAGACTATGCGGATAACCTGCATGGTCCTGGAATGCCGCCACAATATCCTGTTCTACCAGATTTTCCTTCCGTGCCTGCTCGCACAGCCCTGCTTCGAGCCGCTCACCACGATACCACGAGCTTCCTCCCAGGTATGTATCGGCAATTTGCGTTTGTGCCAGGAAGGGGCCAGTCTGGAAATGATTACTGTGCAGGAGATATGGCTTTTCAGAAGTCGTTGAAATGACCGACCTGAAGATCGTCCGCGGCGTCACTTCCAGACACATACCAATATCATCGGCAGACGAGACCATGATATTACACGAGACGTGACGTGGGGTTCGGGCGATGTACTTCAATCCGACTGAGTAGTTAGACTGCTCAAGGAAGAGTCGTCTCAATGCCCCAGAGGGGGAATAGGGATTGATAAATCGGGAGCTTGATCAATATCGCTCTGCAGGGAGTTCGCTGTGAGACCTAGCCCGGCCGCGTTGCATCCTGAGCGGCCCAGTTGACCCGCCTCGGTGACAAGGAACATTGATGGGATGTTTTCGGAGACATCTGGATGAATCTCAAGGTAGATAATGGCGTCTTCGGTGACAAGGCGGTGCGACATATCCCAGTTCTGTGCGGTCAAGACTACCCGATCCCTTGTCGCGGGGGTGAGAATGATTGCGGAGGTACATTCTTCTGCGACTTCGACCTGTATCCTTTCCTCAACGGGCTTTCCTTCCGCTGCGGGATTCTTCTCGGTGTCAGGTTTAGTGCGCTCCGTGACACTGGACTCTGAAACGGCCACTTTGACGGCAGGCGTCTCCCGAGAGACTTCGGGGACAGCGTCCATGGACTTGGCTTCTTCTCCGGCGGGGGTTTCAGACACGGCGTCGAACTTTACATGCGAGAGGTCATATCGCGCATTCAACATGACGATGTCTTCGACTGTAACGCCGGCGCCAGCAGCAACGCCACGCATTTCTTCCAATCCAGATGGCCAGTAACATTGGAGCCCAGGAATATAGCATTTCTGAATGACTCTCAAAACCGAGGACCTAAAAATCAGCATCCTCCAACAAATATCTGAATTTCGAGTGGCCTACCATGGTCCTAGTTTACCTGGCTGCTTATAGTACGCGACATTGCGCTTGATCTTTTCCTTAGTTTGCTCCCCATAGGAGAACCCGCGGTCGTAGGGTAATCCGTGGACCATTACATGCTGGTAAGACGGATGCACAGACATGTTCCGCGAGACACTGAAGTATTTTCTTGCAGACCTACCCGGGAGTCAATTGGCTATTCGAGAGGCTTATCTGGGAGATTGGCGTTCCTTATGAACTGTTTGCTTCGGCAGCCTTCCGATGGCTGCAAATGGCTAAGGTTAGATTATCTCGGAGATATCGGTTGCTGCCGAGACATCGGTTTGAACCGATATATCGGGATTCCCGACATTTAACTCTCGGCAATGATCCTGTGATATGGTTACTATCATGAATATCATTACCCCAGGTCAGGTAAAGGAGCGACCTTTGATAAGAGGATCAAAAACAGTGCGGGGAATACCGCTAGCTCCAAGTGGCTGCAAGGGAATGCATGGAGTACTTATTCTCCTTCGGCCGCCAGGACCATATCCATTTGCCTAACAGAAAAGAAAGAGTCTATCATCCCCCCCCATAAACCTCCAACAACTTGCGAAGATGGGAGAACACGATATACAGGAGACAGCAGTCCCTCATGGGGAGAAGACGATGCGCGACAAGGGATGTGACGATGCCGCAGAGATGTTCAACGGCGACCTGGTGGTAGAGTACAGCGCAAGAGAAGAGGCCATCGTTCGTTGGAAGCTTGATCTCTCGCTCGTTCCTATGGTGAGAATCAATCTCTCAGCCCCTGTTGTCAATACAAATACTTAATACTATTTGTGTAGATGCTCATAAGTTATCTACTCTCCTTCGTTGACAAAGGAATCCTGTCAACGGCCGCGGTTTATGGCCTCCGAGATGACCTGGTAAGAGAATCTCCATTTTTAAGCTGATGGTTTCCCCCAAACTAACATATCCAGCGCCTTGTGGGTCAACAGTACAGCTGGTCCAATTCTATATTCTACTTTGGGTACGTTTCCAACCCCGTTTCTGTCTATTTCCGGGTCTAATACACCATAGCTTCCTGATCTGGCAGTACCCCAACTCTATATTCATGCAGCGACTACCAATTGGACGCTGGATAGGAAGCATGGTATTCCTCTGGGGTGTCTGTGTCGCAGCTACAGCGGGTGTCACCAATTTTGCTACGCTCGCCGTTGCCCGGTTCTTCCTAGGCGTATTCGAGGCATCGAACAACCCCGTGTTTACTTTACTGGTAAGCCAGTACTATACCAAACAAGAACATGCATTGCGAGCGTGCCTATGGTGGGCTGGTGGACCAATCGCAGCATTTATCGGCGACGGTGTGTCGAATGGAATTGGCCATTTCCATGGCGCATTGAGCAGATGGCAATATCTGTACCTGATTTTTGGTCCCATTACAATGGCTTGGGGGATGTTTCTCTTTTTCGCCATGCCCTCTTCCCCCATGACAGCGTGGTTTTTGACGCCACGGGAAAGACAGATCGCCGTTGTCAGGGTAAGTTTCCTTTTCACACTAAACAGGATGGTGACTGATTCATTTCACAGGTCTTGCAAAACCATACCGGATTGAAGAACCGGCAGTACAAGAAATATCAGGTCATAGAATGCTTCCGTGACCCTCAGGTGTTGATGCTCTTTTCCATCGTCTTTCTTCAATGTATTCCCGGCGGCGGGTTAACTGCTGTGAGGCAACAATCCCGACGTTAGTGCATAGTTGAGAATTAACCTTTCTTTTAGTTCAACAAAATCATTCTCACCGGACTTGGCTACACAAGCGTCGAGTCTACAGTGGTTGCCATGCCCGAGCATGCCATTCAGCTCGTCTCAGTAGTACTCGCGTATGTTGCTTCCAGCTTTAACTCTACAGTGTTCTATTTCTAACAAATCAGTGGCGGCGTTTGTTCCTATATCGGCAAAGGACGGTGCATCGCAATGATTTTGAGTAATATTTGCGTGCTAGTTGGGAGCGTCCTACTCTACAGTAAGTGACCTAAATTCCCATTGTCCCTGAATGATATTCATCGTTGCAGCTCTTCCCGCAGAAAGAAAGCTGTCCCGGCTGGGCGCCGTTTACTCGCTCCTCACGTGTACTGTCTCATACATCATGTGCATGTCAATGATCGCATCCAACGTAGCCGGGTTCACTAAAAAGATGACAGCAAGTGTAAGCCCACATACACCTTCATATGCTAAAAAAGACTATGCTTGCTAACGTGACACAGGTCATGATCTTTGTTGGTTACTGTATTGGCCAAATTATCACGCCGCAGTTCTTCATCAGTTCCGAAGCACCGACATATCCCACAGGATTCCGGGCATATTTCGTCACCGCGTCAATGATGATTGTCATTGAGGCCGCTTTGATGTAAGAATGAGCTCAAAATATAGGGGGTCTTATGTTCTGACTCTTGCAGGGTGTATCTCATAAATGAGAACCGACGTCGTGATAAACGCAGCGAAGCAACGGTTATCGCAGACGAGGGTAATCAACACCACATCTTAGAGACTGATTTGATGGATTTGACAGATCGGGAGCAGCCGAACTTCCGATACAGTTGGTAATGAAGTCGAAAAAGTGATGTATGATGAAGTGCTCTGAGCACTAGCATGGAGGTATCACAGGTATTGGGGCAGACGCGCAGTCGTTACGGGAAGACAACTCACAAATAGTGAAGCTATATTTCATAATCAGTAAATATCCATGCGATCTATCGCGCTTTGACTGTTTAAATATTCATCTTTTATATGCATGAGGCCAGAAGTGTGTAGGCACGCGCTATGTATTTCCATCTGGTCTTCCATTTGAAGAAACTAGGCCATACGAAACAGCAACACCTTGATAATTCTTAAAACGCCACGAATAGTTATCTCTTATATTACCTGAACGCATCATGCACGTACCTAGATGTAGGATGGCACAAGTGCCCTAATTAAACTGGATTAGTCATTAGCACCAGCAGTTATACGGGACTTTGGTATTGTGATAGACATCTTTGATTATTACCAGTGCAAGGGATCATCACCGGCCATTCTATGGTTATGATATCGCTGCTTAGTCGTAGAATAGCCAGGGCACTTGATGATGCTTCGCTGACCCGTCGGCCAACTCGGAACTTCGCAGCTTCCCTTGGCCTTCCAGGGGACAAGAAAACCTCCACGACCAATGAGACACAATAGAGGGAATTTCTTCCTTCTCGGTGACTGTCGAACCGATAAATACCGTTGGTACGATGTGAATTGACGGATTCTGCAGAATTTCCGGTGCGACCCTCGGGCCGCAGACACACACTACAACTATGCAAAAGAAGTGCGAAAGGAATCTTAGAAAGCAACATCCCTATTCTTGTGATAGGGTTTATAACAATAACATCGGACCGATATCGAAAGCGGAACCTAAGGATAGGACGAGATCGGGAAAGAACAAAACAAGAAAAAGATCAAGACAGACCGGCTGCAATTGCAGAGACAGGCGTACATTCATTCCACATGGCAACGTGATCAACTGAAATCCGGAAACGGGCTAATGATGTGAAGAGAGCTTCGGACCATTGCAAGACAGGGGGAGGATGAGAGCAATGGGGTAAAGAATACATGGGGGGTTCATTCAAAGGGGAATTGGGAAGACATCACGCCATCCACTCGACAGCAAAGGGATGGCGGCGCAACAGGGTCATGAATACGAGGGCAAAGCCCATTCATCACAAACGGAAAGGAGATGAGAAAAGAACGACCTCATTCAACGCCTCAAGTGACGCCAATGCTCTGTCGATAAGCCATTCCATCTCAAATGGTCAAACAAATCATGCACGACTGGATAAAGGTAGAGGTGCAATTGACTGAAGAGAAATCGTGATAATAATAGAAATGGGAGAATGAAAACATTTCGTAAAAAAAGTTTGAAGCAGATCAAGCAGCCGAGGTGGACGGTCCTGCGGTCTCTTTCGGGGTCTCATGGGACACTGTTGCTTCTGGTGCCAACACGGACTCGGTAGCAGGAAGCTGAGCAGACGACTTTTCCTCAACGACAGCCACCGGTGCAGACGACTCGGGAATATGCGGTTCTTCGGGGATAGATGGGGGAGACCAGCGCCAGGCAAGGGAGACGCGGGCGAACGCAGATGCTCGTCCCTGGGCTGCTCACGTGGGACTTCAACTGGCGCTGGGTTGCCATTTGTCGACTCTGTGGCAATAGGAGAAAGAGGCTGGGTGGTGAGGGAAGGGTCGTCCTCCGATCTGGTGGGGCTCTTTGTGCGCTCACGATCATCCTTGACAACCTGAGCGACCTTGGCCTTGAACTTTCCAAAGAAACTCTTCTTCTCGTGTTCGGATGGCGTGGACGGAGCGCTTTGAATGCCAGCATCCAAGCTCAGTGGGTGGCTGGAAAGGTCCGTGCTTTGGTGGTGTCCGCTGCCGATTGAACTGGTGCTTTGTTCGGCTCGGGGATTTGTCGCTACCAGGGGTGGAGATGCGAAACCTAGCCCAAGTTGCTCGCTGGTGCGCTTGGACGACCGATGGAACCGCCAACTACGACGATTTTCATGGCGAGAGGCATCATCAGGCTGGTCCATGTCAGACTGATCAGTGAACGATGAACGGGAGTTCATGGAGGGTGTGCGTGACTTGTTAGGTCGTAGAGAGTGGTCGGTGTGAGGTTGCGAGGTACTCTCCGCGAGAGCCGGGTTTGAGTCAAAAGGGTTCTCGCGATTGCCAAGAGTCGCGGCATTTGGCGGTCTCGGGGTAGTATCGCCAACAGCAGCTTCGATGGACCGGGTTTCGTGTTTAGGCTCAAGATCCCCACTAGGGTCTACACTCGAAGCATGGAGTGAATTGGCCGAACTTTGTGCGCTCATGCTTGCACTACCGGGAATGCGCTTCTTCTTCAAGCGGTTTGGTTGCCGTGGTTCTCTCAGTTCGCTATCAGCTGGCGGTGACTTGGTGAAGAAATTGGAAAGCTTGCGCTCACGGCTCGGGGTGACAACCTGTGGGGGTGAGGCAACCGGGGGCGAGACGACCGGGGCGTTGAGATTCTCATGGGGCCTGGCAGCTTCGCCAAGACTAAGACGTTCTGCAGCTGCCGGAGGCAATGGGCCATGGGTTGACGTGTGCACGTAGGCTCCACCTGGGGTCAATGAGCTAGTGGACTGACTAGGGGTCCGCTGCTCGGGTCGCTGCTCGGGACGCTGCTCGGAAGTCCTTTCAGGCACTGGCTGAGGAGCGGTATGAGAGACTGACTCGGGGATCGGCTCAGGCTTTTCGGGCTCTTCGCGCACCGACGGTGTCCGACTAGTTGACCGAGAACTCTGATGAGAAACGGCGAGGCCGGAAGGGGTGTTCGAGCCAGTGTCGTTGGCACGTGAATAACGAGCAGAAGTCAAGACGGGGCCCATCTTTGAGGGTAGAGTGTTGCTCCGATGAACACCACCGCCACTACCACCGGCGGTCATTGAGGTGGGAGTTACGGGGCTCTGGGCGTTGTTGGAATGACGGGAATTGCGCGATGATACGGAGACATTTCGTCGGATACTATCCAACTTGCGATGACTTTCGGTGTTCGCACTAGCGTTGGATACCGACCGCCGGACAGTCGGATGTGATGCGGCTCGTGGCATGCCCCCCTCGACCTCTTTCATGGTCTGTTCATCGGCCGCGGTGCCACTCATTCCGAACAGGAAGTGATCCTGATTCTCAATCAAGAAGATCAACACATCCTGACTCAACTTATATTCCTCTGGGGACATATCGTGCTGGGGGTGGGACAGCATGCCTGGTTGGAAGATCGCGGACAGATTGGCGGAAGGCATACGATTCTGATCGGATTTTGAGGCGAATACCGCGAGAAGATCGAGGATATAGAGGAGCAGTTGCTTGTTCAGGGGGGCAGCTCGATGATGAGGTTCTGATATGTCTCGACGGCCTTTGCGTGATCGAACTTCTCGGCATCGGGCGTCTCCTTGTCTTCTAACACTTGTCGCTGGTAGATACGTAGGGGCTCACGGAAACGCTCATAGAACTCTAACGGCACGATGGGTTCGGGTAGCTGGTTCAGATATCGGCGGAGCACGTTTGCTGCATCGTGGACGGTGTATCCGGACCAGTCGAGTCCTTTGCCATATCGCTCGGGGGAATCAAAGACCTCTTGAAGGTCCTTAATACGCTTGGCTGATCCGTTAAGACGAAAGATGCCTTCGACATCCGTTGCTATCCAAAGACAGGTCAGTGATGTCCCATCGAGCATAAGAAGGTCAACGCTAACCTTTTTCTTTTAGAAAAACCCCACACTTCGCAACAACAATGGGCACGTATCCATAAATGGAGCTCTGGCCGTGATCGTTGGTCAAAGAGATTGCCACATTGGCATATTTGATGCTGACATTGAGCGGAACCCCAAAGATGCCGCGGGGTGCTTCTGCTACGACAAACAGGTCAGCAAAACATTTTGAGACGATGAAGAAGCCAGCACATCAATTGAAAAGTGAGCAAAGTTCTCAACTGCGACATGGCCGACTGCAACAAGTATCTCCTCTGCGACAAGAGTATACGCGCGAGGCTCAGGGCAGGGGGCAGTCGCGAACCGTCGCGAGCCGGGGCGCCCGAGGAAATATATACGCGGTCGCCAGCGTTCAAATATCACATTCAACAAATATGGCTTACCTTTCAATTCGTCTTTTCTGGTACTCCGTTTGAACTGCTTCCACCATGAAGCTAAATCTCGCTTTGATGGCGGGGAGTTGGCGCCGACCGGATCAGGTGAGGTTGGGAGAGGGTGCACGGGGTCAGCACCCGGGTGCGACTTGCCGACCGTCACCATGGCGAGTCCGGAGGGCGACTCGAGATGGAATCGAAGGTACTGGGAATCGAAGAAGCGCAGGGAAGTGGGTGTGTCGATCGAGGGAATTCAGGAAAGTCGAAGCGGCCCTGCGTCACCGCCCTCGTGTGGGAAATCCTGGGGCTGGGCCCAAAAATAGCACAAACACGCTTTCGAGGGGAAGAGCAATGGGATTCGAGAACAAGAATGTAAGAACAAAGATGAAGAGAAAATGAGAGAAGAGGGCCAGTATGATGGAAGGGATGCGAAAGGGCTGAAAGGTCAGGGTTTCGAAAGGGTGAGTTGGGGGCACGAGCCAAGAGCCAAACACATAGATACATTAGGGATGTGTATTTAATGTATTCAAGGGAAATTCGATTTTTGGGAATATGAAACTATGAATAGCCAGTCTAGAGACCCAAGGTTCCCGAAATAAGTCAAAAGATGGGTCAGGGTCGCCTGTCATGTAGATTAATTCAGTACAGGTACACAACAGGGGTCGGATTGAGATCTCTATTAAATGATCTATATGGAGTACAAGATGGCTTTCCTGGAATTTGTGGGATTTGTGGAATTTGTGGAATTTCTGGAATTTCTAGAATTTGACAACGTGAAGAATATCCTGGGGGCCTGGACAATATTAGTCTGGAACCAACGGGTCTTGGACTGTCTGGAACGCGTTTCGACCCTTTTAGGGGGGTTTTGGGAAATTACCTAGTCGCTTATATCTCGGGTTTCATCTCTTCCGGCACAGGTACTGTTTTTCTTCTGTTTTTGGTTTTGTTTTTTTTTTTTAACTTGGCCTTTGGGCTCATATTGTGGGCAATGAAGTTGAAGTATACGAATTATCTGCTCCGTTCGAGATCCATTGTCACTTGGTCCATTGCGGGACAATGTCCCTCCGGTACGGGGTAGATCATCTCTCTCAGACGTAAAACGTCGTACTTGCCTTGAAGTGGCGTTTTTGGCGTTATTTCCATCCTTTTTAGAGATTATTCTGGGGCGCATGATCTACAGGTAGTTTCTGGCATCTTATACGTCATCTAGGTCGTCGAAAGTGTGAATAGGAGAACTAAAGCAAACCACTTGTTACCCTTGGGTTGTAACTTCCTATCCAGTATAAGAAACCGCTTTGACCGTACATAAATAATCATTGTGGTGGAATCAGCCTTCCATAGCGTCATGAAGTGAGGTTGAAGTGATATTAGTGACGTTAAAAATCACGTGGATTATCCATTCCATATTCAGAGCATTTATCCGTTCGCATAAAGCATTTTACGGCCCTAAAGTAGGTAGAGCTAACAAAAATCAATTACAATGCGCCTATCTGATGCTATTACTGTAAAGATCAGCTCTTGTAGACCTAGATTCATCCTAATTGAACCTTTTTTCAACAAATGAGGGGCCCTATACAATTCAAAAAATATATGAGATGTTGATCAAATGGTAGCCTGGCAGCTCAGGCACCACTTTTTGAGTCGCGTGGGCTAATATTTCTCCGGCACCCGAGAAGCTCAGAACCAGCGGAGCTGGCAGCTTGCAGGAGACTTGTAGAAAGCATCTTACCATCAAAACATCTTGATTTCATTCATCTATCACAATGGACGGGTAAGTGCCTCCCTTAGACTCTCTTCACCTTCCTGCCATGTCCTCTATCTCATTGTTCCCCCGGGGTCATTCTCTGAGCCAACCGCTAATACCCAAGCCACAGACTTAACGCATCGGAACAGCGCGAGTTCGCCTCCCGCATGGAGCGGAAGCAGATGAAGGAGTTTATGACTGTATGTATCTCCTGCATTTCTCATTGAATAATCACCTTCGCGCTCGTTCTCCTGCCCGTGATGCGTCCTTCCCATCCACCACCTGTCTTCTCCCATACTCAGAGATCTGACGCCCTTTCTTTCAGATGTACTCCAAGATGGTCCAGCGCTGCTTCGATGACTGTGTCAACGACTTCACCACCAAGTCCCTTATCAACCGCGAGGAGACTTGCGTCATGCGCTGTGTCGACAAGAACCTTAAGAGCTCCGCCCGCTTGAACGAGCGCTTCCAGGAGCAGAATGCCGCCATGATGCAGAGTGGCAGCATGTCTGGCAACTAAGGGTCTATCTTGATAATAAGAAACAGATTGTCGATGGCTATTTTCGGTTTTTGGCAACATGCATTCGATGAATTGGGTGATTGGCGAAGTTCGACCCGGTTGTCTCCGGCCCGACAGTGGCTTCATCTGGAGGTTTAGAGGGATGACAATCTGGTCGATGACCTATTATTGGCGAGGAAGCAGGCAGGATCGGCTCCTTTCCGTGTACCATAGAGACTAGCACGGGAGATATCTACCTCTCCTCTCCCGGGGCTCAAATTACAAAAGACTTGACTAAACTGATGGAAGATGTGATCTTGTACTCCGTAACTTCAATGGGTTCGCAAAAACAGCTCAGCTTGAATTTTTTTTCCTCGCAAATTTGAGATCTATTCCTTGCGGTCAGTAAACCAGCTCATGGCCGTGGAGGCCAAGCGCGCGTGTTCATTCTTTTTCTCTTTTGCATTTTTGGCGTATATCCTCGGAGTGGATGTCAAGTATGGAGTATTGATGGCCAATATTATCTTAGCCAATTGTCCTCCGGCTGAGACTTGGTAAGATTTTTAGTGCTGCCAATTGCTAGATGATGGATAGATATATCGACTATTCCGGCCGAGGTCGGCCATGTGTCATTGGCATAACATTAAGGTCATCAAATAAGAGAGAATCAATGCAAATAGACACCCCTTAGCAATTATTACTCCATACTGTATATAGTGCCATGTATAGTGCCAGTTATAGTGCTTAGAACGTCCACGCAGCCTCGACAAATAGGGTATATGAATCCCCCTAAGATTTCCCGCGGAGTTCGGGAGTCGATCCGATCACGCATTCTCTTCTATACGGGAAACGAGCTTATCTTAAGTGGGGAGAATGTTGGAGTTGTAACCGTCCGGATCTCCAACTTCTCTTCTGATGCTGTTCCATTCCCCTCACCGGCTCCACTCCTCCTTCAAAAGCCCCGTCATTTCCCTTCTTCCTCTTCTCTTCACCTTTGATCTTTGATGTAAGTCTTTTTTTTTCTTGGCGTCCATTCCTGGCTAATAAGGTCCAGTTTATAAATCACAATGGCCAGCACAGTAGGAAAGGTAAGCTACTCTTCTTTCTTGATTGAATAACCTCGCTGACTCAAACAGACAATTACTTGCAAGGTAAGCTCGATCCGATCGCCCCGCACATATGACGTCGACCAGCTCGTGAATCACAGTGCTGAACAATTGACAGGCTGCCATCGCCTGGGAAGCCGGTGCACCTCTGTCCGTTGAGGACATCGAGGTCGCTCCCCCAAGGCTGGTGAGGTGCGCATTAAAATCCACCACACTGGTGTCTGCCATACCGGTAAGCCCCACCATCAGCCCCGCCCTGGGAAAACGAAACAAATTCCCGAAAACTCCAAGATAGACGACAATTATTGACACCTCTCAGATGCCTACACTCTATCCGGCAAGGATCCAGAGGGTGCTTTCCCCGTTGTCCTCGGTCACGAGGGTGCCGGTGTCGTCGAGTCCATCGGCGAGGGCGTGACCTCCGTCAAGGTCGGCGACTACGTCGTCGCTCTCTAGTATGTTTTCGGCTCCGATCTCGGCATGACAATCAACTGACAATCGTAGCACCCCCGAATGCCGCGAGTGCAAGTTCTGCAAGTCTGGCAAGACTAACCTCTGCGGTAAGATCCGTGCTACCCAGGGTAAGGGTGTCATGCCCGATGGCACCTCCCGCTTCAAGGCCCGCGGTAAGGACCTCCTGCACTTCATGGGTACCTCCACCTTCTCCCAGTACACCGTCGTTGCCGATATCTCGGTCGTCGCTGTCACTCCCAAGATCCCCACCGATCGGTCTTGTCTGCTCGGTTGCGGTATCACCACTGGATACGGTGCTGCTGTCGTGACCGCCAAGGTCGAGGAGGGCTCTAACGTCGCTGTCTTCGGTGTCGGCTGTGTTGGTTTGTCCGTTGTGCAGGGTGCGGTCAAGAACAAGGCCGGTAAGATCATCGCTGTCGATGTCAACGATGGCAAAGAGGCCTGGGCCCGCAAGTTCGGCGCTACCGACTTCGTTAACCCCACCAAGCTCCAAGGCAAGACCATCCAGGAGCACCTCATTGAGATGACTGATGGTGGCTGTGACTACACCTTCGACTGCACTGGTAACGTTGGTGTCATGCGTGCTGCCCTCGAGGCCTGCCACAAGGGCTGGGGTGAGAGCATTGTCATTGGTGTTGCTGCTGCTGGTCAGGAGATCTCCACTCGGCGTAAGTGATTTCGGTTATCTACTTCACACTGTATATTATCCTCTAACATATGCCATAGCATTCCAACTCGTCACCGGTCGTGTCTGGAAGGGATGTGCCTTCGGTGGCATCAAGGGTCGCACACAGCTTCCCGGACTTGTCGACGACTACCTCAACGGCGAGCTCAAGGTGGACGAGTTCATCACTCACCGCCAGTCGCTGGATGGTATTAACAAGGCCTTCGATCAGATGAAGGAGGGCGACTGTGTCCGTTGCGTTGTTGACATGCAATAGATGCAGTATTCCACTAAAAAATATACTGATGTGAAATATGACTTTAATTATTTCTTGGACACGAAATTTTCTACATAACAGTACAGTCCATGGGGTGCATAGCCTTTTGTATGGCTAAGGCTGTCAGCAAGGTCCTCAACCCGCGGCACCACCGGGGCCAGGGCTTAGATGATCCCGATAGATTTCCAAATGCAATGGTATCAGATCTCAAGTGATGTTCGAACAAGATGATAGCATAATATCATTCTAGTAGATCTATTGATAGCTGATGCAAACTGCATACTTCCATCATCAAAAGTTCCACGCCTGTCTCCTCTTTTCTTCTTCAATCTGATATGGACCTCCAACCATGAGATATAAACACTTCAATCACATCAATAGCCGCGGGATCACATCGAAGGCACCGCGCATTCTATGCTCCCACGGACAAGACTCCGAAATCCCCGCCCAGTTTGCACCAACGAGCTGCTGATACAGACCCCAATCTCGGCTTTACTTCGGAATAACGTCGCTGGCGACCTATGATAGGGTATATATCACCCACATATAACTTTATCCATATGCTGAGGTGTCGGTACTAGACTGCGACATCGCCCATGGACGGGCGGGTGGGCATTGTCCACGGGCCTTAGGCGTCGTGGGCGCCTAAGGCCATAGGTATCATGGCATATACCGTGATAATATTATTTATTGAGCAACAACGCACGTTATACTGTGGTATTACTATTTACAGTTACACTACTGTGTTCTAACCATATATTAAATATTAAAAGCCCCTGAATGGTACTGACTCGCCTTACTGTACCTCCGCTTAACCCGAACAGTTAGAAATTCTCCACAATCATGAGGATAGGAATACATGATTTTAAGTCAACATAAAATTAGCCTAGTGCTGAAGTTCGAACTACCTGAAATACCTGGTCTTTCAATTCATAGTCCCAACGCGAATTGTTCTATTCCGAATATTTTCTCGTGCTTTTCTTGCTGCTTACATACGTGGCTTTATGGTTAGGCTGGAGTTATCCGTTACCTCACATGGCATTGACAATGTAGGCGTGGACAAGCAAAATCTGTTTTGCGCTTTAAGTATGAGAACACCCCAGTCCTTCGAGAAGAGCGTATGCCGCTAGGGAAACAAACTTAAGCCAGGACGACCAACTTTACTTGAAGCGAACACTTGGCTACTCCAACGTGGAGAGAGGAGTACATAGCAGCCAAACAATATTATTAGTCTATTGTTCCTTTCTACCCCTTGGAGCCTCGCGCGGTTTACCAGTTTATGGTAGTCGGAGGGAATCTAGTCTAGAGAACGGAAGAAAGAAAAAGATGGTAGCCACGTATATTACAATATACTTTCGAAATTTACAAAGATTGAAGCAAGACAATCCCTTATATTTATAAAATAGAGTAGACCATCAAATGCACCATAGCGGCAATTACAAGCAAACATAAACACATCTTTCCATGCATTTCCAGACAGTAAAGCAATCTTCGTATCCCAATCATTTGCGCCGCCTCCCGTACCTGTAGCGGTCCTCGGTTAGCCGCCGAAAAGATCTCTCCTACCCGTATACCTTGCTGCTGCTCTCGTGACCGCCTAAAAATCAGCGTCTCGCAGCTGGGTGGCAGAAGACTGGCTTGCACCAGAATTAACACAATATAAGAGGGAAGGAGGAGAGACAGCTGGGTAAAGAGCATGAGCACCGATATCAGGATATCGGATCTCACAATATACGATAACCCCTCTATCGTGACCTTCTGGTTCGACGCCGGAGCAAGAATGCTGTTGAATAGAGCCGGCAAATACATCATCACTGCTTCGGCCGCGGAGTAGATCAAAGTGGGAAGTGCCAGAGCTCTCCATCGTCGGCGATCGCGGGGACTAGGCACGAAGCGTAGCTGGTTGCGCGGAAGGATGGTGTGCGCGGTCCAGAAGAAATGGGTCTCCGCGAGTAGGACTGATGCAATAATATACGCCACCGGAGTAGGAAGCAGAGTAGTTGATATTTTCGTCAACGAGGAGTGCATCACCCAGTAGGTACAAGCGGAACCGATGCCATTCAGGAGAAGACGGAAACCCCCCTGCGGTAAAGGGCGGCACTAGTTTGGAGCAAGTAACGACTTGAGGGAGCTAGCTTCTTGTCTCCGACCTGAGAGATATTGACCTGCTTATCCACAGATTCGAGGATCAGGATAGACATTAAGACATGGCTAATGATGTATCGGATCTAAGCTCTATTAGTCTTCGCGGACAATAGGGATTCTTTGTTAGTAGCTTACTAGAAGTTTGAGGATAATCCCGAGAGAAATAGGTGCTAAAAGTAAAACATTGTTGGTTTGAGCAGGGTCTTTCTGAAAGAGTCGATGAGCTCGCGCAAGTAGTGGATCATTTCCTGCGGAATAGATGATAGTATTGAACAGTTCCCGAAAGAGGGTTAACAAAAATTGTGGGCGTGGGGTGTATGCCATTATTTATTTAGACAGTGAGCAGGAGCGGGTAATTGAAGTTGTTCGCTTTCTCCCCATTGATCTAACGGAAGGACAGTAGGCATTATATTTTCTGCGAAACCGAGGGAGTTATCCTATCGCGAAAATCGCGCATCTTCTGATGAGAGCACCAACTTAGCAAAGTCAAAAAAGTCAAAAAGATCAAGCTAATGCCGAGCTAATGCCAAGCTCACACTATCAATTTCAGCGTCTCAGTAGTGGGCACAGAGAATAGATTAGAACCCAGCGAACTGGTAAATTGGCGGCCCTATCTACGCCACGGCTGACTCAGAAGCGTTGATACACCAATCCTGAATCTCTATAGAGTACTCCATAGTGGCCAGTGGACCAAGTTCAAGGCTGCAATTTTTTTTCAATGGTGAGCCCATTCTTCTCGGACCCCGGTCGGACCCCGATATGACTCGAAGACATGCTTGTCCTAAGCTCGGTAACATCCGTGTCAGAGATCACGTGACCTCTGGGTTGCTCCCAGCATATCATAGTCTCATACCTAGATAGCTGTCTCCCTTCTTCACGCATTCAATATAGTTTTCCAGAGCATATACTGCCTCTTATAAAACCCGCATTCTCAATCCGAAAGTCTTATAGTTAGCTATAGTAAGTACTGCATCATTTGTAGCTCCGCTCAATTAAATTAGTACATAACTTATAGTCATTTGCCGGCTTAGTCTAGAGTAGATACTACTTCGCTGTTGCCTTGACTAGCCCTCTCCTATGCCACGCGGTTCTAATGCTAGCTCAGCCCTAGTATTCTCCACGGACGCACCTTCGTCCACACCAACTCATTGATTACGGGCCAAAGAACGGACTTTAGACGGTCTCGGAGATAAAACCAAGACTAGTATCGATTTCTAAGCATCGGGCAAGCACTCATGCTCAAGTATGAGGGACCTATGCACTCAGGGGCCGTATAAATAGAGGTAAGTTTACCAGCTGGATATGCACGAACACAAGCACAGCAAGCTATTGTCGGATCAGTCTCCCTGCTCAGACCCTCTTAAGTCTTCTCTCCCTCTGCTCTTCCTATCTCTCAATCCTCTGCAATAACAATGAGAACTTTTTCGATATATCTCCTCGTCGGGATGCTACTCGGACGAGCCGCCCACAGCCAGCAGCTCAGCTATAAAGATAGCATCCAAGCGTTAGCCTACGGCAATATCGCCACCTCCTCAGTGGAATCCAGCGGTGAGGTCTGGTTGAACATCACTGGCTTTGCGGAGACCGAACTCCCACACGTCCAGACGGTGGTGGGAATCCACTCCTTGGATAACGCCCGCGAGCTACAGGTGATCGCGAATCTGGCGCAAAGCGCCGCGAGTCAGGCACTCTGGGGAGATCTCGTGTTTCTGCACAATGTCTTTTCAATGAACGCCTATCCCGCGTACGCCAACGTCACCAGCACGCAGATGCAGGCCGGTCTGTTAAGCGCTGTGAGCGGCAAGGATAGGCCAGAAGAGAGCTTGATCGAGCTCTACGCCAGCACATCGAGCGCCCCGGGTCTAGAGGTGGTGTACCGCGCACTCCCTTCCCAATACAACAAGCAGCAGCAGAGCAAGGCCGACATCATCTCCTCGGCAGCAGCGGTACCCACGATGACGACCGCTGCCGCCGTCGATAAACGCGAGATGGACTGGACCCGCAACCAGATCGTCTGCAGTGCCGCGCATGTTGCCGTGGGCGCCGCCTGTATTGCACTGCTTGGGCGTATCCGCCTCAATGGGAGCTGGAAGTCGGGCGGCCCACGCGATATCTGCTACGAGGGCTGCTGCATCAGCTGGAGTGCCAATGCCACCTTCCAGATTCAAAATCTTTATAACGATTCCCAGCGCTGTTATAGCGTCTGCTTGGATGCGTCCGGGGGCGTCAGCTGCGAGGCTTACAACGTCAGTCTGCAGGGAACCATTGTCAACCAGTGCTTGAGCAACCGGCCAGATGGATGCGCTTAATTGAGAAGAGAGCCGTATGGTTCTTTTGTGGAAAAACCAAGTAAGGAGTGCATTGAAAGGTAGAGGTTGTGACAAGATAGGATGCTCCGGCGACTTGGATGTTGGCCCGAGAGATCAAGTATGGCATAACATTCGCGAAGCAGCAAGATGGGTGAATCCTGGAGGAAGAATGTACTATTTCCCGTCAAGATTAGTCAGGTATATACTTCACACAAATAGCTAGATAGGGCTTTGTTAGCAACAGAGACCTATTGTGATTCTATTGGCGCAACCGTATTGATTTGTAAGATCTTATACTGTATATCCCGGCCATCTTTCTTAATCACTTCTTATACCCGCGGCCTTAAACATACTAGGCTTTCTAGAATACTTACTAGTAATATGTCCTCTCCTTGTTGTATATTATATATAAGATTATGATTTCGAGAGTCAGAGGGGCATTGGTCCGATATATATTCTTTTAGCCAGTCCTAGAGGTTCTCCTATAATGTATAGTAATAGTAGAAGTGGTATATAATTTAATTGATAAGAACCTAGAGATCCTTAGGATCCTATTCCCTTCGGTAGGTCTATATCAGCAGCTCGTTGATGCAAACTGGGCGGGGATTTCGGAGTCTTGTCCGTGGGAGCATAGATTGCGCGGTGCCTTCGATGTGATCCCGCGGCTATTGATGTAAGTCCTGGGTTACGTGTGGGTCACATGGAAGATCCACGCTGGTCCTAACAGGTGTCCACCGGCTCCTGTTATCAAACCCACCTCCGTTCGCCGCGGGCATCGCCGCGGCGATATCTATGAGGGGTATATAGTCCACGATATCATGCCCAAGTATATTAGATCAACTTATAACAAGTCATCTCTACAACCAGTATATCATTGCTACCGTTACTTCACTTATTTCAACCTCAGAGCAAGTCTCTCAACCACCAAAACCACCACCAAACCACCACTCCATCCAACACCATGGAAACCCCAGAAACCAACCCCATCACCCTCCCGACCCCCTTCTCCAAAATCCCCCGAACTCCCCTCCTCCTAGGCCCATCCCCAATCCACCCCCTCCCCCGCATAACCGCCGATCTCGCCAAAAACAATCCCCACCCCCGCGTAACCATCTACGCCAAACGCGACGACCTCAACTCCGCCTATGCCTACGGCGGCAACAAAACCCGCAAATTGGAGTATCTCCTCGCCGACGCCCAAGCCCAAGGCTGCACGACCCTCGTCTCAATCGGCGGCGTCCAAAGCAACCACACGCGCCAAGTCGCCGCCGTCGCCGCGCGCTCAGGTCTCAAAGCCCGTCTTGTGCAAGAACACTGGGTAGAATGGGTCGACCCGGGTTACGAGAGTACGGGCAATATCCAGCTATCGCGACTAATGGGCGCCGACGTGCGACTCGATCCGTCCGGATTCGGGATCGAGCATAAGAACACCGCTCAAGCTGTTGTTGAGGAGGCAAGAGCGGACGGCGAGAAGCCGTATTATATTCCTGCTGGAGCGTCTGATCATCCGCTTGGTGGGTTGGGATTTGCGCGGTGGGCGTTTGAGGTCCGGGAGCAGGAAAGGGAGATGGGTGTTTTCTTTGATACGGTTCTTGTTTGTGCTGTTACTGGGTCGACGTTTGCGGGGATGATTGCTGGCTTTAAGTTGTTAGAACGGATTTATCCTGAGGATGGGAAGAGGAGGGTTATTGGAATTGATGCTTCTGCGACTGTTGAGGCGACTAAGGCGCAGGTTTTGAGGATTGCGAAGAATACGGCTGCTAAGATTGGGCTTTGTGAGGAGGATATTACGGAGGAGGATGTGGAGCTTGATGAGAGGTATCATGCTGGGATTTATGGGGTTCCAGATCGGCAGACTTGGGATGCGATTGAGTATGCGGCGAGGATGGAGGCTTTTATTACGGATCCAGTTTATGAGGGGAAGAGCTTTGCCGGCATGATGGATATGATTCGTCGTGGGGAGATTAAGGGTGGCAATATCTTGTATGCGCATCTTGGTGGACAGTTGGCTCTGAATGCTTATTCTGAGCTTGGTCGGACCAACTAGAGTCGAACGTATTTAGAAAACATTAGAATATACTTGCATATACTTGATGGCTTTATTAACACGCGTAATTCTCGAGGCTTACTTGGATCAATGAATAGAGAGATCATATGTTTTTAGATGAGAGGACTCTTGGATGTAATCTACGGTTTTGAAAATAGAAGTAGGGTTGTAGCATGTTTCAGCTTGTATTGATAAACGAGTGACTATGGTTGGTGCATAAAGATGATCAAACTAGGGAAGCATCTTCTAGAACAGCTTGTGCTCAAGGGTCATCTCCGACTCAGGCTGGAGACCAACACAAGCACGGAAGATGTTGATAAGAGCGGAACGCTGCTTGCCCAGGGCGTTGACGACGGGGGTACCGGGAGGGGTCAGGGGAGCCTTGAGCATATAGCTGAGAATGCTCAGGACGCTGTGGAAGCCCTTGAAGTTGTCACCCTCGCCCTCACACTGCCAGCTGATACGGGTCATCATCTCAGCGAGCACGATAAGATCGATAATGAGGGGCGAGGCCAGAAGCGAGTCCTCACAGATGTTGAACAAGCTGATGGTCTGGTGGCCACCCATGAAGATCTCGGCGTAGTACTCGTCCAGAGCACGCTTGTTGTCACCGACAGCAGGCATGTACTTGATGACGACAGTGTGGTCGGGGTGCTCATCCTTCTCGTAGAGGATGTGGTTGGCAGCGACCATGTCGTCGACGACGTTGGACTTGGAAATCTCCTTGGAGCGGAACTGCTTCTGGGAGCTCAAGTTCTTGCCGTCGTTGTTGCCCAGGTGGTTGTAGCTGGCAATGGAGGTGAGCTTGATACCAGCGTTGATGAGGAAGTCAACAAGGGCCGACTTCATCTTGGTCTGGCCAGACTTGAAGTCATCACCACCAATAAAAGCACCACGCTGCTCGGCCAACTGAAGGGCACCAGGGACAAAGGTGTTCTGGGGCGAGCCGTTGATGAACGGAGTGTCCTCAAGGATTGCGGCCACAGCGAACACGGTGGAAGGAGCAACCTCCAGGTGACCAGTCTTGATGGAGTTGATCAGGTTGTCAGCAGTGTCGTTGACACCGGGGATGATGTCGGCGTAGCGCTCAGTGTTGGCAGTCCACATGATAATCACCTTATCCAAGCCATTCTGGGCCTTGAAGTCGCGAATATCCTTCTGGATCTGCTCGACGTGAGCCCAGCAAGCCTTGTCACCCTTGATGACATTGTCGGCACGGTCCTCCTGGTTGGCAGCAATGAAGTCAGGGTAGTAGATACTAGGCAGCGGCTTCATCTCGGCCATCTCCTTGCGGACCTGGCTCTTGAGGGTGGGCTCCAGCACCTGAGCACGGTCCATGGACTCGGCGAGGTTCAAGCTGCTGATATCCCAACCGCCAATGGCCAGATCGTTAGGGTGGGCCATGGGGAGGAGGTCGTGGAAGGGGATGTTGATCTCCTCGCCGGTCTTAGCATCAGTGCCCAACTTGACAGTGGAGCTCATGACGATGGAACCGTAGTAGTTGGAGGTCTGCTTGCCATCGCGGGTCTCCCAGGAGAGTTTACGACGGTTGGCCAGAATACCGGCCGTGACGGTGGAACCATTGTTTCCACCCCAACCGACCAGCATCATACCGACCTTGCCAACCTTGCGGTTGACCTTGAAGTTGTAGTTGGTAGCCTTAGGGGTCGCAACCAACTTGTTGTCCGCAGTGCGGGTGATCTCAGTAGTCTGATAGGCATACTTCGACTTGATCTCGTCATCGGTGTAGACGACATTGGGAGACTGGACAGTAAACAGTTCTTGGCGAACCGACCCGTTCAGGGTGCCATTGGCAACATCCGAGCTAGCGTGAGGAGCCATTGCGTTCACAACGGGATGAATTGGCGAATTTGGAGTAGTGTGTGTGATAGCGTAGCTTTAGCGGATATAGGGTGCGCAATCCGATGCTCCTCCACGGTTGGATGAGCGTCGGCCGTTGAACGGGTGGTGCCGGCTATTGGGGGGTTAGCAATTGAACTATATGGCTCTGAATAGGGGAACACTTACGAGTTAAGACTTGTCGCGAAAATTGTGGCGGTTGTATGTGACCACTGTCTCAACGAGAAGTGATCTGACCTGCTGACAAGGTTTATACGAACCTAAAATAAACGGACAAGAGTGATGTGATTGAGGATAGAGAGAAGAAGAAGAAGAGAGAGGAAGTGGCAGTAGGGGCCACCTTATATGGTCTCCGCCTGTCTCCGGTGTCTAGTCCCCCGATCCCCCGGCTTCCCTTTTTTTTTTCTTTTCTTTCTTTTTACTTCTTTTAAATTCAAGCTATTTGCTGGCATTGATCTTATCATTGGTTGTCATATCTCACCGTCTATTCTCTGGATAGTCTAGCCGATATCGCACCGTTAGTCTTCTTGTTCCTGCATCTGGATATTTCCCTTGTACGCGTACGGAGTACAAGGGTGTACAACCAATACCTCAATTCAAAGTGTCCCGTTCATAAATCTCCAGTTTTATGCCGATTACCTGACGTGCTCCGCTTGCGGCCAGTCCCACGGTCTGGTGCCTGGCCCGGTACATTCCTTTCCGGATACGAACTTCGGTGACGTTACCTATTCTTGATGAGCATTAGATTACAAGTGCAATTGGATTGAATCTACGGACTCAATATACTACATACTCTATGCCTCTATCTACATGTGTATCAGGCCACGAGCCCTCGGTTGAACCGTGCTGCACCGAGGGGCATCCGCGGGGCAGAATGGCGGTCAGCCCATTGCTTGGCAAAATTTGCTGGGTTTTTTTTTTCCTTTAATTTCTTTTCATTAAATTAATACCATACCGAGTACAAAGCACCAAGGAAATTTGCCTAGGAGACGTGGGATGGTTTCTATCACATTCCAGAGTTTGCTGATATTGAGCACTTTCTAGGGTTTCGACCATGAAAAGTTCCGGCACATGTAATAATACCAGGAAATTGGTGGGCTTTATGATCATATGCGATAATGGATGAAATATGCTGAGAGTCCCACAGCGGCAACCTTTTGAGTCCACTAACGCCTCTATTGGCCCTCTTCAAAATGACCGTCACGGCTTGTACCACACCAGGCTATGCCAAAACTGACCTTGAGGCCTGCCTGGGATGTGAGCCATCCAATACTAAAGCCTACTACTGCTGTAGCTTTACACCTTTACGGTTAAGTCTTCAATTCCAAGCTTGTTCATCCCGAAAATATGGTGCGGTCTCCCATTGAAAGAAATTATGTCTGCAATCGATAGAGACCTCTGGAGTATTGCCATCTCTTTTCATTGAAGCATTCTAGCAAATCCCATCACTCTCGGGCTGCAGAACAAATATTTATACCTTCAAGCCTTCGACTCCCCATTTTCTTTCTTCTCCAAAAGAGAATCTTCCTGGGGTTGTCGACCGATTAATTTCTCCGGCAACTGCTTAGCCACACGAACCGGATCCAGCCATCCCGTAGACATAATGAATACCTCATCTATACCTTCCAGCGACAGACCTGCAGTCTCCGGGTAAAATAGATAAACAATCGGTATCATCGCAAAGTTGAAACAGGCAAAGATGAGAAAATATTTCCACCCAATATCGTTGAAAGCAATTGGTGTGACTTCGGCGATCAAAACACTCAAAGCCCAATACGTGCCAGAACTGATACCATTGATAGTGGTACGCAGACTGAGAGGGGATACCTCGGATGCGTAGAGGAACGGGATCCCGCCAAAACCTATAATCATGCTGAAGTGGAAAATAAACATGAAAACCACGGCTGCATGCATAGCAATGCTGTTTGTCAACTGGGAACTAAGCGCAGCCACGAGGACCATGGAGATTGTGTTGATTGTTGCACTTGACAACAACAAGCAACGACGACCGAAGCGCTCTATAGTGGACACGCAGACAATGCCACCAAAGACACCAGAAAACTGGTAAATCACCGCCAAAATCTTGGATGTGGTTGTTTCGAGGTGAAGGTGCGTTTGGAAAATTGTCGTACCTGGCGGATCTATAAGCGAGGGGCAGCGGATGGACTTGAGTGATCATAGTACGTACTGTAAAACGTGATCGAGTTGACACCCGTCAATTGTAACAACATCAATCCACCTGCCGCAAGACATGCGCGATGAAAGATCCTTTGATGTCCCATGTGAAAGATCTGGCGAAGAGACCCTTCCCCAGCAATAGCCAGCGAGGCCTCCACGTCGAGTATTTCCTTCCCGATAATCTCACTATCCATCTCAGTGTCTCTTAGGGCTGCCAATACCTCACGGGCGGCAGTTATTTGCCCGTGCTGGATCAGCCAACGGGGAGACTCGGGCATATAAGAAGTAGATATCATCACAGCTAGGGAAAGTATGATAGGCAGACCAACTGGAACACGCCAGCTTGCACTGTTCGAGACATACGACATCCCAAGATCCACAAGTAAAGCCAGCGTGAGACCCATAGAAGCAAAAATACCTGTAGTCCCAACGTGCGCACCACGCTTGCTAGCTGGTGAGATCTCCGATTGCCAAACAGGCACAGTGGCTAGTTGACCACCGGTTCCCAGACCTAGGAGAATTCGCGATACCACAAGCTGGGCCAAGCTGAAAGAACTAGCCATGAGGAAAGCTCCGATCATTTGAATAATTGAAGCGATTATGATAGTTCGTCGTCGTCCAAGCATATCGCCCAGTCCGATGCAGGAGATGGCCCCTAGGAGACCCCCTGCTGCATATAACGCTACCACCGTTCCCTGCAACGTCGATTTATGGTGTTTCTCTGAAGGTTGGGCGTGGGTCACATCGATTTCTGGAAATTGGAACTCGAACCAGGGTAGGGTGAGAACACCTCCTAGTAATCCTTGATTATAGCCCAGTGACATGATTGAAGGCATGACCACCCCAAGGATTGCCACATAGTTGAGGCGACTGCCTCGCAGGCCAAGAAAACGTGTCATATGGCGTGCAAGATTTGAGATAAGGTTGTGTACGGATGGGTTTGATGTTAATCTGGAGGACTGCTGGTGTGTTTTGGAAGAGATCCGGCAGTTGTGTCAGGTGAATGCGGTCCTTGCATATTTGCTTTTGAATTGCATTCCGATCTCGGGATCAACGTCTCGAAAGGCATGTTTTACCATTTCAGCAAGGTGTAGCAGAGATTTCTTGAGTTTCAAATAAAGATGATCTATGAATGTTGAGATATCTGCAAGGGGTATATCATTAAACTGTTTAGTGGACTCCGGTATAAACCAATCTCAAATAGGATGAATCAAGAGAACTGAACTGTCACATCATGAATAATGGTCTGTTATTCAAGTTTGTTGCGTGTTTTTTTCTGTCGAAGATCAGTCATGGAGTAAGATTGTAGGGGTTATTCGGGAATGATTTGAAAATATATCATCATATACAGGTTGCGAGAAGTGGACATGTGTTTTCTTTTGAATACATTGTCGTTTTTCCCAGAACATATAGTAGATAGTACAGTGTCGATGCAAAGACAACCATCCCTCCCTATATAGTACATCCCACCACTGCACCATGGTGTGGCACCGGATTAAATCCCCCGCAGTGGAGAATGGGGAACATCCCCGACGGAGGTGAAGAAATCAACTCCGTCATGCCCGGTCCGAAAAGCCAATGTTGGTAAGTCATAGTTAACATCCTTATAAAATTTGACATCTGACAATATTTAGTGATCCATGTCGTATACTTCACCATAAATGTAATCCTGCCTATGCCCGCCAAGAACCAGCTCTCTGACTGTCGATAGGTGACGGAGTCTTGCCACAATGCGGCCGATGCGTCCGCACAGGTCGAGAATGCACTCGAAATAAAAGGGAAACAAAGTTCCGACAGGCAAAGGGCCGATCGACGCGCACTAAGTTCCCTAGCAACCAAGTTTGGGTTCGGCCCCCATCAAGAGGTTGGATTCTGCACCCGAATTTCTTGATATCTAGTCTAACACCAGGCCGTATTCAGTTGACTTTGTACTTGAAAGCGGAAGTGGCCAACCAGATACTTTGATAGAGAGAACCGCCGAGGTTGAGTCGCCGGCTGGGAGTTCGCATAGTCATGCCGAGCCCATTCCTATACCAGAGAGGCTGTCTTCAGGGTCTCCATATACCACCCCTTTGCCACAATATGGTTTCTCAAACCAAGTATATACAGAGAGGAGCGTTGTTTCACCAGATGGTCCCGTGGTGGGCACACCTGAACGATTATACCAGCGGCCATGGCCCTTGAGAGACCCCCAGGAGGCGCATTTGTTGCAACATTTCGTGGATAAGATCGCACCATTTGTAAGTGGAGATGTTTTGCTTGAAATGATGAATGCTAGTCTGACTCTACCATGTCAAGTTTGATTGCACGGATAGCCAACAGCATTTCGCTATCCATATCCCTTACCGAGCACGCCGTTGCGACACATTATTCAATGCAATATTGGCCATGTCAGCCCGGCATTTGAATCGCACGACAAATTTTGACCCTTTCGTGTCAGACCATTACTATCAAGCCTGTCTAGAAAAGTTAATTCCTGCGCTGGACAACCACAGTGTTACGATGGATGATGATTTGCTAGCTGCTACTGTGATTTTACGCTTGCTGGAAGAGTTTGACGGTGAGGAGGAGATACAATTCTCTCTGTCTGAAGAATCCTGTTAATGATGATCATAGTTCCACTCGCCGGGTCCGATATTCGAGGCCACTCCTTCGGGACAAAGGCTTTCATACGTGGTCCATCAATGATGACCACAACTCCAAGCCTACGGCAGGCTGTGTACTGGAGTGGCCTCCGCCAGGAGATCTACAATGCCCTTAGTCTCCACCAGGCTCCAGATATCGATTTGAGGTCGCTGAATTTGAATTCCCAGTTTAGCTCGCTGGGCCCCGATGCAGGTGACTGCACGTGGGCAAACCAAGCAATCACTCATTGTGCCGACGTTTTGGTCTTTTGTTTCGGGGAGGGACCGCGCTCAGTCGCTGTGCATGCAGAGCTTAAGGCACATAATCAGCAATGGAGTGAGACTCGGCCGGACTCTTTCGACCCTTATTTTGTGGGCGAAGAGGTAGAAGTGGGACTTAAGTTGCCCGACATTCGTTACGGGTGCCCCTGGCATGGTATGTATCAGATGATCTTTCAAGAAGTGACGTATCCTGAAGGCTGTTCAAAAGCTGTTTGTAATATGAAAAGATGCTAATCCCTTGGGACTATAGCAATCGGCAATCAATATATCAATCTTGCCCAGATCTTGCTTTCTGTGCATGACCCGAGCATACCTACGGTTGGACCTCTGCGCAGGCGTCTGATCCAAGAAGCTGATGTAAGTATCCAACTTTCCAATCAGCATTAGGTACTTCAAGGGAAATTGACAGATGGGTCAGGTTTTCATCCGCAGGGGAGTGTGGACAGTATGTGGCGCTTCATTATCCAATGCATCTGTGCCCCCAGCCATGGTTGTCGGGTGCATGGCCATTCATCTTTGTAAGCAGTGGAAACTATCGACCTTTTTTTGTGAGTGTAAATAAAGCTAACCACAACCACAGGCGGCGATCGCTTCACGGACCCACATGAACAGGAGCTTTTGACCCAGGTGCTTATTCAAATGGATACACTTCATGGCTGGCCAACCCATGCACTCCAGCGACAGCTCCGGGAGACGTGGGGCCTGCGTTGACTATGTAAAGTGTTAGTGAAGCGAGAACGAGGACGAGAGAAACTCCCACATCTCTCCAGCCTGGGCCGCCTCTGCTGCACAGACGCGACAGATGATCGTCCCTGTCCCGCACGCAATCAGCAGGCCCCCCATATGCCCACACGCCGTCCTCCGTACGGAGTACGGGGGTCGTAGCTTGTCTAATTGTCCCCACGTCACCACACACGTTCGAGTTTTCAAAGCTCAAACACCCAGGCTTGGCTTCTTTTTTGCAACTACCCAAACGGTAGAAACGTACCTCCAATACATCCCGTACGGAGTATGTACTTCTACTTTAGGTCAAGTGTCAGGGTCGTGCATGATCCATGGCGTTGAGTGGAAAGCAATGACCAGTGAGATGAGTGGGTTCGGAAGGGGGAAAAAAAGGCCCCGCGGATCGCCAGGACGGGGCGAAAAACAAGTCGATTGTTTTTGTCTGTTTTTGTCTGGTTTTGTCTGTAGAATACTCCGATGACAGACCATCACACTGGAATTTATCAAAGCGCGTGCTAGAAAGGTTTGATTTGGGAGTAGAATATCCCCTTTACATCATCGAAAAGATATTCCAAAGTACCTAGACAGTTGTGATTGGTGTTGGTGGAGGATCAGACAACAGATATGGACCAGTCGCATTGCAGTGTCTTTTCCGCGATGTGCATATCTTCCCGGTGCGCACAATGTTTTGGCTCCACCAGGTCGTGTTGGGGGGGGATCCCACGGGAGTATATTGTACAATATACAACATACGGAGTGATATAGGGGATAAAGAGGACCTCCAGACCATTATCTATGTCGAGTTATGTATCTCATTTATATATTGCGCAAGTAGTATATCTATCCAATGTAACCCCTGAACAACTTACGCACCCCCTTTCCACACTGGAGACGCTATCACACTAGCGCATTTTCTCGCTTTAACACTGGAGTCTAAACTTCAGCTTTTCTTTTTGCCTTAACACTTCCCCATATCTTGGGATATGGCCTGAATTTCGATGTTAACGATCTTTGATGGCTGAAATGAACATGGGCATGTTGCCCACCATAAAATGCTCCAATTGTGGGTGCAGTGTCGAGATCTCCTCCATGGGGGATCATACTTGCATTCGAAATGAATTTGGTAGGCTTTGAATAATTCATGAAAGGCATTCAAGTGCTGACTTGTTTAGCCCCAGTTGCACCTATTCCATCACCGCCTCCATCGGCTGGGTTTGATTCAGACCGATTCACAGAGGCAAAGGTTAGCCGGGGACCTCCTTCGGCCATAGACCCCTCCGCTGCAAGTTAGTCTCAAATCGCCATGTGGGGAGTTGAAGGGATCTGCGACTAATCCGACATATAGATCGAGCATTCTTGCAGCCCAATATGCCGACACCGGCCAATAGTGTCAATCTATCACCGTTCCCTGCCAGTCCTGCACCATCTACACTGCGCCCGTCCCACAGTCCGACCGAAGATCAATCCGAGAGCAAGTTGGAGACGGTCTTCTCATTTCCCATGCCTGGAAACAGGTCGCCGACTGAAGTGAGAACACCAAGTCCAATGATGGATCGGAATCTGCTGAAATCACGACCGGCACCGTCGCCGGGAATGGGGTTGGGTGTAAAGCCAGAGAATATACAGCTTCCACCTAGTCCAATGCCACCCAAGTCCCCTGATGTGAACCATCGTAGGGAGGATTCGGCGGTGAGCCACAGCAGCTACCGGTCGTCTTTCGCCAGCAGTCGATACGGTGATTCCACAACAAGGTCATCAGCCAACAGCCTCTCGCGTGGATTCCGGTCATTTATGGAAGATACACCCCCAGTGCCATTGGCACCTCTCCGAACCCCCCATAATACGTCTGTCCCCGGTGATTCCAACGCCTCGGTGGTTTCATCCCGAATTAGCAAGGAAGAGGCTAGTGGATTCGACTTTGGTATTCCTACAGGTCAGAACCAAACTACCGGACTACACGATCTCCCGGAGGAATCCCCTCCATTTCAGGATCACACTGAATATATTCCTTTCCGCCCTGGACAAACACTTCTCCACCCCGCGACAGCGGAAGCAGAACTAGGTAGTGATGCACCGAGGAAACTTTCTAACGCAAGCACTACAAGTGCATTTTCCGTCACTAGCTTCGCCCGGGCTCTAGGTCTAGATGACCAAATGAATCACTCTGAAGGCTCTGGCTCGGATTCATCGCTTTTCGATACTCGCAGTGGTAGTTCCATGTCCAGTCTTCCCTCCGATGCCAGCTTGAACCGACACAAGCCCACAGAGCAGCTGAATCTATTACCCCTGGTTGAAGATATGCCCTCCCGGACCCGTCAAACCGTTCTAGAAATACCCGGTCGTACACGAAGCACCATGGAAGATGTCCCTCCCATCCCAGCTGCTTTCTTCAGCCCGGATTCACCTACAGACCCTTCAATCAACAGAGGCGGCGTGTCGTTGATTGCAGAAAGCAAAGAACCCCCAACCCCGACCCTGACTCCAACACAACCAAAAGCATCTATCCCCCGAAAGCCAGCACCACCCCAACGTTCATTCACCGCACCAATCCCCCCACAACCAAAAACACCAATAACACCAACCCGGTCCGCGACTGGCCGGTCAAAGGGAAAGTGCAAGGGATGCAATGAGACGATAACAGGAAAATCAATCTCATCCTCAGACGGTCGTCTCACAGGCCGCTATCACCGCGGTTGCTTCGTTTGCTTCGAATGCCACTCCCCTTTCCAAACAGTCGATTTCTACGTCCTTAACAACCGACCCTACTGCGCGCAACATTATCACGAGCGCAACGGCTCCCTTTGCGCCGGTTGTCACACCGGTATCGAGGGCCAGTATCTGGAAACCGTCGAGCGGAACCCTGCACGCCCAGATCGCCGTCGATTCCACACCCAGTGTCTGCAGTGTCGTACATGTCACGTCCTTCTCAAGGGCGACTATTTCGAATGGAACGGCGAAGTCTTCTGTGAAAGAGATGCTCGGAGAGCAGCAGCTGCCTCAAACCCTCCGCCTCCCCCTGGACCTCCTGGACCCCCTGGTCGTCGCCGTCCCATGCCAGGCTCGTCTCCCCTCGCACAGTCTGGTCACTTCCCACCGGGATCGTACCCTCCACCTGGCGCAAGGCCGGGGCCTGGACCAGGACTCTACCCCGGTCCTAGATTCCCACCTGCGGCTGGAGGTGGAGGTGGAGGACGCTTCCCTGAACGACGGACCACTAAGCTTATGATGGTTTGAGTAAATCATCTTGTTCTCTCTTGTGAATCTTGGAAAGCGCGTTGCACGTTCCCTTTTTCCGCTTCTCTATCGCGGATGGCGTTCCCCACTTCCTTCATTCGTTTATATATCGCGATATACCCTCTGTGCTATCTCACCTATCCAACTTTCGCTGGCAGTGGCGTTGATCATCTGTTTTTCCTTTGCATCGGGGCTATTCTATACATGTATTGAATACACCCCATTGGCACGATTTCCGATACTGGGCCATCATCCGGGGTGTATTTTGTTGATTCCTCATGCCGAAATGTATCCAATGTATTCTCTTTCGGCTTGGCGTTTGGTTGTCTCTTGTACAAGATTTACAAGTTTAATAGACATAATCATCTTTCCCAACTTTCATCCACTCAAAATCATGCGTCATTATATCATTAGCCATCAACATAGCATTCCCAACCCAGCCCGATGTTATACACCTATTTCGACTTTCGTTCCTCGAATTCTAGTCTCTCGACCGGAGCAAGATACATCCGCTTCAAGATCCACCCAAAGCAAATGACATAGAGCGCCACAGCAATAATCTCAACCCGTTGTCCCAGCGGGATCCGATCTAAATTGGGATTCGGAATACCCAATACACCAGTATGTTCCTTCTGCCATCCCTCGCAGACCTGCCGGAATCGTCCCGGCTCGTCGGATATCACACCGTCGATCTCGTGTCGGATGCACCAACGCATCAGGTTCGGCGCATTTACAGTCCAAACATACACAAGCCGTCCGGCAGCGCGCACCTCGTCTAAAAACCCTCGCCCTAGCGGGCCCATCAGGATCATCTGGTTGATATTGAACGATACAAGTGGTACTTGGAGGAACTGGCGCGCATAGCTCACGTCAACACAGACTAGCGTCACTGGGTATGGTGGTAGATGCTGTGCTCGTGCTGGTAGGTACCGTGCAGACCAGCAGCCAAGAACGATTCTTCGGTGCCATTCTCTTCCGATTGCGGGTATGGGTACCGACTCGATAGTTTTGGCGATTCGTTCCATTATATCGAAGGGTTCGTTTGCGAGCTGAGAATCGGGGTGGGATGTAAGTCTTCCGAGAGAGTATACGAACGTAGAAAATTATCTAACCTTAATGTCTAGCAAGATCCAGAAATTCTCCCGGCCTGGTTGACTTAGGTATTCCAATACATCAATCAACCGGGGCATCGGTTCATGGGGGGCTTGTAGAGTTCGTAGTGTTTTCAAATACTCCCAGTCGCAGTCGATGACCTTCTTCTTGATACCGTAACAGCGCATGAGACTTGCGTCCTTGAATCAATAAGCTTGGTCCTGGATTGTGAAGTGTGTTATGCCTACATGTGATAACACCACGATCCCATCGCGGGAGGTGTGAAGGTCGAGCTCGAGGGCTTGAGCTCCTGCTCGAATCGCTCCGTCGATTGATAGTAAAGTATTCTCGGGATATTGGCCTTTGAACCCTCGGTGGGCGATGGCTTGAGGTAACCGCGGGAAGGCGTGAGTAACCGGTGAGTGGTGGATATGAGCTTGACGGGAATGAGTTAGCTTGATAACGCCGGTGATGGAGGTTGACGTACCTGGTTTTACATGTGGATGCTCATCTGGAGCTGGGGATGATGTGTTGCCCATTTTGAAAGGTGCTGTGATAGTTGATGAAACGAGGAACGGAGATCAGGTCATAGAACAGGGCCATCGGAGTTTGGCGGAGTTAGGCCCCGCTGTGTGGTCCACTTTGCACTGTTCATCTTTGCTGGCCGGACTCGGAGTTCTTTCATGTGTCAGATAATCGGACAGGCAGGGTCGGCATTCAAAAGATTTCCAAGTAGTCTTCGTCTGAGACAAAGCTACTGCACCATTGCAGAAAAGTTGGCGAGATCAAATGCCTTGATGACTCAGCTTCTGCAGCCCCTCCTCGACCCCACATGGAGGCTTCAGCGATGGATACCTAGGTACTTGCTCCAAATTTCTCCAACTTGATTTATAATCAGCTTTAGTGCTTAATTTGGTGCGGTCCTTCTCAGTTAATACCATCTTTCAACCAAAGTGGTGGGCATAATGGCCGTTCAACAATGGATCACGCCCTTGAAGGGCATTGACAGCCTTAGCCGGACCGAAGCTCCAATGCCCGTACCCGGGTCGAGCGATGTCTTGGTAGAGATCCGAGCCATCTCACTGAACTACCGCGACGTGGAAGGTAAGTCGCCCGCCAAGAGCATTATGCAGGATTAAGGCCGACAAATGTTTCAAAAGTCACCAAGGGCGAGTATCAACATCACAAAACCGCTGAACAGGATGCCACCATCGTGCCCTGCTCGGATATGTGTGGAGTGGTGACACAGGTTGGGTCTAGTGTGACCAAGTGGACAATCGGTGACCGGGTGCTTTCAACTTTCTTGCCCGATCATCAAACTGGCCAGGTGACCGAGAAGGAGCTGGGCAGGGGCCTGGGGCTGCCACAGGATGGTGTCCTTGCAACCCACCGCGTGTTCCCTGACTACAGTCTAGTAAAAGCACCTAGCTTCATGTCAGATGAGGAGGCCGCCACGCTTCCCATTGCCTCGGTCACAGCGTGGATGTCTATCAATGGCATGCGACCGATCGGCCAGAGCGGCGGGAAGGACGAATACGTCTTGCTCCAGGGAACTGGTGGTGTAGCTATCGCCGGACTACAGATTGCAAAGGCCGCTGGCGCAAAAGGTGGACAACGCGGCTTCTGCTCGTTTATAGGACAGGAATGCTGATCTTGCAAACAGTGCTTATCACCTCCTCGTCCGATGCTAAATTGGACCAGGCTAAAGAGCTAGGTGCCGATTTTACTATCAACTACCGCACCAATCCCAATTGGGAAGAGGAAGTGATGGAGGTGACTGAGAACCATGGTGCTGATATTATCTTGGAAGTTGGCGGAGCCAAGACACTGCGGAAGAGCTTTGATTGCATCGCTTTCGGAGGGTTGATCAACTGTATTGGCTATGTCTCAGGCAAAATTGATGCTGACGAGGACCGCCTGAATGTCAACCTGCTGGCGCTTCGTCGGACGGTAACACTGAAGGGAATCATCAACGGCCCCAAGGATCGGTTTGAGGAGATGATCCGTTTCTACGAAGAAACTCAGATTCACCCCGTGGTTAACCGGGTCTTTTCTTTTGCTGAGGCCAAAGACGCATTTAGGTTCCTGGAGAGCGGTAGCCACTTTGGTAAGGTGGTCATCAAGGTTAAATAGAGCGTTTAAGCTCTGGAAATGAGATTCATTGTCAAATTCCTGAAAACGCGAGAAAAATTAATTCTGACCATTGCCACTTGGCTTGATTACCCCAGCCGCAAGTCCCAATTCTTCTTGCATTTCCTTCCCAGCCACCGTCAATTTCTTGCAATCCTGCAGCACGAACAGGAGACGGGCCCATTCCGTCTTGCTGGGGTTGCGCCATCCATGCATCGTAGCCCTCTGCACTGCAACATCTCCTCGGTTCATAAGGACTGGGTCGCTATCTTCCAGGACCATTTCAATCTGTCCTTCAAGCACCACACCGTAGTCGAGACTCTGCGTCCGGTGCACTACAACCAGATTGTCCGGGGCGAAGTCCACAATTCGGCACACGGTTCCACCAGGGTTGACGAGGCCTAGCTCGTTGGATTGTGTCAATTTCTCATGGGTCTTGATGTCCACGTCATTGTTGAGATCTGGAGGGAATTGGGTCGTGTAAACAACATTGAACGCCATCTTGCTTTCTTCGAGTGTCTCCCATTCAGCCGGCGTCGAGGAATGGACCACTGCTTTCCCGGCTTCATTATGGCCTGTGATATGCCTGGTGACAGGCCGCAACGGCGACATTTGGCTGGTGTTGGAAGCCATTTCCTATAGAGCGTGAAGTGAATTCAAAAGGTTCAAGCTGGCCAAATCAGGTCTTGATACCATGTAAGGCCCGTCGGATAGTTTTATAATGTCGACGCTGCCAAATACCTTCCACGTGATGCGGGGCAGGTTACACAGATACCAGCGCGCACATTAGTAAGCTGAATGAGACGGTGTGCTGGATGAGAATCACATTGATATGCTTGTTCGATGTGGATGTGGCCAAAAGCAAATATTTGTACACGTCAGATCTGATTGAAAGATTGTCAATCTGGCTGCCATTCTGGGCGGACACTGCGGGCCCAATGGCTCATGATTGTGAGATCGGTCAGATTGGTCACATGGAGGGAAAAGCAAAAACACCTATGTCTCAGGGACACTCAGTTATATCGATCCGGCCCGACGTGGCCAAGTACGGAGTAGCTTTAGGATTTGACCTCTCCTTAGGGCTACTGCAACATCTTAGCTAAGCACGCCTCCGGGGTTGGACACTAACCTTCTAGAATCAGTTTTGGTTTAGCTGAACAATTTAGACGGACTCCATACCTCTCGGTTCAATACACCCTCGGTTGCTCTATACCGAGTCGTCCCAAGGTCAACAAAGTTCGCTGACTTATTCTGCCGATTCTTCGCCCCGGAATACAAACACTTCATGGCTCTGAAGCAATGGCACGGGGCCTGAATATCTCCAAGAGAAGCAATCGCTAAATCATGTCTTCACCCCAGAAAATCCTATCTTGTCCGTTTTGCGGTGATACTTCGCTCGCAACGGGCGCTGTGTTATCAGCGGGATGAGAAAAAGGCCTATGGACAGATGGATATTCATTTCGCTCAACTAACTACAAATACGACATTCGACCTCCCCTTTACAAAAACCACCGGAACTCAACAGATGCCGGTCCATCTCTCATTCGTTCCGTTGGAATATCCCATGCCCGGATCGTGACTCCATCATGACGGTCTCGCCGCTTGTTATCCAACCACATATAAAATCCTAATGCAGCCGTCAAACAAGCGCCAGTAGCACCAAATGCAGCAACGCTGATCAGCGCCGGCATATACTTAGGTGCATCCTGTTTCCGGAACAAGTTGCTACTCACCAAGCCCATCAAATTAGCCAATGGCACGCCGATACTCGTCAACAGCACACGGCGACCCTCGTGGGCGATGTTGTTATTATACCAAGTGCTGAGCATCACAGATGGGGCAGAGGTTCCCCAAGTCATCATGAAAGTTGCGAAGTAAGCGACCTGAATCTCATTCTGAACATCGTCAATAGATGCATATATCATGAACCCGGCGAAAGTGAACAGGAATCCCAGAACGATGAACGGCGATCGGAGTCTGGTCCAATCAGAGGAGAAGGCGAGCACAAGGAGCATCACTGCTCCTGTCACATTCGGCGCAACGGTATACAGGTTGGTTTTGACAGTGGGATAACCCAGTCGTCCGACGATCTGCGGCATAAAGAGCGCAACGCCCTGCAAAGGTACACCGAGACAGATTTCAATGCACAAGAAGGCATATGTAGTGGGCTGCTTGAAGATACCAAGGGCCTCGCGGAAGCTAAACTCCTCGTTGACCACTGCACTGGAGTCGACTTGAATTCGATGGAAAGCTAGCGCCTTCTCCTCCTCTGATAAGAACTTCGCCTCGGCGGCGCTTCGTGGGAGATATATGAACGCAAATATAGCGAAGAGAACAGTGACGCCACCTTCGATAATGAACAGGTAGCGCCAATTAGGGATATGAGATCCCTTGATCTGGAATACTCCGAATGCAATGAGTCCGGAGAAAGCGTTTGCAATGTTCGATGCCGCGTAAAAAATAGCCAGACGACGAGCCAGCTCGCCACGACGGTAGAATGTGGTCAAGTAATAGATGACGAGTGGGAAAAATGCAGCCTCGGACATGCCTAGGAACCAGCGCAACGCGAACATGCCACTGAAATTGTAGGCGGCTGAGGAGAGCATCGTGAAAGAACCAAATGAGAACATCAGGATTGGAAGTACGCGCGCTGGACTGAACTTCTTTCCAAGCATGGAGAAGGGCGGCGCAAAGATCACGAACGGAACGAAGAAGATCGATAATAGGAGATTGTACTCATTCGGCTTGAAGTTGAGGTCTACCCATTTCATTAGTGCCAAGTGTCTGCCGCTTGGATCAAGGATCTCACATACCCTTGCTCATACCATCGGTTTCTGCATTTCCCAGATTTCCCTTGTCCAAGGCATTGAATAGATCTGTCGCCAGTCAGTCTTGCATCACTGACACGACTGGGTACACTCACACATAACCGCCAGGATTGGGAGCAAACGATAGTCAAACTTCCGACAGAGACGCCGTTCAGCTTTGTGGTCGATAACTCGGGTCACCTCGTCTATCACACCCGGGATAGAGCCATAGCCTTTTAGTGTGTTTGGCTCTTCGATAGTGCCCAAGGTGTCTGTTTTCTTCACTGTGCCATCAGGCGACGGTGCGCGCGCTGCACTCGACATGTTAGATCCACGGTGTAGAGAAAGAAATACAGAAAAGCCAAGTCGGTACAGTATTTAATGTTATGAAGCTCCAGATACGAGCTTATCAAGAGAGACGCGAGATCCCTTGTTCTATTAGATAAGACGGGAATGTTGCATCGCCAGTGCATGGATAGCACCCCCACGTTTCTCCGCATCAAGCTCTGGCTGAACAGGCAAGGATCGCCGGAGACCGTCGCATTTGAGCGTGATGGATGTCCATAGGCTTATCTGCGGGGAACGGATATCTCGTGCAAGTTTCCATTTGAATCCTTGGTGGTATATCCCCGATAGTATATGCTCGTATCGCAACTGCCCCTTTCTCTCCCTTGAGACCCCCTGCAGATCGTGGCTTGCTGCTTTACTCTTGCTCTATTTGTGTTTATTTTCTTTCTCGATATTTCTTCAATTGGAAGATTTAGAAGCCGTGGAATTGGGAAGCGTAACCTGATTCCAATGTGCAGAGTAGGGTTGCATCTGTCGCATGACCTCACCGTGTCAAGCCACCCTGGAATATAACAGCATATTGGATGAGAGAATTCTCTAAGCTTTTTTTTGTAAAATTCTTGGGACTTCAACTTTATGTGAATCTCTACATATTTTCTCTGAGAGATATGAGTAAATTTGCTGCAGCGATGCAACGCAATCATCCTAACACTGTCAATTCCATTTTGAGACCCAAGTCTAATTGCTTGCTATTCTTAAACCAGACAATAGTGTCTCTACAAAGTGCAGCAACTCATTATAGGACGGCAATCTGTACCTGATACATAACACGCGGACAGTAAGGATAACCTGAGGTTTACATATTCTCGTTCCTTCATGTACACCCCCGTCATCGTGGCGTTAATGCAGATATTACAGCATGAATTATTTGGGCATTTCGCTTCCTATAATCTTCATCCCCAGGTTTTTTTATCCAGTTCTATGCTTCAAAGTGCCCGAATTTACCCAACTTTATCCAGGGTGCCCCCAGAGACAGTAGCTGTATTTAGCCACTTCCCCGCAATTTGTCTTCGTAGAAACTGAGACAGGGAGAGATATATTATCTCATTTTTAATAACTCGAACTCACTAAATATTACCTTAGGATAAACTTTAGAATCTGGAGTAGAACAAAGGGTAATTACAAGCCCATTAAAATGGAGGGTCAACTTTGATGTTTGTACTATTTGGGGTCAGTTCTGGGGCCCTTAGCCTACAGTGGGCCTATACCCTAGGCGCATAACCCATCAGTGGGCCCCGGTTGGGCTTTGGAATTTCTGGGCTCTGCGGAGGCCTAATAGAGAGCATATGCGGCGGGGCCATATACATGTGAGCAAGAATTTGCAGACTTTACCCAGATTATCCGGAGACTATCGTCGGGTAAATGACTATAAATTGCGGACAGAGGATCGATTCGGGAGGTGGAGTAAAACGCCACTCTTGTACTTGATGGTTGACACGAGTGACTATGTTTCAACTAAGATCTATATTTCCAATCGCTCTCTGCGTCCATTTAGTGTCGTCCTACCCTTTACTGGCCCAACGGAATTATGACGCCGAGGCGAGAGACTCCCACTGGGTGAATATATGGACCACAATGCCCCAGTTGGTCGAACCCAAAAATCTACCGCCTCTTCCATTTGTATGTTGGATACCACTCTCGCACTCAACAATTTCTTGATACTGACACTGAAGCGCAGAATGGATCCACCTCTGTCTTCGGTAACACTACTATCCGTCAAACTCTCCAGGTTCCATTGGCTGCACGAGATATCCGTATTCGACTCTCTAATGCATTTGGACAAAACGATCTCAAGATCACAAAAGTGACTATCAGTCTACCAGCGAAGCAGCAAGCGGGAGTCAGCGACCTACAGACAGAGACATTGAAAACTATTCTCTTCAATGGAAGCCCGGATGTGGAGATCTCGAACGGTGGACTGATTGTGTCTGACCCAATAAAGTTCCACGTGAAGGCCCAATCAGTTCTCATGATCAACATATATCTCGCAGAGGGCCAGCAGGGTTTCTCAATTACTGGTCATCCTGGAAGCAGGACGACTTCGTACCTGACTTTCGGGGATTGGACTGGCGCAGAGAACCTCACAGACTCCTCTGTTAAAAGCACAGATCATTGGTGAGACGCTCTTCTGCAAGCCATTTATTTAGCCTGAATGTGATCCGGTATCTGACATCTACCCCAGGTACTTCATCAGTGGAATAGAGGCTTTACTACCTTCCGAGACTAGTGGCTTTGTGATCATTGGAGATAGTATTACCGATGGGCGAGGAAGCACTGCAAATGGCAATAATCGGTAAGTGGACTTTTCCCGCAGTTCATGTTCATGGCTGATGAATGTAGCTGGCCGGATCTATTGCTAGCAAGAATGCAAAAGCATAGACCCACGTCAAACATCGCCATTCTCAATCAGGCCGCTGGCGGGAATCGTATTCTACATGATGACCTCGGTCCAAGTGTGATCAGCCGTCTTGACCGGGACGTTCTAGCACAATCTGGAGTGAAATATGCGATGATCTTTGAAGGCGTCAATGATATTGGCTTTGCTGATACCGATACAGCCATACAAGCGGACATTGAGAAGAAACTCATTGCAGCATATCAACAGATCGCGACACGGGTGCATGCTCTAGGTATTCCGATCTTTGGTGCTACCATCACACCGTTCGGCTCGTCACCGAGCTCTGACTATGTACAGCCTTATTCAAACATTGTGCGGGAGAAGACTCGTCAACGAGTCAATAAGTTTATCCGGGAAAGTGGTGTGTTTGATGCGGTACTGGATTTTGACCGGGTTGTGAGGGATCCGCAGGCGCCCACTCAGTTGCTGGAGAAATATGATTCAGGAGATCACCTTCATCCTAATGTGGCGGGTTATCAGGCGTTGGCCGATCAATTTCCTCTCGCAGTGTTCGAATGAAGCATGCATGATGCCCATCAAATACTAATGACAGAAAAATGTTTCTGAAAGTTTTTTGTCCTAGATGCAAATCATAATTTTCACACCATGAGAAACAAGAAAATTTGGTTATTCATGTGGCCCTATGATATCTTTCAAGTAGGCTTTTCAACGGTTTTCTCGGATGTCCAATTCAGATGTCTTTTCTAAAGTATTTTCTATAGACCTCATCTATGAAAACAACTTCTCCATGTATAACCCAGAATCATATATAAAACATGGCTTCAAACATATCAATAGCGATAGATTTGGAGGATTTTTAGACACGACGCTTGAGGCGGTTTTGGACATTGCGCTTGTAAGCGCCACCGCCGATGAGAGCCTGCTTGCGTCCAGGGCCAAAGTCAGGAACACCACCCAATGAGCCGAAGATATCACCGATGTAGTTGTTGGCCTTGACACCAGCAGCAAAAGTCTCATCCCAACCTTCCAAAATACCCTCAACAACCTTGATACCAGCAACATAGAGATTTTCGATAGCGGGCTCGAATGCACCCTGCTCCGAGGATTGGAAGAGGTTGTATGTCGCCGAAGCACCGGGATAAGGACGATCAAAGTCCGAGGCAGTGCGCATGACGATAATACGGGAGAAATCAGTCAGCTTGTGGATCGAGGATCGGAGCAAGACCTCGAAGGTAGCGTTATCCTCCTGCGCAGTTGCACAGTAGTCTCCCGTTCCATTAGTTAACACCTTGGTGGTATTTTCGAACACTGAACCAAGGATATTGCCACTGAAGTACACATCGGTGGTTGCGACATCGCATTCAACAACACTAGGGGGCAAGGTGGCAGCGTTGTACTTTCCACTGGGAGTCTTGTAGCGGGCGCGGTAGGCCTGGGCTATGGTGGAGTCGGAGAGGTTTGCCTTGCGCGCAAAATTGGCGGCGATTGTGCGGAGGTTGGCGTTTACCTCGAAGACCTCTGTGCCGTAGATGCTGGTCGGGTACTGGCCTGGGAAATTGGTGCCTTGCGCAACATATCCGGTGGTGAAGTTGCTAGGAAGCTCACGCAGATCAATTTCGTACTGCAGCGCAACTTGGACTGCGTAACGTGCAAAAGTTGCGGAAGCAGTGGTCACCTTCTCAGGGTTGACGCCGGCAATGCCCGCAACAAAGAAGTAGGTTTGTGTGAGATCGAATAGAGGGGAGAAAGCAACGGAGGTAACAGTCGCAGCAGCATTGATCTCGCCTTCTCCGGTAATCAACTGGCAAACCTCGTAGTCTTCGGTGCAGTGAACATCCGGGAATAGAGGTGAGAGGCCGGGAATGGTGATGTTATGGGCAAGTAAGTCAAATTCGGGAATATTCCACCAAGCTTCGGCTTCAGGTGCGAACTGTCGTAATCTATTAGCGACATTACACTACTTTTTAGTATAAGCACATACCATTGACACAATAAACACTTTAGGAGTAATCACTCCATAGGAACCCTTCTCGATAATCCTAGTAGCACCGACGCATAGTGAGCTGCCAGTGAGCAGCAACGAGGCCGCGAAAGTCTGCAGGAGGCGCATGGTGAGAGATTTACAGTTCGAATTGAAGGTTTCTTCCTGCACGCGGCGAGACCTTTTATTTAAGGGAGAATTTGGGTTCCTTGCGTATTGCACGCTTTGGAGGAACCATTGCCGATCAGTGGACATATTGGTGACCTGATTAGGGCAAGATCGACCCCAGCTCGGGAGAGTCCCGAGATCGGTCACCTTAGCTTCCAAATCAATCAAGAGCCCTTCCCACTGCATGCAGATACCTATACCCTGTCTTTGGACATTCCTGACTTTTCTTTCAGAATACTTACTGTACATCTATTCAGGGCGGCCATGTTCAAAGGTCAAGAGAGAAGGGTAAACATTTAATCCTCACGGTCGTTCGAAGATTTAGATGATGGAAAGAGCTTCAATATTACGAAATCCCTTGGATTTGTTCAAATTCAAAGACCGCAGTATTCTATCTTCTCTGGCACTTTCAGAGGGGATGTTGACAAGGGAAAGAAACCATTGGTTGCATTCAGCCAGCTAGGAGAGAGAGAGGAAAGATGAACAACGTGGATATAGTTCCTATAAATACGAGGGACAAAGGCCTCAACAGATGACCATCAGAATTCGTAGTGAGGTCTTTGTCATAGTAGATTAGATACTATAACTTCTACCTGTATAGAGCCAGTCATAATTTAGGCATGAACCCGGAAGATTTAGGCAATTGGCATCGTTGCTCTGGCACTTCGCAGTAGTGTCCTTCATCACATGTTCGCCAATAGGAGTTATGAAGCCACATATATGAGACTCTTGTCTTCGAATTTAAATTGGCGACCCTCCTTTCCATAGACGTGGAGCTAGAATCATACCTTTCCAGAACTGTCAACATGCATCGGATGCAATGCAGGCGGCTCTAAGAGTTAACCCTGACTAAATATGGGGAGTGAAGGAAGCCCAATCATCGATCTCATCGGAGTTGTACACACCACCTGGAAAACTCTGCAAGATTGGTCGTATGGTCCGCTCTTGCTCAACGTCAGCCTCAGGGCGCAAGAAATACTTTCTCCCTGCAAAATGATCTATATTGGGACACGTCGTGCAGTGGCAATGCGGCATGACAACTGTCAAACTTTATCATGGAGTTTCAACCCATGCTGATTGTCAAGTCAATCCTCTTATGGTGGTGATATTCTCTGGATTTCGTTAGCTTGGCTTTGTGAGATCATCGATCATATCGAATGTACATGTGAATTGTACGGATTACAAGATATTTAAAGCTGGAAATATATCCACAGGCCTGAAATTATCCAACAACTCCTGGAATCAATTTCACAAATTTCTTCCACACACCTGGTGATCCATATCACTGAATCATGTCTGGCTACAGGTCTGATATTGTGACGAGGTTCGCACTCTGGGCTTCTACTATCTGGTTCTTGACGCGGTACCTGGGGATTCAATCTCAATCATCACTGCTCCTGTCTGGCGAGATAGTAGTGTCCTGGATCTTGCTCAATGTGTTCTTTATCTGCTATCGAACTTTATACAAACGGCATTACAGTATTTTTAAGAATATACCTGGTCCGAAAGTGTGTTCCATCCCTTCTAAATATGGCAAATACTAACAAACACAGTCTATTAACTGGCTATATGACCACGTCTTCGATGTTTTCGATGAGCCCTTGGCATTCAATATCAAGGATTGGATCAACGATAGAGCTTATCCTGATGGTCTTTTGCATTTCTTCGGCCTGTTTGGATCTTCTTACATTATTCCCACCAGCCCAGAAGCATTGACCGAGGTTCTATCCACTCGTGCCTATGACTACGAGAAGACCACTGCCTTCAAGAAGTTTACCATTCGCTTCTGGGGCCATGGGATAGTGTCACAGGAGCAGGAAGAGCACAAGAGGAACCGAAAAACTTACTTGCCGGTTTTTAACCAAGGCAATGTCAATAAGCTCAAAGGCATGTTGTTCAAGAAGTCGACACAGTTCGTGGATCATGTTTTAGAACTTTGTGCTACCGAAAATGACAAGAATATCACCCCGGCCAACTCTGCACTTATTCCCATTTCCAAGACAGCTGCCATGGTCTCGCTGGATGTCACTAGTATCATCTCACTGGGAGTTGATTTTGAAACCATTGTTGGCAAGAACCATGAGATCTTTGAGGCGTATGAGATGCTGTTCTCCGGCACAGCGGATAAAAGATTTCTGTTCCTGCTGTACAACATTGCACCACAGTGGTTCCTCGATGTATGGCCATTCCCACTTGTGAAGAAGATGGACAAGGCACACGACGTCCTGGTCGATGTTTGTCGCCAGATTATTCGAGAACGTATCAGTGAGCCAGGGAAGAGGGAAGCTCAAGCCCTTGATTTCGTGGGGAATCTTGGAAAGTCCGTTTCTGAAGATGAAGATAATATCATTGCGCAGATTATTGTCATTTTGGGTGCAGGGTGAGTCCCCGGCTTTTAGATTGCTGGCTAGAATCAGAATGCTCATGATCACAGATATGAAAGCACTGGTGGCACGCTCGCCTGGGTGATATACTGCGTTGCTCGTTATCAAGAGGCTCAAGAAGAGTTACGAAAGGAACTGGCCAAAGTCTGCGATGGCAAGGGATCTCTACAAGCGAGCTCAGATTTTGACAAACTACCAGTGCTCAATGGCGTGATCATGGAAGCAGTTCGACTTTACCCTACATTTAACCTATTGCTCCGCAAAGCCATTCGCGACACAACGATTGCGCAGCAACTGATACCAAAAGGGACTTACGTCGGTTTGTGTACTCGAGCAATCAACTCCGCTCATCACATTTGGGGCCCTGATGCAGCAACTTTCAATCCAGAACGATGGATCGATCGATCGGACTCGGCAAATCCTAAAATAGACCCTCTCGGCGGTGCTTCTGCATCGGTATGTATGCTATCATACTTTTATGGGACCCGGAGCTGCGTTGGGCGGGATTTGGCGCAGGCTCAGATGAAACGACAGATTGCTTTGATCGTTGAACGCTTTCACATCGAATTGTTGGATGATTCCGATGCTCGTCCATCGGGGCTATTCGCTACTACTCCGCCTTCCGATATCCAAGTTCGATTCACGAAATTCACTCTCTGATCTTGATTGCAGTTTGATCGCGGTTTATGATATAAGGATAGTATGACTTTGGTGGTTATGTTTCTTTATGCGCTTAGGATGAGGATTAGCACTACGAAATTGAACGGCCCCTTGCCTATATTGATTTGTCGTCACTCTCGGGGATTTGGTCCTACCCAATATCTTGAATTTGTTCCCGGTTATACAGGCATGTTGTCGCGCTGGGGAATTTTTATTTCAGCAACTCAACTAGATCTTCTGTTCCTGCACCCAAGGACCACAGCATTTTGTTACTACGAGCTCTATACGATGCTATATTATTCAGTCCTATAGCACTCAGGGCTCAGCCCCATTTTGTAGGGGGCTATTTGATGACCGCTTTTTAAACCGCTCTACACAATACATGGTAAATCTATCAGTATATCAACCTACTTAAGCGAGGCTTTTGATCTTCATAAAAATCCTCATATCTCTATATCTTCGAGCGGTCATGAGATCAAAGGCCTCATCTTCCACATCTACAAACCGCCCAAAATAGAAATATATAAGCATTTCTACGGAGACCAGAAGCTTCTTTGTTCGCAACCCAGCAATAATTGCGTAACCACTATGTTATCATTGTTCTACATCAACAGGTTTTAATGTATGCACCACAATCCACCTCATGTTTTTCAACAATTTGGAATACAATTTCTAGCCTATACAGCCAATCAAATTGTCCCAGTATACCGCCCTGCTTTCCAATGTCGCAGCTGAGATGTGGTAGTGCTACATTACATAGGAGAACTTTGCTTGGCATTTAACCAAACAGTGTATGATCTATAAAGCAATCGGCCTGAAGAATGGTAAATTATGACATAGTTTACGGTTAGTTATTTCCATTTCCTATATAATTTGGTTACATGATTGAACATTAGTGCGTTTGCCATCATAAAAGTAATTTATACATTTTTCCATTCGCAGTGCATAAGTCTGTCTTTTCGAAGGTTTATATTATCATATGTGATTTTAATGGCTGAATCTGTACGTCAGTCGATAGACATATCATCATTGGAGAAATATCTCAATCAATTTGTACGGGAAATCAAGGCCCCATTGGATGTGAAACAGGTCAGTATCAACTTTGAATGGATAAAAAAGGATAAGGAAGAGGGAAACAGCTAGAGAGAATGAACTCACACAGTGGAATTCGCAGTTCACGTTTGGACAATCAAACCCGACCTACCTCCTCACAGCGGCCGATGAGAAACGATATGTGCTGAGGAAGAAGCCTCCAGGCCAGCTTCCCCCGAAGACGCACTTAATCGAGCGAGAGTATGCAATGATCCAGTATTTGCAGGGAACAGATGTGCCGGTACCAAAGGCATATTGGCTGTGTCGAGAGGAATCTATCATTGGAACACCGTTCTTCATTATGGAATTCCTAGAAGGAAGAATATTTACCGACTCAACAATGCCAGGTGTCTCGCCTGGGGACAGGACTGCGCTGTATGGGCGTTCTCCCATTGCCCTTTCATGGCCAACTTTCTGTTGCTGAACGGATACTAACTTGACTCTACTCAAACCATAGATGGCAAGAAGCAGTCCGGACATTGGCCAAGATTCACAGAATAGACTTGAACGGTGCACGTCAGCTGGAGGTTGGAAACACTATCGAATATTACAACCGCCAAATCTCCATTTTCATGTCCCTCTCAAAAGCACAATCAAACGTCGTGGATCTCAAGACGAATGAAAAGATCGGTGAAGTTCCTTATTTCGACGAGATGGTCCACTTTTTCTCAAAAGAAGCATATCAGCCCCGAGATCGATGCGTCATTGTCCACGGGGATTATAAAATTGACAATCTCGTATTCCACAACTCAGACCCTCGCATAATTGGAGTTTTAGACTGGGAGATGGCGACAATAGGCAATCCTCTTTCTGACTTTTGCAACCTAACCCACCCGTACTTCTGGGGTGGTTTGAAGCAGAACGTGGAGCTTTTTCGGCCCGGTCGTGTATTAGGCTTACCAACACGAGAAACATGTACGCGCTGGTATGCTGAGGATACGGGGTGGGACCCGACAGCGGATCTACCTTGGGGTGATGCCTTTTTCGCATTTCGGACGACGTCGATGTTGCAAAGTATCAAGGCGAGGTATGTGCAAGGGCACACGAGTAGTGATACGGCGGCATATTATGCCAGTCGGGTGGACCAGTCTGCTTTTGATGCTTGGGAGCTTGTGAAGGAAGTTAGAACGCTACAGAAGAACCCTGTACTGGAGAGCAAGCTTTAGGGTGAACATCCGTGTGAGTAATATCATTGTCCGTTTAGCTGATATATATACGATGCAACAAGGTGCAATAAAGATTATATCAATCTATCAAATGATATATGTTCAATGATATGACCACTTAGTCATTGTAGAACGTGACGGGAGTGGTGGTATCAAGCACGTTGTAAGGCTGGTCATAGTCTGAATTTATATATAGTCTATAGTGGTTCATGTGATCAAAGCTTCTCGTTGAACACTGAGCATCAGCGAGTTAGATCCCTGTATCCAATATGCATTTAGGTAGCAAGAGTCATCATGTAGTCCAAGCTTATAGCTGGGCATAACTCTAGGAACCCAACTCGCCCTCATCAAAGCGGCCTCAAATAAAAAGACCTTGGGAAAAATCCGATAAGAACAGTGTATACCGAAATACGATAGCAAGTGGCAAAGACTATAACAATCCCATTGGCAGTTGCGAACCAAGTAAAAATTAAATCTCGCGTGGCTGCACTCCCTATGAAGTCGGGAAAGTCGACTGTGGATGTGCCAGGCCCAGTGATGCCTGGGCTTTTAAGCCACCGTGTGACCAGACGTTGAACGGTGGATCATGACGCATGTCAAGCATACAAGATTATACTTAGAATCAAAATGTGACTGGCTATGCCACTGGATATGCTGTGCTGATCCCCGGAGATTAATTTGTTTGACTGCCTCAACGTCATCTGACGTCATTTTAATCTAGGTACCACGGATGCCAACGAAAACAATAAAATCAAGGCCAGGGCCCTCGAAGTCTTTGTGTTTATCACCTTTTGCTTCCAGGATCGTCTTTTGAACATATCATTCCATTCGCATTCGCACATTAGCATCGCAACACATTGCCGCCCTTCAAACAGCGTCTTCTCGATACCCCACCAAATCATATACAATAACCACCCACCATGCCTGGAATGCACGAACGTATCCGCGAGGACATCCTCCACAAAGAGCGTGAACTTTGGACAGCCCTCACATCCGCCGATCCAGCACCTCCTATCTGGAGACTCAGCAACCCCGAAGCCTGTTTCCTATTCCCTCAAATGGAAATCGTCACCCTTGAGGATGAGGAAGCATTCAAGAAAGCCGTGCGACCACCTTTCCACCGTTTCGATGCCTACCAGTTCGAGGAAGTACGGGTTATCATCGTCGACCTGATGGCCGGCGTCGTCACATACAAGGTCCGCGCCAAGCGTGGGAAGAAAGAATACATCTGTTCGGGCTCGACGACTTGGAGTCAAGGTTCGGATGGCGAGTGGACGCTCGCTTGTCATCAAGAAACTTTGATTTGAAATGATTACGATATTGTTTTTGCTTTACACCTTCTTCTATACCTTTTGCGATGCGGGGGAATGTCTGAGCTCGGCGAGCGGCGAATGTGTTTAAGTGTGATGCTAATGTATCATGAGTCAACGAATCTTTTAATGCCAACGAAGCATGATTGAATTTATTTGAAGTTCTAAAATCCATGTTCTGGCAGAGGTGTGCGTTTTTAGTGTTCTAGTGGAGTATTAGTGATCATCTAACAACTGCGATGATCTCTACTCCATACCCCGTAGTGCACCGACTGCGATCTACTCGATGCGATCTACTCCGCACTCTCAAAACATTCAATGACCAGACTGTTCTTTTTCGATTGAGGGTTTTTGCAAATGTGTTATCCATCGAATCTTTCGTGGCTGTGTGGCTGATACATCCAATAATTCAGCCGTGGCGCAAATTCCTGAAGCGATTCACTAATGCAAGCCCCTTACTCTGCCGGCAGATTTTGACAGCAATGGCGCAACCATCGAAACCACCCCCGGTCTAGCCTGTTACCGAAGCACATCATACCATTGCATGATGACTTATGCGGCCCCCAAATCTATGCACAGGGGTAATGCATTTGAGTTGAGCTATTAATAAGCGAGTCCACATTAGGTAGACATGTAAGGAGTAGACCCGAGGTAATTGTGTCGGTGTAAAACCCGAGTTCAGCCCCTTTTTTGAGTTCACCCATTCATTAAACTCGTGGAACGATCCGTCGACCACCATGAGAGCCGCATCAAACCACCAAGAACCATGGGGCCTTCGATGGCGATCATCCACTTATTTCATTGTCGCGACAATGGCAGTGGCCATGCTCACGGGTAGGTTTTTTTTTTTTCTTTGGCAAATATAGCGAAAAATGCATCTCTTGACCCCAGTCCATAGACATGTATCTGTATGGATTTCTCGTTCCAATTCTTCCGTTCGTGCTCGAGCATCGATTGGGACTCGATGACTCGCTCACACAGCGCATAAGCACCGCGCTGCTATCTCAGAGCGCGCTCGTCATGGTCGTGGCAAGTCCCCTGATCGGGTCTCATGCTGATCGCTCGGGCGCAAAGCGTGGCTGGCTACTCTTCGGACTTGCCGGCGCATTGTTGGGCTCTTTGATAATCGCCCTGGCGACTTCATGTAAGTGGTCCACAACTCGCGGATGGTATTTCCAGCACGAGAATTAATCCCGGAGCAGTGTTCACTCTCTTTGCCGGGCGCCTTATACAGTCCGTTGCAAGCACTGGTCTCTGGGTGGTCGGATTTGCTACCCTGGCGGACAACGTTCCTGCCGACCAGCTGGGCAGAATGTATGGATTCGTGACTGTTGCGATTGGTGTAGGAACGTCGGGCGGACCACTCGTGGCGGGTGTTCTGTTCGATCTCGGCGGGTATTGGGTAGCTTGGTCGAGTGTTCTTTTCATTATTGTATTTGATGTGATACTGCGATGCCTGATGCTAGAGCGACCACGTGGGACCGAAACTATTCGATCGCAATCAACCGAGCCGGGACAAGATCCCGAGAGGGAGGTACTTCTGCCACCATCGCATGATGCCGAACAGGTAAGCAATCAGGCCGTATCGGAGAAAACAGGCATCCACTTCTATATATGCATGTGTAAGAACGGTCGCTTCGTTGGTGGGGTGGTTAGTTATTTTTGCTACGCCGTTCTGACCGCCAGCTTTGACACGACTCTTCCTCTCCATGTGCGTGATACTTTTCACTGGGGAAGTCTCCCCGCGGGTTTGTTATTTGCAGCTTTCCAGGGTCCCGCAGTGTTCTTTAGTGTTCCTGTCGGCTGGCTGAAGGATCGGGTGGGGACGCGATACCCGACCACGATAGGCTTTGCTCTTTTGGTACCTTTAATGTGGCTTATCGGTGTTCCTGGGGACGAACGGTTCCCCTGGGCATGCCAAGAGAATGTTGGTTCGATTATATACAGCGCTGCTGTAACTGGGGTTGGGATTGTGGTATGTCTGCTCAACGGGGTGGGCATGATGGAAGCGACTCGTGAGTTCAATTTCTTTTTTTTAATATTTTTTTTTCTTTTTGGTCATCACATGTGATTGGTAACGATTTGCAGAAGCTGTTGATGAAATCCAAGCAGAGACGCCTGGAATCTTTGGTCCAAATGGTGGGTATTCTAGGGCAATATCAGTCTCGAGTATCAGTTGGACACTGGGAATGTTTGTTGGGCCAATTCTCTCGGGATACGGGACGGAAAAAATCGGATACTATGGAATGAATTGTGTATTGGGTACGTATAGCCCCTGTCTGGGTTTCTTCAAGTCTCAACGCTAATGCAGTGGCCAGCGGGGATATGCGGACTTTGTTCTTTCACCGCCTTCTGGAATTTAAAATCATCCGTGCCCCAGCGGGCAAGTTAGATGAATCGAAAAGGAAGATATCTGGTGGAGATTAGAAATGAGATCCAACGAATGTGCCGTGTTTATATTGGTCAAATTTCGCTAGTGTTTGGAATTGGAAGAGGTTCGGGAGAGAAATAAAAAAAAAAAAAAAAAAAATCGACCCGATTTTTAAGCTTAGCGCAACAGAAGAACCAAAAGGGGGACCCGAAAGACCGTTAGATTGCTACTATATTGCACATACCGAGGTAACGTACACTAAGATACTACATTATATTACATATTCACGAGGACAATCAACCCCAGACTAAAAAGTTGGCAGAAGTTGGAAGATAGATGTGGAACACGAATCTGGAAACACAAAGAAAAGAGGAGCTTATAGGCCAAAACGAGGAGTCTAACGTATCCAAGTGGTCCTTTGATGTCCGAAAGTGGACAGGAATCTAAAACAAAGAACGCTGCTGTCAATTTTCTGCGGTCCAACGGGATCTGGCAGCTTTCCCCGAGCTCCTTCCGGTCATTCTTTGTTCGAATCTTCCACAGACCGTCTATGATGCCCCATATGATGCCCCATGATGCCCCATGATGCCAGATTCAACGCCACTCGCCAATGCTTACCTAAATCTATACCATCTGGATAGATCGAATCTCAATGCATGTGAGCTATAACACTCACATTTATGATTTCCACGGTTGGGAGACTCCACCGCGGATTCCACGGATGGATATATGCCCGAAGGATCTCCTGCCCCGGCCGAGCGTTAGAGGCTTCTAGTCTGCCCGTTAGTTTTTTTAGGTGCATAGTATATATTAATTCTGGAAGAAACAGTCCGAATCGTCAGATGGGAAGAAAAAAAATTTCTGTATAAGCTCATGCCAAGATAACCGTCTTCGGCACTTTTTTTTTCTCAGAAATCTTCACCTTTCATTCACACCATGATCGAACCAATTCGCCCCCCACAAAATATCGCCATTATCGGTGCTGGCATCGCTGGCATCGCTTGTGCATTGTCCATATCCCGGGAGCTGACTCCCTTCGTACCGGACTTGAAAATTACAGTCTACGAACGACATGATGTCCTCTCGACGTCTGGTGGTGCTATCAACCTGACACCCGTTGCCCAAAGACATCTTGCACTGTTGGGCGTGCTAAATGAGTTGGACCGGATGGGTCCCGAGGGCGGTGCTGATGTCGATGCCATTGAACTTTTCTCCATGCGTTCGGGCCGCGGAATCGGGGCCATCAATTTCACAGATAACCAAGGAAGGGGATTTGGCGGATACAAGGGCCGAAGAGTCATGCGGATCGCTCTCTCCGTAGCCATGTTGACCGTGGCGGAGCGAACTCGAAATGTGGAGATTGTCTTCGGCAAGAAAGTCATCGGTGGCGAGGAATTCGCGGATAGAGCCGTGGTGCGATTCCAGGATGGCTCTGAGGCCGTGGGTGACTTAGTCATCGGCTGCGACGGGGTCCACTCGGCGGTTCGGACCAAATTTGTTGACGTGAATCGGCCGGCTGAGTACACGGGCTTGTCTTTCTTGCAAGCTACCGTTGATACGGATTCTCTTCCCGCGCGCCCTCACTTCCGCACATCATCGCTTAATATCTCGCGACATGGCTCGATGTTGGCGAGCTATTGTGACCGTGATCGTGAACAGATCTTCGCTGCTGCTATCGTTCAGTTTAGTCGCGAGGCGCTGAGCCTCTATCGACTCGAGCCTGGTCAGGATTGGGCCACCCAAAACAAAATTCGCTGCTCACTCCGTCAGGAAATCAGAGACCGTTTCCGCAAATGTGCTATTCCCTGTATCAAAGAGCTGATTGAGAGTAATGCGGACTGGATGCTTTATCCCGTATATCAGGTTCCCCCGGGAGGGCGTTGGTGCCTGAATCGAGTTATCTTGCTGGGCGATGCAGCACATGCGGTATGTCTCCATGACAATCCACCTCATTCCTTTTACATTCTAACAAATTATACAGATGCCCCCGCGTGATGAGTCCGCCGCGTATGCCCTAGATGACGCAATCTTGTTCTCTCGAATTCTGGCAAGCTATCGTTCAGAGCCCCTAACGGAGGTTTTCGATGCATACGAGAATCTCCGCCGCGAAACAATTAACCGTGCATTCAAAGAATCCCGTCGTATGTGGGAACGAAACCGTGACATGGGATTGTTGGAAGGCAGACTAAAAGAGTGGATGATGACATTCCATATTAAAAGCAACGAACAGGCACGTGAGGAGGCATGGGCGTTTGACGCAACAAAAATGGCTCTGCCCACACCAGCGCCCAGTGAAGACTTGGTCTCATTGAATTCATTTTTGAGAGACCGTACTCTATGAGGCATGAGAATTTTACAGAACCGGCGGAGTTTGGGTTGGGCATGGACTGGAGCGTGGATCATTTCAATTAATGGATACCCGGTAAAATAGCTTCGCGAATATCTCTAAATTGATATTTATGTGGATTTCTTTCGCAAAAGTCTTATTTTTTTTATCTGGACTCAATGGAACTTTTGCTTATGAAGTCAGGGTTAGCGACGAATCCACCGAATCCTTGGAACAGAATAGGAAGTACCTAGGGTCGATCCCAATCTTCCAAATAACTCTAAATGATCTCTCACTTCACTTGTAGAATGAATTGATGCCAGACATTGATGTGGATATAAAAATGGGTCCTCATGATTTCACCCATCTTTCCATCTTTTATGTGACTCGCCCTGCTATAGCCTAGAACGTAAATCTTGCCATATTATTTATCTGAAATTTACGGAATATTTTCGCATAAAACTTGTATTTCCTAGAGACTAAACCAAAAAATTCCAAACAAACCAAAAGCAAATTGCGAATCTCAAGCAGGAGCTCCCTATCTACTTACTTTCACTCAGAACACAAGTGTCTGACCAGCAGTACCAAACACAGCAGCCTCGACCTTGGACGAGCCAAGCAGGGTGTAGCTATAAGGAACCGACTTGAGTGTTCCAGCCAAAGCGGTGTTCGACGCACCACCAAAGTCATTGTCATTGGCCACAGCATAGCCATCGTCAGTAGAGTAGAGGGGCTTCTTGCTACCAACAAATTTGTTGGACTCGACCAGCAGCTGGGCACCCTTGCGGGTGTTGACACCATCGGCGACGTCCAGGTAGTAGTTGTTGTAGATGTGACCAGTGCCAAAACGGAAGGAAGGACCGCGCGAGTTGAGGTTATACCAGAAGTTGTTGTTCTGGGTGACGCGCAGGTGACCGGTGTCCTCGGCGCTGTTGCTGTTCGAGTGTCCGATCAGAGAGGCCTTGTAGTGATCGTGGATAAAGGTGTTGGACACAGTGACATAGTCGGCGGCGTGGGTAATCTAAGAGAGGTTCAAGTTAGCACTATGGTTTGTTGGAACTCCATTCGTGAGCTGATCTTACATCGATCAGTCCGTCGTAGTAGTCCTTGCTGTGATCCATGTCTGATGAGACATCGCAGTGGTCGATCCACACATTGGTTGATTTTTCTAAGCTCAGTCAGCCTTTCTTTTGTCTCCTAGATAGATAAGTATTCTGCTGGTGTACTCACGAACACCAATCGCGTCGCCGTTGTCAGCAAGCACCTTCTTCACGCCTAGATTGCGAATGATGACATTGGTCTGCTCTTTGACCAAACTGCATTGGTTTAGTATCATCTTAAATCGATGGGGATGACAACATACATGCCGAAGCCATTCAAGATGGCATTTGCGTCTTTGCCAATGATACTAGTGTTGCTTCCAACACGAACTTGATCGGCTGTCTTTGTGATGGCGCCGTCCACAACGACAACCTTAGCAGCATCACCGGAAACCGCGGCTGTAAAGGCGGCATATGACGAGACAGTGGTTGTTGTGCCACCAGCACCACCTTTGGTACCTCCATTCAGGCTGGCATAACCAGTAGCGACCTGCCTCAGAGCCGCGTTAGGATACTGGTTAGAATTTCATTGAACGAAGCACGCATTGATACTCACATCATTGATGTTTGCTCGCTTTCCTAGCAGCTTTGCCTCGTTGCTGGTTGCAGTAGGAGCCCCCAGTGCAAGACTGGACAGGCAGCTGAGCAGAGAGACTGCGATCAGGTTGAAAGGAGCCATCGTGGACACAGAAGGTGATATTGGATGATTAGAGCAGGCTGAGTCTACAAGGTGCTTTGCCGGAGAGTGTGTGAGTTGATATCAAAACATTGAGAGCATACGGTCAACCGAAGGGGTTTATATACCATCCACGAGCTCTGTATAGCTCCTTGAAGTTATGCACACATCTGATACAACCCATATCCACCACCATCCTGATTGTTGGAGAATTTCCGTGCTGCATAATCTATAGACTGGCCAACCCCAAGATTTACCGGAGTGGACATGAAAGTTAATTCTCCGACATGTTAAGTATCATACTGACACTTCAGGGGTGTCTTTTTGATAGCCAAGATCATATTCATAGTTACTTGTGAGACACAAAGCTTGGCATTAGTTGAAGGTGATCCTAAGTCTACAATGGGTTCGAGCCCTCCGGGGTCAATGCCACCCATGCATACCTTGCTAGATGCAAGGCTTTATTTGGATGGAAAATAATCATCATCGCTCTTGCTCACAGGACCCCTTCGCTGGAATAACTTCCACAAATGATCTGAAACACCAAGAAGGACTTGTCGCCAAGGGTCACAAAGTTTCGATACAATGATCCGATCTTGGCATTTCGAAAACGTTCAGGGGGAGGTTATCACATTCCCATTGACAGTTTCAGAAAAAGCTTCCCATGGAATTTCAGAGTTGGCGATGGAATCTTTTTCTGAAGATTGTGTTGGGTGGATGCTTCATATGGGGCGAATGGCGTGATTGAGGAAATCTTTGACAAGCCGAGATTCCGATCGGACATTTGACACACATTTCTCTTCTCCACAACTCAGACCTCCAGACCTGCGACATTTCCCCATATTCTTCACGGGCTGAGTAATCCCTGCATCTGCATCTGTGCATCTTTGCGATCTGCGGGGAAATCAAATCATCACTTCACTCATAGGCGGAATGACAGAAACATTTTCATCCGTGCCGATCGTCGACTTCGGTCGGTTAAACGATCCTGTGACTAAAGAGGAGGAGCTCGCAAATTTACGTCAGGCCATTTTCGTCGTTGGGTTTCTCTATTTAACAAATACCGGATTGGAGGTGCGGGTGACAAGTACTATGGGTGACCGGAATGCTGACCCAAACATAGACCCTAATTCACCGTACTCATGAAAAGCTACCTGAACTCTTTGCCCTGCCGACAGAGGTCAAGGAAAAGGTTAACATGATTAACTCGCCCTCGTTCCTGGGGTATACTCGCCTCGGAGCTGAGACCACTGCGGCAAAGACCGATCTCCGCGAGGTGAGATTGTTTCCTTTTGGGAATCGGTTGCAGTTCTCGGACACTGATTTTCCCGTAGCAATTTGACTTTGGCACCCCTGGCGTGAAACCCTGGACTGAACAGGATCCCTTTTGGCAACGGCTTGAAGGTCCTAACCAGGTAGGGCATATCCCCTCGGAGGCGTTGTCCCGACCACTAACCCTCTGTAGTACCCAGATTACCCAGGTGCTCAAGATCTGGTCGATGAATATATCGCGAAGACTGATAGCCTGGCTGAAGCATTCGTACGCCTTGTTGCAGAAAGCTTGTCCCTGCCACGCGAGACTTTTGATAGCTTCAAGGGTAACATGAGCCGACTAAAGTTTGTCAAATATCCCCAGGCAGCGCAAAACTCCCAGGGTGTTGGCCCTCACAAGGACTCGGCCGGTCTTTTTACCTTCCTATCTCAGGATAACATTGGAGGACTACAAGTACTCAACAAGAATGGGGAATGGATCGATGTGCCTCCTATTGAGGGCAGTCTTGTTGTAAATATCCAACAGGGATTCGAAGCGATCACTGGGGGTATTTGCGCGGCCACAACACACCGAGTGATCGTATGTTTACCATACAATTCATCATTGGACAACTTTTCTAACTCGCTGCTACTCCTAGGCGCCCACTAATAAGACACGTTACAGCATCCCGTTTTTCCAGGGTGTGAGACTTGACTTGACGCTGGATCAGCTCAAGGAATCTGCTGCTCACATTGTGCAACGAATTCCGGCTTCTGACGACAAGAAGAAGCGGGCGGTTGACGTGCCGAGTGAATTCCTTTCTCCTTTGTATTCTTGCGTGAGTAGTCCTGGTTTACCGACTTCATGCGTGGCACTAACATTTTGTAGTTCGGCGAGGCTCATTTGAGAAATCGCATCCTAAGCCATCCGGACGTGGGCCAGCGGTGGTATTCAGAGCTGTATGCAAAGTATTCTCAGCAGGTACTCAAGTAGTCCAAGACAGAAAACCTCGCGGCGAAAGCCAACTTAAATCTAACATATATATATATTGCAAAGAATTATGAGTCAAGCACTCATATATGTGATCCACATGAATTTCCCCATTGATAACGAAATATAGACGATCTTTCAGGCTATGTGCGAATTCTTACCGAGTTCAGCTCCCGAGACCCTCGTTGTTTGTCACACCCGGAGGGAAATATCCACCCGCGGGGTAAATTGTCGTTCCCTCCCTTTTTCCACTTCCAAACATGTCGGAGATAAATGCTGCAGCCCTCGAGGCTCTGCGGAGCCGCATAAAGACCGCGACTATTTATACCCCTGAATCGGATGGTTACAAAGACGTTCTAGTCCGCTGGTCGGATACTGGAATGAAATATGCGGTACGGAAAGGAAGATAACAAATAAAACGACCGACTGATAAGTTGCAGGGCGTTGTAGTCCAACCCGTAGATGCCGTCGATGTCTCGATCGCGCTGTCCTGGGCACAAGAGTATACTATCGATCTCGCTGTTAAAGGTGGGGGCCATTCGGCTGCCGGCACAAGCTCGAGCGACGGTGGCCTGGTCATTGACCTGTCGCGCATGAACAAAGTGACGGTGGATATCGGGCGGAAGACCATCACCGCCCAGGGTGGAGCGACATGGAAGGATGTCGACGAAGGCGGTGCAGCCCACGGTTTGGCAGCGGTAGGGGGCACTGTGAACCACACCGGCATTGGAGGTCTCACCTTAGGAGGTGGTTATGGCTGGCTCAGTGGACAGTACGGCCTCACTATTGACAATCTCCTATCAGCGACTGTCGTTTTAGCCGATGGTCGTATTGTCACGGCCTCTGCCACCGAGAACGCCGACTTGTTCTGGGGGTTGCGAGGTGCAGGGTACAACTTTGGTGTCGTAGTAGACTTCACCTACCAGGGCTATGACCAGAAAGATCCGGTATACTCTGGCATCCTTGGCTTCACTGCCGACAAGTTGGAAGGGGTGATCGATGCGTTGAACGAATCTCTGGCAAAGCCCGACACTCGCTTTGTTGCGATGTCTATTTTTGCGTTGGCACCAGATGGGTCTGGGCCGATGATCGTCGTGATTGGATTCTTCAACGGCTCACGCGAAGAAGGCGAAGAGAAATTCACCAGCTTCACAGCTCTCGAGCCAGTTATGAACACCCTTGATATGATCCCATACCCTGTGGTGAACACCCTCCAGAACCCTCAAGCGACCTACGGTGATCGAAAGTCCTTTAAAGGCATTTTCTACGAGCCACCTTTGGATCCTCACTTTGCGAGGGTGATCTTCAATGATTTCATGAACAAGATTCAAGAAGAACCAGACCTCAAGGCGTCTGCCATTATTCTCGAGTTCACCGACATGCGGAAAATTTGCGAAGTGCCTCTGACCGCAACCGCGTTGGCCAGTCGAAATTCGACTCAGAATGGTATCATCTTTCTAAGATGGACCGACCCATCCAAAGACCTGGTGCACCGTGCCTGGGCACGAGAAGTCCAGGCCAAGTGGAAAGTTGAATTGGATGCCAGAACCAAAGACCAGGGTGTAGATTCGAGTGTGCCTCAGTACATCAACTATGCAGAACGTGAGTACACCTGATAACATATCTGCAATAGTTACTAATCTACTGCCCAGCTGGTGACTCTGTTGTAAGCAATATCTTCGGCGGTAATCTCGGAAGGCTGCAAGAATTGAAGGCAAAGTACGACCCAAAGAATGTTTTCCACAAGATGCAGCCGATCCCAACGGGCGCATCCGCTAGCAAGAAGGAATAGAATGGCTGAGCACCTGAAGTGAAGTGAACACAGGTGGCTATCGGCTTCTTTTTCTCTCTTTTCCGGGCAATTTATGTTTGCTTCTTGGTGGCTTTCTTTTCTGCGCAAGCGGGAGGATGGAAAGAGATAAGACTACATCAAATTGAAGAATGAGAAATACAGTTAGCTATATGGAGATAACACGCCTCCTTCACACTAGATCTGTGCAAAAATGAGATAATTGACAGTCTTCACAGTAGCCCAACCCTTGAGAGCCTTCAATAATATTGCTTCCCCCCTACACAATTTCATGCAGGAACCACTATCCAAAATATCATCATACTGTGCTCAATCTCGATAATTTTAGCTCCTTGCCTCTAGATTCGGATAGCGCTTCGCAGAGCGTACAAAGCCCACAACCCAATCTAACCCAACCCACTAATGGGCTGGATTTTGTTTATTCAAGGGTAATATTTAATCATTTTAACTTGTATATAGTAAACTGCTGTTTAAGCATATCAGTCGCGTTTCAAACCGCGAGAAAACGCGCTATCCAGCATGTTTATAAAATGTGGAAGTTCTCTAAGAAAACTGTAGCACTTTCGTACAGATCTGAGATGTATCTCTCTCCCATGCTGGTATTTGCGCGATTTCTCAATCTCTACTGGTCGGATAATATTTCAAATTGGAATATATACTTACATAGTAATTTCAATTTTAAGATCAAAATTCCAAACTCATTAAGTTAGTAGAAGGATTAGAATGCTACGATTACAAGATACTACTAGAACTCTCCATGATGGGGGCCTTGTGGCCCCACGAATGGGCTGTGGGGTGGGTTGGGCTATATGGCCCGGGAATCCGGCCCCATTTGTGGGCTTTGCGATTCACTAGACTCAGACATCTCTAAATAGGCAGAGGCCGGAAATTTATGGCTTGCAGATATCCACGGACCTGCGTCATGGAAAACAAGGATAGTAGATGCTACTCCGTACTTTATATACAGGATAGACCAAACAAAACATCCCTAGCAGAATTAACCCGACGTGACATCTAGTCACAATCTTAATTTCACAGCGCAGACAGACTCTCAGCTCGGTTCAGGAGGCCGGAGGGCAAGCTGTGACATTAAGCTAACTGCACAGATCAATTTCTGCTTTTTGTTCCTACCGGTTTGCTTTCTGATCAGACTATTGAGGGAATATAGCGTGAATGGTTTTAATTCGAGAGATGTGATGTATCACGCCAAGGATCGCCAAGATACGTGAGGAAAACAGATTCAATCAATAGCTGTATCTGACCAAGAATGTATCTTTACTTCACCCCGTACATTACCAACTAGATTGGGCGGGCTTTTTTGAACTAGTGACGCTTCACGGTAATATAAGTTCCAGGACTGGAAAATCTGCCACACTATACTCCGTACGGTGTACTAAACAAATTGATTAGGAAGACAAAACGAGCTAAGGCTGGGCAGTGAAAAATTATTGATTTTTAGCTTTGTTATCTAGGTCGCTGTACTTATAGTTCATCGATTATTATATGCGGTACTTAAGTACGGTGTAACATATGCACGTCTCCAAAGTGTACCTATGGGAGTATTATCCTTTATAGCAATATATCTAAGTGCCTCATACTAAATTCCGTAGATGAATACGGAGTACTCCGTAGAGATAGATACTTAGGTTCTAGCCAAAGACCCACGGGGCACACCAGCCCCGGGGGTGGCCAATTTTTCGTCAGTCCAAATCGGGGCTGGCGTGGCGCGATGACTTCTGAAATCCGCAATGACGAAGTCAATTTGTCAGATAGGCCTACAGTGTACGGAGTACCTCCCCCGTACATAAGTACCAACTGTAGAACGCCAGATCGGGCTTCAGCTGAGGACCCATAACACCCTGACTATCTACCTTCGGATGCGAATCAACTGGATGTGTACGCAGTTAAACTTCATATCTAAAGGGACTACTACATACTAACAGCCCTAGGGGCCTTTCTATCTTTACCAAATTTGAGGGTGTGGACTTAATCTAATTTCTGTAGGGCCGGCCGGTTAAGGTAACCGCAAGGTAATCGGCCAACAAGGGAGAGGAGAGAGTACTCCAGAGAAAGCTAAAGACATCAGGCCGTCATATATTCAGTGTCCACTGCTCATAGTTTTGGATACCAGTGAGATAATCATAGAATAAGTCGAAATCCTTCTTGACATCGTTACTCATTCTCTTTTCTGTCCCAATCGTTCATATCCTAATCAGGTAGACAATAACACATCCCTTGGATTCAAGGTGTTATATACTTTGCTGTCTATAGCTCGTCATAACCATGATGAGGCACGACCAGTCGACCCATTTGAGGGCAACACTGCAAATTTTGGGACGTGTACGTGATCTAAAGAACAAAAAGCAACAAAGTGTTCTTAACGGCAACGACCTCGACATTGCTTCCATCGTTGCCGTCGCCCGTCACGAAGTCGAGCCCACCATCAGTACAGACGAGGCTCTTACCAAACAAATCGAGATATCCGTTGACACTCTGGCCGATGTGATCTCCCAAAAATGTGTCATATATGGCGTCAACACCGGTTTCGGTGGTAGTGCCGACACAAGAACAAACGAACTCATCGACCTGCAGACCCATCTGCTCCAATTTATCCAAAGTGGAATCATCACTGCCGCCGACAAGAACCCGGCAAGCAACTCGGAACGGAGAGCACCCCACGTCATGCCTGTCTCCTGGGTTCGGGCCGCCATCGTGGCTCGAGCAAATCAGAATCTTAGGGGTCATAGTGCGATACGCAAGTCCGTGCTTAAAAGCTTAATTGACCTACTGCAGAACGACATTACCCCCCTAATTCCACTTAGGGGGAGCATCTCCGCGTCTGGAGATCTTATGCCCATGGCGTATATTGTCGGAGCGATCATGGGCAACCCAGATGTATTTGTCCAGATGGGAAAGGGCACACAAGCCAGAGTCATGCCTTCCTCGGAATCGTTGAAGATAACGGGGCTCTCCTCATCGGCACTCGGCCCAAAGGAAGGATTAGGGTTGATTAACGGCACTGCTCCCTCTGTGGCAGTGGCAAGCCTTGCACTATATGATACGCAGCTGCTTGCGTTATTGTCCCAAATGTTGACGGCTTTCGCTTCCGAGTGTTTGGCCGGAAATGTAGAGTGGTCTCACCCTTTCATTCACTCTACTCAACCTCACACTGGCCAAATCGAGGTAGCAAGCAACATCCGGAGCTTTTTGAAAGGCTCAAAGTTTGTTGTTGGCTTAGAATCGCAGAAGACATCCGGCGACGGACTCTGCCAAGATCGATACTCGACAAGAACAGCTCCTCAATGGGTCGGTCCTTATCTTGAGGACCTTCTCCTGGCGCAGCGTCAGCTCGAAGTGGAGCTCAACTCCACATCAGACAACCCTCTGGTAGACACTAGCAAGCAAGATGATGGTTCTAGTGGGAGAGTATACTCTGGAGGAAATTTCCAAGCAGCTGTCGTCACATCGGCCATGGATAAGGCTCGCTTGGCTATTCAGATGATAGGACGAATGCTTTGGTCTCAGGTTACTGAAATCATCAATTCTGCTACAAACAATGGACTGGAGGCCAACCTCAATCCCACTGCACAAGAGAACTTCACTATGAAGGGAATTGACATCAACATGTCAGCTTACATGTCTGAGTTGGCAGCCCTGGCACACCCAGTCTCTGCCCACGTCATGTCCGCCGAAATGCATAATCAGGGCATCAATTCCCTGGCTCTAATTTCCGCCCGACGCACCATGGAAGCTGTAGATCTGTTGGCACACATGAGTGCCTGTCATTTGTATGTCTCATGTCAGGCTGTCGAGATCCGCGCAAGCCACGTCAGGTTTCTTTCTGCGTTCCGTACCAAGATGGAAGACTTCAGCGCCAATGGAGCCTTGCATGCACTCGGATTGGAGGGTTCGCAGACTGAGGCACTATGCGAATTACTCCTTCCCATCGTGGAGTCAAGCTGGTATCGCGCAAACTCCAATACTTGGAGAGACCGTGTCTTGTCTGTAGTTGAAGCAGTTACGTCGCCAGTCAACGAATCCATGGCCACTCACAACCCAGACTGTTCAGTGTCAACAATCAACGCCTTTAAGGAGCATTTCCAGAGAATCGTGTACAGCACAGCCGAAGAAATGTTTTATCCCAGTTCAGTCATTTCCTTCGATGAGGTGGCCACTCAGCTTGGTGAAGGGACTGCACAGCTTTATACTTGGGTACGATCGAGACTCAACATACCCATGAACTGTGGCCTCCAAGACGATCCTCTGTATAACTTACAGAAGGGTCTTCCGACAGATGGAAAAAAGAGTGTCGGAAGCTCAGTGAGCATGATATATGAGAGCTTGCTTGAGGGTGAAATGATGGATAAGATTCTAGAGGGTTGGATGCAAGATGCGGCTTAGGGATATCATAGATTGGACAATGTAGCCAGTCTCCTGCCGGTAAGGGAAACACGGGCCGGTGGGTGTTGATATCATGGCTGATGGCGAGGAATGCCATTATGTGATTGATCTGCCAACATCAAGTAGGAGATCGACGAGGGGCATTTCATTGTGATTATATAGAAATTCTTTTTGCAGGAGGCCTCAGCTTGGCTCTGGTCTGTATGGATGCAGCAGATCAGGATCAGCTTGAGCGTGTCTTCTCTCACGTCAGTTAGACTTTCTCGGTTTGCAAGCTTGAAAGGTGAAAGACCTCAACAATTTCGGTTTATAGATGATGGTAGAATGAGAACACAAAACTAAAAGTCCGGTGTAACCGAGTCTTTTCATGGGCACAAGGCCTATCGGATCCATACTAAGTAGTAGTGCGTTGAAAGTCCACATGAGGTAGTCGTAGATGATACGCCTAAGACGTGGCCCACCGTCAAATCTACCAAACTTGACGGTGTTGCTAACTGACATTGGAGACCAAGATCTATCATTGAGCATACAATGAGCATTGTACACTCACCTGCACAACACGGATCGCTCGTTATCCACGCGCTAAAACTCGGTGAGCGGCAGCTTCAATAGGAAAGCCCTCGGTGTGTATACTCAGTATGTGCATATGAACGAAAACGGCCTTGAAATCGCTCCTTTTTGTGCAACTTTTTTGCTTTATCATCTAGTTCCAGTGTGTAGACAAGAAAGACATAACGCCAGAAACATTTGAAGCGCAGGACATTCTTCTGTGCATAATCCACGACAGGAAGCGTTCATCATAGCATCATTCCCCAGTCCGGCCAGATCCATCCTGTATACCGGCTTTTTGTTTGAGAACATGGGAAGGTCTAGTGATCGTAGCGGACGAAGGGAAGCGGCGTTAGATCATAGTTGTAGCCTATATGGGGTTAATCTGCTGAATAATATTATGCAGGCTTTCTAGACGCTTGCGCCAAGTCTGCCCTAATAGCCTCAAGACTGAAGGAAGGTACTCACCATTATGTCCTCTACTTAGCTTTCCAAAAAGCCCAGGCTAAAACGAGCACCCCCTTGATACCAGCCGATAGAAAGAGAATGGGAGAAATTGCCCCAGTGACCTTGGTGACCCATCCGCCGACGATGGCACCCACCAGCGTCAGCACAAAGGCAATGATTCGCCGGTCGCGTTTCACATTTCTCATAAGAAACAGCTGAGGGTCCGACATCAGATCACAGAGAAGACTGGTAATCACCACGGTCGGGATCTCATTGAAACCCAAGGCACGACTGGCCACAATCTGACCAGCAGACTGGAGACTCAGGAGAACAATTGGGACTTCCTGATCCCATGGGGGTATTGCCTGTGATCCTGCACCGGCTAGCGCACTAGAAACGGCACCTCCTTCTACCAGTCCAGCTGTAAGCAGGATGATACTGGCCTGTAATGTGAAAGAAAGCATCAACGCCCCTCGTCGCCGAGTGCCCAGGACGCGATGTAATCGTGAGAAGATAAAGGATCCTAGGATGAAACATCCGATAGATGTGAGCGAGCGTGCCCAGCCATAGGGACGGAGGTTTTGGTGCGATGCACCCAGTCCGACGAAGATGGTATTTCCTATCAGAAACTAGTGATTAGGCGACCCTGATGTGAGATTGTGGATGGGCGAGATTGTGATATTACCGGTTTGCATAGAGACAAAAGTATTGTAGGCTACAGATATTAGACATTGCGCAGCTGGGCAGAGTATAGGGGATTTGCCCTACCGCGGTATATCGTGCTGTCCACAAGTCCCGATGTCAAACAACAAGCGTAAAGTAGGAGGTCGGCATGCTGCGGTTCGAGCTCAGCCTTGAAAGCTGTGGAGAGTCCACTGAATGCACCCTTTTCATGGTCCATTTGAGAAGTTATTGACTACAATGAGAGAGAAACTATGAGGATGAGATGCCGAAGAGACACAGGAAAGCTTCGAGATAAAGCACAATTGACAGCGGCATTTTCTTTTCCGCGGCGATTGAAGGACGGGCGAATAAACTATGAAACTTGCCAATATGTCCTTCCCCTCTCTTGCCCTTGTCAATGGCATCATCATCTCACCGAATTGATGTACGCTAAGACGGAGCCAAGGGACAGTGAAAACTCCGAAGCTCCGTGGAAATCCACGAAATCTGCAAAACTTGAAGCGAGATAAGGACAGCCACAATCACATTCCGTGCATAGTCTCTTGGGAGTTTCGTTGGGACGGGCCGCTGCTGACCATGCCGAGTTCACACTAATTTAGTCTCCGATGCGCGCCTAGAGTGCCAAGGATGACTCGGTGGAATGAGTGTTGGCCAATTGCTTGGCGGCAACTTTCTCACCCTCGACTCCATTCATAGGCAGGCTTGTGGCACCGAGGGTTCTCATTGAGGGGTTTGGTGTACGACCCGCTGTGCATGATCTTCAGGCCTTGTGGCAGCCAAGAGTCTCAGATTTGCAAACAAAAGACCCCCGATAGGACAATACAAGAGACGTTGAGGCCAAGAATTACGGTCCGTGGCGCATATTGCTGCAGGAAAGATACACCATTCAACCCTCCATTTCAGCTTTCAGCACATCAATATCCAATTCTGTCATAACCCCAAGCACAACGCCTAGACTCTCCATGAATCCATTGACAGAAACGCGGAGCATCCGGTTCGTTGTTGCGATGTATGTAATCTTCAGCACGGTTTTGGAGTCTTCTGGGTCTTGCTTTTGCTTTTTTTCTTGCGGTTCAGATGGTGCTTCGACCGCCGGAGCCTCGAGGGTGAAACTCCGTCTCACAAAGGGGGATAGTTCAGCATCAACTTCTAAGGCGCGTAGAGCGCATGATGCAAGGCGATTTGTTGGGAGGGGAAGAGATATTGTGCTGAGTCAAGAGGTGAGTATTGCTTGGTCTAATCGGGTGTTGTTTTTCGGCGCCATTTCGGATCGGGGAGGGGCTTACAGTGAGCAAGGAAACTCAGGATTGGTGGATTGTGCGAGAGCCATGATAAGCGTAATTGAGGTTTAAAAGATTGCGAGAAGATTTTCGCATTGAGTTCAGAAAAGGGTCTTCCAAGAGGCAGGGGTGTGTCAGTTATTGGCGTGAGGAAGAGGGGTGGAAATTGGCAGCACTCGGAGTGCTGGAAGGAGGACGTTCCGACGGGGTCGCCGTGGAACTAAATGGCTGACTCAGCTCCACCTTGGACCACCCAATAGTCTTGGAAGGCTAGAAACGTCCAACTTCACCCTTAACGCAACCCGTGTTCACAAGATACACATTGCCCAACGGTACGCATTGATTCGCTACACGGCAAGATAATGGCGCTTTCTACGTTTTCGGGTGATGATCTCCCGGGTTGAAGAGCTTGGCGAACGAGGGTCTTTGTGGAACGGTGCATTTGGCCAAGAGACGCCCCCCTCTGAAGATATTCTCGCGTAGATTTCTCATATGAAAAGAGGGAAATGCACAGCCTTCAATATGCAGTCATCTTGCCAAGGTATCTCAAATTGATTAATTCCCAATGACAACCAAGATATCAGGATGATGATTGTGGGTCGAGTTCCCCGTCGCTGGCCTATCCCAATAGACCTAAAAAGCCCCGGTGTACGCATGCACTATCTCCATCTTGGCTCATGTATTCGGAGATATATTCATGCGACGACATCGCGAATCTTGATTGATGGGAATAACTTGAACATCTATCCTGAGACTAGCGCTGATGATCTTGCGCAATATGTCTTCTTCATGGACTCACTAGACTCATTCAGCCGAGCTCATCCAGGATCAGTACGACGCGAGGGAAGATAAGGGCCTGCGGATGTCTTGGCGGATGGTGGAATGTTACATCCCCAAGAAATCAAGGCGTTTTGTCTTTGGTGAGATGCTTTTGTCCTCTACGAGCAGGCAGACGTGTCTCCTCTGGGATCGCTGTCTCCAGATGTAGCAAAATATCTGCGGGGTACAGATCTCGAAAATATAAGAAGGAGCGTTGTCCCTCGTAGATTGAACTGTAACACAAGAACTCCAGTGTCCAAATCAGAACACATCTCATCTCCTCTATCAAAGCTCAATCATGACTATCACAATCACCGTCGAGAAGGATGGATACTACGAGGTCAATGGGACCCGGCAGGAGCCTACTGTCTCTCTTTATGTGATTCCTGCAGCTTCAAAGTTGCGCCGCATGCTGAAAGATACCAAAGAGCTTATCGTATGTCCTGGTGTATATGATGGCCTCTCTGCTCGCATTGCCATGGAGGTTGGTTTCAAGGGACTGTACATGGTAAGGACTCTGAATCCTATCACTGGATGCCCATATGCTGATCAAGTCCACAGACTGGTGCTGGAACTACCGCATCACGTCTGGGGATGGCTGATCTCGGCCTTGCTCAGCTTCACGACATGAAGACCAACGCTGAAATGATTGCAAACTTGGATCCATTTGGGCCTCCATTGATTGCGGACATGGATACTGGCTACGGAGGTTCGTATTCAGTCCTTTAGAATGAGCCTATCCTTATGACCTATCTGGAAAGCAGTCTGACTTTCTTTCAGGTCCTTTGATGGTGTCAAAGTCTGTGCAGCAATACATCCAGGCGGGTGTGGCTGGCTTCCATATTGAAGATCAGATCTCAAACAAGCGTTGCGGTCATCTAAATGGCAAGAAGGTTGTTGGCCTGGAGGAATACCTCATGCGCATTCGCGCCGCCAAGCTGACCAAGGATCGCTTGCACTCTGATATTGTTCTGATCGCACGTACCGACGCCCTCCAGCAACACGGCTATGAGGAGTGCATCCGTCGGCTGAAGGCTGCCAGGGATATTGGAGCTGATGTCGGACTGCTTGAGGGTTTTACTTCGAAAGAACAAGCCCGGCAAGCAGTCCAGGATCTGGCTCCTTGGCCCCTTCTTCTCAACATGGTAGAGAATGGAGCGAGCCCTCTCATTACCACCAAGGAAGCCGAGGAAATGGGCTTCAGAATCATGATCTTTTCATTCGCCACTATCACCCCAGCTTATATGGGCATCAAAGCCACTTTGGAGCGCCTCAAGGCGGACGGGGTAGTCGGGGTACCCGAAGGCCTAGGACCACGAACTATCTTCGAGGTCTGTGGACTAATGGATTCCATGAAGATTGACACAGAATCCGGAAATGACGGTTTTGCCGAGGGTGTGTAGTGATTGGGGACATGGTATGAATATATCAATGTTTTTCATTGGACAAGCAACGGAGTTTTTATAGCTATCCTCATTTCTTTTCAACTATATTATAAAGCCAGACATTTAAATTGAAAGCAAAGTTCGCAACATAAATACCCCTGATAAGCCAGAGTTCATCTAAATTCCATCCGAATCGGTGTCGCCTTTATGAGATTCCTCTTCGATCATTTCAATAGAAGGGACCAATGGGATAATCCTCTTCACAATCTCTTTTTCGACTATCGACCATTCGTTTTCTTGAATGATCTTCCATAAACCAGGCCATAGACTAGACATAACGAGTCCATCTGATGTATCTTCCTCTACGAGGGTACGCATGTTATCACCCTGGAACGGCACGTATTGCTGACTGCCCCAGAAGATGTACGTATCTTCCTGGCACTCCAACTTATGTTTGAGATTGATACAGCGCGCAATAATGTCGTGTAGCTGCTGCATTCGTTTTGATCTGTCGGTGACAGCGTAGCGACCAAAGCAGACTTCTACCTTTTCGATGATCCAATTGCACTGTTCCTGTAAACCGCGGGCTTCCAAGGACAGCATGGCAGTGCTCATCGCACATCTCCAATGTCGGAAAATGTGGGTGGGAACTTCCATCGTTAGAATAATTGAAAAGATATTGTTTTCTCATCGCTTACATTGTTTGTTTATCTCGGAGTCGGCCTCGCGGAGATACACACCACAAGGATGCTCAGCTCCAACCATAAACCGGTTCCAAAACGATTGATAAATCAGACTAGCAATGTCCGACTGGATAATGTCCAGTTTCGAGATGTCGAGGCTCTCTAATCTTGGAGTGGGATCGTTATTTTCCTGAGATGATGTCTTTGCTACAAAATGAGTAAATTTCCAGTGTTCAAGGTCGTGATAGAGTAGAGACAACTCTCGCTTGGCTTCCTCGTCGGAAAATGTCTCCGTTCCAGCTTGTAAGCTTCCTATTTTTGCCATGAGGATCCGGTTCTCTTTCATAGCTGCTTTCGCTTCCTGCAGAGCATTTTCGAGCAACTCGCCTCGCTGACGAGACTGCTCCTCTGCAAGAAGCCGTCCCCTGTGAAGTACCTCCTTCTCCTCCTTTGCTGTTTTGATTTGCTTTTTGGTTTGTTAACTCAAAGATTATCATAGAAAGACCCTTCACCACTGACCTGACGCAGCTGTCCAAGTTCATTATGAATGGTTTTATGATCCATGTAAGCCGATGGTTTCAGTACATTGCACCCGAGCGATGGAGGGGAAACCGAACCACTATCAGTTTGCTCCCATTTTGAGGACAAATCTGGGGTTTTTGAACCCTTGTCCACTTGAGCAGGCTCGGGCTCGTCGAGAGGCCACATTACGTTCCACATTGCGTACCAGTATTGGAGTGACGGGAAACTAGAAATCGCAAAACAGTCGAAACTTTTACCCATGACATCTCGTCTGAATTGATGACACCATAATTAGCCGATTTAAAATTCTGGTCCCTCGCGCCGACGCTCATTGCGGCTAAACTCAGGAGTCAATGATATCAAACTTGCGAAATGAGCAAACTTTTGATTGAATAAACATAACCACCTATCCTTCTTTTCTCGGACGGGTTTTCCACTTACCTTTGCTTTGAAGTATCAGTAAGAAAGCCACGGTCTACAGAGTCAACATGGCAAACACAGACGAACGACCCAAACTCATAGTGGGTATTGACTTCGGAACAACGTTCAGCGGGTGAATATCTCTTTTGTCGCAGTGATGGTTGGGTAATTTGCTGATGGTGATAGTGTTGCTTGGGGGTTGGAAGACTGCCCTGATGATATTGAGCTCATCCAGACATGGCCAGGTGGTGGTAACAGTGAGTCTACTACAACGGAGAGCCTAAGTCCATCAGAACTGATATATAGTTTGATAGTAACCAGTCAGAAGGTTCCGACTCTATGTTCCTACGAGGATGACCGCATGAAATGGGGTCATCAGACTGACCAGTCTAGCCAACCCGGCAGAAAAAATCGTCTCATTCAAGGAGTCAAGCTTTTGCTGGATGGAGGTCAGAAATTTCGCTACTCACCCGCTAGTGAGGCTCAAAAGATTATCATGGACCTCGGAAAAACGCCGGTAGAAGTTGTGGGTGACTACCTGGGCAAATTAGCTGGTCACGCTCGGCATGTGTTGACACGTCGCTTTGGAACTGCGCTGCAAGCCATGGACTTGGAATATATCCTCACTGTTCCTGCTGTGTGGTCTGACAAAGCCAAGGATTTGACTTTGCAGGCAGCACACCACGCTGGTATATCCCCTACAAGGCTCAGACTTTTGTCTGAGCCGGAGGCGGCTGCGGTGTATGCAATTCGAGCTATTCAACCTAACACAATCGCGGTAAGAATCTCACTCATATGTCAAATGGAGTGAAATCACTAACAACTGATAGAAAGGCGACTGCTTGGTTGTCTGTGATGCTGGCGGCGGAACAGTTGTAAGTACTTCCTGTGTCATATCAACTTAACAAATCCCAGTAACCATCATTATAGGATATCATTACCTATCGCGTTAAGCAAACCAACCCGTTGAGGTTCGAGGAAGCCACAAATGGAACTGGTATTAATCAAAGATCTACATATTAGCTTCTATCTAACAGCTTTTAGGTGCGGTTTGTGGCTCCGTGATGTTGGACGAGGCATTTGACGCACTTATCAAGGACATCATTGAGAAGCAGTCGTATCAGCCAATTCCCCAGTCTACTGTAAGGGCTGCCAGAAAGTACTGGAAAGATTACATCAAGCCTGGCTATACAGGTCCTCTCGATGACGATGACTTGTGTGAGCCAGGGTATTGGATCCCGGTTCCTGGCGTTTCGGGGATCTCGAACGTCGACCTCAGTGAGGGTCACCTATATCTAGACAGGTACGTATGGGTTTGTATCTTTACTTTCTCTGATCAGCCGTGGGCGACTCTTACATAAATACAGAGACCAAGTGAAAGTAATTTTCGACCCAATCATTGACCAGATTGAGAATCTCGTCGCCAGGCAGAGAGCGAGTGTCAAGGCAGCAGGTCTTTCGACCAAGGTAAACCTCCAAGTCACTTCCAACAGGATTACAATTAACTATAGATAGGCCATTATTCTAGTTGGAGGCCTTGGTGCCTCCGGATATCTCTTCAAGCGCCTACAAGCTGCTTCTGACGGAATCCAAATCATGCAGCCCCCAAATGCGTAAGTGCTCGATCTCCTGCTACAACATTACAAAAACCGATACTGACATGAAGACAGATGGTCCGCTGTTGCTCGGTATGTTCCTGGAGCATTCTGAAGATTTGTTACGTACCTAACAGGCCCAGGGGCGCGGTCATCCGTGGACAAGAAGGCAACCAAATCGATAGTCGCATTGCCCGATGCAGCTATGGCGTCAGTATGACAGTCCCGTTTGATCCTGCAACTCACCGTGCCGATCACAATCTGAAATGGTGTAAGTATGAAGAGAAATGGAAAATGCATGAACGCATGCGATGGTACATCCACAAAGTCAGTAACTTCCAGTCTTTACCGACAAATCCTTTGGAGATTTTGAGTGCTTACCTGGGCAACCTTTAGGGAAATCCCATAGCCGAGAGTGAGCCAATAAGAATGAGCTTCTACTGTACGGTTGGCGTTGGTGATTCCTTGGTATTTCGTGATTCATTGTCGATTTGCCATAAGGCTACAGCTCCTGCAGTTAGGAATTCCAGTAGGTACCCATGCTACACATATAAGACGCATGTCATTAACTCAGAAAGGTGTCACGGAGCTATGTGAGCTGGAGTCAGATCTGAGCAGAGTCCCGAAAGAGCTTTTCACAAAGAAAGCGAACTCGAAAGGTCAATATTTTTACTACATCGACTATGATCTAGTTCTAACGCCAAGCTCTGCATCTTTGCTGTTTGACCTCCAATTCAATGGGGTCTCATACGGGAGCGTGAATTTGCGCTATTAAATTCTACTACGACGAGTATGGAGATTCATGTTTTATAATAGTTGATTTGAAAGGGACTTTGGCCCACGGTAAGGGTGGCTTGCTTCTTGCAGAACCAATTTCTTGATTGCTCGGAACTGGTTTTATAAGACAGTGAATAAGAAAGAGATAGCTAACAATCAGAACCCGTATTCCCTTGCCTTATGATGCAATGTATAAGCCAAGGTGTGAAGGTAAGCTAGCTTCATGCAATCTAACAACGTGGTTCACCTTGAGTGTACTAAGTAAAGTAAAGAGCGAGAGAGAAGACGAGACTTGTATTGAAGAAAAGAGACAGGCTCCCAGATATACCTGTCATTGGCTACTGGCCAGAAATATCACGCAAAGGTCTCAACATCCACTGTTTAGCTGGGTAACCATCTCAACAATTTATACCGGAGAGAATTGAATTCGGAGACACCTAGCACTACAGGCTGCGGTGGATGAGATTCGACATCAATCATCCTTGCTACCCTGGAAAACAGCAAAATGCTGTAAACCCAATCCCTCCAGGACATCTAACGGTGCCACAAAGGCCATCTGACTCCATGAGAAAACTGTATTCTTTCCGCCATAGATAAAGACTTCAAAGCGGCCAACAAAAGCTCCATCTACCCACACACGACTTCCGTATATCTCGTTTGTGGAGATAATGACCTGTGATTTGCGTGGAATTATCACAAGCTCATGGCTTGAGGTTGTCTTGTTAGCCCAGATTCTTCCAGGCTGATCTTGGTCAAAGCCGTCAGCCTCAGCAACATAGCGAAGTGGGTATGGCCATCCATCAGAAACAAAAGTCAATTCACCGTCAGATGACAAGGTAAGTGCCGCATCAGATGACCGCAGAGAGAAAGGGCCTGTCACATTTAGTTGTAGGGTATAACTCATTCCCTTACTGCCATGACCTAGATAATATTCATCCTGGTTGGATTCTGTACTTGATCTTGTCCATGAAAGCAAGGGTCCTGATCCGTGCCTGTCTTCTTCTGGGAGGCGTCGGTCAAGGTTTTGTCCCACGGCCTGAGAGGACAATTCTGCTATAGATTTGGCCAAGGTTTGTTCGCGCAAGCGAGGTCCTCGCGCACCAGACCACGCTCGCGAAGCCACGACAGGGATGCCGTCACGGATTGCATAATAAGCCTCAAGTTGAGTAGTAGCGTCCGGACCGCTGTCGTTCCAGGCAGCCAAAAGTGCACCCGGTACAGCTTTAGAACTCGGTTGTTGGGTTGTGTTCACAGAGTTGAAGAGTTCCGGCGTCCACTGCCACCCATCCTGCTCGGCGAAGTTGAGAACGCGGGTATTGTTGAAGAACTGAGGATAGGGGGCTGGGTTGATAGGCACATGGTTGCTTTTCAGCGACATATAAGCCCACCAATCCTCAGAGTTGATGACCTGGTAGCCATTGTGGGCTAGATCAACTGGGTCTGATTGCCCATACTGCCAGTGTTGAATTGTCACATTTTTATCAATGGTAATGTTTGATGGCTCGTATGTCCCCCAGATACGGACAGTTTTCCCAGACGCTTCTTGCACAAAGCGGGACATCTCATTCACAAAGTCAACATAGTCGTCCGCATATTTAGGATCGTACTCATCGGCGCCAATGTGTACCTCCTTTGTGTGGAACCAAGGAAGAAACTCAGTCCAAATGGACTTCATCAAAGGAACAGTGTCCGGATGGGAGAGATTTAGTAGGTCCTTCGAGTCCAATGCAAGCTCAGGCCTCCATTTCGTTACCGTGAGACAGTGCCCAGGGCTTTCAATCTCCGGAATCACTGTGACACCTCGCTGAGCACAGTGGTGCTGGAAGTTATCAAATTCCGCGCGAGACAGCGTTTCGTTGGTGCGCTGGACAAGAGGATGAAGAGCCTCGCTTTCGGGATGTAAAGAAAACTGCGAGTAAACCTCATTCCAGGTCTCGTTATGACCGCGACTCAACGGGTAGTTGTCGGTCGCATGGTACTGAAACTCGGACAGTTTGAAAAACGAGGCATATGTGCATAAATCTTTCAAAAACTCTAGCGAATACCATTTTCGACCAGCATCTAGGAGAAATCCACGAGTCGCATAGGCAGGGGCATCTTTCACGCGACTAGATGGCAGGGATGATCCTGTCAAAACGAGCTGCTGGAGAAGTGTTCGTGTCCCCCACCACATACCACGAGCCCCAGAGCCTCGAATGTACACACTACCATCCTGTATCTCCAACTCATACCCCTCCTCGCTCTCGCGTCCATTCTCGTAGGTGAACCGATCCAGACGATCTGCGCGACCGAGAAAAATGCCTGACGCGTGCTTGGAAAATCGTGTGACTATTCGAAGCTCCCAAGAGCTGTTAGTTAGCTCCTGTAAGTCGTCGCGAAAGGTATTGGCAAAGTCGGATGCCGATGGTGGAAGCAAGGTCAACCCATTCTGATCCTTCCAGCTAGCGAAATTGGCATCCAGGTAGATTGTCCGGTCGGTTGTTGCTAAAGAAAAGCCTATATGATCTAAACCCGTGCTATCGAAGTGCACTGGGGGCAGGCCTTGGAGCGCAGATGCGACTGCGGCAAGGGAGAGGATAATCCACTTCATGACTGAACATTCTGAGATTGCGGTGACAATGTTTTTATACCACGCAAGGGGCATATGGCAGCGTTACATTCCTGGCGTGGGGTGACGCGATGTTGCGGGGAAGGTTAGACACCTGTGGGGGTTTGATATCAGTGGACTTCGACTTAACACCATGTCAACTTTTATTCAAATATACATACGACTATATGTGGTTAATTCCTCTTTCTGGCCCTTTTCTAATTCCGCCGTTGTGTATTTCCGTGTTTTCCGCAATCTGTTCGAAAAAGCTCACGATACGCTTGATGAGGAAAACTATAGATGTAAGTGAGTATGCACCCAAAAGAAGAGAAACATCGCCGAATCATCTGATCAAGGCTCTGGTATACCTGGGTTTACTATGGCCGCCTGAACATGCACAGGGAGGACAAAAGTATTTCCCAATCCCGCCCAGTGAAGCGCATCGAGTCTTGCAAGTCCAAGTTTCACAAGCGGGAAGCTTTGGCTTTGACACCGAAGGACCTGTAGCCAAGACTCTACTAAATGCTTTCCCCGTACTGCATGTGCCATGTTCGGTGCCTGTACCAGTAGCAACATGAGGTAATTTGAAATTGTCGCAAAACCAATTCGGGACCCTAAAACGTTAGCACTCAGTCAGATGACATAATGGAAGTCAAGGTGTAATCTTACAAGAATACCAGAATGCCGTGAAGTCACTAGACGTCAGTCGTCTTGCAAAGTTCACCAATATAGAGGCACACTTTTCCGCTGCTTGTAGAGTGGCATCGCCAGTACCAAACTCGTCAGAGATAGCTATCTCCGGTAAAGATTCAATTTCCGGGAGATCCATGAAATCTAGGATCGACTCATCTACGGGCAATGGTGATGTGGAAGACAGATCTTCCAAGTCAAAGATAAGCGGCGGGTCGGATGATCGTGCCATCGGTCTGAGCATCGCACGGTAAACATAGACCACGAGCAACAGGTAAGCAAAATGGATCGACGTGGGGTACGGGGCAAGTCCATTGACAGATTTGCTCCAATTGGGAAGTCGAAATGTTTCAGGAAGAGAAGAATACCAGCCATTCAGCTTTTCAAGAAGGCCGCGGCCTAGCTCGGCAGAGGCGATAAAGTTTGCGTTCAAGAATTGGGATGCCCGAAGTGTGCTATAAATCAGAGTTAGTAGGGTGGCTCTTTGCCGACGAAAGTGCAAGGGGCTCGAGAATCAAACTTACTAAAATGTATCATGGATTTCTTCGCCGATTCGTGTGAGATTGATAAGGTATCGGAACGGGATCTCGGTATCACAAGAACTAGTTGAGAATCCTTGTCTTGGGCCCACTAGAAAGTCCCCCTCATCCAATTCACTCACATCCCACTCTGCGGGATGGATATATGGCGGACGCCCCATCAGCAAACTGCGCCATTTGTCCTCGGCATACACCGCCCACCACAACCGCCGCCGGAGGCGCTTCTCCCATGCAGGAATGCCCCACATGCGACATTCGATGTGGAGGCCGAGAGAACAGGCCAGCCCAACGATTTGGCCGACGAAAGACCATAGAAATGGGGTATCGGCAGTCGTGAGGCGACTTTCATCTTTTGGCATTTGGTGTATATATAGCAAAGCTGCTTGCAACACGGCTAGGCGGGGACTATGTATCTCTTCGGTCACGAGTTCATACACCATTCGCCACAATGTCTCAACTGGTGATGCATTGTATGTGCTCAGCACACAGAGATAGTCGTCGTGGGCGACAAATGGAAATGCCGATGCATAGATGGCCGCGAGAAGGTGCACGGGGACCTTCTCCAATGCCGACAGCTCTGGTAGCTGATATGTCGCCGCTGTCAACCCTAATTGGGAACGGGAAATGATTGGCAAGGCAGGAAAGACATACTTGACAAATCTGAAATAATGTTAGTCCAATGATGCCTCGAGCTTATATTGAGTTTGAGTACTCACAAAGCTACTAGCCTCCTTCCGTACTCAGGGGGTACTAAATAGTCCAAGCGTTCCCGTGTTGCTTCGCCGACTCCGGCCCTAGTTTCATGCTTAATAGAGCTGGTGAGTTCCTCCGATGAAATCATGAAGTGTATTGGGATTCTCTGTGCCGTAGGGACGCCTCCAGCATTGCGAAAGTGCACTTTGTAGAAATATTTCATGCCAGAATCGTCAAAGCAACAATGTCTCAAAAGCCAGGGGTCTGATTCAGAAGATGCGCCGAATAGCTGGGCGTGACCGTGTTCCAGTTGATCAATGCTCTGTACGAACTGGGTTGGAGGTCTTCCGGGGCCTAGAACACCGGATCCTGGAGATAACCCAGAATTACTTGGATCGAGGCCGATGTTTGGGAATCGTGGTTCGACGCTTTGTCTTACACTCCCTGCCAAACTGGACTCTCGTGTGAAATTGGTGTCGCATGTTTGCGCGGCAAATGTATTCCCATCAACACTTTGGGGACCAAAAGGCGACGGATTCTCCACGGTTCGCGCTCTTTTTGGTGGAGGATTATCAAAGGTACACTCCAGTTTAGCCGATCGGCATCGCTGACAGGGCCCTCCGCTGTCGGTTTGACAGCCTAGCTTGCGGCCACGGCATTGATCACACGGGCGCTGTCGTTTAGACCGATATGGCCGAGCAGAAAGAGGAGAAGACATGGCTTGTTTCAGTTGATCGGCGAACGCAAAGAATGTAGGCTAACGCTCATTTTATTAAGCCAAGCGAGTAGTGAAATTATCGGCGAACGGAGAACAGTGAGCGGCCGAGGTGAATGGCCGAAGTCATAAGCTAGAAAATTCCCAAGGTCAGTGAACGAAACCATACATAAGGTTGGCCGAAAGATGCCCACAAGCGAATCGATACCGCCGGGGGACACCGCTTGATGACGTCATCCGCCGAACTGTCATGGCGAGCCCCAGCACCGGCGAACGCGGACCGTAGGTGGCCACGTCGGCATACATTCGACGGCATGAACCAACATAATTCCTTCTGTTGATGCAAATTTTTACTGCTCGGCGACGGTAGAAAACACATATAAACAACCAAGATATCCAGCAGTTGATGTCGTTATAGATTAAGACATATTCTAAAATACCGTTCATTCAAATTCAAACATATATATTCGTTCAAGCCTTGCTTAATTACTTCAAAAACAAATTTTATAACTTCACTTTGGAATATCGATCGTCATACCCACAAAATGCCCGAAAGCAGCAGATTGAGCCGATACGATCATCTTAAGGCTATCTTTTCTAGAAATTCTAGCCAAGAGCGCGAGATCAAAGATGATACATCCGAAACTACACTCGTTCCTCGGTAAGGTTACTCGAACTCTGGTTAGGATAGCATGGTGCTAACGTATTTCAGACAAACAAAAACGAAGAGCTACAAGAAGCGTGACCTTCCACAACAATATAATGGTAAGCTCCTTGGCCTTACAGTAATATCATGCAACACCAGCTAATAGGACAAATTGTTTAGCGGCCGATATGTGCTTCGGCTCTTGCTGCAGAAACTGATCGAAATCCAACGATCTCAGTGAAATTTATACAGCCAAGCAGAAAATACCCTACTCATTTAGATACAACATTTGTGGAAAGACAAACGTGTCGACTCCCTGTTATTCACCTTTCATATATATAATCTATAATTTATCAATACTTCTTCTTATTTTTTTCATATGTTCCTATCTTTTTCTTTGTCTAGGCGTGTCAAGTAACTACATAGTTCACCTTTGGGATTACACTTTGCTTGCACCATAATCAACTTGTCGCTTGTGTTAGTGTACAAGTGTATATAGAAGAGACCTCCGCAACGCCCACAAAGCCCAAAGCCCAACCCATCTCAACCCACCGACGGGCTACGTTTGGGCGCGGGGTAAAAGCCCACTAGGCTTTGAATAGGGGCTGAAGGGCCTAAGAAGTACCTAACAATACAAACACAGAAATCATATTATCTAGATGGTTTTTGAATTACAGAGGCTCATTTAAAAGGTGATGGTACTATCATTGAAACCTGAATATTCATCGAAGTAAAAACATATATTAACTTCGTTTCAGCCTCCACTAGCTGGATATTATTTAAAAATAGAATTGACCCTTATGTATATAGCAATTAAAGTTCTAGACGTTAAATTCGAAGTCCATATAATTAGTAGGAGGATCAGGATGGAGTGATTTATAAGATGCCAGTTGAACCCCTTCAATGGGTTAGAATGGGGGCCTTATGTGCCCGAACGAATGGGCCGTGGGTTGTGTTTTGGGCCCGGCTCCCGGGCCCATCTATGGGCTTCGCGGAGGTCTAGGAATGTACGGGCTCTGCATGCACCACATATCAGCAATCCCTCTTTCCTTTTTTCGTGACGGAAAAGGCTATAAGCGAGATTTCTCCGGTTTAAAACATCTATAAAATAGGTGAGCTAGAGACATGTGGTCATCTAAATATAAATTTCACTAAAATAGTTCATTATAGTAACCTCGGGTGAGCGGGGTAGGTGAAATGCATAAATTAGTGCATTTCATACATTGTGGCCGTTAAACTTGATTACACAAGGCTTATTATGGTGAGATCTGCACTTTACTGTATAAAGCATGTCTCACTGTACTTCGTATATGAGATGCCTAAAAGCCTCGTGTTCCAATTCAAATGGTCAATCACACTCTTCCATTTAAGCGGCCGAGTGCCGAGCTAAACCACATGGCTCAGCCGAAGCTGCGGGGACTCAGATATAACATCTATTGGGATTCAAATGAATATCCTCTCCGAGATATTTCTTAACATCGCGGTGACAGCTACTCTTATATCTGTTCATTCCGCTTGATCCGCTATAGCTTGTCAGAGTCTATCGCTCAGCACAGTATGATCTTCGAACCGGCGGAAAGAATTCTGCTTCCAACAAAGGACTTGTTGTCCTATGTCTTTGACGAACCGGGATACGATCAAAACCAGCCAGTGAGTGATAATCGAGGTTTCAACTTTCTCATCAACCGGCCTCCTGACTGACATTGGTAGATCTACATCGACGTCAGCAACCCCACCCGCTCAATCTCCTGCAATCAGGCGCGAAAGCTCGTTCGTCAGCTCATCGCCGGTTTACGGGCATCGGGTCTTCAAAAAGGCGATTGCGTTCTTATTCATTCTTTCAATGATGTAGGGGATTCCACAGTGCAGTTGAGGTGCAATCATGAGATGCTAATTGATTCTAGATAAGCTACAGCATTCTTGTCCTGGCCATTATTGGAGCTGGAGGAATTTTCACCGGGTCAAACCCATCTTACACTTCACATGAGCTCGCGCACCATATCCGGGCTTCCGAAAGCAAGTTCTTTTTCTCCGAGCCCGAGATCTTAGATTCTCTCCTACGCGCAACAGGGGAGGTAAATGTGCCCGAACAAAATCTTTGGGTTTTTGACAATCTGGGACAAACTGTTCCGGGTGGAATGAGATCATGGAAACAGCTATTAGAAGTTGGCGAGGAGGATTGGGTGCGATTCAACGATCTAGAAACCTGCCAACAGACTACTGCGGCGAGACTGTTTAGCAGTGGTACCACTGGTCTGCCCAAAGCTGTGACAATCACACACCACAATCTCATCGCACAGCATGAGGTTGTTTACGGCGTGAATCCGCGTCCTTACTCTGTGAGTTCATTTCCCATCTTAGGTTGGAGATCTTTGACCAATGAGTGCAATGGTATCACTGACACTTGACCCTCAAAAAGATTTCGCGGATCGTTGCAGTGCCCGTCTTTCATGCGGCTGTAGCTCCATTAACGCATATTTCGACAGTGAAAGATGGCGCAGTCGTATATATGATGCGCCGCTTCGATCTCGAGACTTACCTCGCCACAGTCGAAAAGTACAACATTACCGATCTTAGTCTGGTCCCACCCCTCGTAATCGGAATTTTGATGTCACCTCTTTCTCAAAAGAGACCTTATCTGCAAAAGACCCGATTAGCAGGTTGTGGAGCGGCTCCTTTGGATAAGAATGTCCAAGCTAGGTTCCGCGCACTGATGGGAACCAATAGCCCATTCACTCAGGTATGGGGAATGACTGAAACATGCTGCATTGCTACCAGGTTTCCCTACCCCGAGCACGATGATACGGGCTCTGTTGGCCGGCTTGTCCCAAATCTTGAAGCTAAGTATGTTACATCTACCGGAAGTGTAAAATTGTGTCGAGTCTGCGACTAATATTACCTCACTCAGACTCATCGATGAAAATGGAGAGAACATCTCAGCCTTTGGTGTCCGTGGCGAGATATGTGTTCGGGGTCCCACAGTGACACCGGGATACTTCAATAATCCCGCGGCGAACGCCGACTCCTTTGATTCTGAGGGCTGGTTCAAAACGGGCGATGTAGCCTATTGTGACCAGAGGACTCGCAAATGGTATATTGTGGATCGAAGGAAGGAGCTGATCAAAGTTCGCGGTTTCCAGGTCGCCCCACCGGAGCTTGAGGCGGCGCTCTTGTCACATCCCCAGATTGTGGATGCAGCTGTCATTGGAATCACCTTCCTTGGTACCGATCTTGAATACCCGCGTGCTTATGTGGTTCGACGGCCCGGCGATGAAGGGTCTAAGCTCACAGAAGCTGAGATTCAAAAATATGTCTTGACTCGCGTTGCGAAGTACAAAGCCCTCACAGGTGGCGTGAAGTTTGTCGGCGCAGTTGCACGGAATCCGAGTGGAAAGATCTTGAAGAGAGTATTGCGCGAAGATGCCAAGAAGGAAATTCAGGATGGGCTTTTGAAGCCTAAGCTTTAAGCTCAACATAGAGGGAGGGGAACTCGGTAGCCCAGTGAAATATTTTGATTTCCTTCTTATGTCACCTTGTGATTTTTATAAACCTTTGAGCAAAACACAGTCCGGCTTCTGGCGCTATAGATGAAATAGTAGATTACCATTCCATTTTGATATCACGAGGGCACTGGAAAGCACTGCGGCACTAGTAATTGCAACATAGAAAAAAAAAGCGTAAAATAAAAAAGTCATCGCCCGGGGGCGATCCGGCAGCTCGAGATCAAGCGGCACTCGAGCTGAGGATGGTGGGTGCCAAACAAGCGGTGGACCAGTTGTCGCCAACGACAACCGCTTGACCAAATGCCCACCATCCAAACCTCTGGAATGGATTGTTGGATATATCACGTGGAAATGAGAACAGTGATGACACAGGAATTGTGACTTAACGCCTCACCAGGATAACCTTCTCCTTCGGCTATGACACACTATAGTTCACGTTGGTAATGGAATAATTTGCTTCAATATCGTCTTTGACAAGGATGTATCGCCATCACCATCAAACAGTTGTAATGCCCTAGACAGCGCCACATGCATCACTGAAGTCCGGTTTAGATCTACAAGTGGGGAATTGTGGGGAAGCCGAGTTCCGCGGCTAAGCATAATCTAAGCAGGGTACCATCCGTGGATGCATAACTTTGGAAGGCGAGTAGACTAGATCATGCCTTGATCTGTTCAAATTTGAATCTTGAAAGCCAATGCCAGATTATGGAACCAGTGGCTGGTGGTTGTGGAATAGGCGCACGTATAATTTTACATCATTGCTTGGTAGACACATCAGTAGGTGCCTAGTAGGTCAGTCTAACAATATTCAGTCATTTCCACAGAGCCAAACACAGTCTGGGTACAGTGAATAGAGGCTGACAGTCATGTAACACATGACTGAAGTTCTCGCAGCCATCGAGAGCCAATAAAAACTCCGAGCTATAAGGACGTCATTTTCCACGTGGTAGTTGAGTGCACAGGCAGCTCCGGGGTAAGGGAGGTAAGACAACCGAGTCGGCTTCTTCCAACGTTGGTGGCACAACCCCAGGCCAAGATCTGAGCTTTTGTTGATCCCCCGCTCAAGATATCTCCGCTCCATCATCTCCCCTCCAAACTGTGAAATCAAAGAAAGTGGATGCCGCTAACAAGATGTTGCGACGGACAAGAAGATCTCCAACAGCTTGCTCTTGGTGTCGTTATCGCAAAGTGCGTTGCGATGCATCAATACTCGGCTCTCCCTGTACTCGTTGCCGACAAGACGGTCGCAGTGAATGTATTCTTCGCGCCCAGAATCCTAAGCAGTGCGACTATATTTGAAACCCAAACGTCAAGCATTCATTTACTAACCTCTTCAGGTCACCCAAGTCACCCAAGTCACGCAACCCGGTGCTCCCTGCACAGCAGAGCTTAGATTCAACAAAAGGCCGACCCTCCGGGGACCGCCGCCAATCACATGCTCGTCAAAATCTTACCTCACAGCTCCGTGCACATGGTCTCAGCTTCGATGACTGCAGTGACAGTTCACCCGAGCTCCCTGATATTCCATATACCGAATACGCCTTCGTCGAGTCTCGGCGATTGCTGTCACTACCTTCCGAAGACATAGCCTTTCTCACATCCGAAGGCTGCTTGAGCTTGCCAGCATCCAATACAATCCACGAGTTTGTTGAACAGTATTTCAAGCGCATTCATCCAATGGTTCCTGTATTGGACGAAGCAGAATTCTGGCGCATTTATCGAAACACCCAATCTACAGGTCCCACTATATCTCTTTTTGTGTTGCAATCAATGCTTTTTGCAAGCTGTCCGGTATGTGTCACATTGTCTATCTGACGATTCGCGCCTTTGGACTGAAGCATACTAGTTTGTTTCTTTGAAAACATTGCGTCAATGTGGATTTTATAATAAGAGGGATGCACGAAAACAGCTATACAATAGAGCCAAAGTAGGCGACCCCAAATTCAATATCACATTTGCAATGGAATGGTACTGATTGCGCTGAATACAGCTATTATTTGAATTGCGGACCGAAAAGCGGTGTCATATAAATGCACAAGGCGCTGTTCTGCTTACACATTACACCTCTGCAGATGATACCCAGTCTGGAAGCTTATGGGTCACAAGGGCCATCGAGCACGCTATGCTTGTTGACGCTGAGCCGTTGTCGTCGATGGACAATGTGAGACTGTCGCTCAAGAAACGGCTTTGGTGGTCTATCCTTCTTCGAGACCGAAGCCTGTCTATTGGACTATGCCGCCGTCCTCAGGTGACCTCAATCAGCTTGCATGGATGGAGTGATTGGCTGAGCACAGAGGACTTTGAGGAAGAATTGCATCAGTCTCGAGTCTATGACTATGATACAAAGATGCGCTTACTGGAGGCACTTCAGAAGCAATGTGAGCTAGCTGTGCTACTCACAGATTTGGTGAATTTGGCATTCACTCAACGAAAGACCCCGAGACGGCTCCTATCTATGATTGAATTCCAGAATCTCTTGTTGCGCACAAAAAGAATCAAAATCTCCCTCAATGAATGGGAACTATCAAGTCAGCCTCTGATTCCATCAAGGGAGACACCACTATTGGATGGAAATGAGGCAGTTGAAAGTTTGACCTACATGACGTTTATGTACTACCAGTTCGTGAGCATCTCAGACCGCATTGTCTTCATAACTAATAATGTGGCATTCTGTCTCTAGCGCAGCACGAGTAAAACTGGCTCATTATGCGGCATTTATACTGGAAGAGAACGTTTTCTACGCAGGAGACCAATACGGCAATCTGGTGCTAGAGATCAGTGATGACCTAAGGAATGGGATCCAGGGATTGAGTGTCGTAATGGAACATTTCAGTGTCAATGGATATTCTGATAGTCTTCCTCTGAGTGTGTCAGTACCTCTTTCAATTTCATCATTCGCTTTGTCACTAAACGCGCTTTCCAATGTTCTGTTGCTGGACTGACTTTGCTAACATAAATTGCAGTCTTGGATACGTCAGTATGCCGCTCTTACTAGCAGCTATAGATCTCAAGCTTTCTCCTTCGCGAGAGCAGACGCAGGCAAGGCAACGACGTTTGAACTCGCTGAGTCAAATCATCCGTCACTCAGAGACGCTGTACGACGTTACCGACTGCGTGGCCGTCGCGACCAACCATCTCTTGCAGCTTGCCTATGTCACAACACAGAACATCTCCTCAGAAGGAATGTCACTCCAATTAGCTTCACCGGAGGACCTAGTGGAAGAGAACTGTTTACTTAGCAACAAATGTCCGAATAGAGCGTCCAGTAAATCGATGCCGCCTGGACCCAACTGCCCAACTAGCTGGCAAGATGCGTTCATTCAGTGCCCGAGGGCATACCTTCTGATATCGAACTCTGTGGACTATACCATGGCAACTGGGTGTCTACCATCTGCCGATGTTCTCCCTGAAATTGTTCGTGACCTTCCAGCAATGGGATTCATTGCTCGGCTTCCCTGGACATCTGATATTCCGTTATCAGAATCCACAAGGTCTCTTGTAGCCAGTACAAATCGGATTCAGCGACAGAGTTACCCTGGAAGTGTGCGTTCATCGTCTATTGAAGGACGAGATGCCCTCGACCCAATCGACATTGAAACCAAGACGGAGAAGAACTTACACCCGCAGAGGGTCCAGATTAATTACAACTCGTCAACAGATGCAACTTCTGACGATCCTGCGACGTCTTCTGTGATCACAAACGAGCACCTGCCCGATATCAACAGAAGAGCGGACCAGAGAGCTTCTGAAACTACCGGACCGAACCTGGATTTCATGGACTTTGGAGGGTTTCAAAGTGTATCGAACAATGTGACGGAAACCTGTACATTCAGGACTCCATTAGAACTTGTCAGTCACAACTTGCAGGTCGAGAGCCCATTGGACCAACAAGTGTTTGAACCCTATGGTGTCACATTACCACAGTCAATCAAAGCAATTGACTCGACAATATTTGACACGTTCTACCGCTCAGGATTTGAACAGAACTGGGCCGTTCAATAGGGCAGACTTTGGCTAGACAATGACATGAATGTTCCAGAAGACAGCTTTCTACAATAATGCCAGTATCTGCAACTGAGCATTGATCTCCCATTTGGCCTAGTGGGGTGCAAGCGCATCCCCGGAGCCAATCGCACGCAATTATGAGATCTCAAACACTCCAGAGTAGGCATGATTTTACATTCGCAGTGTTCTATGAACGCCTAGGCCCTACCAAGGGTCCAGCCGTACAACTCGCGTCATCTTTAGGCGCGTTTGCATTTTAGCCAAGCACCAGTCGGTAGTTTATCAATGTGCGCACAAACCAAAGCCTGGGGCTGGACACTGCACATGGCCAACACGAGACAGGTTTGTATGCAATGCAAGCCGAATTTCCCCGATGATTCCTCCGACAACGCTCCCACGCCTGAAAATCACTGATCAACTGACGCAATATCTTGGCGAAGAGTGTTCCCATTGTCCCTTTTTGAGGAAAGACATTTGAAGTCCTGTTGTTGCGGCAAGGGAGGAAAGTGGGTATATCCAAGGCATCAGGAATGATCGACAAGGATCGACACTCACCCCACGCCGAGAAGTCTTCTTAGAGTGGCGCAGCGTTAACGGATTCCTGCGCGGATCCCTTCAATAGGCAGGGGTTGGGGTACCCCGGTAAATCTGTTCGGATGCTTAAAGTTAGGATCATCCTTCATGATAAGGAATTTGACACACAGCAGTGACAGCATCTAACGTGGCACCGGCATCCCCACTTAATCTTTCGCCCTTGCTGTCGGGTTCTAACTAGCCTTCGGGGATGGCGAATACCAAGACCGTGAGCTGAACTACGCACTTCGACAGCCCTCATGTGTGTTACTTCGTATAATGTATTACGATTTGCTGCATAGGGTCATACCTAATTGTTTACATCTACGTCGATGCGATGAAACTTTTGACCAGATCGTGACGACCTAATTCGAGGATCGAACGGATTCGGCTATGCCTAATATCCCCTTGGCAGCAATGAAGTATACCAGGTCTCCACCTGCATCTTGCTCTGCCATGATCAGGTGGTGATGTCAGATTCCCGGCAGTGAGGATGGTTAAATATGGTTTGAAGTCAAAACACCGCCTAGTCGGCGGGCTGGCCAATTGGAGTGGAACTGAGAACATCCAGCCCCTTGGCGTTATCGCCTATTTTCGGCGTTTTCATTGTACAATTGACCTCACCTGGCCTGAAGATAGCAAAAGCATGAAATAGATAGTATTTCTCATGTCTTGGCACTTAGTATTGCTTTTTGGGATGGGAATATTCCCTTATCTTACCATTCAGCCCGAACAATACAGAGTAGTTTTTTGTTCTATTTTCCCGCCCCTTTTACAAATTTTCAACCTGCAAACGGCCATCAAGCCTTCCAATGCGATCGCCATTGGAGTACTGAGTTCCAAGTTGGGCATAGATGCTGCAGCCCTCAATTCTATTTCAAGAGAATATGCCAAGATTTGACCCGTCAGCGCGACTCAATGCCTGAACTGCTATTTAATGAATGTACTCCGTAGTCAACCTGGTCAATGCCAAGATCGGGGATTCGAGGCTGTGTTGTCGGAATTCAGCCGTTGGTATGCATAGATAAGACTCCGTGGTGAATCACACTAGTGATGAACCATTGATGCCGCCGGAGATCTTTCTTGGCGACTAGTCTTACTATAGCGCGTGGCGGCCCCGAACCGACTAGTGTCGGTAGATACGTCGATCCCTTGGCAAATTAAGTCAATAAAGTCCACCCTTGACGTTTTCAGGGGCCAGAATAGGCGATAAGTGTCGAAGAAGCCATGTCAGCCCAAGGGTCTACACCGAAGGTTGTATCTCAATCGTCCATACATAGGGGTAATCGAATTTAAATGATGGTGATAAGTCACATCGGTTCCAAATTTGAATTCGGTCGACTGCCGCGTAGTGATTGTGGAAGTAATAGCCAATCAATGGCTTAAAGCGTAACCATGCTGCCAAGAAATAATGTGAGTAAATGCTGCGGATTGCTTCTTGGGAACGAAGAAGCCTAGGAGTTGGCTCTTGACAGCCTCCGCCGAGCCAAGGTAGATCCTGAATCCCCAGCTTCCGAGGTCGTATTACAGCTTGATTTCTAATGGAGTCCGGGGATGAATTACGCACTTAGCGAAGATGATCAGGGTGCCAAGAGAGCGCCGAGATTCAGCCCAGATGACATCTGTGAGATCAACTCATTTCAGCATGGGTATCCATATTGGGCTACTCATTTTTCTAAGATTGGCCATGAGATTTGATCTGGTCATGTCGATAATCAACGTTGTACTGCTTGCATACGCATAGTATATGTGAAATAAAGAGCCTTAAGTAGAGGATATAGATTAAGTAGTTCGGCTCCCAACATATCCCTCGGCGGTGTAACACATACACGAGACGAGTAGGGATCGGGGAAGTAACAATGTTTCATGTCATCGGGGTATTTTCTTATCTTCCTTGGCAAAGATCTAGTGTATTCCTTTCGTGGAGAGGACCGGAATGAACCCGAAAATTGGATTAGTATTAAAGAAGGCTGAGTCCGTGTCTACAATGCAGTTTGACAATCCATCTCTTTTCATATTGAAACAGCCAAAGTGGAACTTTCCAGGCTTGATTCTGTTTATAATAAGCTTCTTCGACTTTAAATAATACTTACATATTTGCAATAATCCCACCATGCACCAGCCGCCCCCTTCCCCGTCGGGAGATATCAAGCCACTCACACCAACAGGCCACCGTGCCCCTGATAACCGTTCCATCTACACGAACGAGTTAACAACTGCCAATTTTCGTTTGGATCGGCCTAATGAGGAAATCAAGTATACACCGGGCTTTTGGTCTTCTGGGGGTAGCACAGCAGTGTCTGTGTCTGGCAACCCAACAGAAGACAATACGGTGTACTCGACTATCTCCCGCCACTTCCGAGCCGACATAGACACTACGCATACCGATATTCCTCTTATCGTATGCGGGTTCGTGGGTGGTTTGGTAGATGGGCTGTCATTTAATGCATGGGGCAGTTTTTCAAGTATGCAAACAGGTTAGTGCAGATTATAGATAGCAGGAAATTAGTTCCCATACAAAGCTCATAAGGCTGATGACAAATGATATAGGAAATACCATCTTCTTGGCTCTGGGCCCGTCCGGCCAGCCTGCATACCCAGCATATCTCTGGGCGAAGTCCCTGGTCGCCCTTACCGTCTTCATCGCCAGCAATATCCTTTTCATCCGCATGCATCGATTCTTGAGCCCGCGACGTCGCTCAACTCTGATACTCTCATTTGGCATTCAAACTATTGCCCTATTAGTAACAGCAATCCTTATCCAGAGGGGTGTGATTACCCCGAAGCCCGAGGACCCGCGGGCGCCGATTGAATGGATGCAAGTCCTGCCAATCTCACTTTTAGCTTTCCAAGCAGGAGGCCAGATCTGTGCATCCCGGGTTCTGTCCCTAGATGAGATCCCAACCGTGGTTGTGACCGCTATGCTATGCGATCTACTTGTCGATCCAAAGCTGACTGCAAAGTTCAATCCGAAGCGCAATCGTCGGATAGGGGCTTTTCTCGCGTTGTTTCTGGGCGCTATGACAGCGGGTGGGCTTTCCAAAACTACGGGTATGGCTTCTAGTATCTGGCTTGCGATGGGTCTGAAAATGATGATTACATTGGGGTGGGTTGTTTGGCAGCGAGAGGGGAGGAGGAAGAGCGTTTTGGATGTTTGACTCAGTCTTGTTTATTTTTGCGTCACCTATGCAGATAGGCATGTACACGAGCCCATGAAACTACCACATATAGCTTTGTTAGCTTCACTGAAATTCCCAGTATGTTCTCATCACCTGTGACATTCATTAGTCCCTCGTCTTAGACTGTTTATCTTGAAATATTGTCGTCTTTTCAATGCATAGAGCACATTTATACATACTTGGTACTGCATCGCTCTTCTGTCTCCATCGGTTTCTCTGCTGCACTCTTTACTATTGCCAAAGAAATATTGAAGCATGGCCTAGCCCAAACAGCTCGCCAGTCACTATGGAAGTCAAGTCGTCATACGCCGTTATCGCTGAGCAACTTGGAACTCGCAGCAGGTAAATCCTCACACAATCATCAACTGTGGAGTTACTGCACATCATGCAGAGTCATAGCTGATTTTTCACGTCTCCCAGTGCAAAATCCAACGTTACAGTAGTATGTTGCTACCTCTCCGGCATCTCTTACTTGCGTATCTCGATGTTCGCCTCATCCCTAGTCGTGCGACCTGGACTGTGGCCAGAATCTGCCACCCAGTTCAGCAAGCCGTTGAGCCTCAGTTCCACCAACCAGTGTGGATACCATATGTCAAGCTCCTTCTAGTCTTGAATTACACGCTCTTCTTGTCGCGATCACATTCCCTATATCTTCCTGGTATGAATCCGTCAACCAAGTTCTTCTAATGATCATTCTCCCTCTTGTCGGCAATGCGCACTTTACCTTTTCGTCTTCATCTTAAAGTTGAACTCCTCGCCTGCTTCACTGTCCACGCTGATCCAGTTATTATATCCGCGACTCAGCTCACTATATCTTTCAATGATTGGTTCCGCAGCAATCCTCATCCTCAAACTCATCAACATCTAACGCTCCAAAATAAATTTTAGCTATATTTCTCAAGTTATCTTTGGTACGGCTAATACGATCTCTCAGAGGCTACATATTAAGTTGAGAACTTAGCTGTCGGAGCTCTCAGGTGCAGCATGATTCAGCCTTGCTCAACTTACCAATATAGACGAGTATTTTTATGCTCTCTGTATTTCCTCATCTCCTACGTCTGCATTGCTTTCTTGTTTCTTTTGTTTACCATTGATCTCATTTATTAACACCCTCATCCACATTTTCGCTGCAACACACACTACTGATCTTGAATCCTCCAATGACATGATGACAAACTTAGATACCCTCAACCCCCGGTGGTACCTGGGTGTCTCCACGCCAATTTTGTTCTACTTCTCAAGCCCTGGAAAACCCCATGGGGTATAAATACACACCCGTCACATGCAAACCAATGATTGAAGATGTTGGTGTATCCCTAGAGCATCAGCCGGGTTGCTTGGGGTTCTGCGAAGATCATATGCGCGTGGATATGACGAAGTACCATATCAAGACACGCGAATTTTGGTTATCATTAGCTCCCATCGCCTGCTAGCAGAGTCAGCGTGTTTATTTTTATTTTCTCGCCAGGTCTCATGGGATAGATATCCTAGTTTTTTTTTATAGATGAGAAAGAATACTTCCTGCTCTCTCTGCCCTACTAGCCATATATACTATCATAAGGATATACAGGGTCGACTGTGACAAACAACTTTCACTATCTTGCTCTCGCAATATCCTATGTTCACAGCAGAACTTAGCACTAGTTGCATCTGGATGCAAGTGGTATATATCAGGATTGAGACTCAGCCGAGACGCATATTTTCTTAGGACAAAATTCCTCTGGTATAACCAAAACCTATAAATGAAATCTAGTCTATGATTTAATTAAGAGGGTATTGTGTTGGTACCCAAAGTACCATGCTTATTTGCTCTCCTCTGCGAGAACGAAGTGCAGAACACCAGTCTGTCCACTGGCGCGTCCCTTGGCCTCCGAGACATAGATGCACTTGCGGAAGGTCATCATCAGCGAGTACAAGAAGCCCTCTTCCTTCTCCTCGTGGTAGTTTTCACCGAGCATGGGCTGGATGGCCTTGGTGGCCTTCTCAGCGTTGTAGAAGGGAATGCGGGAGAAGAGGTGGTGGACTACGTGGTAGTCAATGATCTCGTGGAAGAAGTGACGACCAATGAAACCGGTGGTGCGGTCAATGGTAGCGAGGGCTCCCTTGGTGTAAGTCCAGGCCTCCGCAGTGTAGTGAGCAACGTCGGGGTGAGTGTGCTGAAGGTATGTGATGGCAATCAGCCAGTGGTGAACCCAGAGATAGGGGACGACGTAGAGGAGGAAGACATTCCATGCTCCAATGATGGTACCAGTGTACCAGACGATGGAGCCCATGATGAGCAGACCGATATCGGAGTAGGCAATCAGCTTCCACTGCTCAGCAGTGAAGATCGAGGCCGATGGGTTGTAGTGGCTGGCAAACTCGACCTTCTTGCAACCTTCAGGACCACTCTTGGCACCGGCAGTCACATTCAGGATGAGATACATCTGCCATCCGAGCAATTGGTGTCCAATGAGCTGGACGAGGGAAACAACGGGTGTCTCCTCGGCGAGGTCCTTCAGCTGCTCAATGCTGACATTTCGCTTGGAGGCCAACTCGTCCTCAGTCCAGGGGACAAAGACGGTGTCCTTCTCCATGTGACCGGTGTAGCGGTGGTGGCGAGCGTGTGTGATCTTCCATGAGAAGTATGGGACCATCAGGAAGGAGTGTGTGGCCCAGCCGATGAAATCATTAATGCCTTGGTGCTTGGAGAAGGCACCGTGGCCACACTCGTGCGCAAGAATCCATAGTCCTGTCCCAACACATCCTTGGAAGAAGCCGTATGTGGCCCAGGCAGCAATTCGCAGAGGCAAAGAAGGAAGGAGGTGAATGTGGAGCGCTGCATAAATCAGAGCTGCGCAGTAGATGATATCGCGAGCCAGATAGAGGAGGGAGGTGGCAAGAGATGATTCAAAGCATTCCTTTGGGATTGCATCTTTGAGGGCTTGCAGGGTAGGAACTTCGGTCTTCTGTAGTGGAACATCAGTATAGGCACATTGTTGAGTAATGGAGTTGGTACCACATACCTGCTCTACCTGCTTGACAGGCTGCCTTTGTGTCACACCCATTTTGAAGTGAATTAATACAAGATGACAGAGATAAGAGACGTTGAGGGTTTAAATGTATTTTTATTTCCTCCAATTTATTTTTTTTTCCTTCGCCCCTTTGCCATGGACTATGGAGTATCCCCTAGTCTTGAAAAAAAAAAAAAGGAGCTCTAGATTGTCGGAACTCAAACTGACATTGACCAATCCCCTTTTTCGAATTCTTTTCGAGAAGACTGTCAAATTGGCTGCTTTGACAGAGAGAAAGTCTTTTCATTGGCTGATCTTATAACGGGTGGACGCGCTTGTTCCATGGATTCACATACACTAGCCTCTTTCATCTTTTTTTCTTTTGTTTTTTTCATTTCCGGGGCCCAACAGAATTTTATGGAAATGTGTTTTTTTCGTAAAATCCAATAAAAGCCTATCATAAAACCTGATATTGAAGGTTCTGCTATTGAAAGTTGCTAACAGTACGACTGGATGCCGCAACCCTGGTCAAATCTCTGGATGCATATTTCGGCGTTTGCATACGATTATCCATAGCACGGGAAGTCTCGTACACCCCTTTTTCTACCTTAGGAAAATTGACGGACCCACTAATAAGCAAAGGTTGAGCGAAAAAAAGTCAACAAACGGCTTGGCGGTTATCTCGTTGTTTTACTGGCTCTATCAGGGGTAGCGAAAGCACTGCCCTCAATTGCTAATCTTTCAAGCGCTTTTTGATCTTCCGAACTACAGTGAAAACTGTGTACCAGAAACATGGTCAGAACTTCGGCCATTTCCTTGTTATAAGCTTATTTGCCAACGTTGCACAGCATAGCTTCGTGTCCATAATGTAAGGCTGTCAAACCGATGCTGATCTTGGCTGCAATGAAGTTTCTAGTCTTTCAATCATTGGAAACAATGATTATTTAGAATTTCTCCTAGCATCTGCCTAATCACGAAGGTATTGAAAGCAACGTATCATATCACTTCGCTATCTCAATTGAACGTTTCTCGCCTACTCCTGAGTTATACTCAACCCAAGTAAGCAGGGGATACGATAATTGTATAATGTACTCCGTATATGCGAGCCAAGCCTCTGTATTGCCACCTATCGTACTCCGTACATGACCCCCGGGGCTAGGGTTGAGCCCCCGGATCAGACAAATCTCCGGATGTTGTCTTTCGCCTCTTTCAATGAAAATACTTACCCCGTACCTTATTTTAAAGTTACATAAAGTTCGGAACCCTGGACGTGTATGCACGTGACAGCATTAATACACCGCTCTCATTCGGAAAACATTCGGAATCACATGAGAGCAAAGATTTGCACGTGCTGTGCCCAAATTGGATGTATAATGCCCACAACGCGAAGCACATTGAGAACTTTGCGATCCAAAACGACGGCTTATTCGTATGAAACCCTTTGGCCTACGTGCTCTATCTTTGAACTTGTTTCAGTCATTACACTGCATGATGTGCTCAATTCGCCATCCTCGAGGCAATCGCTGATTCTACCAATGCCTACAATACACATACGAGATATGCACATGTGATATGTCGTACCAGCTAGTTTTACATATATTAAACCTATGAAACTTACAATTTTGCCCGGAGCACAACAGACTCCTCCGGGCTTTTCAGCGTAATGTGCTCCGCCACACCTAGAAAGAGGAAAGTACTCCGTACACATAGTTCTATTCGTTGCAGTTCTGTTGAGCGGGTCCTGATCACATGCCAGATCACCCTCGAGATTCTAAAAAGTGTCTACTTTCAGTGTTACTTAGTGTATCACATGTCTTTATTTGTGTTATCTTAATATCAAATCGAGTACGGAGTACCTCGGGGCACGTATAATAATTCACTATCGATCTGGAGAGTATCTAGGAACAATCTACTCAGTTTATTTGGTAGCTCCCCTGCGAATGCGGGTCACATTCTAGTCCAGCGGGACATACGGAGTAGGAAGCTGAGCCCTAAGAACCGGTGGAGCAAGATTTGCACGTTGGGCGTGCGGGTGTACGCAGCGGTATAGGGGCTAGGGTTCAAACCCCCTTTAGTTAGCAAGGGGTTGATGCCTAGATGCCTTGGATTAGAGCGGCAAAAATAAATCAACATATCTGAGATACAGGTTCATGGGTTCCTAATCAAACACCATGGCTGGTTCTACCCGCGCGTCGGTGTCAAAACTGAAGCTTTTCATTTCATACAGATAGAGATCAAAGGCTTCATTGACACAAGCGTTGATAAATGATTCACAATACAGTGTACAGGGCGGTGTAGAGGGCGGTACTAAATCAAGGCGTCCAGGCATCAAGATCCCCCGGGGGCCTCCTCCATAAAGTGGGTTTTGAACTTGTGTACTCCGTACCGTTTAGTGTAAATAGTATCCCCATATTGAGGGCTATCCCAATAACTGAAGATATTCCCATCTTACAAGATACCCGGATCCATCAAATCCAGATGTTCAGAGCTCGGTCCGAGTCCTAGGATACAGTGCTGCGCCGGAGCCAGCGGAGGAGGATAAGGAGAGTAAACAGGCCGTCTGAATTTGATGGAGCTGAGGATTTCATATGGTGGGAATAGCTTCAAAACTGTAAGCCGCCCTACAGTCTGGCGTGCATACTTTTCATACCATACCGCAAGCTTCGTATTACCCGTTTACTTTTCAAGGAGAGATAGAACTTGTATCCATTTCTCATGAAGGACCCTGTTATAGTAATTCAGGTACATTGTTTTAACCTTTTGCCAGCTTCAAATAAGGCAACTCCAGGCATATTCAGGCAGAAAAATTGGATTTAATTGTATCCGACACCTGGCCGCTCTGCACCTTCGCAATCAACATTGATCCAAAATACACAACGCTGATTTTATTATTTTACTCAATCTACATCTAGAGCTCGATCAACTGAAAAATGGGCTGGCACAACGGAGATTCTTTTGAGCAATTTGCCATCCTCACACCTCGCTTGATTATTGTTCCTACCACCACAGCAATCTCGTTCAACTCATACCGGGCGCTTTATTCTGAGTTGCATGCAAATCCAGAGTTTTGTCAGATGGGTTTTGGGCCTCATTTCCCGGCTCGCGTATGGAGCGATGATGAGACACGTGAAATAATCCAGACGCGTGATATTGAACGTTGTTGGCAAAAGCGCGCTTTAGGCGATTTTGCCGTGGGGTTGCGCGGGTCATCCACCTTTGATTCCGACATTCAGTCCACACAGAATGATGATTTCACCGTGCTTAGAGGTGATGACTATACGCGGGTTGCGGGCCTCAATAATACCGATCTCGCGGCCCACGAATGGGTGGCATATGCAGGCCTCCGTGATGCCACAACAACCTCGATGCCGCCACGAGAGTCGGGTGATCCTGCGCTGCCATCGTGGGATGAGATGATTGAGTTGCGCTACGGTGTCTCTCCAAAATTCTGGGGCCAGGGAATTGTACAGGAAGCATCGAAGGCCATCATGCAGTGGTCTGTCGATGAGAGAGGGGTCAAAAGGTTCATCGCCGAGACGGAGAGGGAAAATAACAGGAGTGCAAAGGTGTTGCAAAAGCTTGGTTTCACACTGAGTGACACGAACTACTGGAAAGAACCTAGCGAACTGGAATGGGAGCGTGCTGCCAAATGAGTCCTGAGATATCTCGCATACCATCGCGTCAAAGAGTGCGGGGTGCAACTTCGCCTATACGCAATGCGTCCCCGCTGGTGTTTATCAATCTGCCTGAGGACTTCACCCAACAACACTGAATGTATATACACCGAGAAATACCCATATCACCAGCATGGCGAATGTTGATTGGTTTGAAAATATAACCATCTCAACCTCGAATTGCGTCAATGCTAGCCTACATACATCTTGCAGGCCATTCCCAATGAAAATTCACCATCCGGCTGATGTCAAGCGATATTGATCCATCATGCTCTTAGCTTCAATCTCGACAGGGTGGAGTATTTTGACATCATCGCTTAATCCCATATACGATAAGAATATAGACCCGATTTAAAAGAAGCTCACATCCGAGTTTTGACACTTCTTTTCAAAAGGCAAGACCATCTTTGAACTTCTTCCCTTTCAACAGCGCTCTACGAGAAGACCTTGTTATGGCGCCCAGGTTTCAAAGCGTTGCTGTGATTGGCGCTGGCCCATCTGGCATTTCTGCCGTCAAGGCACTGCAAGAAGAAAACACTTTCCAGAAAATTCGTCTATTCGAGCGACGGGGCCATATTGGAGGAATTTGGGAATACGACGAGATCCCCGATCAGTTCCCATCCCAGGAAACGTCCCGGCAACAAAGTCATGAAATCCCAAGACGCCTTCCACTGCTCAAGTCCCCTTCTGCAGAAGATGTCACGTCTCGGACAGGAATCTACGAGGGACTTGACAGCAATGTTGGAGCGAGAGTCATGGCTTTCTCGCACACTCCATTTCCTGAAATAAATTCGGCATTGTCAACCAGGAATTTGGGGCATTCTAACCCCACCCGGCCGTTTCGGGTGGTGAGGAAATACTTAGAGGATGTGTTTCAAGACTACCTTCACCTCGCCTCGCTCAATACAACAGTCGAAAAGGTTGAAAAGCGAGGTCAAAAATGGACCTTGGTACTTCGTCAGTCTGGCCATAAAGATGGTAACACCGCCAAAGACTATTGGTGGGAAGAGCAATTTGATGCCGTGATCATTGCATCGGGGCATTACAGTGTCCCATCTGTTCCTTCCGTTCCAGGGCTGGATGCTGCCTTCGCGCGCTATCCGACCGTATTCGAGCATTCAAAGTCGTTCCGGACAGCAGACGATTATGTCAACAAGCGTGTGGTGGTGGTTGGAGGTAGCGTCTCCTCAGCAGATCTTGTCGCAGACTTACATGCCATCGTGAAAGGGCCTCTCGAACTATCGCAGAGGGGGAAGAACGAAGCGCTTCAATCTGCATGGGATCTACCTAACGTCAATCTTAGGCCAACGATCAAAGAGATCCAAGCAACAGAGAAAGGAGTCAGCGTCTTGTTCTCCGACAACAGCTTTTTAGAGGGCGTGGACAAAATCATTTTCGCTACTGGGTACAAGTTGTCTTATCCATTCCTCGTTCCAAACCCCGTGACCCCCAACAACCGGCTATCGGGGTTTTACCAGCATATATTCAAGATCGGGGACCCGTCTTTAGCCCTCGTCGGCCAGGTTCGCGCTGCACTCAGCTTCCGTGTTTATGAATACCAGGCTGTTGCGATTGCCCGATATTTTGCTGGCAGAAATGCTGTCTCCTTGCCGACGCCGCAAGAGCAGGATCTTTGGGAGGTCCAACGCCTTCAATATAAAGGCCATACTGCCCTATTTCATGAAATAAAGCCTGACTTTAAGGAATACTTCGATTTCTTGGCAGACTTAGCTGGCCCCCCAGCACCGGGAACGGGCGGTTACACTCTCCCACCTTGGGAGGATAGATGGGCAGAACAAGGATTCGAGATCCTGCAGCTAAAGGACAGGTACTGGAAGTCACTACGGAGAGCAGCGGATGAATTAGGGGTAGTGACGGCTAAACTTTGAAGTCAACATTATCTACCGTCCATGGGAAGGGAATGTATATATTGCAGCCAAACGTCGCCAAATGTAACTAGCCCGACACTCTGCTAGGTAATTTAGAAGAAAACTGCACGCGCAGGTTTTGTGTGGTTATATATATGCACGCTCGACGGATGCTGCTCCCGAGCGTATTTGATCTAGCTTCCAACTCCGTGCATTGTCTGGGTACGACGCCACACCGCTGTAAGCGCTCTGACAGTATTGCCAATTCTCGGATTTGTGCTAATAGGCTATTTTAAGTCCAGTCAGATAGTCCACACCTGCTGCATCAGCTCATGCACGAATCTTACCACTGATATATTACCGTGGTGGTGGTTGCGTTGCTCCAACCTGTGCCGACACATAACCTACCGCTAAGCAGCTCATATTGATCTCAATTTGAACAGCTTAAGTTGCGGATCATGTGGCATTGCTTTAAATTCACCACCAACCTCGAGGTATGATCTAGCTCGTAAAGTGTGTCGGCACGCCCAACTTGTTCCTCTAGTACATGCAACTAACACCGGCGCTAATCATTGTGGCTTTTGCAACGCTACTTTGTGCGTAGGAGGTCATCCTTCAAACGTATGTCCCAGTGTAAGTACGAATTCAACGCAACACAAATCCTCTAATAGTGGGTCTGGACATTTTCTGCACTGTTCTTCTTCCGCTGGATCTACTCTTGGCTGCTACCTCAATAACAGTGGTTGTCCCCCACTATCCAATCCAGAAAGTTTGATATATGTGGAGATAGAAGCGCTAATATAACAAAGAAAGTATAGCTATCCAGCCTTGACCTGATCCACTGGTTACGGAGCACGTGAATTGTCTGTTGTACACTCTCCCGGGGTAGGGGATCCTCCACGGACCGGAGTACAATCAGCACGAAACTCATTGGAAACCCCTGCATTCGTATGACAAAATGGAGAATAAAACGACCGGACATCAGCAGATCTGATAGATAGATCGGCGTAAACCCAGCTATTTTTCGAATATCGTTCTGCAACTTTCAAAACACGGGGGCGGGAGCGGGGGCATCGAGCTCTGATATTGTTCATCTTTCCCCTTTCTGAGAAATGCGCAATGCAGTACATGAGATCGGAGTTTCCACTTATAGACAATAGGTGAAGCACAATATAAGCCCAATCCGACTCTGACTGTCCTCCCATTTGCTGAAACCAGTGGGCTTTTTATTCGACACGGGTCCATTTCCCCCATAAGGCTAAGGCCACAATCATAAACCAATCACATCTCAGGTCCGTGTCATGACTAGCCGATCATCAAAATGGTTGGTTTTCCTGAACTCCCTCAATACTGCATCGAGTACGAAGTACGGAGTAGAGCTTATATAAAGATGAACACCATTTAGACATCTGTCTACTCCGTATCACTTCCACAATCCATCATGCTCGGACTCTTACCTTTTGGCCTTCTGGCCATTGCCGGTTTCGCAACAGCCCGCGATCCCACAGTTTATTTTATCCGACACGGCGAGAAACCTGATGACGGAGGAAATGGGTTGAACGCAAATGGGCTCAAGCGTGCCGAATGCCTTCGCAATGTTTTCGGCAAGGACTCAGAATACAATATCACTCACATCATGGCGCAAACCCCTAAGAGCAGTATGATTCTACTCAATCCTTGTGTGGCTTCCGCACTGGTATACACTAGGAGGCTAACATGAAGGGCATAGATGGCAAACGAGCCCGTCCCCGCGACACCGTTAAGCCACTGGCGGATGATCTTGGCCTCGAGGTCGATACCTCTTGCGATCGGGATGACCCTGACTGTGTTAAGCAGGTCATTGAGTCATTTGACTCAAAGGGCGAGGTCAATATCCTGATTTGCTGGGAGCATGATACAATCACCGATATTTTGGAGACACTGGGAGTCAAAGATGCACCCCATTATCCAGATGATAGGTCAGTGTTCAAACCTCGTGTTGTAGTTTCTGTGTGATTCCTCTGACATCTCCATAGTTTCGATCTCATTTGGACCGTCCCATCCCCTTACGATGAGATCACTGATGAGACCAGCGAGCAATGCCCCGGGCTGGATACTGTGCGCACATGCTGAGATATAGTCCACAACAGTATCGGATGCTTCCAACTCCTCAAATTGATGGGTTTGGGCCCAGGCTATTTGTACAAGTCATACTCAACCAGAACATATCATTGAGAATCAATTGGCACTATAGTTTTTTTGTATCTTTATGGCCAATTTGCATTTTGAAAGAAGGCTATCTGATACTGATATAATCAAACTATTTATAAAGCAGTTTATTGATATCGCGCAGAGAACAATGAGTAGAAACTACGAATATTCTCATCGTCTTCTCTTTTGACCTTGGCGTTACCTAGTTATATACCCAAAGTTATATGACTAATTGGGACGGGCATATTGTCAGAAAGAGGAAGCGAGCACATATTCGACAATGAAAATTTACATTGCCTGTCATGAGGGCGGATAATTATAAGATGGGAACGGGATGTACGGACGATGTCGATTGTGCGAAGAAACCGGAATTCCAGTTCCTTAGAGCTGGTGTAAGTTTTGAACCTATCAGAACTGGTGATGATATGGGACTGGCGTGAAGAGCTGTGGCCGAGTTTAATTGATTAAACTGAGTTCCATGCACGGCCATCAGCGTGGTTGGTGTCGCCCGGGCGAGAGATGGGTGAATGCCGGTTTATGGTCGCCTGACAAGGGATTAAAAGTGTTAGTGTGCCAAACACAAAGTGAGAAGTTGGGTGAGATCACCTCCCGTCCTTCCTTCGCGGGGCTAACCCTTGCAGCGACGCAGGAGGAGGACATCGTTAGGATGTCCGACTTAGGTAACTTGTTGAGAAACAGAAGAAGCTATGGCACATGCCGGGTTATACTTACACAGGTTTGTGACAAAATTCAGGGATCTTGTAGACTACGGGAATTACAATTTGAACTTACAAAAAGCTAGGAGGATCTGATTTCAGAGCTACGTTGTTGTGAATAGGTTGTGGGGGTAATAGCTGACAGGAGAGATAAAGAGCAAGTCATATTATTGGAAAAGCATGGGTCCATGTTGATAATGGGAACGCCGCATGCGATAGCAAATTAGTGGCTTTAGGTCCAGTTGGGGATATCAGCAAAGACGTTGTACGAAGCCATAGAGACCAGGTACCTATTCGACCTGCGAAACGGCAGTTCCCTTCTCAGTGGAATTGGGGTTATGGGCTGTTCCTTCCTCTGCGCGCAGATCCGCCATCTTGTTTGATTGAACCGCTCCCTGCTCCAGTTTGCGAACATGCTGGTACTGCACATTGGTCTTCCAGGGCACGAGACCAGGGGTTGTGAACATGGTTTCAACTTCCTCCAGAGTTTTTCCGGCTGTTTCAGGGAAGGCAAAGAAGACGTGTACGGTCATTGCGAAGCAGAAGACTCCAAACACCACATAAACCTTCCATTGGATGTTTTCAAACGCAGGGGGGACGAAGTAGGACAAGGCAAAGTTGAAGATCCAGTTAGATGAGGTTGAAAGTGCGACAGCCTTGCCACGCAGGCGAAGGGGGTAGAGCTCGGGGGGATAGATCCAGCTAACAGGACCCCAAGTTGGTGCGTAACTGGCGACGAAGAGATACGTGCAAGCGATGATTCCCTTGGCAGCCTTAGGGGCAGCAGACATATCCCATGACTGTTCGGGGGTATGGTCGACACCACCCGGTGGAGCTGGCTTTCCGTACGACGCCATGATTCCAGCGTTGGCAAACATGAACACCATCATGAGGGTGGAACCGATCAAAAGCGGAGTACGACGACCCCAGCGATCAATGAAGACCAAGGCGAGAACGGTCATCACCACGTTAATGACGTACTGAATTGAGGATGCGACAAGGTTTGAGTTTCCACTGAGACCGGCCATACCAAAGACGTAGGTGATGTAAAGCATCATGACGTTCATACCGGTGAGCTGAGACCAGATCTGAGTAAAGACACCGAGGTGAGTACGGTAGATCATCCGACCTTTGAAAAGGTCGAGGAAGGAGGCATCCTTGTTGTCGCGCTCGAATTCGATCATTTCACGAATCTCCTGCAACTCAGTCTGCACGAAGGGCGCATTGCGATCACCCTTGGCATGGACCGAAGCCAAAACCTCAAGAACCTCCTCCCAGCGGTCTCTCTTGGCCAGCCAACGTGGACTCTCGGGCAACAAGAAGACCAGACCAAAGAGCATGGCAGCGGGAACCATCTGCAGACCCCAAGGAGTGCGCCAGGCGGCGGTACCCTCAAGGAAACTGCAACCGTACGAGACGTAGAACATAATCAAGATACCCCATGTAATTGCCCACTGTTGTGCTCCCACAACCTGGCCACGCTTACTGGGCTGGGCTAACTCGGCGACATAGACAGGGACTTGGGCGCTGAGGATACCGACGGAAACTCCGTTGATGAAGCGGCCAACGACGAGCTGGGCGATTCCAAAGGACGAACATACAATGGCACTACCGATGCACCAAATGACTGAGCCTGTCTGGATGGCTCCACGGCGACCCAGGTAGTCAGTCACGAAACCAGAGATAAGGGCGCCGACCCAAGAGCCACCAGGCATGGCAGCGGAAATGCCACCCTGATTGGCAGAGGTAGGGCCACCGCATTTACCGTCTTCGTTATTGCCGAGCTGATTGAAGAAGCATTTATATTGCTGTGTGCCAAGACTGCCGGAGATGGTTAGCTAACAACTTTCACCTGGCTCTCATCCAGGGACCGGAAGCCTTACATTGCGGACATGGAAGCAATATCAAAACCAAACAGTGCACCGCCAATGACGGCCACCATGGTGATGACGTAGATATTAGTGATCTTGTACCCCATGATTAAGGTCCAAGGAATGTAAGATGAGTGGGAGAAGGAAAAGGAAGAAAAGAGAAAAGCAAGGGAGGTTTTAAAGGTCAAAAGAAAGAAAGTACCGGGAAACAGTCAAGCTTCCCAAACGGGGAAAGACCCAAACCCAAATAGAAAACGCGGAGTTGTGGAGATGCGGGGGGTTAACAGCCCCAGACCACTTGCGGTGATATACACATACATAAATACTACATATGAATGTAACAAAGATATAAGAAAGATAACATATAACATACTCCAAGAGAACCTCCAAGAGAACCCAGATTTTATCCTTCAATATGCCCATATTCAAAGAAAAGCAACCAAGTCGTCAAGTCATCAAGTCAACAAGTAACAAAAATGACCCAATCATCAGCTACATATCAAATTAGTTTGTGGTCAGCCGTGTCCTAGTGTATGTAACTTCATCTGTTGCCCTAAGCCACATGGTATCATCGAATCCGGGACATTTACCTATTTTGTTCGGAATTTTACCTATCTTGTTCGGACATAGTGGGACATCCACGGATGAGAGCCGCGTCTGTTGGTTTCCCTTTGGTTGACAGAACGAAAAGGCGTAAAAAATACATAAGAAACTTTCCACCGTACACGACCAAAGGGACCAAGCATCCAACCCAGTGCCGACATCCGTGCTGTGTTGACATCGAAGTTACGATCGTGACCTACGCTAGGGTTCACCTAGCGCGCCATCGGGAGACGGGTGGCATCAGTTCTCCTTGGCAACACGCCTCTCCCGTTATGATTTGCCAACACGTCACATGCGTCAGCCAACACCCTGGAAGCCTGTTTGTCCGGTCAGAAACAAATACAAGGGTCTGTGGTACGACCCGACTAGGATGTTGCGCTTACACACCCTTGAAGCAAGTTCAAGTCCGAATTATCTGACATCCCACCCCATATTTCTACCCAGAGCCTCTCCCGAGTTGAACCAGAGCAAAACCCCAGACCGCAAAGCTAAGCTCTCGGCACAGCTAGAAAGCGCCACATTACGGTTGGGCCCCTAAGGAGGCGTAAATTAAGTCAGTAACCAGTTGACCAAGACTCTGCTACCAGGTTTAGTCACGCCACATGACTGAGCTCTCGGCTTAAAGCGCGCAAAAGATGCGTTTGTTCACGACCATGGCTGACTAGCAAAATCTGGTTGGTTAGAACTCGAATCCTTTGGCGGCCACGGTGCGGGAAGAGACCCCTTCGGTGGAGAAGCGGGAACAACAATGCACTAATCTCCACATCACTCTTCACCGGCCCTTACATTGCGTACGAATCTCACCTGCTTCCCGGCGATTTGGCTTATTAGCCGGTACTAAGACGGGATCCACTGTGAACATCCAATTTTACTGCGCCCAAAATTCAGTCTAGACCGAATAACCTGGCCGAGGAAGGGTGATTGACCCGTTGACTGTTTTAAAATCTGCCGGCTTCACACGCAGAGTGTATGCTTTGGGTATGTGCCCCATAATAAGCCACCCGGGCTAGTTGACAATTGCAGCCACCGGTGGATGTATCCAATCGATTTAGCGGACATATGTCAGACGAAATAGTGCGCCAGTACTTCGTAGTTATTCTGCCTATCTTCTACTCTAGGAACTGTCACGGCGGCTACATACCTATGTCTGGGCCTCATCGCCTTATAGGGCCTCGATAGACCAGAGCGGCCCACATATATAATGCCCTCAAGCTCGAATAATAACAAAGTCCACGGTGTCTGGAAGATAAGGATACATTCAAGCTCCTCGTAACACATGCCCTAAGGCCGGAGTTTCTAAATGCCGCACCATGCAGACATTCAGAAACTTCTGGCGCGGCAACGCACACCGGCGGCCCCATTTTGGGACTGATGGGAGACTAACGGCTGTATGATGGTACGAGGACCTGAACGTACGCCAGCAGTTTAGTTTCGAAATGTCTTTGGCCAATGCCCGCCACCTGCTTGATTTCCTAGCCCAATCGCTGCTTCACATTCCGGGTCATTTTGATCGCCTGCTTCGTGCGTGTGAGCCTGTGTGAAAGGCCTACCAAAATTTTGTCTAGCGACTGGACAACCACGAGCATTTTTCCTGTCTTTCATTTGATTATCCCCGTCCTAGGGCCTTTCGCTGATTGTTGCAAAAGGCTGCCCTGTCCACACGGGCGGGCGATGCCAGTGCTGACTTGCGCCATGTTTCAATATAGGTATCCAAATACATGAGGTGAAGTTGCCAGCGAGCATCGGGCAATTGTGCCAGTTACCCCCCGTCTAGAGTGTCTATTCCGACTGCGTGGCCTAATAAGGACTCGTCTTTCGTATTGTTGCTTGAGACTTGCTTGTTCAAGACCAATCTAGTCAGCAAATTTTGCTTGTCGGTTCCATTGTCTTTCTGGAGCATTGGCTTCCGCCAGAAACGGTAGTTGGCACCTTTGAGGCCATCAGAATCGTTGAACAGTCAGTCTAACATTTGTATGCGTGACTTGTAGGGCAGTATATATGTTGTGCATGATTCTAATATGTACCATCATTTTGCTGACGTTTCTCAAGAATTCTCTTGGCTTGGGAGCGGATGAAAATGCAGATCATAACATCGCTAGGCGTTTGATGTAACCTTGGAAGCCGACTCCTGGTTACTCCGTGATCGGAACTTCTATGTGTAGATCACAAGAAATACAAAGGCGTTTAGAGTCAAATATGACATCCAACAACCAGCGACGTGGTCCCATCAAATATACTATTGTAGCATCTCCACAAGATGGGCTGCTAGGGTTGCATTGGCCCCCTGTGCGTTGTCTCCGCAAAATGATAATATGCCTGCGCATGGTGCTTCTGAGTCAATGCTTCGAGTTTAAATGATATATCGGATGCAAGTGAGAGGGCTTGCGTGAGCGCAAACATTCGCCGAGAAGAGATTTTTGTTTTGTACATTAGCTGAAAATGAATGTGTCTACAACATATATTTTTCCTCCTGCACAATACTAGGTTGTCAAGAGGATTAAATCATAACTTTCTTTCCTCCGTTGATGCAAGATATACCCACAATATCCTCCTTGTCATTCTCTACCTAACCCTGTCGCTGATAGTAGGCAAAGAAACCACATGTGATCATGAATGGAAATGATGCTGATTTCAGGACTTATCCCTTGGGGACAACATTGGGAAGTCTGACGCCTGTGGCGTTGGGGGTCAAAATGTGGGGGCGGAGGCTACATGCTGCGAATTCTCATCTTCATCCCTTACTAACATTGTGCTCGCCACAAACACATAATGGGCACAGCGACCGATATATCGTCTTCGTGTGTGAACCGAGCTGAACGACTCGGAGATGCCTTACCACCACCTTACACAGAGCACGACCCGCATACTGCAGCTGAAGCTCCCCAATATGAAACACCGTCCTATACCAAATCTACCAGTATATCTGCAACAATCAAATTCCCCCGGTCATGAACGGCTACTTTCAATGGAAAATTACGAGCACATTCCATCTTGGGCCGACCGCGGAAGAAAAGTTGTACGCGGTGTCAACCCCAGTGGCTTTTTTGAATAGCAAACCCTCGATCGTGTTACACGATGGCCCAACTAATAAGCACCCGATAATGGCAACGGCACGCGGCGACAAGTGGGGCAGACGTAGACCCATCGCAATCACACTCCCACCTCGTCCAGGGTCTGAACAGAAACACGATATCGTGGAACAGGTCGTTCCCGGCGGGTCACTGAAGCATATGTCACCTACCTACACATTCGAAATATCCGTGGGTTCGAAGGGAACAACGCCCGAGAGATTCGAGTGGCGCAAGAGCCATGGGAGTGAAATTAAAGAACTCGCCGGTCATTCCCATGGATGGAAATTGGTGCGGTTGGCACCACCGGCGAACAACGGTATAGGTGGGAGCAGAAAGGAGCGCGATCACGGTTATACAAGTGATGGATTGGAGGTTGTGGCCATCATCGCACACAATGCTTCTTGGAGCATGACCAAAGGGTTTCGATTTGCCTTCTTGGGCGTTGGCCTGACTGGTACAATGGGAGAAAACTGGGAGATTGTGGTGGTTACTTCCGCTCTCCAAATGTGGCTCATCGATGTCCAAAGCGCATCTGCTACAAGCGCTGCGACAAGTGCGGCAACATGTTAGAGGATGTTGTCGTGATGGGCGCAGCTCTAGCTCACGGTAATGCCCCTATCACCAACCCCAACCATAGTAAGAAAATACCAGCGATACCACTGCCTGGCTGCCTAAGGCTTGCTGCTTCTCCGTTTGTTGTCAGAACCTACTCAATCTTTTCTTCTCTCTTCAATGCCTACCTATCGAAGACATCTTTCCCGTGACTTTAGCATCAACCACCTTTTCTGAAAAGAACTCAGCGTACGCTGTATGTCTCATCCCTCTTATCCACTGAGACGCAAAGATAATACCATACCGTATATTCATCGCTAACAATAAGCAGCATCTGACAAGAATTGTCTTCAAGGAAGTTGATCTCGACGGTAATCTCGACGTCATGAGATCACCCCTCCCTTCAGAAGAGCCTGTTGCAGTCGATACAACCGACAGTGTCACTGCCAATTTACGAGCCCTCTATGTACAACAGCGAGAGCTCACTGAGTGGAGAAAAGACTACGTTGAGTGGAAGAAAGAGGCCGCTGAGTGGAAGGAGGAGGCTAATGAGTGGAAGGAGCACTATGAGTGGATGGAATACGCGGAGTGGAACGAGTACACTGATTTTAAAGTGAGAGTTGAGAGGAAGGACTACGCTCGGTGGAAGAAAGACTACACTGAGTGGAAGAAATGGTACTCCAAGTGGAAGAAACAGTATGCTGAGTGGAAAAGCAACCACGGCTCGCTGGACGCAGCCTGGAAGAAAGAGCTCGCGAGAATAGAAGCAGAGGCTGGGAAAGATGCGCTATGGTACATGCGAAGCTCGGATGTCAAGAGAATTAGCTCACATTGATTTCTTCACCCACACCAAATGACTGGCCAGGTTGACAATGAAGAGATAGATGATTCGGTAGTTTGGGGTGGGAGTATCATTACGCGCATTATGACCACCGCGGCTCTTTCTCATCTAACTTCAAATTTCATGGCTTGATGAGAAGAGGTGCTTGGAAACACCATAGCGTCAGTTATACAAGATGTCTTAACTGTCCTGTAGACCTATGGCATACCCCCCTCGATAATTCTTTTACACTCCGCAGCTAGGGCCCTATTTCTGTCCATGGCCAAAGCATTCTTTCACTTCACCACGATATATTCGTCAAAAAACTCGAGAGCGGGCCCGACTACACAGATAACGCCTGACGTTTAGACAAGTACCGAAAAACTCCTACTCGTGTTGTTGAGCAGGGAGACCGGCCCCCTGTTGCTGCGGCTACTTGTATTGTCTCATGGTCTAACGACCAGCAACTGTGCTTGCTGTGATCATTTGAAAGAGAGTCAAGTTTTTTATACATCGAAATATCTGAGTCATTGTCTTGTGTAAAACACTTCTGGTGTTAATTAACCTTTCCGAGCTAGCAACCCTAGCCGAGCAATATATTAGCCGTCCCTTTACTCGGATTTATCGCCAAATTGGCGCTATTGTCACCGTTTTTGGTTCTTTGGCTTTGAAAACAACGAAAGGGTCTTGGGCTTACACCATTGGATTTTCTGCATTTGATCAGACCGTGAAATCACGTTGAATGTTCTCTGCCAAGTGAAACCTTTCGAGGTGTACGGATCCGGCCTGACGTAGTTTTGTCACCGAAAAGAGATTTGGGCCATTCTATACCCTTATGCTGTCGCGACCTTGCGTACGAAGCACGTTTGAGTAGCCCTCAACTAGAATCCTATTCTGTATACGATATATGAACTCATGATACATGAGTTGAAGCCACGTGACGAGGTCGGAATGTCATTGGTGAAACTGGCGGCATGCGCGGGAGCGGATATTAGCATTGAAATCTCCGAAACATGGCGATCTTGATCAGCAAAGCTATCTAGTACACCGGACAGCGCGTGCTGGTAGTGATTGCATGCGAAATTTGTCGCTAGTGTGTCCCAGTCCGAAAGAGTGTCGTGCCCAATGTCTCAAGACGATCTCTAGCTCCCTCGCTCCACCACCTTCTCCCGCGAGCCCACTCGCACTGCTCCACCTTCGTCATCGTCGGTTTTTGTATACGCACACTGCTTGACATTCGTCTATGTAATGTTTTCCGAATTGCTGTTCTCCATAACCTATTGTGATCTTGAAGAGATGGGGAGGAGATCCGTTCCTACCGCCATGACTCCGCTACTCTCGGACACCATCTTCAGTACGGAGTATCGCAATAATTGCACTTCATGCACCTAAGTGGCTCTTCGACTGTCAATCGCTGCCCCTTAGACCCCCAAACTCCCCGCTCATCCATGCGAAGTTCGGGACATTCCGCATTGAGCTCAATGTGATCATTTCCGTCGTACCTGCCATCTTTGATTTATGGATGGAGCCGGAATTGGAACCCGCAAATGCGGCAAACCTTCCAACAAACGCAATGTCTCTGCGATTTGAGATGTCGAATTTTTCTTCAAAGTGGAAACGAACATTTACAACCTCTCAGCGTCTCTGATTATCGATCCACAGGGACTCATGGAGTCCTGGCATTGGTCGGTTCGGATCAAAGTTTGATCTTCCAGAACTCCCGCGGTGGCCAACTCTGCGATAATAGAAAATTGATCTTAAATACAGAGGGTTCCATATTTATTGATCGCTCTTATTTGGAACTGATCTTACAGTTCTATTGTTCACTATCCCTCCCCGCGATTTTCATCCATTGCACCTGTTGCTTTGTTCAATTTGTTGAAGTTATTCATAAGTACTATCATGGACCTAGCGCTACCCAATGACGTACTGCTCTTGATAGGGGAGGAGGTGAAACAGAAAGCAGACCGCTGGAACCTCATCTTTGTCTCTCATCACTTTCACGATCTTTTCCTTCCGTTGGTATACCGAAAGGTGTCAATCCACAATTGGCAAAACGCCAACTCATTCCTGCATGTGATATTGGAAAGACCTGCGCTGGCGCAGGCAGTTCGAGAGCTAGACTTAGCAAACTGGCAAGCGAAGAGCGCGTCGGACGATGACTGCAACCAGATTCAGAGTTCGGAGCCTTTGAGGACATGGCTGGATGTTGTATCCTGCTCAGCACCCGAAACTGATCAGTGGGCCAAGGGCCTCGGACAAGGCCTTGTTGACGCCTGGGCAGCGATCATCTTACCACTGTTGGCTCAGCTCAGAAAGCTTTCACTGGCCTATACAACAGACTTCCCACATTTGGACCGGATCATGCAAAGAGCGGTGCATTCCGAAAAACCATTTTTCGCCCAACCAGCCTTCCGACATCTACGCAAGGTCTCACTACATCACCGGAAAGATCTCGATCGCAGCGAGCACCTGGAAAACGCGGGAAATGAGATTCAATTATCATCAACACTCCTGCTGAGATTTTTCCAACTGCCCTCTGTTCGTGCAATCACCGCCAATTCTGTGGTGGATCCTAGCATCATTACTTCATCCTCCGAGGAACGAATAGATGACGAGAAGCCTCGTCTCAACTTCTCTTCAATCACCGACATCGACTTGCGCACAAGTAGCGGGAACCAAGGGATGAAGATGTTGGTTAGTGCGTGTGCAGATTTGAAGTCGTTTAAATATCAACACTCAGACTCACATATCCTGTCTGATGGCTACCAACCATCTGCTTTTTATCGCTCTTTGATTCACAGCAAAAAGAGTCTGCAAACACTGTGGCTGGACCACTATGGCAGCCATCACCCCTTCACCGCTGCCGGGTTGAATCAAAACCATGACGAGTGGTTCGGCTCGCTTGTTGATTTCACTGCCTTGCAAGAAGTGCGTGTGAGACTGACAAATCTCTTGGATATTCGGTACCAGAATGAACCAACCACGCCTCTTATTGAATGTCTCCCATCATCAATTGAGACCCTTTACATTGAAGGGTGTGAGGAGCGGTATCTTGGGATGTTGGTTTCCCAATTACAGAGCGTCATTAAAAATCGTCAGACTCGTTTCCCTAGACTTAAACTTGTCGATATCGAGGGCGCATTCCACAACATCCCGTCCGATGACGATGATCAGGTTGCCACCTCCGGACTAGACGTACTTGACGCTGTGATCAAGGACAAAGTGTACCAGGCCGCTGAGCCTTTGCATATAGACTGTGTTAATGCTGGGCTAGAGTTGCGTTTCCACGACCGTGATCTGCCGCATATTTGATTCTCTGTTCCCATTCGAGCAACCCTCGGGCTTGCATTTCCCAGCATTTGATTTGACGATACGACCGGAACGCTCTGCATGATATAGACATGATATAGATGTGCCTTTCAATATTCACAATTATTTCGTCCTTGGACATGAAATTTTAATTGCAATTCTTTAGATGATCACAGAATTCTTCCATTCTTCATGCTTAACTTGACTTGTGGATAGGTATACCGCCAACGGTCGAGTTATTGTTAACAGAATACAACAATCCAGGCTATAGGTAGTGATTGAATACGTATCTCGTGTTTTGTAGGAATACCGATGTTGCACAAAAAGAAGAAGAGGCTTTGAATATGATTTGTAATTGAATATGTAGTGCTCATAGGGTATTCTATAGTTTTCGTATCTAGAGGTGAGCCAGAACCGCATCGGCGCCAGATTTCTGTTCGAAAATTCAATTGTTAGGCACCAAAAAGACTGTAGGTGGAAGACAAGATTCCGTACCTTGACAACACCCCTTTCGGTCTCGATATCGGCATAGCGGACTTTACCGTGATCGATAACGATCGCGTACCGAGCTGTGCGGCCCGACGCCTCATCAGCCCAACCAATGCTCTTGGAGAACTTGGCATCGGGGTCGGAGAGGAAAAGCTATTCACCAAAATCAATACAGGACGTATAACGTGTAATGCGGGGTCAAGCTCACGATATCATCCCCGCGAACCTTGTTCGCCTTGCCCCAGGCACTCATCACGAAGGGATCATTGAAGGCAACGACCGCGACAATGTCCACTCCCTTCTCGCGGAGCTTAGGCAGGTTCTGGATATATCCGGGTACGTGGTTGACGGAACAGGTCGGGGTGAAGGCACCTTCATTCACACGCGCGTTAGCTTTGCGTTCTCGGTGGAGAGATAACATTAACTTACCGGGAACCGAGAACAAGACGACCTTCTTGTTGGCCCACTCCTGGGAGGCATTGTAGTTGATTGGAATGCCGCAGGAGGTAATCTCATCACTTTCCTCGCTCCATGGGATGTATCTGGGGGGAATCAGCGCGTCATTCTTGGCGGGGGTAGGAGGTTTACCCACTTGAAGACCACGTCGCTAGGGAACGAGTCACCGGGCTTGAGTGTAGTCATATTGGGGTGAATGTGGATATTAAAGAGAAAAGAGATATGAAGAAGTCGAATTGCAAATGGCGGGGGATGTTTGGTTGTCTTGACGCAACGCTGATTAATATGAGGTGATCGGGCGGGGCCGACCTCGGCCTGGCTCTCCCTCTCTCCACGTCTCCTATTGATTTTTGCTGTCTATAGACTAATCTAACTAAGAATTTGGTCAAGGTGATCAAGTCACACTTTGAATGATAGAATAGTTGATATCGCTCTATGGCTGTTGAAAACCAAGCTGTCAGACTCCCAGGCTCCCCGATGAGCAACTCCAGACGAGCCGGGCCGGTGTGGGGACCCCGCCTATGTCAGACACCTACATAGCTCTAGTCCAGAATAGCACAAACTATGCCCTCGAGGCTTGAAATTTACGTGGGCTCAAGAGGGATATGCAAGATGTGGTTCCCCTAGGGCACGTATATCACTACCTTTAGATCACTTTCCTAGTTGATCAGCCCGGGTCCGGCCAATTCAAAAATCCCCCGGCATCCTAACTAAGCATCAAGCGGGGATCAAGGTGGATTTTAGACTATACTACTTGTCAGCTCACAGTTTGAAGTCTCCATCGTAATGAAAGTAATAGGATTGATCGAGTTGGTTGGATCATGGGTGTGGAACGCAGCTACAAGTTCTTCGCCCGCAACGAGAACCCAGAATGTATAAAGCAGCACCACACACGCATCTCTAGGTATAAAAGAACTTTACAATTCAATTATTTTTATTCTGATCTCTTTGAACAGTCTAGAACTTTGGCCATACTGTATATCATGTTCGAAGAATTATTTCAAGGCAAAAGACTTCGCCATCTTGCCCGGCTGAGTTGCTCTTTGGTGTGTCAATCCATATTTTTGTCTGGGCTCAGGGATGACAACTTCTAACAAAAGTCCACCAGGCCTTCCTCATTGAAGGTTACCAGGCTGGTATCCTCGGTGGAGTTCAAGATACCAAACCATACCGTGATGCCCTTGGAGTGAGCTGCATCTAGCTACTATTGTCTGTTCATCACTGACATTCAGTCAGAATCCAGAAGGATCGGAAATTATCCCAATGATCGCATCTTCTTACACTCTCGCAGCCACCGCAATGTCTATTGTAGTGGTTGTGGTGGGAATGCCACTAGGCCGCCGAAATTCAATCCTACTCGGCGCGGTGTTGATATTCTTCGGTGGAATCATTCAAGCGGCGTCATACTCTGTAGCTCAGATTATCGTTGCTCGAGTCATATGTGTATGTCTTCATTCATTGTTTAACCTTGGCCAGATTTGAATTTAACCTATGGGTACATGATAGGGCTTCGGTATCGCGGTAAGAAAAGTGCAACCTCCGAGTCTATTACTTGTCTGATATCCATCGCAGCTTATTACTTGCAACGTCCCTATGTATATGGTAAGTGCGGTGCCTCCATTTTCTCGGAGCGTAACGCTTATTTGTTGAAATATCTAGTCGGAGATGAGTATTCATGCCAATCAGCGCGGCCCTGAGGTGGCAATCAACTGCTCGTCGCTGCTGGCAGGCATTGCTTTATCTTACTGGGTGGACTTTGGATTTACTCGAATGTCAAATCAGCTGTCCTGGGTAGGATGATCGACTCCCCGTTACAACAAAATGTGAAATAACCGTTGGATTGCCATAGCGATTGCCTGTTGCCATCCAATCCATTTTCGCTTTCATTTCCGCTGCTGGCATGTTCCTCTGTCCCGATACCCCAAGGTGGTATTATGCAAAAGGACGAAACGTTGAAGGCGATTCCACCCTGGCAAGACTATACAATGTCTATCGCGCTGGCACTAGCGCTCAACCCGAGAACGCTGCAATGGAGATCGTCAAAGCTGAAATCATGCAGAGCATCCAGGTGGAAGCGGAACAAGAGAACCGACTCAGCTGGGTAAGCCTTGTCTGGGACGACACCCCGCTCCGCGTTGGCCGTCGCATACGGATCTCATTCGTTATACTGTCCATTCAACAAATGATGGGTATCAACATTATGGTTTACTACATGCCCCTTATCTTTTCGAAAGTCGGCCTTTCAAGCTTCGTATCGCCCCTCATTTCCGCTGCAGCATTGACAGTCCAATTTACCGGCTCGTTGGTTACTATCCCTACAATAGAGAGGATTGGCCGGCGTCGAATCATGCTGGTCTCGGCTGCCATCCAGACTTGCTGTATGCTTGCTTTTGTGGTTCTAAATGGTCTTCCTAGTAAGTCCGAGAAGACTCAATGGGCAGCCGCTGCAATGATGTTCCCGTATCTGTTCATGTACGGCTGGGGATGGGTTACTTGTCCGTGGTAAGTATTCAAAGCCGCCAATTTTGCACTGAATCAAGCTCACAATTTTATAGGTTATATGGACCCGAGGTATGACTCTTATCTGTGCTTGGCACGCCTGATCTGACATGAATATATATAGATTGCTCCACTTAAGTATCGCCACATAGGAGCTGCAGTCGGTCTGTTCGGCGAGTGGCTATTCAGTTTTGTGACCGTGATTGCGGGTGGAATTGGACTCGAGACATCAGGTTGGACGATATGGATCTGGCCACTTGTTTTCAACGTGCTAGGCTTTGTCTTCGTTTATTTCATATGTCCTGATGTAAGTGATCTGTCTTCACACTCCAAGGGAATGGTTTGGCTGACTCAATCTCACATAGCCGACCGGGAGAATCCTTGAAGAAATCGACGCTCTATTTATCAAAGACATCAACTTGGCAGACAGACTTTCTGACGAGAAGCTATCTATGCATCAAATCGAGAACACCGCTTAAATTATCACATAGCACCCCGGCGCCCATACATTCGACTCATTGGCGATATTATTAGAATATATAGAAAAGGTAGTTTGAAAGATTGACCCGTTGTTCTATACAATATCACAGATAGGCTAGGCATCATGCTGGGATATTCTATCGCCCCACAGCTCCAAACCAGCATAACCCCAAAATAGCACCCATTACAATCGCTATGGGGGGTGGCACATCGAACCATGCACTCCCTGCGTATGTTACCACCGCAACAACCACCCACCATGGTTCCTTCCCCAGACTCTGTCCGTCGCTTCTTTCAGGGGTCAAGTATCCAATCTCCCAGAGCCGGTATACCGCTGTGAATACTAGGCCAACTGCAGTAGCATTCACGCCTCTTAAAAAGTCAATCACATACTTTCTTTTCCGCAATACACGCCAGAAGCTTTGGATTGCAACAGCAAGCGTGATTCCCGGAAAGAATATTCCTAAGCCGCCAAGAAATGCACCGAGGATGGTCGGGAAGCGCGAGCGTTGTAGTGTTAGCGCGCCTAAGAAGACAGCGAAGTTGAAGTTGGGACCGGGGAATGCTTGGATAATGGCAAGGCCGATCAGGAAGTCTCTGCTTGAGACCCACCCTGGATCAACGACATAGGAGCGTAAAAGGGGAATAACAACGGGACCTCCACCAAAGATAACAGTGCCAGCAAGGTACATGTTGGCAAAGAGATCGAGAACCAGTGGGGGTGCAGCGAGCTGGCTTCTGGCAACAAGAATCCCAATGAAGGAACCTAACTAGATCAGTATTGACTCCGAGAAAGTTTATCAGGGGATATATACCAAAAAAGAGAACCAGAACCGAAACTCCCACCCGAATCCGAATAATGTGTTGTGAATTGTCTTCAATGGACTGCGTTGGCCTTGTAACATCTACTGTATGCTGGGGTAGTCCTTCGATTCCAGGGCCTGTCCTCCTCGATCGCGTCGTCTCACTCGTTTGCACTGTATTCTCTTCAAGAGTTATAAAGTCCGTGCGTGTGGAAACCCCGTTTGCCCCATTCACCTCTTGCGTAACACTACGTCTGCTTTTCCAACGCATCTTCGCCCTTCGAATTTGTTGATACAACCATCCATCCCAGATGCTCGTGAGTAAACCACCGGCAATCATCATCACAGGAAAATACCAGAGCGCATTGTAACAGAGACCAGCACATGCGCCAAATATCACAAGAATTCGGGATAGTTTATCGCGAATAGCCTTTTCAGCCAACTGTACGGCTGCAAGTGCCACAATACCTACTGTGGAGGCATTTAGTCCGGAGAGTAGGGAGTGGACTGGTTCCGGGAGGGTTTCACCCATGTTTTGCACACCAAGTGAGAGGGCATACATTCCAATTGCGCCAGGAAGACTAATACCGTTAGTTGAGGATGGACATACGTAACATGGGCTTGATAGCATAAAGGTATAGATCACCTCCAAATAAAAAACACAAGCACGGCAGGAATAAATCCTGCATGAAACAGAGTTAGGCAGAATATCAACTTCGTGCTAGCGGGACCTGGCAGGCCCTGGCAGATGGCGAAAAGCTCCTGATACTGTGAGACTTGTTAGTATCCCCGACGATACTTAAACCCGTCAGCTCGAGAGTAAGGACAATCGTACAGTCTGCTCATCTACCCATTTCTCTTTGCCGCCCTGTCCCTCCACGAATCTGGCATGTAGAATCTGGAAGTGTACTGGTGGTCCTCCGAAGGCTGTAAAGCCTAGATCCCATGTACGAAAAAAGACGTCCAGCAAACGACTTGACAAAGGCTTTTCCGTTCCTACGGTGTCTCTTGAAGTCCTGTGGTTACCCCATTTGTGATTCAGCTGGGCGAGGGAAGAGAGACATTGCGAAAGCGGGGAGAGGAGTGGCATGCTTCTTTCGAGCGTTCGAAATAGTCTAATGGTGGTTTGTGCAGCCAATTATGGATGGCAAGATAAGGAGAAGACCTTCCCAAATACCTATGAGCAGTGCCGCTATAAACCTTTGTTCGCCGTATTCTCTACGGAGTACGGAGTATGTATTCACGGTAGGCTTGGGAGCTCGGGAACATGCCAAGATTTTTAGTAAGCTCCTTCAATTAGGTCAAACCAACCAATCAACATACAGCAATGAAGCACGATTGTACCATAATACCCTGTCGAGATGGGACAGCTCTGGGGAGGCGGCCATGGCATTCGGACGGTGAATGTCACTGAGCGGCTCTGATTGGTACAGCTATTTTTGAGCTCCCAGTATGGTTTAGTGCCGAAAAGTGAAGGTAAAAGACATGAATCTTACCGGTATTTTACCCGAGTAGTCACAGGACTGTCGAAGAGACAGAGGATTTGTCAGCTTGTCGTTAGCTGCCTAGCACCTGGGCATGAACACCAGAGTTACCATGTAGTCCAATCGCTAGTTTCTTATTGCTATAAGGGGCTTGGTGCCTTTTGAATTGACATCAATTGAGTTTGCGATATCAATGCAGAGCTATAACATTTGATTCTCTTCGATGAATCTTTACGTATCACAATTTAAAGAAACTAATAGTGTCTTGATATATATAATTGCACGTCAGAGTCGGGGGTTTAGTTTGGAACTTTCAACACCATCCTGACGCTCCTCAAGTCGCAGAACACCCTTAAATAAGAGACTGGACGTTAAATTTAATCTGTAAGGCTGGAATGTTTGGCTTACCTCTTGAGTACAGCTCGCAAGTAGTGTACCATCTCGGGCCCATATTTTTTGTAACACCACTCCACGGTCATTGTCAGCCCAGTCGGTCTTTACTTCAGTCAAAAGCCATTCATCTGCCTTCAATCGCTTAACTTGATGGAAATAGATGGTATGATCCAGGCTGACCATCATGCCAACTCTGCGGGACTGACTAGAAACACTCCCGCCTCCTTGTACATGCGGCCTGGGTATTTTGGTGTGGACAGGAGATGACATTCCGAGCTGGTCCTCAGAGTCATAAAATTCGGTAATTGGAGGATTGACAAACTCCCATACATCATGAGCATGCGGTAGTGCTGCCAGGAAGTAACTATCTGACATGAATGCCAATGCTGCGAGATGCGCTCGGGGGCCACCTTGGGGTGAAATTTTCCCACGTGTTTTGATCCACTGATGCATTCGCTTACCACATGGATCAAGAGAGTTGGAATTGAGCATTCCAACGCTCTGATTGATGTAAGGGAGTTCCGTTGTTTCTTCACGTCTATTGGACTCGATACCAATATCATCCGGCACTGGCACTGTGGGTGGGTTGCATTCTGCGTGGCGGAGTTTCTTAGTTGACTCCGGTGGTAATCGAGCAAAGCTAATTGTTGCGAGGAATATTGTGCGATTGCCTTGGATTGCCCTGACAGCTCGCGTACAGAATGTCCGCCCATCTCGCACTATCTCAACGTGATAATGAATAGTTGTAAGTGCGGTTCCCGCAAAGACAAATGTGCAATGCATTGAGTGAACATCGAAATCTCCTTTCACGGTTTCCTGAGCTGCGCTGAGGCTTTGTGCAATAGTGATACCGCCGAATATCCCTCGTGTACCCTTCGGGTGCCAGAGAGGATATTTGTTCGCGAACACAGATGGGCCGAGGTCTACCACTGGCGTGACTTCAATTTCTCTCTCGATTGAGGATGATATGGTGGGAAGTGGGCTGGAGTTCATGTCTCCGTTGGCCATCATCGGCGAGGTTGAACCAGGATCAAGCGACTATTAGGATTTCAGAACAGAGACAAGAAAAAGGAAAAAATGAGCACCTGCATATCTTCCCACATTTGAGAATCGACTCTCAAGCAATTAGTAAACAAGATCCATTGATTCTAGCAATATTCGAAGCAATTCCAACCGGTGTATAAAATTACAGCCGGTGCGGGATGATGGAGACCCCCCGGAATTAGGGATCGGAATTTCAAACTAGGCTACAATGCCCCCCTGAAGAAAGTAAAGAGGCGTTAATAAATCACACAAAATTGTGATTGGCCTGATGCAGCCCGATCCCAAATGGGTTGGCCGCAGCACTAGATCAAGTATATCAACTCGTGGTGGTGGTCAGCTCGCACATACCTAACTTAGGAAGAAAATCATATCATCATGGCTGTAATCACTTCAAACACCACTGTTCATCTGCGCACAGATAGGTCAATCACGCAGTTGATGATGGAAAATATATCAAACACGGATCCGACAAAAGTGATTTGCGAAGATACGTTGACCGGCAGGACCTTAACCTACGGAGGACTACGGAGCGACGCGTTCAAGGCAGCTCAAACTCTGCGGCATGGATACGCTATCACTTCAGGAGACGTCGTTACGATTATATCCCGAAGCACGGTTTGTTACTCCCCTGCCATAAATCATATGTAATTGACTCCTGACAGGTTGACTACATTCTGGCGGCGCATGCCATATGGGCAGCAGGCGCAGTTGTGAGGTAAGTCATGACAACAAGGGACTTGGAGATAAGAGCTCACAATTTTACTCAAACAGTACGATCAACCATTCGTCCACGCCCAAAGAGCTAGTGCATGCGTTGAATATAGTCAAGCCGAAGGTCATCATTGCAGATGTTGTGGTACTCAAAAAGCTACATGGAGCTCTCACTACCCTCGGGATGGACAGCTCGGTCGCTATCCTCACATTGATACAGAGAGAAGGCAGCTATCCATTGGTCAGTCATTCTTTTAGAAGGCATCATGACACACTGAACACGCAAAACTGACGCCATATAATCAGTTTCCGCAGGACCTCGTGAAATCCAGTCGCATCGAGCCAGATGCATACGTGCTTGACGGCAAGGATGCGCGCAACTCCTGCGCTGCCATCGTTCTTTCCAGTGGGACAACGGGTCTACAAAAAGCTGTGATGCTTTCCCATCACAATCTGGTAGCTATTTGCGAGCAGCTACGAGCCCATAACCCAGAAAACTGGCGAGGAAGTATGCGAGAGGTGTTCTTTCCGGTGAGTCAAGTCCTTCAGTCCTCAAAAGATATTATAATCTCAGACTAACACATCTTCTCTCAAATCTAGCCCCGTGAGCCACTACCCCCACCCGAAATTATCTTGGCTAGGCGTATCTAATGGTGACAGTATCGCATATATATGGACTCTATGTCTGCGCACTCCTCGGTCCATGGCTAGGATACTATGTGTGCTTGTTGCCGGCTTTTGATCTCGAGACATTTTGTCGGGTATTTCCATCTTTCACTGGCTTCATATCTTGAGAGGAGGATTCTGATTATAAACAGCTCATGCAAGAGAAGCGAGCTACGTTGGCTAGGCTGGTACCTCCCGTGGCACTAGCGCTTGCCGAATCTCCAATCGCCGAGAGATATAGATACGACGATCTGGAGTACTTTTCATGCTCTGCGGCGCCACTCAAGGTGAGACTTGAAGCTCAACTCCAAGCCCCTTTTTGGTTGAAGCCAGAGCTGACAAGCCCAGCCGTTGGTTGCGACAAAACTTCGGACTAAGTTTCCCGGGGTTAGTTTGTGCCAAAGTGAGTCGATTCTCAGATATGCTATCAGCTTAGGTGAATCTTTCTGTCTAACAAGTGGTTTTAGCCTATGGCTGCACCGAGCTCTCGTCTTGTATCTCCCAGAGTGGTGTCAGAGATAAAAAGGCTCCGCTTGTGGCTACCGGAACTCTGCTTGCAAACATCCAAATTCGATTCATTGACGAGAATGGCAAAGATGTCTCTCCCCCGAATGCAGGAGAGATTTGTGTATCATCTCCTACGATAATGATGTAGGTCAAACCCGCCTCAAAGCGGTCAAATCATTCACTCAAAGCATACTAATTATGTGATAGGGGTTACAAGAACGACCCAAAAGCCACCGAAGAAGCCATGCTAGAGGAAGGGTGGTATCGAACCGGCGATATAGGCTATCTTGACTCAGAGGGATTTCTGATCATCGTTGATCGAATCAAGGATGTGATCAAGTACAAAGGGTAAGAAGTTCGCTCTCTATTACAGTATTGGCTATGTAGACTAAGCACTCACCTATTTCAGATTCCAGGTTAGTCCAACAGAATTGGAAGAGATCATTGGACAGCACCCAAATGTTGCCGATGCTGCTGTAACATCTGTCTGGGACGACACAGAAGCGACAGAGATTCCTCAGGCATTTGTGGTTCCAAAAGCGAAAGTATTTTCCTTGGATCGTGAAAAGGTATCTCAAGAAATCCAGAAACTTGTCGCCTCCAAGGTTTCTGGGTATAAGAGGCTGCGCGGTGGTGTTTTATTTGTTGACCAGTTGCCGCGGAACCCGACGGGCAAGTTGCTGCGGAGGGAGTTGCGTAGTCTTGCGAGGCTCAAGGCACATATTTAAGGTGGTTTACTTAGGCAAGGCTGATATGGAAGTGTTTCCTTTCGGGTCCTGTTTTATCGAGACTAGGCTTTCAATTTGACTGATATTCATAATGTATTAAGCTCAGCTCCATTTCCTTTGAGTTTCTGGTTGTATAGTTTTGCATAACGCCTGATTCAAGTCTTCTCGGTTTCTGGTTGGGCCGTTTTTTACTTTGAGCCCATATATAAAAGGAAGCTTGTAAAAACTCAACAGATATACAATATGCTCAAGGCTGGCACTCGAATCTTTGATCAGTGAATGTAACGTTGTATTCATGCTGTTACAGGGACTCTAACCGTTGCTCTGGCGAATATCGTACGGCTACATCAAAATTGCAGATACCTGAACGCTCGGAATTTCATCATCACGATGAGTTCCTCATTCCGGGCAATTGATTTAGAGTACCGGATCGACAGATGCTATCGCGGGCAGCTATATTATTGCGGGGATTGAACATTCACAGATATCGAACACCAATATTATACAACTCGATATTCCTCGCTATCTGCGTCGATTAATTTCGATCTTGCTCCCCACAACCGAATTACACTTTGACAACCACCATGCGAGCCCTCGACAACATTCGAGTCCTTGAATTAGCGGGACTCGCCCCGGGTCCATTCACAGGTCTTTTACTGGCTGACAATGGAGCAGATGTGCTGCGAGTTGACCGTGTTCAACCAGGCCACTCTCCCAGCCCAGATGTATTGATCAGGGGAAAGTCATCCATTTGTGTCGACCTCAAAGATTCCTCAGGAAAGGACTTTCTATTACGCCTCATTCCACATGCCGATGTCTTGATTGATCCCTTTCGCCCGGGTGTTTTAGAACGCTTGGGACTCGGCCCAGAGGTTCTGCTAAAAATCAATCGCCGGTTGATCATAGCAAGACTAACAGGTTTTCGCCGTGATGGAAAATATGCTTCTATGGCGGGCCATGACCTCAACTACCTCGCAGTCTCGGGAGTTTTGTCAATGCTCGGTCCTTCAATTCGAGTTCCACCCTTGGGACATCCGCTTCCACCCAGTCCACCAGGAAACATCTTGGCCGATTTTGCCGGGGGTGGACTGACTTGTTTCGTGGGTATCATTCTAGCATTGTTTGCTCGGGTCAGCACAGGGAAAGGGCAGGTGGTGGAAGCGAACATGGTAGATGGGGTCTCTTATCTTGCCACAGCCCCACGGATTTCAACGAAGATTCCTGGACAATGGGACCAGCCTCGAGGTCAGAATTTGGTCGATGGTGGCTGTCCTTATTACAGGGTGTACGAATGCAAGGACGGCGGTCGTTACATGGCTGTTGCATCCTTGGAGCCTAAATTTTTCGATGCGCTAAGCCGAGCAACTGGCCTCGGGGAGAAGGACTGGGGAGGAAATCGGGAAGACAGATCCCTGTGGCCCGCAATGCACGCCCTTTTTGAGGACAAATTTCGCACCAAGACGCGCAAAGAATGGGAAGTGATATTCGATGGAACTGATGCCTGTTGTACTCCAGTTTTGGAACATCATGAAATGGAGGCTAGTCGCTATGATCAACGCCCGATTGTTGCACTTAGCGAGACACCATCCGTTATACCAGGAGCTAGTGGCTGGACAGTGAGCACATTGCCAAATGGTCAAGGCGGGGAGACTATGCTGCAGAAGTGGGCTGGATGGAAGAAGGAAAAGGACTTTGTCGTTGTTAATGGAGGAACATGTACCAAGCAGGCTGCAAAGATCTGAGAAACAATGATACAAACAGCTAATAATCATCTATTATCGTTTGCTAAGGTGAACAAACAGTAGGAAAAACCGAAAAAAAAAGATGGCTTTACTTCACACAACTAGCATCTGCTCACACCAACGACTTCGATCCAGCTATCCTAAACTATCATCTATTCAAATCCATCACATCCATTATCTCAAAAAGCCCACTTGATCATGGCTCCTGAAACCAATAAGCCAAAGGCCCCGGCTTCAGGTCCGGCCACGGCCGAGATCGCAGTCTCTCAGGAGACCAAGGTAGTCCCTAAAGCTAGCGACGAGGTGTTTCTGTTGACCATGCTCAGCACCGGGAAGGTCGGTAATCTCTCACTTGATGCCAAACGGCTGGGATATACATTATACTAAAGTTTACCACAGGTCGATTTCGACACTGCGGCAAAGAACCTCGGCATCAACAAACAAGCCTGTCGCATGCGACTCCTTCGTCTGCAGCAAAAGTACGGCCTCAAGCATATGGCCGACCAAAGTCCCAAACATGACTAGAGCAAATATTCCAGCGCTACCAAACTGCTGTTAACGAGTTGCTCGATACATCCACCGACTCGCTCTGTTGAACACGACACTATGCTACTGCAAAGTTGGGTTCTTAGTTCCACAAGATACAATTGATTACTCTCAGATTTGGCATTTTTCAGTATAGAGGTGGTGTTTTTGTAATAGCTCATGTTTGTGTTTATCTCATGTTTGTGTTTATCTTGCTGTAGTCGTCGTACCACTTGCGCGATGATACTCCAATTTTCATTGCTTACCTTTCATATAGTCCTACCTATCTACTAGAGTGGGAAACTCTCTAGATAGTATGCATATTCTCCAGTAAACGGGTAGACTTAGTACTCTAAATTCCATATTTTTACCACTAAGATATATTAAAATACTTGGGTTTTTATTTGAGGAGCAGGAGTAGCAATTAAAAGAGGTATATGATTGCACTTCTAAAATCTATATTTATCTACTAATTATGCCAAGATACCGATGAATAACGTAGCTGCGGGCCTATAGTAATTGCGTCCTGTCTTGCAAAAATAAGGCATTCAGGCATCAATCACTTGCTAAAAGGGGTTTGAAGACTGCCCAGGTGTCTAGCCCCTGTACAGCTTCGTTGCCCCTACACCGCTACCACCGCCCCAACTATTACCCATTGTCGCTCAGCCATTTTCACTCTCACATTTATTTCCTACAGTCTGCGCTGCCGCTAAATCTCGAGGATTCCAAGCGACTGCATCTGCCCAAATCGGACGACGCTGGTCACCTCTTCGGCTGAAGCATTGCCGTCGTCATATAGTCGCCCCGATATCCACTTTAAGGGCCTTGCTGATCGTTTGTGGGTCCTGGAAAGCGCGCTTCTGAGAATTCAGTGTTTTAGGTAATGAGATTTTTGTGCCCGGTGCGCTAGCAGAAGCCATCTATATACTAATTTGTTTACAGTAAAATCGGTCGGGATTATGAAATTACTTAGCCCGAACGCTTTATATATCAATATCTGTGAATGTGTCTTGGCCGGCTCTGATTTTCACCTTTCCCCGCAGCTTGTCACCTCATCAATCATAGACGAGAATATTGATTGACTGTTGATGCGAAGTTCATCTGCAAAGCGAATTGAGCCATGGCGAAAGAGAGAAATCACCGCACAACCTCTCGTCTTCTTCCGCTCCGATTATGGATTGGCAAGAAAGTATTTGGGGTAGTCGGACCACGTGGAGTTCGAGTCAGCCCTAACAGAATGATCAAAGGGCCTTGTAGCGCGCCAGAACTAGCTGCCTTGAAATACGTCGCCAACCACACATCAATTCCTGTCCCTAAAGTCTTCAACGCCATCTATTACAATGATAATCTTTACATCGAAATGGAGTATGTTCGTGGAATGAACCTCGAGGCAGCATGGTACCGCGCTCACCTATCGCAAGACCAGAAGGAACATATCATCACTGAGGTTGCATCTTATATTACCCAGCTTCGGGGACTAAAACCCCCACGAGAAGGAATAGTTGCATCGGCAAGCTTGGACGAGGTCCTAGATCACCGAGTCGGATCTTGGACTTTCGGGCCTTTCGCGAGTCATAAAGGGTTCCACTCATACCTCCGAGTGAACGCTCCGATTGATGCCTGTAGCGAGATGATCGGCCCAGAAGTCACTGAATGCCACACCCGTCGTTATCGAAGCTGCTTTACCCACGCAGATATCGCCCCCCGAAATATCATGGTAGACAATGGGAAGGTCTCTGCGATAGTTGATTGGGAATTTAGCGGCTGGTACCCAGAATATTGGGAGTATACTAAGGCACACTACGGACAGACAAATCGGCGGGATTGGTATGACGGACTAGCAAATGCTATGGAGAGATATGACGACGAGCTCAGAGCGGAACAAACCCTGTGGAGGCGACTGGATGAGCCACAACTTCAATGGCGAGGGAGAGAATACCTGATTCCGAGCTTGGAAGACAATGCTATTTGAGACTTTTGGCCTTTCACATACGCTAACCTGTGTGAATTATAAAGGCGGGCGTGAATTTGATGCTTCAAATGCCTCCATCCGCGAAACCAAGCGAGTCGTTCATTAACAGACGCCGAACTGTTCTATCAGAACGGTTCTCTCCGAGCTTCCAACTAGCGGGTCTCGCCCAAGTGACATAGTATTGCACCGGTGGAGCAAGACTCTTGGGAAGTAAATTGCTCCGAGAAAACTGTGGATTTCTGCGTAGTTAACCTCGTTGGGTACCCGACTCTTCCAAGGTGACTGCTCTTCTTTACGTGTAAGATACTATTGTGAGAACGATTTCACTGCTGTCATAGGTTCTAATCCTAATAAGGCTCAGTCTGTCTTGACGTCAAATTTTCAATACATTTGTATAAAGATCAAAATCCTCATTCTTGAACCTATAAACCTCCAAGAATATGGCGGATATCTCGAATTATGCAAGAGGCTAACCGCTCTATTTTTGGAATTTACAAACGCTAGGAGAAATTTCTACCTAGGAAACTTTGTATACTAAGACAAATGCAGAGGCTTATTAGGTTGAATTTCTGCCGTTCGAAAATAAGGCATTGAGCCATCGAAATCGCTCGAGAAAGGGTTGAACCCTGATAGCTATAAGTTTGCGTTATACTCGTGACTCCGCCAAAACGCTGGAATGGACTTTACAGTTTCGCGCAACAGACGAAGACCATTGATTCCTCTTGAAGCATGCTCCGCTGGCACATTTTTTCCTGGTTGATTCAGTGATGCGTTGAACACCTCAAGCGAGATTGGGCCTTGGTATCCGGTAGCAAGCACGGCAGCCGCAACAAGCTCAACCGGCATATACCCACCTCTAGATTTCTCAAAGGGATATAGTCGATGGCTTCGCGACCATGGGAGCAGTGCTGGTGTTTCTGGGTCAGGCGGAGGGAGGAAAGTCGCTGGGTTCATCAACTCCGCATCGCCGCACTGAAAGAAGAATATCCGATCACCCGGTACCGTCAAAGCCAATGACGCCAGTGATCCGGTAAGAACATCTAGAGATTCCTTCAAGGTTGGGTAGATTCGACCGTGGCCAGCAACATTGTACGGATCGGCAAACTCGACGGCTAGGATATTGAAGGCATCCACGATCAGCCCAACGTTAGGACGGTTGGCAAATCGCACAGCTTCCCATGAAGCAGACCATGTGTTTCGAGTTGCCCATGATAGGCCCTCGTATCCTATTCTCAACATGCGCCCACCATCGGCTTTGGAGAATGCGGCTGCCATGTCGCCTAGTTCTGCGAGGTCTCTCGCGACCGTCTTAAGATCAGATGTTACGCCTTCGTCTGTGCGAATATTCGCACACATAAAGACAAGATCGGTGTCAAAAGCGCGCATAAATGGAAATCGTCTATGGTAATGCGTTAGCATGGATCCCATTACCGGACGCTATCTGGTTATCGAGGTGAGGTATATCTCACTTTGCGACTAGATCTAAGGTTGCCTGGCGCTCGGCTGGATCCTTAATTCCTTCGATCTTCCGAAGGGGCTGGGTGCAAGCTATCCGCATTCCCAACGACTTGACAACATCTGCTAACTTTCGAGCAACCTGCAGATTCTCGGCTGTCGGTTCCCAAAGTTGATCTCCTGGCAATTGGTGTTCCTCTAGGTACGCAGCCCAACACTCATCGAACAAGTCGATCCATTGATATCCGGCTTCCGCCGCGGCTTTCAATCGTGGTTCCAAACGATGTTCTCGCCAGTTGCCGAGGGACAAAGTGGCAATACCAAATGGGTTGGTTGAAGATGGAGGCCAGGAGACTGGCATGATTGCAGATGTGGTTGCTTGGGTTATTCTTTTTGGTTATTCGTCGCGTCCATTAATACAACAGAGGGATGATCGAATACCCGAGATGTTCGCGCCACTTGACGCCAGTTGACGCCACCTCCACAAAACCGGTGTATTTTTTAACGTGCCGTGTGGAGTAGATGGTGGTATCAAAATGTATAGTATTTGCACTTGGAAATCAATACAGGGACTCAGTCAGTGATTGATTTATATCAATTCAACACATATGTGAGCTTACAGCAATATATGATCCAGGTTTCGGAAGCTATCACGACGATGTACAATCAGCCATGTAGGTTGTTCTCTCCAAGGAAAGTGACGGGTTTCTTGGATAATATCATGCATTCAGAAACAACTATATAAGTGAAGTGTATGGAATTTTGACCGGGAGTCCATCCTTAGCCTTGAGAGCTGTAACAATAGCCTCACAGACGGAAACTGCTGCTAGTCCATCCTCGGCCGAGCAAAGGGGGTCTTCTAAGCCACGAACTACCCTAGCCAAATGTTCCGCTTGGTTTTGAAATGGAATCCCCTCGTGGACTGAAATCTCAGTGCGTGTAATGGGAGCTTTCCACCCGCCTTCCACATTCTCCGGGTCGTACGTCCACAGTGTATTTTCCGGCACAACAATAGCCCCTTTTGTGCCTAGAACACGATAAACATCCACTGGTGTCTCGGCCTTTGGATATAAAGGATTGTCGCCAGTAGCAGCCTCCCAGCCGTATGGGCTCGCCACATTGTCACTCACCAAGAAGGTTCCGACAACTCCATTGGAAAACTGGGCCATAATCGCTGCGCCCTCTTCAACGGTGTCATCGGCGGCCACTCCTTCATGTTTCCTTCTGGGGGTGGTGTTGATGGCCCAGACACACGTCACCCTAGCACCGGTGAGGAACTGAAGGGCGTCAATATCATGCACAAAATTCGTCCAGATGGGTCCTCCTCCAGCGGACCGCGTCGCTCGCCAACTAGCGAAGTCAAAATAGGCGTCATCCTTTTTCGCAGTCCACATTCCGGAGATAGCAGTGATCTGCCCGATTTTTCCTTCTTCGATCGCCGACCGCGTAGTTGACAGTGAGGGGTGGAACCTGCGGTGATGTCCGACGAGGATTTTACAACCTTCTTTCTTTGCAAGTGCGACTAGCTCTGTTCCGGATTTCGAGTCTGTGCAGAAAGGCTTTTCAATGAGCAGCGCCTTGGGCTGTGCTTGATGAATGACATCTGTCGCTATGGAAACATGGAGGCTCGAAGGTACACAGATCACGTAGGCCTCTGGTGGGCTTTGAGGTGAATTCAAAAGCGATGCGACAGACTCGTAATGACGAAGAGACAGGGTGGATGCCAATTCACGGCCGGGGGGGTACGGATCAATTATTGCCACCAGCTCACATGTTGGCGATGATATGAGATACTCGGCGTGCAATGGAGCGATGGTGCCTCCGCCGATGAGAGCGACCCGAACCTTTGGATTTTCCGCCATACTGAAGGGCAAACAAAGATGAGTATCCTGGATTTTAGACCTCTAGATTGTGAACCACTAGTGTCCAAATACTTGAGCGATTAGGTAGAGGATATGATATTCGATTTGACACCGGTCAATATATCAACACGCCGTGATTGCGGGGTTTATTTGGCTTGAACTTGACAGTCTATAGGATATCTCCCTAGAATTTTGGATTTGTATCAATCTAATTTCGTGTCTAACTCCTCCAATCCCATTCCCCTGCGAACAAACACCAAAATATGGATCTTCTCAGGCAATCCTACACCCACGGTAGCTCTCCTCTACCACTAAACGCAACAGCGACTCCATATCATGTCTATCTGTTCGGGGGCAATATCTCAAAATCGCTCTCACCCTTGTTACACTCAATTCTATTTCGCACCAACTCAGCCACATGGTCATTTCACCTCACTGAGACCACCGACAGCGAGATATTCCGAAAGCAATTGCAAGACAACACGTGCATTGGGACCACAATCACGATGCCAAACAAGGTGTCTTTTGGCCTTCTACTCGACGGTTTAACCGAAGAGGCCCGCATGATTGGTGCTGTAAATACCTCATTTATCCGACTCGATGAAAATGGACAGAGAAGACATATCGGTACAAACACAGATTGCATCGGTATTCGTGATTCCATTCTTTACCGCATGCCGCACGCCGCTACCGCGGCTAAAGGTCGGCCTTCTATGGTTATTGGCGGTGGAGGCGCTGCCAGAAGTGCGATCTTCGCTCTCTGGAGGTGGTTTGGGTCCACAGAGATCTACATTGCGAATCGTTTGAAAGCAGAAGTAGACGCATTGGTAACCTTCTTCCAATCCACCGCACCGGAGATCACACTCAAGTATCTTGCTACTGTGGAGGAAGCTGCAACATGTGAGACTCCGCATATAGTTGTTGGAACCATTCCAAACAACATACCTCGGGAATCAGGTGAAATCACTTGTCGCAAAATCTGCGATACCATTTTGCGCAGGGAGGACAAAGGCATCGTGCTGGATATGTGCTATCTGCCATCTCCGGTGACATATTTGTATACAAACGGGAAGGGTAATGGGTGGACAGTTATTCCAGGGACTGAGGTTCTAGTACGTGTTTGTATAGCACAACAGATTCTGTGGTTGGAGAAGGATGTCAATCAACAGGGAGTGGATGATGCGATGTCGGCTATTTGGAAAGCTGTAAACCAGGGACAGAGCGGTGCAAAGGCTTCGAAAATTTAAATTTGAAACGTTCATATCATCTTCTTCTTATTGGAATATCCATGAACTTGTTAATGTGTTGTATTCTCTTCTTGCCCCGTAAAATTAAGAACAAACATGGATATCATCAGGCATCACAACACAATCGGAGATGTCCCGAGGTCATTGATTCCCCACGAAGTACTATTCATGGAAGACAAGGTGAATTGAATTCCAAAATTTGACTGGTAGCAATATCCGTCTCGAATTCCGGGTTCCATTCCGATCATCAGTTTGATCTTTCCCCCGCAGTTGAAGTTCACCGGATGACAGAAAAATAGGCCGGTTGGATCAGGATGCGATTAGAAGCTACAAGACGTAGAGCGGAATAAAGGCGCACTATATCCCAGCCATTCAACTAATTCCTCCTAGTCCTATAGCCCTTTTATCTTGCTGTTGGGTCCATATCATCATGTCTGCATCGCACATCTCCCCTCTCGCTCAGGTATGCTTCTCGGGACCAAATGTAGTAAAACTTACTAATATCTCAACAAGCCCATCACGCTGAAACTCTCTGGAAAGGTCATTCGTAATCGCTTATATCGCACTCCTCTCAGCGAATATGCTTCCACATATGACGAAAACAATGTAGAGAATTGCGGCAAGCCCATGGATCGATATGCAGAGCTATATCAAGGTAAGATTTGGATCTCCCCCTCATACATGTGTAATGCTGACAAGTACACAGAGCTAGCAGAAGGAGGTGCAGGACTTATCTGCACCGGAAACATCCCTATCCATCGCGACAATCTTGAAAATTACAACAACGCGGTGTTAGATCCCAACAATCCCTGGGATCCAGTCGCAGCCTTCACCCCCGCGGTCAAAGCAGCCAAGTCTCGTGGCGCAATTTTTCTCCCCCAGCTACAATTCCCAGGACGTCAGGTTCCGGAATTCCTGAACAAGAATCCCAAGTCCTCCTCGGATCAGCATCTCGAGCCTTGTCTCAACAAAACGTATGGCAAGCCATCGCCGTTGACAAAGGCTGAGATCAAGGATCTTGTCTCCCGATATGTGTGGGCTTCCGAAGTCCTCGCAAAGGCTGGTGCGGATGGTATTATTGTGAGTGCTTGAATAAAATGCCGATCTTTTGTAGAAGAGGCTAATTAACTGTTGTTTTTAGCTGCATGCCAGTCACGGATATATCATGAATCAATTCCTGTCGCCCAAAATCAACAAGCGAACGGACGAGGTATGAATATGAGATGTCCCCGTCATAACTAATGCTGATATTTATTGAACTTGATAGTATGGCGGAAGCCTGGAAAATCGGGCTCGGTTCATTTTGGAGATCGTCAATGCGATCAAGGCGAAACTTCCATCGAACAAGTTTGTGATAGCAGCCAAGTTGAACTGCCAAGATTGTGAGTCCACTTCATTCCACGCCTCAAACACATGAAAGCTAACGGGGAGATAAACATAGTCATCGAGGGAGGCCAAAGCTTTGCTGAACAATGTGTTGTGATAAAATGGTTAGAAGATGCCGGTGTGGATTTCTTCGACATCTCGGGAGGAACTTACGCCTCTCCTGCATGGCGCGGAAACATCATGACTGAGCTCGCAGAGCGGCCATCCCAGAAAGAGCGTGGAAGGTAAGTTAAGTTTGTTGGTTCGCCATGTCCATATGCTGATTAGGCGAAGTTACTTCATCGAGTGGGCGCAGGAGCTGAAAAAGGTTCTGGTGAGTACATTGGTCGCTCTCTGTTACTTTTGTTCAAATGAACTAATTGAGGAACTACTAGTCTCGGGCTGTGATTGGAACTACTGGTGGTTGGCGGGATAGCCATCGCATGGCGGAGGCTGTGGAGCGTGGAGATATCGACATGTGTGGTCTGGGCCGACCTCTCCGAGAGGATCCTGACTTTGTGAATAAAGTGCTCCGTGGGGAGGCTCGCAGAAGTAACTTGTAGGTTGGTATTGAGTGATAACTCACTTGGTGGTCTGAAACAGCCACCGTGACCTACATAGCATGGTAGAAATCTAGGATAGAAGTCTCTGTCTTCCTTTCTTCCTCTTTTCCCTTCACTGACGCAGTCTCTAAAATCTCTATGTAACTAGCTAAGTAACTGCCGAAACTTTGACCATAGTTTTATGCATGTTGTTCATAGAGTTTGCGGAAGCTCTTGTATAATCAGCCCTCAAGTGGTGGCCATCAAAGAGTCATTAAAAGTAATACTTTCATGGGAGCCATTAGATACAAAAAGTGCGCAAGAATCGCTCTGCTTTGTTAAATCTATCAAAAGACACCCCCGAATCCCGGCCCAAACATTTCCCGGAAGAAATCAGCAAACCCCTCACCAGTGAGATCCCCCTGTGTAGACATTGAAGCTGTAGTTAGAAAAGGATCGTAATCAGAAATGAGAGCTTCGTATGGTTTTGAATGTGGGGAGTGCTGTGACATAAATTGTCTCGCTCCGTCATCGAAACCTGTGTTGGTATAAGAGGCATCTCTTCTGGTCTGGCCAAGTTGACTTGAGTCCCTCAGTCCCACTGCTCTGGCTCTCAGGATCATCATGAGATGCTGTCCAAGCAATGCAGCAATCCCAAACCGATGCGATGGGGTTGTGCCTGCACGCTCTAATTGGATAGCGACTTGGCTGAGTAAAGCGAGAAGTTCCACGTCATTTCCGACGCGGGACCCATACAAGGCCGGGAATAACTTGAGGGCCAAAACCCCAGCATAGGATATCATAGCCCATGTCGGAGCTAACATGCAGTATAATGGCTCCCCTATATTCTGCAAGTCCCGCACGGCCAGCTCGCAGGAGTTAACCGCAGCCTCGAAGCAATCTGCTCGGATTGCATCCATATTTTGGTCGCCATTTATTGAACCATGAAGGGCAAACGACAAGGTCCATAGCCTCCCATGAAGATAAACATAATGAAGGAAAATATTCGATAGCTTTTCAGACGGTGATGTGATTAGGTTTGGCATTGGATGTGAAAGCCAGAGATCACACCAGGGTCTAAGACTTGTATCAACCATTTCTCGTACCCAATGAGGGTCCGCATGTGTCAGGTGAGCTTGATGCCTGAGTTCATTCTGTAGTGACGCTAGAATTCGTCGCAGAGTGATAAACGCACATGTGTGCTTGTCTGTGGGGTCTGCCAGGTGGTGCAGCCACCAACTGTCGACACTTTGTGTCAAGTCTGTTTCAGGGAAAGTGTGTATTCTACCACAGGCTGCACTGTTCGCCCGTTCCCATAGCAAAATCCTTAGCCAAGTTCTCTCGCGATTTCGTGCCATGCGTTGATTGTCAATGGGGTCTCTCGATGGATGCTCTAGTAATAAGCGTGACGAATCATTTTCGTGGAATGATGTTGGGGCTGCATCCTGGCTTCGAAAATAGGAAGCATTAATCGAGTTCGGAGGGGCGGCATCTTTGATACGCGAATCTTGGTCTAGACCGAGCTCGGCTGCTACACCAAATGCATACATTGTGTATAGCCACGAGCGCTCTTGTGCCAGTGTTTCTGCAGGAGTTGCTGATAATAATGAGATATAGTAGCCTTGCACGACCTCAACCGACTTATATCCGCAAGTGTGGACATGCTTTGAAAGCTTTTCACCATGGAGACGTAATCTTTTAGCGACCGATGCTGACCCATGATCAAATTGTGCAGTTAAAGCCAGTATCCAGGTGAACAAAAGAGCCGATCGAGAGCGTACGAAATCTGGAGTGTGAAGCATCGGGTCCAGGATTCCATTTACTGGATGCAAGCGAATAAAATATCTAAGATTAATCAGTGGCTGCAGCTCAGCAGTGTAGCAAATATATTGACTTACATTGGAAACAGATAACAAGCCTCATCCATAGTCACCAAACCGAGATCCACTGGGTCAACATCGGGGCCAACATCGCGTAGAGGCACCTGTGGGGACGATTTGAAATAGTTTAGGTAACGGTATGGGTGTTCAGAAGGAACAACCAGGGAATCGATTCCTGCTTCAAGAGTATCTCTGCTCAGTTGTAGGCCAAGCGACACGTAACCTGGCCGATGAAGCAGTTGACGACCCAGGCTTGCTCCAGTTGACAGGCCGGTCGACGACTGCCTCGCGGAACATGAGTCATTTGTTTCTGGGGAAGAGTTTGTAGATATTGAGTGTAGCTCCAGCGCCTGGGCGGCATCGGACGCATCTGCCAGCAAGGCCAGAGGATTACTGATTGGTTCACGATTGGACTGAGAGATATCTCCAGTGCGGAAGGCAGGAGAGACAGTGTTTCCTAATTGCTCATTGTCTCGCACAGTTGGCATAATTGATTCAAAACATGGGGCGCAAGAGCCTTCAGTTCCCAGCTCCGGTGATGTCTGCGCGGGGCCGTTTGTCTCAGCTGGGTTTGAAAATAAGAGCTCTAGCATTGGCTCTTCGCCGGCGATGAGATGATCTATTTCATTTTCTCCTGCATGAGATATTTTCGCCTTCTTTAATTCCAGCTGCATTTTCCGATAGGCTTTTTCAATTCCTTGATAGCGTCCTGTCGCACCGCGCTTTCTCCCAAGCTTTCTCGGCTCTGGGATATTGCACTCGCGGTTGGTACGCTTACACCGTTGACATGGTTCTGCCAGATTCTTGTCTTGCTCCCTTGGTCGGATGCATCTCATCTACACGGGCTGTCAACAATTATGTATCATTTCGGTTGGGAGGGCTATACCTTCAGTTTCCGACAAGCCTCACATGCGGCGGCGGCGGGACGACTTTGACCGGAAGTATTATCATCTCCAGAATGCGACGACATGAGTCTAAGGAATAAAATGGAATCGATAATATTGAAGGTGATCGAAATGTAAATTTAAAGAGACAGTGGAGAAATATCTGAGCCCCGGAATTTCCAAAATTGCGGGGGAGCCTTGGAATTTTCGGCTATGAAATATGTTTACACGCCCCGACCTCCATCCACCTCCAGGGTCGTTCCCGTTACAAAACTACTTTGTTCCGATCCCAAATACCATGCTGCATTGGCTATATCCACTGGCTGGCACAATCGTTTCATTGGTAACATGTCTTCCACTTGACGTAGTCGCTGGCGGGAATCTTCACCGTTCCCAATGCTAGCTTGGAGCCTGGTGCATGTTAGCAAGGGCCTTAGGGGGTTAGAGGTTGGATTGAAATACATAGCGGTGTTCCCCACAGCAGGGGAAATACAGTTGAATCGAACAGCTGGGGCGTACTCAAGAGCCATTGTCTTAGTTGCCACCTAGAAATAAGTTAATATCTGACGCATGAGCTTCGAATCGTGAAATTACTTCTACAGCTGCTTTGGAGGCATTATAGATTGCGAATCCTGGGCGAGGGCGTGTGCATCCAGTGCTGCGCTGGTCAATACCGCCCTACCATAGTCTCATTGGGTGACTTACCTCGTTATATTGATAAAGATCCCATGTCCTTGTTGCACCATCACGGGTGCAAATACCTGTGCACTGATAAAGACCGGCTGTACGAATACTGTTTAGCAATTACCAACCGATAGCAGCTAAAAGGTCTTACTTTCACATTCACGTTGAATGTCTTCTCGTATTCAAGGATACTCTTCGTGTGAATCGGCTAAATCACCACATTAGAATGGTAATCGCATTTGGGCCGGGAATCATACAGATGGATCGTGCGTGATTCCTAGTCAGGCTGAGTTAACGAATCCGAACCTAATGCTGACTCCTAAGATAATTCGGATCTTCTTACCAGCATTGTTGACCACCACATCAATCCTGCCGTAGTTTGTCTGTGCCAAATCCAAGGCTTTTTTCCATGTCTCCGGGCGTGTCACATCACCAGAGAGGAAAGTTATATTTGGGTCGGCTCGTTGCTTGCTTTCACCTTTCGCTTGATTCAAGTCCAGGATTATGACCTTGCATCCCTCGCGGCTGAAACGGTCCGCGATAGCAGCCCCAAAGCCATCAGCGCCACCTATGAGCCCTAGTCAGTCCATAGTCCGAATTTGATGGGTCAACTGGTGTATCAACCTGTAACAATAACCACGCGGCTATTCATTTTGGCACGAAGAGGCATAATTTAACCCGATTGATTCTTAGTATAGGTATTCCTTGCACTCATTCCTCTATCTTTCATGCTTTTAACTAATCCGAGTCGGAATTTCATCTCATTCTCCCCGCACTTGTCTCCATTCCACCCGGCCTTAAATTTGGTCACCGGAACTTCCTCTCAGATACCTTTGAGATACTCTCATTAAGATACTCGTCCATCCTCGCATAGTCCTTTTTGCTGAAAATTCTTGACTTTCCAGACATCATGACACCCATCAAAGTTGCGATCGCTAGTAACTCGCTCGGCAAGTCAGCTGCAGGGCATACACTTTTCCATAAACTGGAGGCTGCCAAATTGCACGGGTTTGATGGAGTGGAAGTTGCAATCGAGTGTCTTGAAGCGCATGCTTCCTCCTTCTCCCAATCATCTCGGGCTTCCCGCCTGCGCGCAGCCGCCGCTGATGTTAAACGAAAGGCGCAAGAGCTATCTTTATCTCTGATTGCGCTCAACCCCTTTGGCGCATATGATGGGCTTGTGGACCCATCCGAGGTCAATTCCCGTCTAGAGGAGGCAGAGCTTTGGTGTGATCTCTGTCGCTTGATGCGAATTCCAATCTTTCAAGTGCGCATCACGGACATTTTGACTTCAGATATTTGCCAAACTGATCTTTCCTTCTCAATATAGATCACATCGTGTCTGTACCCTATTGATCCTGCTAGAATCACGCCAGATGTAACAACAATCGCCGCGAACATGAAGCGATTGGGACTCCTTGCCCAAAAATACAATTTGCAAGTTGCATACGAAGCGCCCGCTTGGGGAATTCACCTAAACACTTGGCAGCAAATCCACGAGATTATCGAGCTTGTTGATCTTCCGAATGTTCGTCATTGTCTTGATACCTTCCACATTTCTGCCAAAGAGGCAGGCGATCCATTCAATGCTGCTGCTCCAATTCGACCAGGCGGCCTGACAAATCTACGTCGATCCTTGGATGAAATGAAACAAACTGTTACGCCAAATCAAGTTGCTTATTTCCAGTTGAGTGATGCGATGGTTGCGGATCAAAGCCAGGTGGGTTACCCAAAGCGCGACCTTAACCAGCCGCCTTACATGACTCAATCGCGAAACTGCCGGATCTTCCCTTGTGAAGCAAATCGTGGAGGCGTGCTTCCTGCGCTTGAGGTTGCAAAAGCTGTGTTTGACCTTGGATATACTGGGTGGGTGTCGATGGAAGTATTTCATACCGATATGTGGAATCCACGCTCTTTGTAAGTGTAATCTCGAAAAGAATTCATTTTGTGTACTAAACTTAACGTGTCTACAGAGTGCCGGACGACTGGGCTAAAAGAGGGATGGCTTCATGGCGAGAAATATCCTTCCACTGTGGACTTGGCCGGCATACCAATGGGAAGTTGTGAGAATACATGTCAGATAACTATGTTGGAATTTGAAACCATTAGCGCTATAATCTTTCAAGAAATTATGGCGCGATAAGCATGTAAAGCAATATTGGTTTTCATGAGATTGAATATACCATCTTAAAGAATCTAGAATTTCAGGTTTTCATTTTCCGTGCTCTGCTCCCTTTGAATATTTATTTTCTCATAGATCTACTTCCATTGCTTGCAACCAGTATGGGACGCGCCTGACTCAAAACACTTCCCCGATGCTAGGTAATAAGCAAATCAATCTTCTGCTAAGCTTCACTCACACGATCGTACGTATTGCCCATGGAATTACATTCAGCCGTCACTGGAAATATTTGTATGGCCCCGCATCCCTGGCTGGGGTCCACCCGGTCACTTAATTTATTCGCCGGGGCCGAAGCATCTATAGCTCCCGGACTATCAACATTCGACACTATGATCTTTATTTTAAAGATTCGCCGCTTGCTGTGAAGAAATCGCAAAGGCGTTCTCCTGTGATCTGCTACGTTTCTGCGCTGATATCGATCATATCCAAAATGGAGACAATTCAAGTCGATGTTCTCGTCTGCGGCGGAGGCATGTCGGGAATGGCATGCGCTGCTTTCGCCGCGGAAGCAGGAGCCAAGGTCTTGGTTGTCGAGAAGCAGTCGAATGTCGGTGGCTCGTCGAATTACTCTGCGGGAATGTTGTAAGTGATTGAGTCAATCTCCCAGACAAACGAGGTTGTTAATATCACCAACGAACAGCTGGGCCCCTCAAACATATGACAAGCTGAGGAGTTGGGTGCCAGAAGGAGATCCAGCATTACAGGAAGCCTGGCTACGCGACTATCTGCCCGCTGTGCAGTGGATGCGTGATAATGGGGTGCCAACGGCTGAACGGTTCGACGGTATCATGACAATCGGTAGGACTGAGAAACTCAACTTGGTGAACAATTGCGCTAACATCTTGTAGGCATTGGATTCCCGATTGAGATTCCACACCTTCATAACCTCCACCAAAAGCGCATTCAGTCTAGCAAGACGCGTTCCGAGATTTTTACAAACACGTCGGTAGTCAAGTTGATTCAGAGAGAGCCCGGGGTTTCAGGATCAACCATAATTGGCGCTGTAATTTGCAAGAACTCGCCCAACTCACCAGCCTTATATTACGAAGTCAGAGCCAAAATTGTGGTCTTGGCCACAGGTGGTTTCCAGGGGTCTCCAGGGATGACATCCAAATACTTAGGTCACGGCGGCGACAATATCTTTGTGCGCTCCAATCGTGGATCGGTGGGAGATGGACTCAAGCTGGCCATTGAATCTGGTGCGGGAACCAGTAGAGGAATGAACACCTACTATGGTCACCTTCTAGCAGCTCCGCTTCGAGCCGAAGATGTGGATCCAAAGGACTATCTTCCACTCGCGCAATACCGTAAGAGCAATTCCTTGTTGTCGCTGCGTTCTTCGCTAATCAGGCTTCAGAAAGCAAATACTGTCTACTGCTTAACGAAGGAGGTCAGCGATTTGCCGATGAAACCACAGGTGACGAGATCATCAATCAGTATCTCGCCAAACAACAAAAGCGCCGCGGGTTCTTATTGTTCAAGTATGTTACTTCCCCAAAGAGAAGCGGCATGGGCGATCTTCTGACCGGTGACTTCTTCTAGCGAGAAAACTCGTCTCCAGCACTGCGTCACTGCGTTGTTCCCCAACGCAGGGGACGTCGATCGTCTTCAGAAAGCCCGGGACCATGGCTGTAATGTTGCGAGTGCCTCAACCTTGAGTGGTCTGGTTGATGTTCTTCACGGGTGGGGTGTGAATAATGTACAGGCAAGACGGACTATCGAGGAGTACGATCGAGTGGTGCGTTTAGGGGACAAGAACATCTCCCTTGACGCCCCTATCGGTCGTGCTGGTTCACCCCCTACACCTTTGGTGGATGGGCAGGGACCGTTCTATGCTATGGAGGTCCAGCCGTCGTAGGTTATCTCCTACACGCTCCAGGTTCCCTATCTAACGTTCAATAGGATCACATTCACCTACGGTGGTATCGCAATCGATGCAAAGGGGCACGCATTGACACCTGATAGATCTAGAATTCCAGGTCTGCTCGTTGCAGGTGTTGATGCTGGGGGTTTCAGTAATCTTGGATACGCTGGGGGTCTTGCTCTCGCTTTCGTGACGGGTCTCTGGGCGGCCCGAGAGGTTGCACGCGACTTGGGGTTGCCTGAGCCTCGCTTGCCCCCTGCTGATGTTCGGGATGGGCAGGATAAACCACTTCAGGGGCGCCTTTAGGCTGGTTTTGGTGCAAGTTGCGATTAGAGGTTGTCAATAGGATGACGTTGATCAAAATAGTATGTGAAATGCACACCGAAAGCCAGTCGCATTTGTTGCCAATTGCCAATTGACGTAGATGGGTCAATCCCTCTATCAAGGTCCTCGCATTCGATGGATATAGACCAATTCCTTCCCATTCGCACTTTCGCTTTTTGATCCCTTATAGCAGAACATCATTTCACCGTTATCTGAGCCCTGGAGGCGTTAATAGCTGACAGAACCCTTGGTATATCCAGAGCTCTCTGTTATCTCTCTCCTCTCCACTGGTTTCCTTCCCTACCAACAATCCTCTCTTTCTGTACTCTGACATATCTTTGACACCTCTGCTCTTTCGTTTTTCTACTTCATCCCACACACATTACAACTATATGTATCTCCTAACAAGATTTTCAGAACGATAAATATTCAAAGGGCCTTTTATTCACATAGCCATATTCTAGGGTGCCACCAAAACGCCGCGATAGCGCATTTTCCCATCATCGAGTGTCTTCAAGGCTTGTTTAACGCCATCCAACGTCAAAGGGAAAGTCATCTTGACCGGCTTGATGTTGTGGAATGCAGCAAACTCAAGCATATCTTTGTGGACCTGTCTCGAAGCCACGATACCTCCCTGAATCCGAAGGCCATTCGAGAGCAGAGGCATATATGGGATTTTGAGATCGTTCGAATCGACGGACAGAGGCGAAATGACACTACCGGGGGCCATGATATTCAAGTAGAGTGGCCAATCGGGCTGACTGCTAGTCGTCACAATGAGATTATCGATTGGGGCTTTAACCTTCAACTCCTTCGCACCCTTGGTGGCATAAAATTCGCAGGCTCCCAGCTTCATCGCCTCATTCTTCTTACTATCTGTCCCGGAGAAGACGACGACTTGACAGCCCATCTTTGCGGCGAACTGGATAGCCAGATGTCCCAGACCGCCGACTCCGACAATACCAACGCGCGCGGTTGGACGAACCTCTGCGACGTGGAGGGCGTTGAAAACAGTTGATCCACCACACATCAAGGGTCCCGCATCCTCGTTGCTCATATTTTCGGGGATCTTGAACAAAAAGGCCTCACGCCACACAGCATGTGTGCCGAAAGATCCCTGATCGAGAGCGTCCAGGCCGTACATCTTTCGCTCCCTGCACAATGTCTCCCATCCGGTGAGGCATTGTTTGCAGGTACCACAGCAGTCATGCTCATAACCCCAGCCCACGCGATCACCTTTCTTCAAAAGCTTCACATCTGGTCCAGTTGCTTCCACCACACCCGTTCCCTCATGGCCAAGGGCCATATCAGTGGATTGGTAGTGGACGTCCGTGCCGCACACTCCCGAGTGCGTGGTTCGTATGAGGACATCATCGTGCTCAAGGTCTTTCCGCTCGGTTTGCGCTTGTTTTATTCCTTCCTTGGAGCCTTTGTATACGGTAAATTTGATCGTCATGTTGGAAAGATTGATCCAAAATACAGCTTTTGAGAGATTTGGGCTGGGGGATTCAGATGTTCACAGTCAGTTTTATAGGCGACCCCTTCTAGTACGTCACTAACCATCTTTTCCCAATAATGTTTGGTCAGATCAAAGTTTCGAGGTAATCGAGAACAAGATAATCTGTGACCTGTGATGCAATTGAGTGGGCCTGGTCAATGATGCAGGTCCCGCTGTCGAATGATACCTCGGCCCTTTCACTCCCGAATTGTTACAAATCGAACTCAGATGTCGATCCATGGAGCTGGAGCAAGGAGATAAGCTCTCCAGAGTCTTTTCATGGCCTTGTCAGGGGCTTGGTCAATCTTGAAAGACATCGGATAGTAGAAAACCAGGTGACATCATATGCCCGCGTCCGCCGTGTTCAGAGCTCACTACCCAAAAATAGCAGTCACCGTGGTCTGCTTGATGATAAATAATATACTTGACTGCGTAGCACGCATGGGCACGGCTTTTTCCATGCCCGTGCTCTATGTGGTAACCATTCCAGTTGACGCTGGGGCAAGATCTCAAATTCTGAGCTGCGATCTGTTCGAAGACAGAATACTGACTCATGCGAAAGATCTTTTTCGAATATTTTAAGTCTTCCTTTGATAAGGAGCGACTCTTACATTAATACTAGACCTCGTCGGAAACTATGTCTGGTTGAAGGGACGGTATGGACTCTTCAAGTGAAGTTCTTGAACCCCATGATCTCCCACCCAGTCAATGTTGTCAAATTTTCCTATCGAAAACCCACTCGGAATCCATTTTCAACTCAATAATAATAGTATTAATGATTTTTCAACCCATCTGGTCAAGTGATCGAATCTCGCGGAGGCCTTTCCTCCGGTCGCCAACTTCTGTCAGAATTGCAAAGGCGGTATGCGCGATATCGGACATCCCAATGTGGAATGTACGAAGTTTAAGCAAATTTTCTCTCTCTCTTATTAACTGTTACAGACAGTCATATCTTGAGGATATCTCACTTTTCGGTCTCTGCGACGTTCAGGGAAGCCATTTTGGGGTGAAAACATGATTCAGCTGCACGGCATAACTAGCGCCGGCGAATCGCCACACGTCTCATCTGAAAAAGATGCAGCGTTGGCGGTGGTGAGCGAGTTTGCCCAAGAAATCGATCCGGTAGTGGAAAAGAGAGTTCTGCGAAAGATCGATCTGTATTTGATGCCTGCTATGCTTATAGGTTGGTTATATACTTCATTTCCATGGCCCGATATTTGTTGACCAACTCGAACGCAGGCTATGGCATGGTGTACTATGACAAGGTACAATGACTATGCTGATTTCTTTATCAGCAGGATATTCTGACCTCTCTATAGGCTATCTTAGGTAGTGCCACGCTCTTTGGCATGACGACCGACTTGGAATTGCTAGTGAAAGACTACTCCACTTCTCCGCCATCCGCTGATACTTCACGGCTCAGCTGGGCAACATCGATCTTTTATTTCGGAATGCTTGCGGGCCTCTACCCAATGACCTTTATCTTGCAGAGGTTTAATACTCGAACTGTCCTCGGTCCAGTTGTTCTGACATGGGCCATTGTCTGTGCCGCCACCGCTGGCGTGACAACCTGGCAAGGACTTTTTGTACAGCGATTCTTCCTTGGTATGTTTAACCTCAACTTCGTCAACTGGCCTCTCGTCTAATATAAGATAGGCTTCATTGAAAGTGTAATTCCTACAGGTTTCATGACCATAGTCAGTGGATGGTACACACAAGAGGAGCAAACTCTTCGACAGGCATGGTGGTTCTCCGGCACTGGTTGGTTCACTATAATCGGAGGCGCCCTGAACTATGGCTTTGGTCAAATCACATCTGGATCATTGAAAAGATGGCAGTACATCTATATTCTGGCTGGTGCCTTGACGTTCTTGTTTGGCCTCTGGTGTTGCACTATGCCCAATTCCCCGGTTTCTGCCTGGTTCCTCACCAAGGAAGAACGAGTGGTTGCTGTGGAGAGACTGCGCAAGGGACAAACCGGTGTTCGGTGCCAGAAGATCAAGTTCGATCAAATCAAAGAGTCTGCGATGGATATTAAGCTCTATCTAGTGGCTATTATGATGGCATCAGCGTAAGTTCTCTCCTTTTTTGTGTGCTCTATCACATTACACACCTTGAAATCGTAGATTTTAACATCGAATTCAGGTACACTATCAACGGAGCTATCTCGGGTTTTGGACCATTGATTGTTTCCACCTTCGGCTATGATACCCTTCATTCTATTCTATTCCAGTTTCCCGTCGGCGCCATTTGTGTCGTTTTCATTCCTCTGTGTGGTTATATTCCTACGGTTGTTCCCAACACCCGCATACCTTTGCTCATTACCTGTTGCCTACCTGTTATTGCTGGCTGTGTGATGATTTGGAAATCCCAATGGGGATATCATCCAGCCACTCCAGTCGTTGGCTATGCGCTAACTGGCTTCTTTGGGCCAGTCGTTAGCTTAATCATCACAATTGGAGCAAGCAATGTCGCTGGAGCCACGAAGAAAACCGTCATGGCAGCAACCGTGTTCGTGGCTTACACTGTTGGCAACATCATCGGGCCCCAGCTTGTGAAAAGTAACACCAAGGCACAACACTACCCAGAATTGTGGACTGGCATGATCATCTGGTAAGTCTATATATTTTTTATTCTTATAAGGCTGATCTAACAAAGTATAGCTACTGTATCACGATTGCTGCCGCTGTTGCATTGTATGTGGTCCTTCGCCGGGAAAATCGAATTCGGGAATCGTTGGAATTGGATGAGGTGCAGCGAGACAAAATCGCATTTGACGATCTCACCGACAAGCAGAATCCATTTTTCCGATACGCGTTATAGTACATAATAGCGGGATCCATTCCGATGGAGACTCATCGAAGCTAGAACTCCTAGCTGCTATCTAACTCTCACATCTCGTGCATCTGTCCTACACATGCCAAAAGGATGTCAAAGAATATATTCAAATATACTCAAATACCCTCGATTGTTCATAGCAAATATGCAATGCGATCATATGCATAAGCAAGTCCTTGCGAAACTAGATGTACATAGTACCAGCCTACAAAGTGAAGCATCAGAGAAGAATTCAATCCCCTTGCCTTGCTTTGAATCATCACAGGATTCGAAGTTCCTACCATAACACGACAGGAACATTGGATCGCAATGAAAGTTCGGCCCAGACTCGCATTTCAATCGTACCTAATACAACTCACGTTGCTCCACCAAACACTTCGTGGGTGAAATTATATACGTTGTGAGAACAAATTCCAGGACATCAAATTTACAGATCTGAGTCGGTTACATTATCGTTATAGAAGGAAACAATTAATCAAAAGAGGGAGATGAAACACAAGTACATATCCTTGAAACAACTTATGGCTTGCAGAAAGTGTTCTCACGGGGGACCGCTTGGTTGTCTCAACCAATCCATGGAGGCCCATTCGCATCACTTGTATCACCCCCTGACTGCCAAGACCTCTGTTTCATTCGCTATATATCTAGTTCCCTTCTTCTAGGTAGTCAACATCTGAGTGCTCCGCTCTTTTGCTTCGCTCTCGGTGAATACCCTCCTTGCATACTTACTCCGGTCGGTTTTGGATTGAAAGCCTTGGTGCAAGACTCGTTAACATTGCTACAGCAGGCAAATGGTAATTTACATCTGCTCAGTCGAAACTAAGTCTTGTGTAACAACTTTCACAGGTTCGAATGTGTTCAGGTTACTATCCGTCTCGTGATATGTTGATTTGGAAGCAGTTTCAGCTATCAGTCTGTCAACTTCCGAATTTCTTGGATGAAACTGAATGTAGTACTCTGTATTTTATCTTTGATTTCTAGGAAAAACAAAAAAAATTGAGAAAACCCAAGACGAGAGTGGGTATAAAAGTATATACATGATAGAAATAAATAAAATGACAAGGCATGCCAACGCTCAAATGCACACGACCAACAAAAAAGAGAGAAATGCAAAGTATGGGCAAGACTTTTGTTGAAAATCTTCACACTATAACCGAGGAGACTTCTCGACACTATGAATGATTGTTTCATGAACAACCTTGATTCCAGTCTGGCTACTCTGGCTGTGAGACTCCCAGTCGCCATCGCCGGCGGTGCATGTCGCCGGTTGCTGCCGTGAGTTGGGAAGAATCATCTGCTCGTCGCTGATTGTATTCCACTGAGTGTCTCCGGGAATTGATAGCGGATGGCGGAACTTCTTGCGTTTGGCATACCCGCCAGTGTCGGCATCTGATAGAGGGTAGCCGGGATAACTCTGTGAGCCACCTCTTGATGAAATGTATAGGCCAGCACGTTTTGTGAATCTTCTCATCAATGGGTAGATCATGGGGATATTGCCGATGACGACGGCGACGAAAGTCTCGCGGCAGGCCCAGCTGCCAGCTTGTTGGGCTCCATTTGCGCCAGCCTAAGGAACTATTAGATTTCAGTGGCCCAGCAGATAGCTCTCGATATAACTTACTGTTAAAATGAGAACACAGCGTAGGATACCAGCCATCATGACGAACAGACCACCGCTGAAAAGAATCAGGAGCTCGAGCTTTTCCCGCCACTGTAGCCGGGCTTTGAGGAGCAACTTCACACGTGTATTGTTAGTAAATTTTCATGAAATAGTAGAGGGAGAGGCTTACCGGCGCTGGGATACCAATGAGATAGATGTCGGTCGCAACATTGAGTACCACGGTCACATAAATGTCAATCTTGGACACGGCGGGCTGACAGTGATCTAGCACATAATTAGAGGCACAGTCTTTCAAGGTGTCCAGTCGGGGATGACGCATGACGTACTACCAGGGTCCGGATATATTTGCCAATTTTTGTCCATTGGATGACATCCAAAGAGAATCGAGCAGATCGTGGCAATGTAGGTCACGGCGACTAGAACGTATGCGATATGGATTCGAATTCGCATATTCACTAAGCCTGCGCTAGATAGCAGGATATATGTTAGTAACAGCGGGCAATATTGGATGCAATGGAATCAGAACACACGTCAATCGAGAGTAGAACACGGCCATGCATGTTTTCAACAACCATAACAGCAAAGTGTATAGTGACCAGCCGGCGACCTGGACCTTGGAGCCACCCACACGCAGGCGATACTCCTCCGAGTGGGGAGACAATTCTTTTCGCTGCTCGTCCGTCATCGAGTTATTGGCAAGGCCCATAAACCACGCGCCGACCATGTATGCAGCACCGGTTTCTAGCCCATACACCACCTATAACACATTGATTAGCAAGAAATCAAAGAGACAACAGGTTTCAATTCAACTCACGCATGCCACCAACATTAAATAATCATCAAGTTGGAACCCTCTCGGTCCAACCATAATCCATCTTGCAGCCGTTCGTAAGCCAATGACGGCAATGGCTACCCCCAGCAGGGTAAACGCTTCTGTACTAAAACTATCAATCATGGTTGAATTTCAGTGATAGCTTTGTACTATGTGCCATCAAAATCAAACAGAAAGACCATTCAACCCAGGATGTACATTCAGATAAAGCGAGAAAGAAAGTCAATTGCGCGGAGGGGTAGAAGCGAGCGGCAGAAGACAGTATCTCGATGAATTCCCTTGATCTTGGTCGTTGATATTGGAACCAGTCCAGACAAAGCACCAAGCGCGCTCCTTGGTCGACTTGACAACACCAAGAAAAGAAAAAGCAAGAACCGGAGGGCAATTCTATGTTGGTGGGCGTACTTACATATTGTGGCTTCTGTCAAAACTAGACCCCAAGCCCCATTTATGGAGATGCGCACATGTAAACAAGATTTATGACAGGTCCGGAGTCCTCCTGCTTGAGTGGCCGCTCCATCGTAACATCCACCGGGTCTCATTGGGTAATGACCGTCTATCTTTAGTATTGGACGGGCTATGGGTCCTTCAACGTGCCGGGGAGAAGCTTAAGGTCGAGGCGCGACCGTTTGTTCCACTCCCAGATTACTGGTTCTTGAAAATGTAGACCGGCAATGACAAGGTCCACATCTCCCCTGAGTTGATATGAACTTCCCCATTGGGGGAATGATCGGAGTGAAGAGGCAAATACGGGTACAGATGAGAGTGCCCTGATCGAACTCCTTCTGTCTTACCTGGGAGTTCTTTTTCGGTTACACATGAAGACTGCATTCAAATACAATACCAACTGGGCCAATGTTGAGAAGCAGCAATGAACCGCAATATTGGGGATTCAGTTCCCTATGACGTGCAAACGGGGACCAACTTGAAGACCGCACGCAAGTAGCGCAGTTGCATAAAGCTTGCTCAGAACCAATCAAATATCATTCGCCTGAGGTGTGTATAGCCATCCTCCGTAGTAATTACGGAGTCTATAGCAGGTATTGAACTGACCCACATTCTCTTTTCGGTTGGTTTGATTGCTGATCAGACCGGAGATTACTCCGATACATAGACGAAAAGTTTGTAACTATCGACTCTTAGGCTAGTCATATTATTAACCCAGTAGCCGTTTTCTCGCGGCAAATGAGTCCAGGGGGACATCATACTGAATTAGGTCACGATTTTCAGGCTTAGGGGTTGACTCCTATTTACCTATTAACCTTAACTTTACAATGTTTCTGCAGAGACCCTATCATGTTTCACATCAGAAAGTACAAAAGTACGACTTTCCAAAGCCATAGTCCTGCCACTTGGTGGATCAAGCGGGTCATGTACGAATAACGGTCTGTTGGCTTTTTTTTCCCTTTTTTAAGCGGCAACCGTCTTGGATAATGTATTCTATAATTTGCATTAGATCAATCTATTTGATTGGACACCTAATCGGATTGAGATACCAACCGAGGAATGGCAACCGGCATATTGTACCCGACTTTTATTTTCTTTTTTGGCACAAAATCAGTAAATGTAAACGCCACGCTATTTTCTGTAAGTCACCTCTAAAATAGCGGTGGAGTACCGGCTTCTCGTAATGTAATCCGCTTACCCTAACAAACGCTTTGAACAAGATTCAAAGTGCGGACGACCCGCGCGGGTCTAGCCACGCTTTGACAGCGGAGCTCACTTGGTCAAACAACCGAGGGAAGCTAAGAAAACATTCGGTGCGCATTTCAATTCTCCTGAAGAGCCCCTGGTGACACTGGAGTACAATATACGGAGTGAATGCATGCCAAGTAATTTGTACATACTACACAGATACCTAGGTAGTTCAAGGGGGTACTAGTTCAGCATTTCTTTAGGATATCGTTCTAAAGCCAATGTCTCGGGTCCGTTTCTACCATCTTGGAAAGATAGAAAGAGAAGTCATGAAGCGATCATAAGTTCTTCTAGGGATGTTCTAGGTCTAATTTAATAGTCCCATTCCATTCGGGTCTCCCTTCCTGCAACAGCAAGGGCTAAAATTAAAAAGGGAAAATCCAAAAAACGAACTTACTCGACGCTAATACTTTTAGTAGCCCATTCCCTTCCGATAACCTAATGATCCATTGCGTTTGTTTGCTTGTACATAAATTCATGCATTAATCCTGGTCGCGCAAGTTGTTCTCTACCCCTCCAAAAAAAAAGACGAAAGCAAGGGACTTTTCAAAAATGGAGTCTGTGGATCTTGTGGTTGTAGGCGCAGGTAGGTTGAATTCTTCACCGTCGCAACCATTTTCACTAACAAGCATAGGTTGGAGCGGGCTCTCCGCTGTCAAGACCTACCGCGAGGTCAATCCCGGCCACAATGTTCTCTTACTGGAAGCTGCCAGCTCTGTTGGCGGAGTATGGGCTAAACACCGTCTATACAAAGGCCTCAAATCGAACAATATGCTGGGCACATATGAGTATAGCGACTTCCCAATGGACGAAGCGACATTCGGCATCAAGCCTGGACAACATATTCCAGGTCATGTAATTCAAAAATACATGGAGGCTTATATACAGCACTTTCAATTTGCCAATTGCGTTCGACTCGAACACCATGTGGAAAGCGCGCGACACAATCTTGATGGAACATGGCAATTGAGCGTGTCGCACGGAGCCGATACAAAAACAATCGATACCAAGAAGATGATCGTCGCTACCGGTATCACCTCACAGGCATTTTTGCCTCACTTCGAAGGCCAGGAGTCTTTCGATGCGCCGCTTTTCCACTGTCGGGATCTGCTACAGCATCAAGACGCTGTACTACAATCTGGAGAGCGCGCGACTGTTTTCGGCGGCACCAAATCTGCCTGGGATGCGGCCTATGCCTGCGCAACGGCAGGTATGAAAGTTGACTGGGTCATTCGTGAGTCCGGTCATGGACCTTGTTGGATGGCACCTCCATATGTGACGCCCTTGAAAAAGTGGTTGGAAAAGCTGGTCACAACACGTCTGCTGACTTGGTTCAGTCCATGTATCTGGGGAGAGGCGGACGGGTATTCTGGCATTCGCAGCTTCTTACATGGTACTTGGCTGGGGCGGAAGATCGTGGACGCATTCTGGGGGATTCTCGCCGACGATGTCGTGCAGTTGAACGGATACGACAAACACCCGGAGATGAAGAAGCTGAAGCCTTGGGTTGGCCCATTCTGGATCGCTTCTTCGCTCAGCATTCTGAACTATCCAACCGATTTCTTTGATTTGGTCAAGGATGGTACGATCAAAATTCACGTCGCTGATATAGAGCGTCTCTCGGACCACACTATCCATCTGTCATCGGGTGATGCGCTGTCATCTTCAGCGCTGATATGCTCAACAGGCTGGCGTTGCACTCCAAACCTCAAGTTCCTACCTGAAGGCATTGACCGCGAATTGGGATTCCCTTGGAGTGCGGATCCGCTGAACGAAAAACTAGTGAAAGCAGCAGATGAAGAGATCTTGCGCCGCTTCCCCCGACTACGTGATCAACCAAAGCCAAACCCTCACTACACCCCGTTAAACTCGCAGTCCGAGGCGGCTGTGCCGCACCCGTTCCGACTGGCCAAGTTCATGGTCCCGTTGTCGCTGGTAAATGAACGCTCTCTGGCATTCATGGGTATCACCATGACCATCAACACAACTCTGATTGCTCAGACCCAGGCACTGTGGATCTCGGCTTACTTCAAGGGCGATCTGACCCCGGCTACACGCGAAAGCTGTCCACTCGATGTGCGTGCTACGTCTGACCTCAAGACGGAAGATGTCTCGGAAATCGATCTTGCCTGGGAGACAGCTCTGTTTACTGAATTTGGTAAATATCGTTACCCGGGAGGATTCGGACGACGGAACCCTGACTTCGTGTTCGACGCGATCCCATATGTTGATCTGATGCTGGGAGAACTGGGTCTGTCAACACAGCGCAAGCAGGGCTTGCTGTCTCGGTGCTTGCAGCCATATGGTCCTGAGGATTATCGGGGTCTGGTTCAAGAGTGGAAGTCTAAGCAAAAGTCCCAGTAATGTTTCGGGTATCGTCATTCGTCTTCGTTCGGTTGATCCTATCTGATATGTGTTTATGCATTTTGTGTTCCCCATTTCCCTTGCGTCACGCGCGTCTTTCGGAAGTCTTCTTTCTTTCTTTCACATATTTTGTGGCCTATTCAAGCCAATACGAGGGTGTTTTCTATCTACAATATGTGACAACATTATACAAATATGAAAGTTCTCGGATAATGCTCAACTTCGACATCATCTATTCCAATAATACAAATTGTTCCAAAATTGCAACACCAACAAGAGATGAAGATGAGTGCAGGTCACGTTCCCCCATTTCTCTCTTTGGGCCACTGCCACCTGCTTTTTCAGGTCGGTCAGACTCAACCACCTCCCCAATCATATCACCTGTCCATCGCATATAATATTCTTCGTCTCCTGCAACCGCCGCTCTCACCGAAACATTAACTTCCAACCGACCGCTCCCCTCTCCCAGATCATATTCTAATCTAAATCCTTCCGGGATATCACGCGCGTATGGCGGATATCGCCCACCGGTCGTCCCAGGCTGACCAGTTGGTCTCACGGTAAGAATAGAGGGGTCGCAAGCCGATACAAGCAGTTTCCCATCCTTGGCAACATAGCTGCTCACATACGTGGCGTTGGTTGTGTCATTCATGGCGAGGTAACTAAACCACACGATGGAGTACGGGCCTAAACGGCCGTGACCCCAGTACCAGCTCTGGACAGAGTCTACAAAGGGCCTATCAGACCAATTCTATAAGTCGATCAGCTGAACTTCTTTATCTCGGAAGTGTGGTCAAATCGCATACTTTGTCATGATACCCAGGTCCTCGGAACTTGAGCGTCGACCCATGGATCTTCATATCAACCTCACCCACGGCATCGGGAACGAGATTAACCCATCCAATATGAGGCGCGATCTCAAGTTGACTCCGCTCTTTTTGAATCCCACAGGGTAGATGATAGGGTGCTCGCTATTGGACACAGTTAGCAAGCACAATCTGTTCACGCGCTTCGAATCACTTACCGAAGTCAAAGTGAACCGACCTTCGACCTGGAGTTTCTCCGACGCGATGGTAATCTCATACTGCGATAGATTTGCTGTGAGAGCATTCCAGTTAAATCCTGTAGGAGACCAGTTGCCAGAGCTATTAGTCCCCGCGCCGTCAGCGCCAGTTACAGTTGCCACAGTTGCCGGAACGGAATCTTTAAAGACGGTTCCGTTGGCGAATGAAGCCCAGATCCAGACGTTTAGAATGGATGGTTCATCTGCATCGAGGAATGGAAATGCGTTCATGGTTGAGGTGAAGAATGTGACGACTAGGGAAACATCTGGGTTTGTCTCTGAGACGACATCGAAATACCACCAGTCGAATACGGAGCCGTTAATTAGATCTACCTGTGGCGCGTCTAGAGTGAAGAGGGTGTCTGCATTGAGAGTGGTTGTTGGCGTTGGGATGTCGAATCGAGCCTTGCTAGTTCCGTTTTGTACAGTGTTGGGGATTTGGTAGCTTTCTCTGCGAGATCTGCTACCGCGGAGATCTGGCAAGGATTTTTCGTTGGCATTGTGTTGACGGGGGAATGCTAGGGTGTGTTGTGCTAGTAGAGCACATATCACGAGGAGTGGGGACATGCTGGAATATATCGCCGTGAGGAATAGGAGATTTGATACAGGGTACTACTCAATAAGAGCGGATAGGGAGAGAAGAGAGAAGCAACCTTGCAAGGGTTTATATCACACTGCATACATCTGTGGATATGCATGTAACCTGCTGACCTGACTGATACCCTGGTACCTCCAGGGCTACATACTACATTATAAGAGAAAAGGGGGAAAGGGGTCACTGTAGAATCCGGAGAATTGAATCAAAACGTAAGTTTTATAGTTTCCGAAGTCAAAGGAAGTTGGCGATCATATACCTGTATGGAGGATCTTTCCTTGGTATTCCCGAATCACTATAACACCTATTTCAGCAACACAATGGGAATCTGTAAACCCCTTTTCCGTACACAAAAATGCAATAGGTTATGGAGATGCATGTCCAACCCCATCTCAACACCTAGACTCCCCTATATCGGTCGTTCAAATAAAATAAAACAGCCATGTGGCTCTCAAGTAAGTGGCTGAGATGGCGGTTCAGCCCAATCAGCCCAAAGTCTAACAAAATCCCACATTTCAATGTCAATAGGGCAGAAACGTAGCCAGTAATGATTGAGTAACAAAATGTGGCTTTGGAGCTGTTTTCATTACCTAAATTGAGACGATTAATATACTTTGTTCCTTCGGGATATCTTCCATATCATAATTGATGCAGGGTTGTTTATATACCGATGTTGCCCATCCCATTAACAGTTCGCTTAATCGCTTTAAATCACAAAGCAGGATAGGTACACACGTCACACATGAGTCCGATGAGCACATATAGTAAACACAGAATATCCGGATAAAGCAAAAAAAAAAAAAAAAAAAGCAGAGAATCAGACCTTCCCATGATGCCCAGATCACAAACCTTTCGCCGAGGCTCAAAAAATAACACAAAAATCAATAGTAAAATCCGGTTGGACACCTCGACTCCGAGTGCCTCGGTAGATACATACAAATGTCAAACTTCACCCCCATAAATATGTGGATGAATGTTCGGTGGGGAGTTAGGTCGCAAGGACGAGATTGTCACGGGAAGATTGGACTAATGTTTAACGTCCATTGAGAAGGGGACTGCCGTCTTCACTCCGCCCTTCGCCCTTGATATCAGTCCCGGTTTGGTTACTGTTCGCGTCCGACTCGCCGTCCTTTCCGCATCCTTTCACGAGAATATGTCGCTATGAAAGTCAGTATCTGTGCAATTGACACAGAAGAACAGATTACATACCTTGAGAGCGTCTTTGCGCGAGAAGCTCTTGTCACAGTGTGAGCAGGGGAAAGGCTTCACGGCAAGATGGATACGCTTATGGCGCTTGAGGTCATGATTGCGGTTGAAACTCTGCGGACACTGGTCGCATTTGAAAGGTCGGTCTGCGGCGGGAGCGGACATGCCGTGGGGTGGTGGATGGCCGCCATATAGATGTTGAGAGCTGGCAACATGTCCACTGTTAAATCCCGGTAGAAGTCCGGGTTGCATTCCCATCATCGACATGGGCCCACCGGGGCTGTGCACGTTGGTCATGACGGGACCGTTCATCGCAGGGAGAGAATATGACGGCCATGGCTGGCGCGGATATCCCAGTGGTGGTTGTCCGCCTGGACTGTGAACGGGCATTCGTCCGGGAGGGTGGATGCCGAGGCCGGCAGGGCCATACATAGGAGAGAAGCCAGCCTGGTGGGGACTGTGCATGGGGGGAGAAGCGGCATAGATATGCTGTTTAGGGGCATATGGGTCGTTGGATGGCAGTGGGGCGGGAGATGTGGTGTGGCCGTGGTACATGGCCATGGTAGGTTGTGAACCGGAGGAAGGCATTGTTGACGGGGCGGGTAGAGATTGGTAAGATAATGTCGAGGCTTCATATGGGTGTGGCAGTCCATCCGTTGTGGGCGGTGATATTACCGAGCGCTGCATTCCGGATGGCGAGAAGGAGCTTCGGGTAGAGTATGGATTCACCCCGGATGCCCAGGATTGTCCGTATGGATTGGCCCCTGACCAATATGCCGGCGGCAGTTCAGAGGACGCGCCTGTTGATGGCGCCAATGGCTGGGGTGTGGCGTGGTCCCCTGTTTGAATCGTGGCGGGTGGCGTTAGCAGATTCCCCACGCTCACATTCACTGGCGCGTGTGAGACTGGGGGATGTGTGGTGTGTTTGGGTGCTACCGCGCCCAAGGTGAAGGGTGGTGGTGGAAGCTCGAAGCTGGGCAATGTCGGGGCCGCAGGACGACGAATGTTCAACGGCGGGGCTGACAGCGCGTCTAACGCTGTCCCCATTCCCGCTGGCACTGCTAGAGTCGCCAGGTTGGCGGAGGGGTCCCTCACGTATAAGTCGGAGTCGTTGATGTTGGTGAGTTGAGCGAAAGAGGATCCGCTTAACGTCCAATCTCGATCGCCAGGTAAGCCCCCGGAAGGGCTGGTAGAATCCAGGAGGGGCGATCGTCGATCGCTGGGGCTCGCGATCGGAATATAAAGAGAGTCGAGGGACTCAGGTCCGAGAAATAGGGGAATCTCTTGGAACTCGAGCACACTCGGAAAATAGTGATAATCAGAGATCCGAGAGGTTGTCACGGTCGACGAACGCGCGTGTAGTACATTTCGGGGGAGAAATGAGGAAAGAAGTTTGTAGCTGAGAAGATGTGGGGGGTGGGCAAAGGACCGTGGCGTTGGAGGCGATAGCAAGCGCGGGGGAAAAGTATTATAAGAGAAAGAAGAAGAGTCCCTATATAAAAATTAAAAAGAAAAAGATAATATTGATTTTTCTCGGGGAATGGAGTCGACGCGGGTCTAGCCACCTGGCCACCGTGGGGAAAGGAATGGTATAAAACAGATTCATATATTAAAACGAAGATTGAAAAAGGTGAAAAAAGGCGAAAAAAGGCGAGAGAGAGAGAGAGAGAGGGGTGTCAGCAGAACGTGGTTGACAGCATTTTATTTGAGTGGAGATCAATATATAGATTCTATAGATTCTATAGATGTCGGTTATCTAGGCTATATAAGTTATATAAGTTATATGTTCTATGCGTTATACTAAATCTTCAAAATATCCCATATATAGGGGAAGGGAAAAAGAGCGAAATCCCTTACCTGAAAATAATAAAAGGCGCTAGAAAAGTCGGAATGGACCCGGGCTATTGAGAAAGAAATTTCCCAAAGAAAAAGGAAAAATAGTAAAATGGAGACTTATTTTCTATCACAGGATTCCTATCCAATGAAAGGACATGTCAACGCACGGACAAGACCGGAATGGACAAAATACGAGAGAGAGATGGCAGAGACAAGCGAGCTGTCTCACTGGTTCAAATCGATTTCCCTTTTTTTTTTTTTTCCCTTTTCTGTCTACACTGACCATCGGTATATTGTAGAATAGTTCCTTTTTAGCCCCCAATAAAGATATGATTGGTCTCACGGGTTTTCGTTTCTCATTTCCTGTGGCTCGGACCTTAAAGGGTTCACCTCGCAACCCGTTATTCTCCCTCCGAAAGCCAATCGCCTGCATCCGCTCCCTCGGGTTGACTATGAACCTTGGGAATTTCAAAACGGGTCTCCACGCGACCTCGCTTCGGGCCTATCTTATCCTCCAATCAATGAACGGAGGCGTCTGTTTCGTTGCCTTCTGCACGGACGTGGCAGATGCTTATGTAGAGAAAAGGAAATAGGGGACATGCCCTGTCGATCGATATCTACCTCCGTATTATCCCATTTTCAAACAAATATAAACCTTGATAGAGTTGAGCTACCGTGTATTAATAAAAACATGGTTCAAAGATATCTCCCGACTCCGTACTCCGTACTCCGTACGGAGTATACGGAGAAGAGGACATTCCATGTACGGAGTATGCATATGCTCGCGGCACCTTAAGACATGTCCACTGGCGCATGGAATTTAATATTACGATCCGGTCCGCATTTTCCCCGTATTTGGTAAGTTCGACTTTAAACATGCAATGCTCTCCAAAAAGGATAAGGGGGAGAAAAAGGAAAAAAAAAAAAGAAAACAAGAAAAAGGGGCCTGGAACATCAGCCGAGTCACATTCTTAGAAACTGCATACCTCTGTCTGAAACGACCGAGCATTTTTCCAATATCATACATTCTATACATTCTATGCAGTATACTAACATCTTCACTAGAAACCCCCTCCCCCTGATTTCTCTTGGCATCCACAAGTCTACAATTTGATAACGTTCGTTCCTCCACCGCGTCTGTAGCCGCACCTCGACTACCCAAAAAGGTTGATATCAGTGACGATCGGTTGATCTGTGGCCCCTCCTATGCTGGCTCCCGGTCGATCGACCCTCGCACAGCCTTTCCATCGCAATATCCCTGAACCACACCTATGGTTCGCAGCCGATTAGTCGGTTCCTCTCATGCAAGGCGGCTGCTACAAATGTGACAGCGCGCAAGGATCCACCTGGCTGATCGTGAACCGCCTTAGTGTCGCCTACATCGGCTCTTGCCGTTGGTGGCTTCGGAGAAGCTCACGGCGCTCACGATCGTCCCCGGGAATGGCGTTTCGTGGAAGGTTGGCTATTTCTTCTCACGGGAGATCTGCGGCCATGAGTTTCCCTGCAGGGCTGGGTATGTCCGGTGGATTTCAGGTGTCCACAGTTTGGTCCAAGATCTTCCCAACCTGTTTGGACTATTTCTATATATCGATTATAATGTGCTCTATGGGTCTCGAGATCAGGAGAAGGTGAGCACGGATCTCTCTTTCTGTCTGCGTTAGGTAATTGTTGGTTCAGGTCGCTCCAAGCTAAGCTAGAGCCTCTGTCTCGGCATTTGTTCTTTTTTCGGATTTTCTTCGGATTTGTTTTGGTCTATTTTTTTTTTTTTCTCCTTGAGAACAGCCCCACGAGTACGGAGTACCTCTCGGTCGCTGCGAGATCCTCCCTTGCGGCAAGATTTATACTGTGGACCTACTTGCATTGTATTGCTTTGCGTGTAAGAATTCAGAAGAGACGTCCACTTTGTCTTGCATCGTGCTCTATTTATGGCCAACTTGACCCGTTCGATTTTCCGTCCTTACCTTAGCCTCTCGTGGATCTCATACATGTGTCTGGTATGACAGTCTCTGTGGTGAAACCTCTAGGTGCATAAACGAGGTCTCATGAAGACTCGGTGATGTTTGTGATACTCATGAGCTTACTGCAGGAAATAGTATGGAGTCTTGTGAGTCTTTTCCTGCTCACTGCAGGCTCACCCAGTACCCCAGCTTTTCGAATATCATACTTGATAGAGCGTGTATTCCAATTGTTATTATAAATATTTTGTGCTGTCCATCGCACGTTGATATATAAATGAGTTGTATAGCCAAGTTCGGCTATATATATTCACATAGATCAATTATCCGATCGCGTTGAAAACCAGACAGATCAGCTTCGGATATTAAGCCATTGGCCATTACCAAATACAGAATAGAATTCCAATATAATCCAATATAATCGACCTTGAGGTTTCTTGGTAGCATCGGGGTGCCTCCAACATTGAACTGCCGAGTGTTCTTCCGATGACGTCGAACGGCGGGGTACACTTCTATCCCTTTTTCTACCAGAGCAACATTCTTCAACTTTCGCTTCAGAATTCAATTGTATGTGTCCGGACTCCAAATGATATACAGACCATTTCTGACATTCTCAAGACCGTTGCTCGCAACAAAACCTACCTTTAACGCATCTCCCTTCTATCGCTTCTTTACTACCATGTCTGGAATTAGCAAAGCCTGTTGCTCGTTCGTGATTCCCAGATCCATTGCATTCTGTGATGCTCCCAATTAGGCATCGCTGACAATAACCGTGCACAGTATCCCCCCTGTGGTATCCAAGGGCTACCAGGCCAAGGGAGAATACAAGACCATCAATGGCATGAAGACCTGTAGGTTCTTACTGTCGCTGAACGCTTAAAAATTGAGCTGATGTGATACCTTCTAGACGTCACTGGCCCAGAATCAGCCACAAAGGCTATCCTGGTCGTATATGGTCAGTTACTTACACCCCCATAACAAGTACAATCTGACCATCAACTCATACAATTGCATGATCTACAGACATTTTTGGCTTCTTCGACCAGACCATCCAGGGTGCCGACATCCTCGCCAACTCGACCGACCAAAAATACCGAGTGTTCATGCCCGACTTCTTCGAGGGTAGCCCCGCCGACATCTCGTGGTATCCACCCACCACCCAGGAGCACAAGGAGAAGCTCGGCAACTTTTTCTCAACCAAGGCTGCCCCACCCAAGACTCTCTCCAAGATCCCCAATGTCGTCGCCGAAGGCAACAAGCTGGCTCCTGGTGGTAACTTCCAATCCTGGTCGATCCTGGGCTACTGCTGGGGTGGCAAGATTGCCTGCCTGTCCTCCGGCACCGATAACAAGCTATTCAAGGCAGCTGTGCAATGTCACCCAGCTATGGTTGACGCCAATGACGCAAAGGTCGTAAATATCCCCATGGCGTTGCTCGCTTCGGGAGACGAGCCTGTCCAGGACGTCAAGGACTTTGAGGCCAATTTGAAGGTTCCTAAGCACGTTGAGACTTTCTCATCTCAGATTCACGGTTGGATGGCTGCGCGATCGGATTTGGAGAACCCCGAGGTGCGCAAGGAGTACGAGCGTGGATACAAGACCGTTCTGGAATTCTTCAACCAGCACGCGTAAAGAAACTAACAAAAGACACAATTGACGCTCGGAGTCCCTATCGCGGAGATTTGACGATTATATGAGAGCTAGATTTTCTAATGAGAGAACGATTGATCGGCCCTGCGTGGACAAACAAAAAGTACCTGTTGTGCACATCAAGCGTTCTTCGATGTAGTGTCACAAAGCTGTATAGCCTGCATAGTTTGAACTATTTTCGAAAGACATAATTTATGCCAGTAATCCTTACGTGCTGATCGAAATTAAGAAGTATATAAAAAGCTTGTTTTATTTCGTTGCTAACATCTGTTGGAGGATAGGTGACGGATATACGTAGATGGCTCGCCTCTTGCCCATAAGACGTCATCACTTTCCAAAGTCCTCTTCTACCTCCTCAACCTCTTTAACCTCTTTAACCCTCTAACCTCCTTAACCTCCTTAACCTCCCCGTCTCTCTCTGTTACAATCTAATCATCAAATTGATTAATGTCCAATCTATACCTGTGCATTTACGGAAAAAACTCGGTATCACACATCCACTTGCCGCATTGCCGTTCCCAGGGTCACGTCACGAGCCGAGGAGCCGAGATCAGCACTCCGCATATACAGTGCTTATATCCTTATTTTCTTGATTCTTACTTCCATTTCTTAATCAGCACTTCCATATACCAGGGAATTGTATATTCTATTTAAAAGATGCAGTAATTGCATCCTTATGGGTTCTAATGTCTTGTCTATTTGGCCGACGCCGCTCTTCAGATGGTTCCTCAGATCCAGCTTCTACTACTCACAATAATTCCGAGACACTCACACGGACACAATCGCATCGCCACATCCCCGACAATCACAAAGATGAGCATCCTAACGGGAGACTTCGAAGTCTATTTAGAAGGCAGAGCGGTAACCTAGATATATCTTCTCCAACCGCACCACAAGTAAGAATATCTATCTTGTCGTTAGGACGCTAGCTTATGGCGGAAAAAAGGGAAAAGGAAACCAAGCACCAATCGAGGCGAGCACACCGCCCAAACCACGACGAGAGAGTAGTGCCCGACGACAGGATGCCAAAGATCCCCGTGCCTCACCTACGCGCGACTCCCCACAACCAGCAGTACCCTGCGAGCCAAGACAACCTCAAAACCTGCACGATCTTCTCGATTACAGATTAGAGATGGGGTGCAAACCAAAGAACAATGCGCCTGGTGCCAGCCCCAGCCCACCAGGAAAATCACACCTCAGACCGAAAGACATCAAGGCAATGTTGTCGGGGGCGCCTCACTTTCTTCTGGAGAAGGGAAGACATGGTAGATGGTTTCCCCAGGTGATCTTCCCATGGGATGAGCAGAACCCAATAATCCAACATATGTGGGATCGCAAGCCCCTGCCCCATGCATCCTTTACACTGAGCACACTCCACGCCCACCTGCCAGTCCCAGACGACTGGGTCGCCAAAGGGGGGTTCCGATCCAATTTCCTGACTGGCGCCGCCGAACAGGCGCTACAAGCAGAGCAACATTTGATGTCGGGATTTTCGAAGTACCCAACATGCTATCCCATAACGGCAAAGAACCTGGCACCGTTGGTTTCCGGCACTTTCTTGAATTATCAGTAGCTGATGTGATTCGATACATGGGCCCTGAAAAGCCTATCCACCCCCGTCTTTACAGCAAATCTCAACCATGACAGCAACGGCGGCGTTCGATCTAATGGAGGGCTATAACAAATCGTATTCGCAATGCCAAAGTGGCGTCGTGTACGATCGTCACAGACTCATTTGTGAAGGCTCCGATGCCTGGAAGCGCATTGGCGTACGAGATATCAACCTTCGATATCTTGTGCAACGCCTAGAACACCTAGGCAACCTCCGACATGAAGTTCTCGCGGGGAGAACGAAGAAGACGATTCTGGATGTCGAAAGTCCGCACGAGCTGCACAGCAGTTTACACTCACATTCCCTTTACCCTCACCCTCCACACGAGATGCTAGAACATCATCCGCAAAGCGTCAAATCTCAGATCAAAACTCTGTCTATCGTCCTGGCTACACCAGGAGCATGGATCAATTTCAGTCTCCCCGAATGGCGCTTTCGGGCTGGGCAGATTCTATGGGAGGCATGTCCGCATGGCGATGGGGACTGCTTAGACCCCGATTCAAATCACGATAAAGTGCCGCGGGATATCTTGATCAGGTCGGGGATGGAGCGAAAGTGGTTGCTCATCCAACTGCTCCTCTCTGCCGAATTGCTTGTTCGCTTGGACGCGTTCGTTCGAGTTGACATGTTGCATGATCCGCACGGTGGTCATGTCACAATAAACGAGCTTCGAGAATTCGAGAAGTTGCGAGAAGGGAAGCTGAACTGGGATCTGATTGTTGTGCGTCGGTTCCTGAACAGTCTCGATATCACTTGCCCGCCGCCACAATCAGGGCCATCTTCTGGCTCGCGTGAGAAACCTCGTCGTTTTTCATTGTTTAGTAGCCTCACCAGGCGTAGCAGCTCGCCTCCTGTTCCGGATCTACAGTCTGCTTGGGACTGTGAACTGAGTTCTTCGCATGTTCGACTGCAGCTGGAGGGTCTGTATGTCTTCGCAGAAAATATCGGATGGCCAAGATTGGATGCGCTGAAAGCTACCATGGCGTTCAAACTTGGAGATCCTAACAATCCGGTACTTCCAACCCTAGTCGTCGATAGCAAGTGGGGACGGGAAAAAATATCCAAGGAGACGTTACTGGCCAAGGAGGATATGTACACACGAAACCCCTGCCGCCGACGCGTCAAGCTTCATAGCTCTGGCGATCCGCAGTCTAAATCGTTAGGCTGGATCTCCCGCTCCTGGCTCTCGGCGTTCGTTATACCCGGAGAGGGAATCAGTCATCTTCTCATGGCGACTATCCTTGAGAATGACGCAGAGGCACTTGCCCAACTAGGCTCTATTGCTAACCTTTATGGAGCGTTCATTTTTGACGAACGGAGCTGGTGGAGCAAAGCATGTGTTGTCGGACGTGTCCTGTCTTGCTCAAAGGGAGCTAGGACATGCATGGGGTGGATCAGCAGCGACATTCTACCTCGAGATGTGAATACAGGGGAACTTTTCAAGCGTGGATGGCTTGAATTTGCAGTTGAAGAGGTTCCGCAGACCTCGAGCAGGCCTCGAATCAAGCATGGAGCCAAGCTTTCCATAGAATCAACACCGCTAGGCATAGGTGATATCACAGCAGAGGCCTTTACACTTCCTATGGAGAATCCAGAGCCCGGTGCAGCACTTGATGTCAAAATCCAAGCGTTGACTATGTCTGTCGATGATTACGGACCTTCCGATGGGAACGGCATTACAGCCGCTGAGGCATCCATGTCGTTCTCGATCAAGGATAGTGTTGGAGTTTCAACTACGGTTTGTTTCCCCCTCAGGTATAATGTGCGCTTTGTCTCCGCCCATGAATGCTGTCCACCGTTGGGAGTCGCCTCTCGCAAGTCCGACCGCGAGAACAGTGATAACCAGCCTACGAGACCCGTGTCCAAGTATACACGTCTACCAGGCCATCCTCTGCACATCTCTTATCGATACAAGTATGTCTCGTTGGACTCTCTTTCCAATACCCCGGCACCGCAACCGCCATCGCAAAACGCAGACGCAGCTCAAACGCCAGAGATTATTGTCATTGATGCGCGAGGTAGCCGAGACAGAGAAATGTTCGCTCGAGCGTGGTGTGCTGCTGTCGGGTGCCATGCGATCATAAGTCGGTTCGGAGGAACTCGTGTGACAAGTTGTGTCGCGTGTTCAATCAGGCAAGCGAGAGCCATTGACGCAATGGTTGTGGTGCGAGTGAGCGAATGAGGAGACAATTTCAAATTGAAACATCGAAATTGGCCTCGCATGTTGCTACAGGCCGAATTCGGGGCGGACACTGTACGGAGTAAGGGAGGCCGAAACACACAAAAACGGTCATAATCGCGCAAATTGGATTGTTTTCTCCCAGTATATGGGATAAGCTGCGGATATTGGCCCCTTTTTGGAATTGGAAAAGCCTGTGGCTTTTCAACGGACTTTCTCTCCGGAGAAGCCGTAAGAGAGAAAACGAAGACCGTTGAGAGGTGGGGGAGAAAAAGCCTTTTGCGCCATTCCGACGCCTAGAAAACAATGAATACCACCTTCCTCTTCTTCGAGTGAAAACAAAAATTAATAAAATTAAAAACGCCGCGAATCATGATAGGGGCAAAATGGAGAGAGAGATGGGTTTTTCTTGGGAGGACGCGTAAGGCAGGTTGCAGGTTAAAAAGGGTGACCCTCCCCCTTAAGGGATCCGACGACCGAATGGAGTCAAGGGCCCCGGAGATGGTGAAACAGCCGGACCAAAGCTGAATGACCAGTGAAGTCCCTGCATTACTGGCCCACAGGGAGATCTCCGATCTCATATAATTTGTGGTCCGGAGTACGGAGTGTTGTTACTATATATATTTGTAGGGAAGAGGTGAAACCCTAATTGTATATCAAAGTAGGGCTTCATCAGCATCATCTTCGCTGTATAGCTCTTCCCGTGAATACGTGCATATTAAATCAATTCATCTTATCATCTGCATACCTATGCATATTTATGCACATACATTCTCTTGAGAAAATTAAGCCTTACCGAGACTCCCTGGGGATTTAGACCCCTACCTGAATACGGAGTACGGAGTAAACATTCCAAAATAGTACTACCCCCGAAAGTATGCCACGCGACAAATCCTATCAAAGAAAAAAAAAGCGCATCGGGATATGGCAGTTTCCCAAAGAACGGTAATAGCTAGCATTACTCCGTATCTAGCGTATATATGCACGCCACTGCGGAGCTCGGCAGTTGGGGTTTGGCAGGGACAAAAAAAGGGCCTTTTACACTAATCCCAGAAAGGAATAGTACGTATTTCTCGCAAAAAGGGCGATGAAACCTCCCAGGGCTAACAAACTCCAATACTTAACTACCTAAGACTAGTATAGACGGTGATTAACCGACATTTTATAAGGTGATACTTCTACTCTCCACCCACATGGGTGTATTCTTGGCCGAGATCAAGATCTGGCTCAGCCCTGGACCCTGTTTCAGTTTTAAACAATTTCCCGATCGATAATGACGCGGCGCCCGTTGGGGCTTTGAATCAAAGTCCGATTACGGACCTCTCTGCGACACAATGTATATGTTGCATGTCTACTCCGTACATACATTGGGTCTATCGTTATGGAGCGGTCGAGTCGGTTGCCTCGCACTACTGCGAGATCTATCGCAATAGACATCCGCGTCACGACACAGCTGATTGCTTAGCTGCAGACTTAACTCTATGAGTCTCTGTTGTGTGACCCAATAGTATCGGCCCATGTGCATTTCTCAAGATCCGTGCTCGGCGATCTTTGACCTGTGTGTGCTGAGTTGTGGGGCCAGAGCGAGGGGAGTATGTAGAATGTTGTCGTTTTTTCATTTGCAAAAGGGCGGTGGAGGTGTCCCCTTGAGTTCAAAGATGCAGCACATATTGCACATTTTACATTGAATCCTGCTGGTACGCTGTATGTGTACTTTGTAAAGTGACTTGGAGAGCACGAGAGAGCACGGGGATCGGTGGCGTCTGTTGGCCTTGAGGGGTGTTGACGTGATACATACGGAGTACACCATACAATATGAAGATCATTGTCCACAGTCCACTTACCAGAACACTCTTTCTTAAGCCATGGGTTTGACACGTTTCTTCAATTTGACTTGAAGTTAATAGTCACTCTTTTTCTTCTTCTTTCAAATTCCCCTTTCATTCGACTAGATATATTGTATACAACATACGGAGTGGAATAAGCGATTGCTCTCAAGCTACTCCGTACCTTTCCACAAGTCTCCATAGAAGCTGAGGAAGCCGAGGAAGAAACCCCCGAATGAGCCCCATGCGAATGCCAAGGGGAACCTGTAACACGCTACTACAGGTCGAGATGATCCTTAATCAAACCTTGACTGCCCCACTCTTTGTGAGATCGCTTGCAATTCGCATTATGTTACCTTTGTTGTATATTTTTATATTATTTCTACAGGACATTTTAAGGCTTTCGGACGGTTATCCTACTTCGGTGTAGCCCAGGGCTGTGTGTTTATGTTTGGTTTCCGAAGTACTACCTACATTTTAGTAAGGGCCACGTACGCGGCCCTCTGATAGAACGTTGAAACAGTAACATTATCCTATAGAGACTCAAGATTGGAGTCCATGAACAGTGGCCCGTGATCACTGATTGGTCCAACTCCACTCTTTCCATGGATATCTCGATGGTTTCATTTTTTTTTTTTGGTCCGGATAAATCTGCCAGCCAAATAGGGAAAGCTGAAAAGGGGCAAAAGAAGTTTTTTTTTTTAGAACGCTATATTAAACTACAAAATAGAAGGATTTCAAACATGAACCAATAACCTGATACACATTGGCCGTGGACCCTGAATCTGTTTTTAGCACAAATTAAGCGATGGTTCGTTTCAGATCAATGTTACGGAGTGACGGAGTAGAAAGATGGGATAGCCGAATGTCTAGTCTTCCAGAATGCCATGTGGTCAATATCGCTTAGATCGAACTGCACAGTTCCCCTTCGAGAAGCCCTCAAGGTTTCTAGGGATCAGCCTCTGAAATCACCGGAGGCAGAAGGTTCTTCTTGATGGACCCTCAAATCAACAAACCTATTGGTTCTCAGTGCCGACCTAAATTCGCGTCACCAATCACCTAGTCGGGACTTGAAGGAAGTATTCCCCAGTTCATCAATGATTGACAGGTATCCTTGTTGGCCCTAAACCTAACTGGTACTGTACACTTTGAGCGGCCACTATCCAACATCCACACATCCCCACTGTCGTCAATACTCCCAGACCATGGTTCCTCGCCTCTTCATTTGAAGAACCGGGTCTATAGTACGCAATCAGGGGCATTGGCAAGTTACCTAATCAACTAAGGACCAATCCAATTGAAGGATTTTTTTGGAAATGAAACTACAGAGGCTAAAAAAAAGATCATGGAAAAAAAATAGAGAAACCAAAAAAGGTCGAAAACAAGAAATACACCTTCAACCAATCTACAATGCACATACTACAGTAAGTTTAGAGCATTAAAGGAAGTTCTCCGCGGGCCCCTGAAAATGATCATCCATTGACAATGACCTGCAGTTGATTTGGGCTAAGTCGATACATCCGTGTTAGTCTTAGTTGGTATGAGAGCCACCTTGTTCCACGTACGGCGTGATATACATACTTGTGAAAATTAAATTAAATCCAAAAAAAAATCTCACAAAAATCCCCCCCAAAAAAACAAAAGACCTTTGGGCGTTTCACCCCGCGATTAGCTTCTACCTGTTGGACTATACCTACTGTCTTCGATCTGCTCTTCTTCTTTTCACACCGTTCACTTCATATTCGTTCCTTTGAATACCCTATTATTCTCTTCTTTTACCCTTTACCCTTTTCCCTTTTCTTACTAATCCCTTTTTATTATTATCGTTTGACTCCTAGTGTGGTTTCTACGATCTCAAACTGGGCCATCAACTTCTAGGCCCTGACCCCGTTCAAATCCCCGGCATTCCAACACATCACTATAATTATCATTGATTAATTCGCAATTACTGGACTTGAGGAATTTAGGGCCTCCGAACTTGGAATCCAATCTATCCTCGACCACTCTATTGCAACGCCTCTATACTTTTGAGACACGAGGCGGGCCCTAACATACGCCCAAACATCCTCGCTCTGAAACGTGCGCAATATCATACCCGGTCCAGTGTGGCGCATGTGGAGCAAGGCCTGAGAATTGCAGCAGCGTCATCCTCCGGAGGCACTCCTCGGTAATATTCTCCCTACAGTGTCTGTGTGGGCATGCGCAGATACTTGTCGCATTCACTTTTGATCACGTCTTGACGTGCTCTCAACTGGCTGCTTTGCAAAACACGCCTTTCGTTGCCAGGGTTTTTGATGCACCATAAACCGATACAGCGACAGAACCGTGCTCGTGGGAGCTATGCCCACAGCTGTCGACCAAATGGCATCAGCAAATTCACAAAGCGCCATGGACGCAAATGATAAGAAGCGGAATAAGTTAGGATATCATCGAACCTCTGTCGCATGTGGTTAGTAATAAGCCCTAAGCACTCATCGTCTTTTTTGCTTGTCGCCTTTTTCTTCCGTTTTTTCCGCTGTGCGAAAATGTGTCGATCAGGAAATTAAAAAGCCCCTCCTTTTGAGGGTTGTGTACTCCCATGTGATTATGTTACTTATACATTTACAGTGCACTGTCGACGACGAAAGATTCGATGTCTTGTAGCGCCAGATGATACGGAAGGACGATGTGAAAACTGCATTCGATTGCGCAAGGACTGTCAGTTTTTTCCTGTCGACCAACAACCACCCATTGAAAAGAAATCACGACCAAGCTCGAGATTGGAGACACCCTCAACCGAGCGCTCAAATACCACACCAATTGCTTCCTCTCCACCTAATTTGATGGCCGATCCCACCGAGACCTTTTACTCATACCAGACTATGCCATTGAACACCTCGTCGGCGCAAGACATGTCAACGTACAACGTTGGAATGGTGCAACCCAATTTGAGTCTAACGCCAGGTAGGTTTCTATCATGCAGGCTATCGTATCTGCACTGCAATCTAGAAACATTCATCAACTGACTGAATTGAATTAGACCGACCTATGGGACCAGGAGACTTCGCTGGGCATCAACCGATGGACGCTGGAGTCTCTTGGGAAGATTATACGGCAATAGCAGACCCGCAGCTACTGAACACGATGGCAGCCGCAAAGGGTCAGATGATGAACATGTCACCCAACGTATGGAATCCC